CTAATTACTATCAGTATACCTTTCCCTTGCGGGACGAGGGATGTACGGAGACTTTTGGGGGTTCAGTGTATCAATTTCAATACGCTCTAGTAACTACCTCAACGTTACTCCGTACCTAACGCCACCAAGCATAAGTCCGCTGTCGTTGGTCACCGCTATGTGTAGCCATGCTTGAATAAATCCGTTGTGTGGATTTCGCACTCCGTGCCGCGAAGTCGAGGGCATTCATCCAGACCGGAAGCAGTGAGGATGCTCGAAGCATCCATTCTCTCGGGGGAAGTCTTGCTCCAGTTGGTGTACGAAGAATACCCACCCGTTACCCCCCAGCCCTTTCGGCACCTGAACATCTTTGCCGTCTTCACAAGGACGTCTTCGTCGGCGTACCTGTCGTTCATGGAACTGCGATCACATATTTGGTCGTCGTGAAGCACCGTAAGCAATGGTACGTTTGGTCCAAAAGCTCGCCCGCGGCGGAGGGCCATGTTGTGTGCAAGAAAAGAGGCGCCATCGTGCTGCAGCAGGGCCAACCACGTTTTCCTGCCCAACCATATCTTCGCTAGCCCCTGCTTCTCCTTCTGGCTCACCCGCCACAAGCTGTCGCGTTCCTCGACCTGGGCACGCTGCATCCACAGCCTCAACAGTTCCTCTCTGAGCAAGTGGCTTACCGTAGGGGCCCACAAAAAGGAGATGGACTGGTCGCGGTCGTGAACTTGGAGACCGACCAGCTCTGTGTCGCATATCGCCACCCCGTCAAGAACAACGAGATGGAGAGAGAATTGAAAAGGGTCATTCGGCGAATCTCTCACATTAAGCTGAGTTGCCCTAAACCGATCGACAGGAGCTGGCATGCCGTCTACTGATTTGAACACTGCCTGAGTCTCGTTTTCGGCAAAGTGGTCAAAGCCTAGTTGCAAATCGTGGGGTGTTGCAGGCAAATTATCATATGTGCAGCGCGGATATAGCTTGATGGTCAGGGATGAGGTCGGGGTTTTGAGGTGTCTGCGAATTCTTTCTTTCTCGGTCTCGGCTTTCTATGTCTTGCAGACCTGACGGAGTCTCGGCCAGAGCTCAGGTAGAAGGCAATCCGGCATGAGCTGGCCCAAAATTGCAAGTTAGCCAACAATATGATGACAAGCTGATCCCTCGTCTGCTCGAATGGGAAGAAGGGATGATTGATACGTACCCTGAATACATGATCCGGGAGCAAATCATCAGGAAAACGGGGTACGGTGGTTGTGGTTGCCGTTGCCATGTTTGCGTATTTGGACGAAAGTCTTCCGAAAAGCTGTACTCTGTAAAGGTCTGTACTCTATGCAGGCGTTGGATATGGAGATGCTGTGATCCGCGAATGGAGATGTCTGTATTCGATGCAGTGTTTGTGGGTGGTGGGAGAAGGGAGAAGATGGAACGGACTGATCCAATGTCAGAGAGGAATCTTGTCACGCTGGGTCGAAGGACGGACGTTACTTCCTTGTAAGTGGCCAAGGTACAGACAAACGCAAGCAGAAGGTGTGCCGGGCTAAGAGGGTCCTTCCTGCGCCGGCAGTTGAGGCTGTCACTACACTGAGCCCTCATAAGTCTCCGTACACCCTCTGTCCAGCAATAACGGTATATTCATCAAAACCGAATAAGCACAGTAGAATAAGCATCGCAAGTGGCTTATGGAACCAGAGCTGCTTATTCCAGTCTGCTTATGCCAGTATTCCCAAATCTCCACGTGTGATCTGGGATGCTCTCAATAGGTATGGCGCGTACGACTTAAGAGGGCTGAGTGTACCCGTTCCTTGAGGCGGCTCCTCCGAGCAGCATAGGCTGGAGTAGCTCTTTCCGTCGGTCCCCATCTTCTTCCAATGCTTGCCAGACGCCGACTGGCCTAAAAGGGTAGGCCCAGTACGTCGTGACCCAATAGCTCTTTCGCAACATGCATCTTTTGGTGCGTATATGCAGGAGCGATGTCCAACGCCATGCCACTCAGTGGTGGCATCGCCCGACCTCTCGCAGCAATGGAAGGTTCAGCGCACGCAGAGTTGGGGAGGTAGTTGCGGTATCATCGCTCAAGCACGGTTAGGCGCGGAAGGTGTTGTCTCCAACCAAGGACAAGTCATTGGGACTTCACTCCCTTAGAAGCTGCGGTCTGAATACTGGGGGTGGTACTTGTCTAACCATGGAGGCCACCATCATGATGCTCTGGAAGCGGCCACTTGCACAGTACATACATACGTCTATGATTCATTGCTACTCTCCTTCGTTTACGAACGTATGAAAAGACTACCTAGGTAGGTAGTAGAAGTAACCCCATCCCTCGTCAACCCCATCACCACTTCTTAGACATGATGCCTGCGCACATACCGCCCCCGACGCACCATTCTTACAACCTTAGTAACCGGAACCACCTGCTCCCCCACCGGCAGCGGCTCCCCCACCCCATCACCCCCATGCCCACCATTATGATCCCTCTTCGCCTTACTTACGCCCTTCCCAAACACCCCAATCGCCCCAGACCCACCACAAAGCAGTCCCGCATCCCCCTTACACGGCATGCCGCAGCGGCTCTCGTCCAGCTTCGTCACACCAGCGCCAAGGCCGGCGCCGCACCAGCACTCGCGCGCGTACTCGACACCTCCATATTTGTAGCCCTTACCGCCGCAGTAGGCGACGCAGCGCGCCGGCGTGAGAGCGTCATCGCCGATCATGGCTGCGGAGAGCACGCGGCCCTTGGACTCGTCGAAGCAGCCGAGGTATGTCCAGTCGTTGATCTTGGCGGGCATCGTGGGCCCTAGCTTGGCTGGGGTTGTTGAAGATGGGGTCGGGGTTATGGTGCGGGTGGTGGAGGGTAAGGGTGAGGATGAAGATGTGGCGGGAGAGGGTGAGTTGGCAGAGGGTGAGGCGGCAGAGGAGCCGGCATACGGGATGCTGGAGTTTTGCCACACACTGATTAGGTTCGAGCCACCGCACTACGTAAAGGGGCATGTCAGTCAGTCAGTCCAAATGCACACCAACCCAACTCAACCAACCAACGAATGGTCCCAAAAAAGAAAAGTACTCACAAACTGCCCCTTATCACCCGCACAAGCCATCCCACAAGCCCCCGCTTTATCATTCGCCTCGATATTCGGCGAATAATTCGTGTTCACAGCCGGCAGCGCCTTCCCGCAGTAGCACTCGCTGCCGTACTCGAGCCCAGACAAGGGAAAGCCCATGTTCGAGCAGAAACCCAGACACTGGCCGATGGTCATGTCGGACTTCACGGTGCTGGCCATGGTCAGGGCGCGGCCGGGGTACTCGGACACGCAGCCGATGTAGGCGGCGCCCTGGTTGGGGGCGGGCTGCTTGGGGTTGGGGGGTGCTGATGCTGCCGGGGAACAGGATGCAGGGGCTGGGGCTGCGGGCGATGATGATGACGATGAGGCTGGAGAAGCAGATGAAGCCGGGGCTGACGACGGCAGTGGCGATGCGGACGCGGTGCCAGATGAGGCGGCGGAAGATCCGGCCTGAAGGCTCACGGTCGAGACCCCTGCGACGGGTGTCGTGGCCGGGGGAGCCGAGGTTATTTGCGCATCCTGCGCCGCCACGGAGGCGGGCGTGGACTGTGTCACAGTGACCAAGGTGGAAGTCGGGCCGCTGGCAGCGGATGTGCCGACGCAGTACCTATGGTGTTGTTCTGTCAGTTGCAGCTCCTGACATCGAGCCTCAAGCCTCGACAAATCCAATAATCCCAGTGCAATCAATTTCAGGTCCGAAAAAGGCAAAGAAAATAATAAGGGGGCAGCATGAACGAAGCCCAACAACATAAGAACGGAACACGAACCAGTAATTAGCCCAAAACTGCAAGGGGCAGTCCTTCCCGTCCACTCCGAGAAGCGGGTTATACTGGTACAGAAACTTCGGCAGCATATTAGCACGGCCCGCGAACCAGGAGCACGTGTCGTCCTTGGCGAAGGCCTGCATATAGGCGGTGCATTGGGGCAGCATGCCGTCCTGCGTCGGGGACGGCGGCGCCGGCGGGTTACGTAGGATCGATGACATCTTGTCTTGTCTCTTGCTTGTTTTCTGATCTTGTGTCAGGTTCTCGTCTTGTCATGTTGTCTCGACTGGTTGGAGTGATTGGGTGATTGAGTGATGCAGACGAAGAAGAACGGTAAGGCGTGGATGCCGCCTCGTTGGGAGGGAACCTCGAGGACTGGGTACGGGTCGGCAAAGCCCATATCGAGTTCATAAGTCGCGCCGTCGCTTTGTGTCGCGGCATCGGAGGGGCGATCAGAACCAAGGCGTCGACAAAGGCCGAACTTCAAGGGCGATGAATGAGCCGAAAGGTCTAGGGCCTAGGCCTTCTCCTTCTTCCTCGAGATACGGACCATGAGTCTGGCAGCGATTGAGATGGGCTAGACTCGTGTCGAGTTGATAATACAAAGACCGGGTGAAAGAGATCCATTGCTGGGACGACACGTGCCCGTCAGCGCCCCTTTCAAGCTGACATGCGGCCCCTATCAGACGGGAGAGAAAGGAACAAAGGCGGCTGCCTACCATCGCTAGACCCGGAGCAGGTGCCCGGCGGATGGCACATGCTGGAAGATGTACTGCTCTGTATCTCGCGCGATATATCACTTCGAGCCGGACGGCATCTGTACTGCGATACTTGCCCTCGGTTCGCGACTCGATGCCCCATCATTGCCACCTTCGCACGCACCCGATGCACCTCCATGGGTAGGGGACTGCTGGACATGCACTGTAGCTCTTCAGTGCTTCCTTGGTATTGGTCTTCGCAATCACAAAGTGTAAGCTCAAATGATCGTGCATCAAACTTGATAATGACATCTCGACGTCTGATTCATGAATTATTAGCCCAGTGCCAAGAATAATGCTGGGCGGGTATATGAGCTGCTTCTTGGTTTCCTACCCATCGACATCATTCATCTCCGTATAGTACGATCGAATGATAAGCCGCCATGCCATTCGCCTTAAAATATCCTTCCAAACCAATATCGCTCTCATCACAAGTCTCAAACGGTAGGGTCATGAGCGCGCTTCTCATCGAGAACCGCAGGTGGCGCGACGTCCTCGATGGTCTCGTCGCTAAATTTCAGATCCTGTTCGATCTCCGTCGTGTCCTTGATCTGCCAGACGATGACGGGCGCCGCAATAAGGAGGGAAGCAGCGCAAATAGCCCACTAGTCACGTATGGTCAGCTTCCACTTCGTTCACCTGGTGTGATACTGAGGGTATAGACTTACGGTCACGGCAAACAGGGTGTCGTAAGAAGTACCCAGCCCGTCCAACCGCCAGAAGATGGCGGCACCGGCAGATTGGATACCTTTGTAGAAGCCAGCTAGGTTGGCAACCCTCCGCCCCGAGTTTGACAGAGCTCCCATGTACCTAAAAGACGGTCAGTCAGTCAGTCATGTAACTAGAGCCCAGAATACACATGACAAGCATACCAGTAGACGCTTGTTTGCCAGCAGGCATCGTAGAAGCCGTAGAAGAAGTAGAGGAACATGGGTCCGATAAAGCCGGGACTAGTCCAGTCCATCTTCTCAGGCTCGTACGATGCCTGGCTTGTGAGTGATCGAGAATCTTGCTTCTTCTGGAAAGCGTATCCGCCTCCCCAAATAGCAAAGGTAAGAACAAAGAGCATAGCCAGGGAACCCTTGGCACGGACAGATCGACGGGCCTTGGTAAAGTCAAGAGCGTATCCAAAGACAATAGCACCCAGGATCTGGGAGAGCCAGTATAACAGCGAGTTCAGGGAGCGTGTTCGAAGGTTGAAGTGCGCCTGGTTAACACCGTTCTGCTGGTAGGTGTAGAAGATGTTGGAGGCGAAGAACATGGGGAAGAGAGCAACGACCCAGGGGGAGAGGGAGATGCACTCCCAGAGACCAATGAACTCGGACTTCCACGTGGGGTTCTTCATGATGATGACCTTTGAACCGTCATCCCGAATGACCTTGTCGGCGTTGCAGAGGAACATGGCGAGAGCAGCGCCGGCCAACATGAGAACGATGAAAGCGACGTAGGTGCCGTCATTGACGGTGCCGGTGTCGTTGTGGATGTTCTGGGCCAGAACGATGATGGCACCTATGACACCTCCGAGGTTGAAGATGATCCAGAACCAACTGATGTACTGACCCTTGGACTTCTCGGGCGGGTACGACATCATGATAGCACCTTGCGCAGTCCACAGCAGGCCAGCGCAAAGACCCAGGAAAGCACCGGCAAAGATGACGAAGCCCTCGTTCTGAGTGTGGTTGTAGCACAGGAAACTAGCCGAGTAGAGCGAGTAGCCAATACCACCGATAGCTAGAGTAATCTTGATACCGAGCTTGTTCGCAAACGAGCCGGAGAAGAAACCGACAAAAGCGAAGACGGAGTAGGTGGCTGTCGAGGCGTGGTCTTGGATCTTGGCGTTGAGCTGTCCACCACCACCAATGCCACCCAAGGCGTTGTACAGACCGGGGCACAGGAAGCACACGATCGACACCATGAGAAGCTGGACCTTTGGCGATGCGTACCAGATCTCCGTGTTGCCGATCTTGAAGCCCTTGTACATCCAGCCAGCAGGGCGGGCCGGGACGGCGTGGGCGCCGGTGTAGGACGGCGTGTCCATGTCGATGGATCGCGTGCCCTCGCCCGTATGGACGGTGGTGTCTTTGTCGGCCATTGCGAGATACACCAAAATGAACAAATTCCCGTCCAGTAAGGGTCAACAGGTGCTCGCGGGCTCGCAAGCAGTAAAAGTGTGCTGACGCCTCTTTTGTCGGGCCTATAAGCTTGGTTGTCAGCTTCCGATGCGCGTGTAAGCGGAGGGTTTGTCTTGGTGGGTAGCGTGGTTCACCAGCGGTGCGTAAGGCGAGCACCGGCAAGTGGAGGATAGTTATAGGAAGGAGCTCGTAGCACTAACGATGTGCGCCAACCTGCGTAATATAGCAGACGATGGAATTCACGAGGGACTTACCCTTTGGGAATTTTCAGTATCGTCGCGGCTAGAATGGCCTTGGACGGTCGAGGTGGAAAGTGGTCGTCAGGAAAGCAAAGCAAGAGGTGCGGCGACGAGAAGAGGGATGGCGCAATGTTATACGAGTACCACTGAGCACAAGGAGAGACAAGCCAGCCACGACAGGGTAGCAAGATACGGGGACAGAGGTGGAGAGGAGGAGGAGTGCGGAGCCTAGGACATGGTGATCCAGGGTGTTGGACCTAGAATTCAGAAGTACCCGGTTTATGCAACAAGCCCACCAGAGATACAGTAGGTCCGGTATGAATGTGTGGGCAGAGATAGCTGCAGTTGGGATGAACATACATACTTACTCAGTCACCGCTCCGTATGGATGGTAACAGTGGCGTCGGTGTCTCTCGTACGTATGCAGCAGTGCAGGTCGAGGTTCAAGCTGGTGGTGCACATAGAACTGTCACCGAAAGGGATCAGCCGCTACGTGACACGCGACCCTACATGACGATAACACGAACGGGCCCGAACGGTGGAAGTCAATTGCAGGCCCCAAGGTGAGGGTCCAACGGTTCGCGGGACTTCTGGGTATAACAAGGTTGCAGCCGGTGATGATAGACGAGGACCGATACGCTATGGTACTGGATGGAGGTCCTGCTAGAATAGCCAGTACATAGGTGATACGATGGCTGGGCCTTCGTGTTCACTGTTCTGTGTGGGCTCCAGGTTCGTTTGTGGCTTGGTCTGACAGGCCGAGGCGCACATGTCATTGCTTCTTCCAGATGTCCTACGTGTTGCCTGTCAGCGCTACCACCATTCTCGTTGCATGGTGTGTCCTGCTTGAGGATGGCAGTTCGAACTGATCGTCGTAAGGAGCCTGACCTTCAGTTCAACGCCCACAAGCCACAGCCAACTCACCCTGTGAAGATAGGAAAACCGAATAGAAAGTGACCTGATTCAATCTTCATCTCATCTCCACTTTCTCCAAGATTGACGAGCAGGGATGCGGAGACCACCTAGACCGCCCCATATAGATAGATAACCGATAAGAGCGGGCCGAGTGCAGTATGATTACCGGTTGTGATTGGGTGATACGGATCGAATCAAGAGCCCGCCAAGAACTAGCTCCGCACCGAGGATCATCTGGGGATTCCTAGTGGCTGGAGGATGCTGGGGAAGTGCTGACGCCGATTAGGAAGGAGCGGCCGGGTAAGGGTGCCCTGTTGGGTTCGCTATAGGGGATCTTGGGGAGGAGGGGCCCTGTGGCTCGGGCTGTGATGCTATCAGCACTAGACCTCGGGATTCGCTCCAGTCTTTTGCATGTAACGTTGCCCACAGGGCATCACAGAATTGATTCAACGTCTCAACGTCCAGCCACCCCGATAGCCTGCTTCGGATGCTTGCCCCCGACCACTAGGTAGGTATTGGGAGGTATTGGGAGGTATGCCTCATGTGTCTAGGTCCGTTCCGGCTCGAAATGCACTCCTCAAGGTGAAGATTCAAGAAACGCGTGACTACATATCATGCCTATTCGTCGTCCGTCAGGCTGACAATGGTTTGTCCCCCCACAGCTATCAAATAAAGAGGCGGCAATCCCACAGGTTCGGGATGTTGCATTGGGAACGGAGGTTTTTGCCGCCTGCATGGAGCCTTCAACTGCTGTTAGTGCATCATTGATGCGCGAGTCAAAGCAGCTTGACTGCCACACGATACCGACAGACGACTGAGCTGATGCACCTCTTTCCATTTCCAACACCCGAGCCTATCAGTCAATGAGTCTGCGAGGTTACATGAACATCGAGTCAGACCACCAGACCACCCCACGCATCTGACAAGGTGTGAACTGCACCGCGATAGCCATCCAACGTCACGCCAGCGCAGCGCCAGCGATTAAGATGCCAACACGGAATGTTGCTTTCCAATCGCCTGGTCGATATACATGCTGTGCGTGTTGCAGCCTTCATTGATAATCACATGCATATTTGCACGGATCCGAACCCACGGGTCTGCTCGACGGCCACTACCAAAGACGGGACAGCCAGCCAGCGTGTGACTGCTGGCCTCGCCCAAATGGACTAACGATACGACCAATCGACACTTCCGCTTCCTATAGGGCAGGGCGGCACCTGAAGTGGCCACGACCACCCAAGTCGGACTCCGCGTCTATACTCTGGTTACGCATCATTCCTTGTCGCGGCGATAAGAGCCTAACCTTTGAAAAATTCGATCCTTCTGGCGAGGAATGAACTCGGAGGTGCTGGACAGGCATTCCGGTCAAGATTACCTCGATTGCACTGACGCGATGTAGACATGGGCAGTCCAGCAAGCATGAGGGCAACATACCAGGTATCATTGGTATACGACATGAAATTCTGACCCGGGTCCAGACCCTCCGCGCCGGGCAAGTGTCCGACCCTACGGGACAGTCATGAACATCGAGGGTAGCCGGCATATCCGCAACGAAGTCGTCCGGCCCCCTAATGCCACCAACAAACATGTGGTTCAGCCCAAACCAATGGCCGGCCTCATGCGCCGCGACGTGGCCCAGGGAGTACCGTCCGCGCCGCCTGGTCTGCCGGAATCCCCGGCATCATCAGCGCGCCGTCCCCCGCGTCCGCGGGCACCCTGGGGAAGGTGCACACGCCCGGCGCGCAAAAGTACATGTTGAGCGCGTCGTTGCAGCCGCGCCCACGTGCCGCTGAGGAACGCCAGCCGCTGCTCCGGGTAGTTGTTTCACTGCGAGTTTGCGTGCGTCGTACATAAGCCAGCCGGCGCCGGCAACGAAGACAGCGACGACGCGCGAGCTCGAGACCCGGCTCAGCGTGATGTTGTAGACCGCGTAGGTCGGATGGAGCACGTCTCACTGCGCGGCGATTATGTCGTCTGTTACGAGATCGGCAAGCTCTGTCGTGCTGGTGATGTGTATCAGTTGTTGACGGGATAAGTGAGCCTTCACTCGCAACGGCGACCGCAGCCCTTATATAACTGCTGTGAACATGCTTCGTTCTTGATCTCCGTCTCCATCTCAGGGCCCGGCGTGGCAAACCTCTGAAGCCTAACGACCTGGCAGATATCCCAAACCTCCTACTTAAATTCTCTGGGTACAAATCCGATAGAATTCACATCTGGTGCTCAATATCATGCCTTATCTCTGGCCAGTATCTCGCTTTTGGCTCACTTGTCTATTTCAGTAGGTATAACTGAATAGCTTAGGTAAGCAAAGTTGTAAGAATACCACGCTGATGACCTTGACGAACATGAACCCCGCTCTCCGGAGCCTCTGATTCTCTATACGGCTTGACTGTATATAGTCATCGCTTGTGTGCTTACGTCATGGGAAGCACTGCCACGCTGAGCAGGCTGCATCATGATAGCCTTGCTTGGATGGTCCTTCCTTCATTCAAGTTTGCACCTCAATCTCAACTTGACCAGCCCGAGACAACCCACTAAAAGTGCCGACGTGGTGGGCTATCGTGATGTGGCTGCTCCGGACCGACAAACTGGAGTTGGTGGAGTTTTCCGAAGAACTCGCCCCGAAATATGCGATCTTGTCGCACACCTGGGGCCCGGATGAGGTCACGCTCCAGGACGTCCAAGCGATCAGCCGCAAGCAATGGTCCCAGTCAGTGTCCCAGACAGCTTCGGCAATAAAAGCCAAGAAAGGGTTTACCAAGATAAAGAGGACGCAAGCCCTGGCAGCCAAAATGGGATACAGATACATCTGGGTCGACACGTGCTGCATAGACAAGACGAGCAGCGCCGAGCTATCCGAGGCCATCAACTCCATGTACCGTTGGTACCAGAAAGCCTCTGTCTGTTATGCTTACATGGAAGACGTCGAATATGGCTGTAACGGCAGCGCAAGCGGTCAATTTTACCTGATATGTCAGGGTAGCCGTTGTTTTCGGCGCGGATGGACGCTGCAAGAGTCAATCGCCCCAGAAGACGTCCTCTTCTACGGCCGGGACTGGAGTCACCTTGGAAGCAAGGCCAAGGATGAAGATGTACGCATCTCGCTCGCTGCAATCACGGGAATCGACGTCCGGGTCCTCGAGGGTATCGTCCCGCCAAGAGAGATGACCATCGCCGCACGCATGAAATGGGCATCGCCTCGCGAGACGACTCGCTCCGAGGATATGGCTTACTGTCTCATGGGACTCTTCGACGTCAACATGCCTTTGCTGTACGACGAGGGGGCCAAGGCCTTCATCCGGCTACAAGAAGAGATACTTAAGGTGTCGGATGATCATTCCATCTTCATATGGACGACGCCCGAGTTTGAGACTCCAAAAGAGGCACTCTCGGGACTTCTAGCCGAAACCCCTAAGCACTTCGCCCACGTCGAAAGCTATCGGCCAATGCCTCCGGCACTTTCGCGAGCAAGTATCGCTTGGAGCTCGACAAATCATGGCCTCAGGATCGCCCTGTCTATAATAACAATCCTGGACAAGGAAGGCAACGAAGTTCAGGCTGAAGTATGTGCCCCTCGAACTCCATCTACACGCTACCTTGCCTGGCTTAGCCGGCAGAACCAATTCCCCATCCGAGATAAGCCAAAATCACTCACAATTAGCTACCTCTGAGTCGTGCTTCCGGATAGGTTGCCTTGTTCACACGTGAAGTTTACTAACTGTGGATATTGCGGTACGATGCTGTTCTGGAGTGTGTAATACGGCGCGGTGACGAATCATATCAGAGTCCGGCGATCCATATGAGACGACTGTACAGGGACCAGTTTGCAAGTGTGAACGGCCTGGGCTGTATGGCAATTACAACGTCCATCAACCGGCGAGCCTCTTCACCAGACTGCGGCATCAGTAAATGGATATCTGGCTTCAATCGAGGCCTACACCGCGAGCCGCATGACTGTCTCACTAGAATTGCTGAAGCATCAATGGAAAGCCGAATGGAAAGACTCCCGAATCCATGTTCAAGTTGAGAAAATCGTTAGGCATGGAAGAATTTATCACTTGGTTAAAGCCGCGTTGACCCCAGACACCCCGGAACCACAACATGTCGCAGTACAGTTACGCCCTCTGCAGCTACAAGGCATACCCCCAGACGTCTTGGAGCTATCAAGTTCAACAAGCAAGTCAAGCCCTGTTTCACGCATATCTTTGCCTTCTCCTGAACTAACACCACAGCTACTCGTGCCACCCACCCAACCACCAGCGGTGGTTGACAGATCACAGACAGATCTATCGATGCACCTGGGATTCCTGTTAGATTTTATCAAGCGGAATTCTCTCGAGGACTCTCTTGCTTTCAAATGCTTGGTTCCAACCAGTGATCGCCCAGCGAAGATACGCACCGCCTGGACGCATTCCCCGACGGAAGATATCGCAGATCTGGACATTCAGGGCACACTGGATACCGAGACACGATTGTTGCGTGCCTACAAAGACGGGGAAAGCGCGGAGGTCTCGGAGCTTGCCCAAAACAATATTGAGTGTACGAGTTGGCTTCAACGCTCTCCCAGTTCAACGATACCCCTGAAATTCCGCCCGCTCCACCACTGGGCAGCAACAGGGGCCCACATAGCCGTGATCAAGATCCTTCTCGAGCATGGGGCAGATTTCCACTCCAGAACGTCTCAGGGATGGTCTGTGGTCCATCTCGCTGCTCTGTTCGGCCGCTTCGTGACCTTGAAATGGTTGATCGAATACGCTGTCGACAAGTATGGATCCTCATACGAAGAGGTTTTGGGCGACAGAAGAAATTCTCTGCTAGAAAGCCCTCTTCACCTGGCCATCTCTCACATTGCGTGTGCTGTTGGGGATTCGTTAGCCGCTCTTGCCGAAATACTACAGAATCTTCGTGATTCTCCGCTCTGGGCCTCCAGTAACGATGCTGGTGAGACACCACTTCATCGTCTGGCTGCTAGCAGCCGGAGTGAATCGTTATCGAGCGACAACTCTATCTTCAGAAGGGTTTTTTCCTACGAGCGACAGTCTCAATTTCCCAACAAGCATCTCGATAAGAATGGCCGAACAGTGCTTTGGCATGCTGTGTGCGCAGGATCAGTCCCTGAAGTTGAGTAACGGCGGGGCCATATAAATAGGACACCCCCGTATGTGGGACAGTTTTCACAGCCAACATCACTATGTTCACTTATACATATCTCCATAGCCAATGAAGCCCTAGATACCGTAAGTACAGCGTCTGAATTGTCTTTTCTTGATATTTTCTATGGTCTAGGTTCGATTAGGTCCATCGCGACGGGATGGGCCGCGGTAGGGGTCGGAAGTTAGCACTTCCGGGCCTATTTGAGGGGTAATGAGACCCGTGCCCCCTATCCCCTCTAACCTAGCAGAAGTTCTGTGCTCTTTTTTTTTTTTTTTTTCTAGAAACATCTAAGGCTTCAATACGTCAAAATGCCGCCTTTATCCACTCCAAAAGACCTTACAGAGGCGATAGGCACTATAAACAACGATGATCTATCCCTCCGTAAGGCCGCCTAACGCTATGGAGTACCGAAATTAACCCTCTCTTGAAGGTTAAAGACACCACGATAACCCAGACGCAGACCAATCATAAGGGCGCTTATAATAGACAGAAAATCAGCCCTAAGCAGAAAGTAAAGGTTATTTCATAGATGCTATATCAAAAAAAGGCCGGTCACATGCCAACTCACAGCAATTTAAGGTATATCATCAAGAAGATCTTACAATCTGAGGGAAAACCGGATCATCTTGGGAACAAATACACGCAAAATTTTATCCATAGGCACCCAGAGTTCAAGACCAAGATGGGACAAAAACTTGACTACAAGCGTATTAATGCCGTCGCACCCAAGAACGTCAATGGCTTCCATGACCATTACGAGGATTTCGGCTTTATCAAATCCGAAAACCAGGCGAATATCGATAAGTATGGCATTATGCAGGGTTGGTAGTACATGAATTGTCTAATCCAAGTGGTTTTCGGACGGCTGACCGGGAGATCAGGTCTGATGGCCTTGTAATAGGCAGTTCTGGCTCAAAAGGGGCTAACGTCAAGTCTAACGACGACCGCACGTGGACTACTGTGATGGAATCAATCAAGGTTACTGGGAAAAAGCTCCAGCCGTTGATTATCTTTAAGGCGAAATCAATCCAAACGCAATGGTTCAAAGAGCAGCTTATCAAGGAGCATCCCACGATGGAAGACTGGATAGTAACTTACTCCATCAATGGCTAGACCTCAAAGGAGATTGCGCTACATTGACTAGAGAAGGCAAGTTTTTTTTGAATTACTAGCTATAATTATATGCTAATCAGTCTCTAGGTATATCTATCTGATACTGCTCCTAAAGATCCCAAAGATTCTCGCCTATTGGTGCTTAATGGCCATGGTAGCCACTGCTCGGACGAGTTTATGTATCTTTGTTATATAAATAATATTTATATAAGCTTTTTTCCTGCCCATACAGTAGGTTATATAATCAACTAGTAGTTATTCTGCTAATAGGGCCAGTCTCACATCTTCTAGCCGCTAGATTTGACCGTTTTCTCAGTTATCAAAGCTGCCTACCACCGCCTGATTGCCCAGCTTGGCCAGCTCAATGATTCGGCCCCTATTAGGAAGATTAAGTTCTTTTCTTGTCTAGCGAAAGCTCGCAATGAAGTTACGCCAGTTATTGTGCGTTCAAGATAGCGTACTGCTGAACTTTGGCTAATAAATAGGCAAAAAATGCTAGCAAATGAGCATATAGTGAAGGCAGGGGAGATTCAAGCAACAGCAGCAGCTATAATGAACCCTCATAGCATTCCAGAAGCACTGGAAGCCCCTAAATCAGGGCAAGATATAGCCCTGATACTATCACAAGTTGCTGAGACCCCTGAGCAGCGAGCAGCAGTCCGCTCGGTTATGAAGTCCTACAATGAGATGGTGGTTGAGCTAGCGCTCGTAAGGGAACAATTGGAGACAAAAAACGACGAAATTGAGCATCTACAGCTAAAGAAGCGCCGTAGACACACCAAAAATAGCCTGATCAATGGCTTTAGAGAATTGGGGACGTTATTCATGAGCAAATTGAGCATACAGAGGCCGCACGAGCTGCCATTAAGCAACGAGAAGAGCAACAACAAGTTATACGTGAATTACAGAACCTGAGTACTGACGAATCAGAGATATCAATGTCTAAACCCTCTCTGGAGTCAGATTCAGAAGAATCAGAAGAATTGGGGCCCTCTTAGAATAAAGGGGTTACTACTGAAGAAGGGGATAATGGCACGGATGAGGAGTCCGACGTGTTGAATGGGAGCCGGAGATAGACACCGGAAGATCTCCAGTGGGGCAGAGACGCCCAGGGCATCTGACCCACCAAGAAGACAGATGATCAATCTCTGCACGCAGAGCAGAACAATCAATAGCATCCGTCAATCAACATCCGTGTATTCAACACGACGAGCCCATTGTGGTGCGATCTTCACGCCGCGCAATCCGCCAGCCTGCGCGCTACCACTAAAACATATAATATTGCTAAAAACTCTAAGAAAAGGCAATTCGAATGCATTATATAGATTATCTAGAGCTTCAATTCCGATTGAGTTATCGGTGGGTGGAAGCGAAGCCTTTTGGTGTGAAAGCTGTCCCACATATGGGGGTGTCCCATTTATATGGCCCCGCCGTTATCTGATAAGAGTTGACACCGCAACTGTGTGGACGCAAGACAAAAACGGTATGACCCCTTTGCACGCAGCGTGCCGCCTGGGACATGCACATGTCGTGAAGTTACTACTGCGAGGTACGCATTTGACCACACTTGTTCTCTACTGGTATTTCCACGATTCAAAAAGCTCCTGGGAGACAAATGTAGCCTCCTGAATCTTTTGTCTCGATATCCTCGAACACTACCACATTAATGACATATGCCATCGCTAACTTACATTTGGGGACAAGCTGGCGCAGATCGCGATGCCATGACGGTCGCGCCTGGTCTAACAGCAGCTCACTACGCCGCACTTTATAACTGGCCAGATTGCTTGCGAGAACTCATCTCTGTACGTGGAGGTCAATTTCGTACGCTCCTTATGTCAAACAGAGCATGCGGGCTTTTAGATGGGTGAAAACATATATTCTGGTGTAATCAGCCTTGTTGCTGTGTCTGTGTGAAAATCCTGCTGTGGGCTAAGTGGCCTAAAAAGGCCTTATTGGCCTTGTTGGTGCACTGCCACCTCCCTGAACGCCACGGTGGCTTGCGCGCCATTCAACACCTTACCAGACCATCTTGCCTTCAGGACAAGCCATACATTGTTGCCCTATGTTTGCATCCTGGTTCACCGCGTCACCCCTCCTCTGCTTGCCCCCTTTCCTTTATTTTCAAATACACTATGACGATACCTCCAGCAGGATATTAACCAACATTTACGTAGTCCGGAGCAGATGTCCACAAGCCAACGCAGGTGGAGGAACCATCCTTCCGACCCATCCATCTGGCAGCACGGAACGGCAACACAGTTTGCATTTCCATACTGCGACCCGCCGACTGTGATATGGAATGGAAATGCACGCACCTGATACGGCTGTCCCCGCTACGGCTTTCTCGGCTACCTAGCCACGAAGGCCATGCACCGAAATTGGTAAAACGCGATGCGAGCGCAAGGGAACTATATCGGATGACCCGATGACAGGGGACATTCCCTATGCCTCCTCCAGCTGAAAACATCACGGAGGACATCCCCTATACTTCCTCCTCCAGGTGAAGCGACTTCAGAGCTTACCCCACTCGTGGCTCCCCATCCTGTTGGAATGATACAAATGAGACATCGAGATTCTCTCATCCTTCCGCCTCCATCTGAGACAGGTTCGGAGAATATCTCCCCAATCCTTCCTCCAGTGGTTGGGACGACTTGACAGAACATCTCCCCTACTTTTACGTTTCCAGCTATGTCACGGTTCGATAACGATTGATGACTCCAGAATGATTCATAGTGAAAAGAAGGAAAGAAAAATTCAAAGCTAGCTAAAATACACCGATATGAACCCCTTTATTGGAATGTAGATCCAAGCTACACTGACCCTCCAAAAGTCTCCAAGCATCCACCACGCTAGTTTCAAAACGCGTCTACGCACTCGCGACCCCCTTCCTTATTTAAGATAAAGAGGCGTTTACCAGCAGTTATATGCGGTCTAGTATACTTGTTAGATCACCTTTTATTTACTTAACACCAAAACAATGGATTTACAAAAGGTTGGTACAATTCTGACCGCAAATCGCGGGCCAAACCAGGAATTTACTTCCGAAGCTCGTGCAGCTATTGTGGCTGCCAGGGCGGCAGGCGCAAGGCGCAACGATGTCACGAGCGTGTTCCATCTGGATCGGCCTTAAACCGTGACCGACATTATCAACACTACTAGAGAGCATAACACCACGGTCTCTCGACCTCGAGAGGGAGCCACAAGGACTCTAAATAAGCGCGAAGAAGCTCAGCTAATTAAAACGGTACGAAAGTACCCCAGAGCCACCTACAGAGAGTTCAAAAAGGAGAACAGGGTCCTCAGCTCTCATACCACTATTAAGCATGTTCTTCGCACTCACGGGCTTCGCAAGTGGAAGGCGGCAAAGTGGATCGAGCTTACAGAAGATGACGTACAAGAGAGGCTCGCTTCTTATAATAAATACGATTCCCCAGAGGCTCTGGAGGAGCTGATGCGAACGCTCTTCTCAGACGAAGTCACGGTCCAGAATTCACCCGATAATCTGGGCAATTGGGTCATCTGCCTCTCTTCTGAACGTTACAGGCAGGATCTTGTGAGCCTTCGGAGTCATGGGAGACCCCGTATATCCATTATGTATTGGACCTTGATCTGGTTATGTGGCGGAGAAGGTGGCCTAAACAAAATCATTTTCTGCAAGCCCGATGAGGATATTCCTCGCAGAGGAGTATCTTCAGCTTCATATCAAGACGTCCTTGAGGAAGGGCTCCTTCCGTTCTACGAGGCTAGGGATCCTTTTATACAAGATAACGCTCGCATCCATCGATTTGGAGGCACTCTAGAGTGGTTAGAGGAGCACGGCATCTGAACGATCGACTGGCCTGCTCACAGCCCTGATTTGAACCCGATCGAGCACGTTTGGGCACTTCTAAAGAAGCAGATACAGAGAATCGAGCCTGGTTTCGCTGATTTGAAGGCTAATATTGCCCACAAGACATATGCCAGACAGTTAATCGAAAGGGCGTGGTCAGAGATCGATCCTGAGGATGTATGCATTCTTGTCGAATCTCTCGGCAACCGAATCGCCACAGTGAAAAGGGCAGGTGGTTGGTACACACACTATTGAATGGCTTATACAATGCAGTTTTTTCCATATTATTATAGTGAGAGATGGGTGCGTGGTGAATGCTGAAAGTTGGAAGGTGTAGGCGTGTAGGGCTGCTCGAAAAGTGGGCTCGGAGACTTCTGGTCGGGGAGTGTAGCCGGTTGCCGAGACATTGGCGGCACCACGCCACCCCTTTGTTCCCAATGCAGTCAGCTTCGGTTATATCTCCTGCCTGCTTTTTTGCCACGTTCATGTTCTTGATTCGAGATTCTTACTCTGATCGCTCTGTCCAATTGCCTGCCGGAGCCCGAATCCGACAATGACGGAACCGCAAGCTGACACTGACAGCCGCCCAGCGTGGGCGCGCATCGGGTTCCCATCGGGATGGAGTAGCGACCGAGTCCAGGCACTGAACCTTGGAGAATTCAGTGAGCTCCCAGAGGAGGTTCGTCTGGCCCTGTCCCGAATCGTGGTTTCGCCGCTGACTCTGCACCAGGAACGCAAAGACCTAGATATTGATGTTAGCAAATTTCCCCTTTACTTCCGATTACACGAAAGTCACAGAGTTCCACTTCGCGCTTTTGGAGGCCAACAAGCGGCCCCCGACGCCTCCGCCGTATGTCCCGTCTGGGTGGACTGATAACCGAGCGAGAGGCTTCGATTTTGATCTCGTCGATACGCTGTCGGAACAGGTGCGTTAAAAGCTGTAAGTTGGACAAGCAGGCAGCAGACTGACCGTAGTGGCCCCTTTGGCGAAATAGGGTCATCGACAATGAAAGTACCAGGCCCTACGTTATGGTTGTCGACGTGACAGAGGACGCTGGTGAGCCAGTAGTTAGGGGACAAGTACCCGGGTTACTTCAAGGTAGCGATTGAATACCTATTGTGCGAGCTTTACCCCAAATTGGGTATGGATCTCACTCCAGGAGAGCTTTGGGGTATGGAAGATGAGGATGGTTTCTGGATAGGGGACGATGAATGAGTACTTACTTCCTGTTAACACCACTGACCGGAATTCCAAAGGCACCCAAATATAATTAGCTATGTGCGTTAAGATGGAAAGGAGTTCCTAGGTACACGAGCTTGTATGAATGCTTTTTAGATGACTAGTTTTAGATATACAAGTTAAACTCCCGTTGTTCGTCTAGAACTTCTAAAATGTTCACCCCAAATCAGTCAGGAGTTGGGCCGAGATGCCACGCATTAGTCGCTACGATGAAGTGTCGTTTCCCCACCTACTGCATGCAATACGATTATTAGAGGCGAAAAAGAGATAAGACTGCCTTAGACCCCGCTCGAGTAGAGCCCAACACTGGTGACAATATATATCACAACGGTAAATACGAGCGTCACCGTGAAGAGAACAACAACCTGTCCTATTTAGCGTCTAGCCCTCGTCGTTCCTCCCTTTCCGACATATCTTGAGTTGCTCGACCGACAATCATCGGCCACAGCCTTCCAGATGAGCACCACGAGGCGCGCGATAAACATGTAGATGCTCCCGTTCTGCAGCATCACCGGCGTCTGCCACACGAAGAGCTGCAGTTTCCGCGTCCGCCATTGCGTCCCTTGTAGCGTGCCCAGCATGTCCCGCATCCTCTGCCCACTGTCTGGGTAGGTGTTCAGCCGAGCGATCCTGACGGCCTGCTGGGTAGCCGTGGCGATTGCGCCCAGGGCCAGAAGCAGAGCGCTGTACCAAACGCCGAGGATCACTTTCTGGTCTCCCTGGCTCACCTGCTCGAGCAGCGGCCAGGTAAAGGACGTGGCGATCACGCCCCCCATAAGCGCACTCTGGTCCACCAATGTCAGTCTTCGTGCCTGTGTGCAAATGTGGCTGGTCTTCGGAAGTCTCACCGTTACGCAGATCACGTTCAGCTGGGAATATGTATGCTGGAGCCAGAGCTTTGAGAGCATCTCTTGATGGTCTCTGTCGCTCGTTTCGAGCAACTTCTGTACGGGCTCCATCACGGCGTCCCAGGCTGAGGCGTGAAGGGGCAGCGCTGCTCTGGCAGTCGCCATGAAGCCCTTGCTAAGCTCCCCGAAGGAACTTGTCCCCGTTGCCAGGACTGACGACATAACGGGCTTGGCCCGTTGCATCTCATACGATTTGACTGTAAGTTGGAACCACTTTACAAGTGCTCTTCTTCTCTTCTTTCTGTTCGAACAGCTACATGTGGGTTGTGATGCCTAGGTGGGCGAGCCGGGGGTGGAAGGGTGTGGGGGTTTTCTGGCATCCCTGTCTCCCGTTGCCTTTTGTTCGGTGAGAGGAGATGGCTGAGCGGCTGGGCTGAGCAAGGCGGAGCTTAGCGCCGAGCAGGGGTGGCCTCGGGGCTTGGGATTCTCCTTTCCCTGCACCCGAAAGTTGAAAAAATCGAGCCTCCTGTCAGTAGCACTTCTTTCTCTGCATTTGTAGGTACGACGGCAACAAGGAAGCGTCCTACCTACCTCAGTACCTATAGGTAGGGGAGCTGGAAACCTCACGGCTTCCGCTTCTGCTGGCTTTTACGCAATACAACGTGCTACGTTCAGACGCGACGTTCGTTGCTACGCAAGGCTTCTTTGTCCAATATAACTCTCACACGTCCATAATAGCTTAGCATTGATGACTGCTTCAGCGTCAGTATCGGCTCCAGCCGGCGACACTGGGTCACGGGAAGATGAGCTAGAATGGTCAGATGACCAGGAGAGACTAAATGCAAAATCCAAAGGCAAGGCAACCATGGCAGAATCGCAAGGCGAAGTTGGCTCGCCACAAACTCCCTGGTTCTCTGCGGACGAACCTCGAAGAGCAAGGTCGGCCCGCCGCAAATACAAGCGTGCAAAGGTGACCTTGCTGCAGACGACCTTGCGTAGCTCCCATATCGAGAAGATTGGCAAGCGAATGCGGCTTCCCGTATCGGGCCACTGGGCGGTCGAGATCCGCGGAGAGGTATTCGAGCTGAACTGAATGGAGGCCTGGGTCTGGGATTTGTCGAGTCGCTCCATCGCCCAGACCGAGGGGTCGCTGCCTGGATTGATCGGGGAGCGGTTCGCTTCTGCTTATCTGTCAGTGCTTCAGCGGATGATCAATGTCTTTGCGCTGAGGCCTCAGGCAGGGTCCCGTGCTCAGATCAATTCCTGCAGTTATGGGGAGTATCTTGCGGAGCGAGAGAAGTGGACAGAGCCTTTGCTCTTGGGCACAACAGACGCGGGCCAAAAGCGCATCAGGAAGTCCAGTGAGTTGTCTGGTACTCGGTATTTCTGTGGTTTCATGCTGACGAGACAGTTCTTAGAAGAAACGAGGTCGTCATGTTCTACTCGATATTCAGCAACAATTGCCAGCACTTCATACTAGATCTTTGCGAGAGTATCGCACTGCGACCCAGCGGCACTTCAAAGGCAGAGGGTGTTGAATTCAGCTCGGGACTGGATACTGAATTTGCGAGAGACTTCTGGCCAAACGAGGGAGACACACGGAGCGGATCTCTTTAGGGCCTATGGATGAAATCCCGCTGGGTGTTCCTCCTTGGATCCGGCCTGCACTTCTTCTTCAGCTTCATCGTCCCAGTCGTTACCATCGCCGTCTCCAGATGGGGCGTAGCACATGGACACCATAGGATATTCTTCGTGGTCCTCGGTTTACCATTTTACGGCTTTGCGAGCTGGCTAACGTTGGCTTCCGTAATTATGCGCCACGAGGAACTCCCCGTGACACTAGACGGTACCCCCTACCAACATAGCGCGTGCCACACCGGCGCAGCCATGCGACGACTTCTGTTATCACACCCGAATCAATACTACTGCGCTCTGGTCAGGTTACTCTTGCGGCTTGAGAGGGTTCCACACAACATATATCTCCTGCTTGGGTACACACTCGCCACCCCGCTTGTTGCCGCTCAGGTCGCCGTGCCGGGGCTGTATCTGGACCCGCGCTGGCCGCGCCAGCATCGCTACACCTGGGCCGCAATGCAGGCCGCATTTCTCCTTATTTTCATCGTTGCCCTTATCTACGATATTATATTGCAGACTCAAATCTTGAAACTCGAATTGGATCGGGAGCAGAAGGCAAGTTTACCCATACAGAAAATGAGCAGCAGGAGCCGGCAAGACGAATGGGCGGGAGAACGTGGCGAGAGCTCCAGATCTCAGCTAGGCTAAGGACAGATCGTTTACGCAGCGAGGGTCACTAATGCGCCGAGCTCACTTTGGTTGTGTGAGAATTGGCTAGATGAACGCGACAATGACTTCACGCGCATATTCACAGCTACCTGTCCACAGAGCCTACTCCCTGACAGACAGCCCCGAAAAGAAGTCGCTGATGGTTTGATGATCCTCCAGACTTGTTACTGACGATACATCTAGAGATATTAGCCTGATATAGATTGAAAAGACTACGTCGACCCACATTGATCAGGTCGTACAACGACGACAGCTCCTTCTTCGGGAGAAATGCCGTATGCTTCGTATGCTTGACCATGGCGGTCATCGCAGCCGAAATCATCAACGTATACTTTGTACAGGTCTGCTCTTTGTCAGTACGCATCATTGCTCACTGATGTGATCGCAACCACCAACCGTGAATCTTATATTTTCCAGTCACAGGTCGGAACACTTCAGGAAGATCTTGTATCTCGACCTTGGTTATGTTACCAGCAATCACCAATAGAGTTTCAATGAATTCGTCAGGGTCGCCATGTTCTGAAGCGCTCCCAGGAATCGGACCTGTACTGGAAGTCAGAAAGTCCGCGACCTGCCAGAGTCAGTACGCCGCCTGGTATCATTTCACAACACCTACCTTCAGCAGTTTTGCGGAGCTTTGCGGTTGCTGCAAATCCCCAATGAAGACGACGATCCGCCACCTGTTGTCCGCAGGGAATGCTTTTTGAAAATCCATCGACAATGCGTCACAGTGACGAACGACCCGAGCGTTTGGGAGTCTCATACCGACTGCAATGCTCTTCGCCAGTGCCTGATTGCTCCGACTCATACTAGTGACCATGGAGTCCTGGTAAGTTCCGGTGAAACCCGCCATGTATCTTGCACTCTTCAGGAAGGCTTCTTGAAACCGTTGGGCGGCGGTAGGATCGTGTTCAGCATCGTGATAGAGGGCTGTGAGCATCTTGTCGAACGCTATGAGGTCCGAGGCGACCTTCTGCCGTTCCAGAACATATGTGGTCATGAGCTCAGCAGGTGCCCTACCGCGCAGTACTTGAGCGAGCTTCCACCCAATGTTGTGACCGTCTTGCAAACTGACGTTCATACCTTGGCCGGCCTTCGGCGAATGAGTGTGGCATGCGTCGCCGGCGAGGAAGATACGGCCGTCTGCGGCGCTGAAGCTTGACGCCAGTCGTTGGCCGATAGGATAGGCAGAAAACCACATCGTTTCAGCGAAATCCATCTGGTAGCCTTGGAAGATGGACTTGGCTAGGGCTTGCAGTGACTCGAGGGTCACAGCCTCACGGTTCGTTCCAGGGGGGACTTGCAGATAAAAACGAGCCATACGTCCGCCCTCCCTTGGGATGATGACTGTTGCTCCATGGGGCGTGTGTAATGTCACCTTGCGGCGTATGTCGGGGAAGTCTGTGCGAGGTATCGAGTCCATCACTCCCCAGATTGCATCGGTAGAGTCGCCCTCCATAGCGATACCCAAGGACCGGCGCACCTTACTATGGGCTCCATCGCAGCCCTGACAACAATGAGACGGTGGTATCAAGGAGATTCTGAAAATAGCTTACAATGACATACTTGGCCTTGAACACTTTCGCGTGGCCTTGATGCGTGGCATGGACCTCGACCGGACTTGAGGCGTCGCCGGCAACAACGTTCGTAACCGTATGGTCATAATCAATCTGTTGATCAGGTGCGAAAGCGTGCATCTTACTGAGCAATAGCCCGTTGATTCTTGCCTGATTCAGGATAACGTGAGGCTGGTGCGAGATGCCCACCGGAGTGTCTGGGGCCCTAGAGGTTCGTTTTATCCGGCCCAACTTCTCGTCCATGGACCAGAACGTGAGCTCGTTCACATGGTAAGATTCACGAAGCAGTTCCTCTGCGATGCCCATGCTGTCAAAGATCTCGACCGTGCGACATTGCACTCCATCTGCTTGTCCAGCAGCCAGGGGTCCGGATCTCTGTTCGAGGATGTGAAAGTCGATGCCTGCTTGGGCAAGCCATACGGCTGCGCAGATGCCCGCGGACCCGCTGCCACATATCACGACGTCTGTCTCGATCTTTTCGGCGTGTGCGGCCATTCTTGCGCGGTGGAGAGGGTTTCTGCGAAAGTTCACGAGTGCAGATGAGAGTGATGTATCAGAAGCGGTAGTACAAGCATGTACTCTTGCACACAGAGAGGGCAAGTACACGTAGGTCTTCAGCATACGTGTATGTGTAGGTAGGTACCCTTCCCCGCGAAGGACCCCGAGGTCCCTCCGCAAAATATGTCGGATGATGTAACACTATCGGCAGGAGAAGGCGGGGAACAGTGACCGGCAAACTGGGAAGGCCTTTGCCGAAGTTGGGGCGAAGCACCTCGTACACTTCGAAGCAACATTTTCTCTTTCGCAAGAGGTTTCGACGCAATGCAACTCCATCATGTGCAGCAACTCTCAACGATTTGTCAGGGTCTCCCGCTCCATGCTGCTCGACCTGTTCTTCAACCTCGAGATAAGGTACATCTTACACACCAATCGCAATGACGCGGACGGATGACCAGTGATCAGGATGTAAGGTATGCTATAAGACGGTAGGTCGTCGCCGTTGACATGGGCCAGGCCGGTAATGGGCTGCATTCTCTTGCCCTTGACGTCTGAGACCAGAACGACGACCTTGGCAAGATCGGAATCCGAGAGCTCGGCATTGGCAACGACGCTGCGGATCTTCTCTTCGTGCTCGGCGATGGTGACGATGATGACTTCGAGCGGGTCGTTGCCGAGCCAGGTAATGAGCCAGCAGGCCAGGAGTGTGTTGATGGTACAGGTCAGGACGGTGACCTCGTTCGGGGAGTACTTGGGCTCGGCGGAGACAGGGACTGGGCGTCTGTCAAGGGCCTTTTCTCCCTGGTTCCAAGCCCTGAGGGAGACATGATGGTAAGTTGCAGCGCACTTGATAAATGATGGGAGACAAGGTAACACAAAGTACTTACCAGAAGCCGGCTAGAGGCAAGAGAGAATACATCGTGATGCTCTTGCGGTTGAACGATGGATACCTTGTTGTTATAGTCCACGATCAAGTGTTGCTGCTGTCTCGTGGTTGTGCAATGAAAGAGTGCTATGCGAGACAGCTTGGTGCGCAACTTGGGCACATATTTATGGATTTTGCAGTTGCCGCAAGTGACTGATTGGAGTTTCATTGTATCTGAGGCGGAATGGACGCCTACAGTATTGAGAGATTTAGCCTATGAATAACAATGATCGTGCGCCTTTCTGCTTAGAACTGGAGGTCATATTCTTTCTATGTGAAGGCTATCTCTCTTTATATCTTGTTCACTGGCTTGATGGTTGATGCGATACAGCTGGCGGGCTAAGTCACTCGTCTCACTGGACTCCGGCGAAGAAATGTCAGAGTAACGTTTCTAAGGGTGATGGTATTGCGCATAGTCATACGCCATACACAATTATCAACCTCAGTCGCGTTGTCATTCACTGGTGATGGGAGAACGACTCGTGTCGGTAACAAGCGGTATGGCGAGGGGATTATAGACCTGGCTTACATCCTCTACACGACCGACAACAGATTCCCTCTCGGGAACTGCATCTTGACCGCCGGGAAGTCGCTGCCCCGTCGTGAAGCCCCAACCTTCCACTCGTCGTTAGTGATTCTGTTTCGCCGGGAGTCAGACCTCGAGGCTGCCTTGTAGGTAATATTGGTATTGATTTCCCCCCTATTTCATGTTCCAACTCTAGCGTGGCCATTCTAAACGGCCAGGAGTAGCGCATGAAGAATGCCTCCAGAGTCTGAATCACTCCCGAAAACATCCCACTTAGTAACAAGTACTGACTAGGACATGCTGCAGTAATACACCAGCAAGGATGAGCTCCATGACACCAGCATCAATCCTACCAGGGGGTTAACAGTGCAGTCACAAGGATATCGTCGCGTGGCGTCTCAAGAGACACCGAGTCTGGCGTGTATCAGAGCTGCCGTAACCCTTGGAAACAGCTGCAGCCCGAGCCACCAGGTATCGTAGTCGACGGCACTTCTAGACTCACCACCACCTGTCTAGAGCACCTCCTCGCTTCGACGCACCCTCTCCGTACAGACCCAAGTCGTCTCGGCTTTGTAGACTTGTTTGCTTTTCGTGTAGCACCTACCAATAACCATGCTCCTGGTATTACTCTCTACCCCGATCAGACTAGCTAGGACCTGCAGTGAGACGACATCTTTGTTGGGATTCACCGGCGGGTGGAAAGGGGGTTGTGATCAGTGAGACTCTGGTGCATTGAACAGCCCTCGTGCGTACGTCTGCGCAAATATGACTAAAGCAAATGGGGGATGAATGATAAAGCTTAAACCGCCCTTGATCTTCCGCTTGTAGGTGTTACTAGAGGCTTATGTCATACCTCCTGGCAAGGGTTATTCCCTTAACCAGGAACGAGTTCCTCCTTAAGATACGGCGTTTTTCGAACGGGCACAAATATTCATTTCCTCAGCCGGTGACGTCTATTGCAGCATTCGATAGGCTCCCTCCAGACTATGCTACAAACCTCCTCGAGGCAGCAACTTAAAGACTGCACCAAGCCAGGTTCACCGACTTTTCATCCGTCTATACGTGCAGTGCAGTGGGACATCAGCTCCGGATCTATACTCCATCGTCCAATCTCCCACCGCCCGCATACAAACTTCTCGCGGAACTTTAGTGTCTCAGGGTTTCCCCCACAGCTACCGGAATTCATAGCCCAGATGCCATCTATCGTGCTTCCTCCTACGTGATGGCATAATCCATGTCCAGCACTCACGCCGGAAGTAGTCCCCTACCTCCATAACACATGGTGAAACCGAGACCGCGCAGCTTACGGCCGACATGTGGTGCACCAGGTTTCCGGAGCGCTGGCTTCACCTTTCCGGGACACCACCCGGTGGCACGCATGGCGCAAGGGAGCGGGGCACGTGGAAACGATCTTGCGTCGATAAAGTATCGTCGGATTCCGCGGTACTCCCGGACTCGGGGCCACCTGTGTGGACAGCTTGGAGATGCCGAAGTGTGATGAAAATGATAGTGCCCAGGGCCTCTTGAGGTGAGAGCCCTTGCGCCTGGGCACTGCCTCCAGTCTATGGCTACACCGCTTACTGCCTTGATCAACTTGAGGCATTAGATGACGTGACAATCAGGTATATTCGTCAGGTTTTGCTAGGATGTTGATATTTTAGCGAGGACCACAGAATACAGTGGCCATGATGAGGGAATCAAGGTTGCAAATACGAGAGGTTATCTCCTTACTACGGTCTGCAGAAGAAGGCATTGTCGGGCTCGATGACAATAGTAGTCAAGTGACGTTAGAGAAGATGCACTGAGGGTGCATCCTGGGCTCAGTGCATGACTAATAACACATTGAGTGATTCTTATCACTGCCTCTCCAGGATTTCATTATTGAAGGGTGGCAGGGATACTGAAGGTTGATCACGAAGTAGTTGGGCAGTTGTCAGTTGACAGTTGTGGTACTAATGGTGTATTATCCAAATATGATGGTTTTCTTTTTCTTCTGAATGAAGGAGACAACTAGCTGTATATACACACAATATCCACGAAGTATCCAGGTCACTTTTGGGACCGAATAGGGGTACGGAAGTCTGAATAAGCTGGTATACGGACCCCGAATACCCCTTTTAGGTGACCCTTTTTCGGATATCCGAAAAAGGGGGGTCTGACTACCACACTATACGGATATCTGTGATATCCGTGATATCCGTGGGGCTATCACTCACATTCATTAAGTACCAATCATCGCGTCTGATGACGTGACATGTGTATGGCATAACTAATGTCCCTCTCGCTCGATCCCCGTTGAGTGTTTCGATTCCTCGCGTTCGAAGTGCCGAGTTCGGCCTCATTGTATCACATGATGGCTTCGAACGCAAGCAGTAGACTAAGACCTGTCAGAGGGAACGCTGCTTGTGACTAGCATCACCATCGACCCATCAAACACATTACAGACACACCTCTGTAATAACGGTGCCCTATATGAAGCTATATAAGCCAGGATATGCCTCTTAATAAGGCTGGGCCCCGGGTGTCTTGCTTGAACAATGACAATATCATTCTAATTATATCAGTATAGGCCGGGATAAGGTGTGATACGCACGTGAGTCTTCAGTGACGCACGCTATTAAGTGATTCGATAGCGTACCCTGGCAAGCAGGGTGATCCCCCATCCTCCACGAGCTTCACCAGGTCAGTTGGATACTGTAGGACTCGACTTCCCGAAAGCGATAGCTACTGCCAAGTTCCAACGGCCTAACGGCTCTGCATCTGACAGGCCAGACGGGTGGTGTTGAATGGGAGCCGGAAATAGACACCGGAAGATCTCCAGTGGGGCAGAGACGCACAGGGCATCTGACCCACCAAGAAGACAGATGATCAATCGTTGTACGCAAAACAAGAACACAATCAATAGAATCCATTAACATCCGTGTATTCAACAGGTGGGCCTCTGTTTAGTAGTGCGCTCTGAAAGTCTATGCAATTAAGTCTTTTTTAAAACATTAGTAACGTTACGATTTTGCTGGAGAATACGCTCCGCTTAAATCAACCTTTTCCTTTGTAATATTTAACTTAGTAGGTATATTTAAACGATATTTATATACGACGAATTATATTATTGCGATATATTTTTCCGCTTAAAAATGGGGTTTTTATTTACGTTGCCGTTGCCGGAATTGATTCGAAGTAGTAATTGTAAGCCGTGCGCGCTGTTATAGCGTTATAGCTATGTTACGTAGCTTTTAATAAAACCTTTTATTAGCGGTAATAAAGCCGCGGAAGCGGCGTTGCTTGCAGCTAGCTAGGCACAGCTAGATCAAAAACTTATAAATAGATAAAATGTTTTAAGTTGGGTGTATATTAAGTGTAGTAGCAAGTATTATTATCCTGCGGCTTTCCTTTTATTTTGTTTCTTATTAGCGGTAGTAAAGTTGTAAAAGCGGCGCTGCTTGCAGCCAATAAGGCACGATTAAATTAAGAAGTCATAGGATTAAATAGATAAAAACACCTTACGTTAAGTGTATATTAAGTGCAGTAGTAAGTATTATCGTCCAGCTTCTTCCATATTATGCGTTAGCCTTACTTGTGAAATGCGCGCAGCGCATTGAGAAGCTACGAAGTAGCTGGTATACCGAGAGACCGTTAGCTCTCGGGCAATGCCTCTCCGGACGGATTCCCTGGAGTGCCTGGGCAACGTGGGCGTTGAATGGACCTCCCCGCATCACCCACATCACCCGCATCACAATCACGCTGGGGGGGAGGGGGCTTGCGTCCACCCTTTCACGGCGTCCCTCGCGCCCCTCGGGGACTCTGTCAGCGTGCTCTTGAGCCTTGATCCCTTTCAGGAACCGTTACGCTAGCATGCAGGGGAATGCCGGAGGGGTGTGTGGGCTGTCAGGGCGGGCGCACGGACAGGGCCAGGGGAGGCTTGTGAGACAAGATCGGAATGGGGCCTCTTATCGGCGTGAGTCCATCGTGACATGAACGGATGAGAAACCATGCCAGAGGCTTCCGTGGTATCGGATACGTGTCGAGACTCGGTCCGAAGATGTTTCGCACAACTTCAGCTGGGATCTATGTTAATGGAAATAGTGTCAGTGACCCCCACGGTCTCAACACGGGGAGCGAGGGCCTCCTGGTTGTGTGATGAATCCGAAGTCTGAGACTCAACAGGGTCCGTGAGTAAAGACCTGATGTACCGGATCTGGTCTTCCAGGGCAGATCAATTCTTCGCCTCGTCAGTCGAGGGCAGCGACTTTGGAAGGCCAATTGAGGACGGATTGACATGTTCGCAGCGGGTATGTAGCCGGGTCCGGAAAAGAAACACAATTCCGCGCATCTAGAAGGCTCTGACAATACCGCATGAGCATAGAGGCGAAGTCCGGAAGACGCAGCATACTTGGTCGTCATAATCATGCGTCGCGCAAGCGACAAGAGAGGGTGTCAAAGAATGATGATCGAAACTTAATAGTTCATCCTATCATATCAACAAGCCTGTATATAAGACGATGCTATAATAGCTGGCCGCAGCTCTTATTATAACTTCTCACTGCCCGTCCGCAGCACGAGCAAAACCGGTCCAAAACGCGGCGGGGAAGTCGGAACCAACATATGAAATGCTTATTGGAACAGCACAGACAGACTCTAGCCGGCTGCTGACGTGAGAAACGGTCAAGGCGATTGTAATGGAATCATCTGGTGGAGGGGACTGAGCTTCGTCACATTCATGCCCTCGTTGCCATTATGCGGAGACCACACTTGTCACCGGATGCATCACCACGAACGTACGATCGCTGCTTGAGCAAGTCGGAAGACTGTTGATAAGGGGCTGCAAGAACCAGGTGACAGCTTTCGTTATCTACGAGGCCTAAACGACAGTAAGGCCATCGTTAAACTGGCATAGGTCCCAAGGCATGATCGTGCCAGCATCACGTGAATGACCACTCTCGTTTCATCGCATACATTAAGACGCACTCAATCTGGCAACAAACAATTTGCTCGAGGGGTCGATCGGCGTACGTGACACCGGGAATCCGGTCTTGCCGGCTCCCCACATCACAACCTTCGTTTCCAGATCCACCGACGGCCTGTTATCCCGAGAGCTGGAATAACAGCGAGTTCCAAAGTGACCCACTACATGCAGTCCCTTACACTGTTGAAGTGGTCCAATGTTCAACACATGCTCCTTCGTCGGTGCCTATGACGCATGGCGCAATATCCCGATGATGCGGAGGAACCTCCACCATCATCACGGGAGCTAACGAACAGCTGGTCTTGACAACGGCGCCGTTGGCTTGACGACCTACTAATGACAGACACGATCAGGGTTCACAGGATGTAAACTCTAGCCGCGGGGTTAGGTTGAGAGAGTCGAGCGGAAATACTGCTTCAATAAGTCAATGAAGCCGGATGAGAGGGAGGCGTCGCGAACCGAATGATACTCTCTCGTTGTCTAAATACGAAGACCATTCTCACGTGGATCAATGATTGGAGCGGGACAAGCCATTTTCACCCATAGCCAGATCTATCATCTGGTCGATTCGACCTTCAGGAACCGCAGTGCATGGTTCTAGCCTCTGGCCCTGCTTCTGCTGCCATGCGACCAATCACCGCGACAGAATCGAGCATGAGTGAATAGTATTACGCAACCTCCCAGCGGCGTCATGGCCTTTCTGGGAAGCTTAAAGGTCGGCTGCGTTGCATCGAGTGGCCATCGACCACCTCCCAGAGCCCGGCCGAGCAGCCCGTTGGGGTAATCGGGCGCCGAATGATGGAGATTTGCAGATGAAGATACGCGCCCTTCATGCCGGAAAAATGGAATCGACTTGAGGGGTCGCGCATCAATGACCGGCCTTGACCGGGAGAACTGTCGTCGAGTCGATATACAAAAAGAGAGGAAGATCCTCTTGTAATGTGTGAATAGCGAGCGACAGCAGCCTCTGCCACGGTCCGCGGGAAACCATTCGCTTGCCTCCCTAGACTCCCCCGTCGTCAACATGAAGTGCCAGATGCCCCATCTCGCCATCCCGGCAAGCCTCCTGGTGCTGGTGGGCCGCGCGCTCGCCGCGGCCAGCGGAGACTTCAACGTCCTGACCATGAACGTGGCAGGGCTGCCGGCCATCTTCAACGGCAACGACGTCCCCGGAGACAAGACGACCAACTCGGAGTTGATAGGGTCGTATTTCGCGGAATATGGGTATGACATAATCCACGTGCAAGAGGTTCGTGTTTCATCCCCTACGAGGAAGGGCACATCCCTTGAAACTCCAGGGATGTCCGAACTCGCCTCACGCTCATGGGATGGAACGGCAGATGGCTGACTGAACCCTGGTGTTTGTAGGACTTCAACTACCATGCGTACATCTACGAGACGGACACGCACGCCTACCGCTCGGCAACGTCCGGTGGCGTGCCCCTCGGATCGGGCCTCAACACGCTGGCCAACTTTGACTGGGTCGACTACACACGCGTCAAGTGGGAGACGTGCAGCGACGCGTCCGAAAATGACTGCCTGACGCCCAAGGGCTTCACGTTTATGCGGACGCAGCTCGACGACGGTGTTTATATCGACGCGTACAACCTGCACACAGATGCCGGTACTGAGGATGGCGACGAGACGGCGCGCACGGCCAACGTGCAGCAAGTGGCCGACTACATCGACGCGTGGAGCATCGGCAACGCCGTGCTCGTCTTCGGCGACACCAACTCGCGGTACACGCGCACGGCCGACAACATCCGCGTGCTCAGCAGCCAGAACAACCTGACCGACAGCTGGGTCGAGCTGGTACACGGCGGCGCCATCCCGGCCGAGGAGCTCCTCTGCGACAACCCGAGCACGACCAACGAGTGCGAGACGGTCGACAAGGTCTTCTACCGCGGCAGCGCGCTGCTCGACCTCAGCACGACCTACTGGAACTACGAAAGCTCCAAGTTCCTGCAGGCCAACGGTAGCATCCTCACGGACCACAACCCCATCACGGTCAATTTCACCTGGACCGCCGGCGCCTCGCTGCGGCAGTCAACCTTCCTGGGCGGGCCGCACGGGACCTGGTTCAGCGACGTGCCGACGCTGGAGACGGTCTCGGCCTCGCCCAAGGCCAGCGTGCTCACCTTTGCCGGAGCCGAGCGACTCGACAGCGTGGGCGTGACGCTCGCGGACGGCACGGTGCTGTCGCACGGGGGCACGGGCGGCGACGTCGCGACTCTCGCGCTCGCGGACGACGAGTTCTGGACCGGCGCGGAGCTGTGCCAGGGCCAGTATTCGGACCAGACGCGCAACTTCTACATCCGCGCCACGACGAGCGCGGGCAGCGCGCTCGAGGCCGGCACGGCGACCGACGACTGCGCGACGTTCGCGGCGCCCGACGGCTGGGCTATCGTGGGGTTCCTGGGCCAGGCGGGCGACGAGATGGACCAGCTGGCGTTTGTGTATGCGCCGCAGTAGTTCAGCCGGAGCGTCTGTTACCTACCTACAACCTAATCTAGTTGTGTAATTCGTAATTCGTAATCATACACCTTCTTCCGTGACCCGCGGTGCGATTATTGCGTAACCGGCCACGAAGACCTACCGCACAAAACGCAGACGGAAGCTCTTAGGTTACAGGTACCGTATGCACAGGTCCCACCGCCGGCCCCTTAATAAAGAGAGAAGAAGCCCCTAAAAAGTGAAGCTATCGAGCAGACAAAGCTGGCCGGCTCACGGATCGAACCGTACCCGATGAAATGGGGACCCGCATTAGCCAGCAGCCCAGGGCCCCGGGTCCCAGACGCGGAGAATCGGAGATGCGACCACGACTCGGCCGTGTTGCATTCCTCCGACGCGTTCTATACTTAAATATGGATATCTGAGACCCACGTTCTTCACCGAAGAACCCATTCAATTTTTGGGGGTGCGGCCTTGTAGTTCCTTGCTAGGGGTAGGGTGTAGCGTGGCGGTGTCTAAGATGCGGTAACTATCCGTCTAGAACCCACGAGGGTGAGGGGTCCAGGGCGCCATTTTGGAACGCGCTTGACGAGGGGAAAATGTTGAAGGTCACCGTGATGACTTAGCGAAAATCTCATCCCTGCGGCCCAGAGACGATGATACCTAATAATAGGGGAGAAACTACGAGGGATCCGGTTGGTCGAACGACTTTCTAGCTCACGCTGTTTAGTTGGGTCTATGCTCGTTGGAAAGACGCTGGTCTCTCTCGAGAGAAGTCAGGATTAAGAGGCTCAACATGCCGCAAACGTGTCGACAGGGCAAGCAAGTTGAAGTGGAAGTTTAAAAAAATTGCTACAACTCTCACGCTGCATATCGTGACTCAAGAATGAAGCTACAACGCGCATAGCCTGCGGGAGTCAAGACCAGAGTAAGTACGGCCAACATCCCCGGGGCGATCACCCCACAGCGCATTAGGCCCTACCGTAGGCGTACCGGAGCCGCATTCCCGTCTCCGCGATCCAGGCCACTGCGTCTGCGAGACCTCAGATGCGAAGCGATATGTTCGGTTTGCTATCACTGTTAGAGGCAAGTCCACTTCATTTCACTGCTCACCTCTAAGAGAGGAAATGCCTGCAGGAAGAAGTATACACGTGACATGCGTTTCGATTCGTCTTGCGCTGGTCCATGCTGGGTATCGTGATGGCTAAGAAAATTGCCGGCTTCATTGCCGGAGCAACGACGGCACTATCCCAGGGCAAGCCGTCTAGCTACGCCGTAGCCTATCTGCTAGGAACGGGACTTTCACAAGCCGCGGTGCTAGCCAGCGCCGGTAGTCCGGAGCCACCACCGCTCGCGGACGGTTCTTTATGTGACAGAGGCTAGCTCGACTAACCTTTCACGGCTGTAGCGTTGGGAAGGTCGCCGACTTTGGCAGTGGGGGGCATGGAAGCGGCGTGAGTGTAGCAGAATAAAGAATAACTTCCAGGAGCTAGGAGGGTGGAGAGGCAGCCCGGATGGACACCAAGAGTGAGACCTTATGACCTAGCCTGGGTATGAGGCATGATGAGTGAGGGTTCAGTGTATGTGAGGCTGATCAAAAAGACCACATAGGGACACCAGCAATCAGCCCCTTAATTTACGTCGAAAACTTCATCAGATGGCTTGAGATCGTAAGAGAACGGGTTATGTATGAACTCCCACGCATAGCTCTCCTCACGGCGCCGGTGCTGGATAGCCCAGTAATCCGTCTGCCGGGAGCGCGGGAAGGGCTGAAAGTGGCGGGATGAGGCTTTTTCTCCCATTGCTACTTCGGGCTTATCCCCCGTTGCAAAGCTTTCCATCGTTCGGAAGGAAATGTTATCTGGACGAATTGAGAGACTGCAGGTAAGCTTGCCCGCGCGACGGTCTAGTAACATGCGCCGGAACGACGGGTCACGAAGCTAACTGGCGCCGTTAAAGACGCCGGCGATGCGGCTATTTTGGGCCCAGCTGAATACCTAGCTTGTTGCTGGAGGCCGCAGGGGCGAGTCGTCGTTGCTTTTGAGGGGAGTTGGTTATCAAGCCGTCGACGGGGCGTGCCGCCCCTTCAGGGCTAAATATTTCACACAAAGGAGGTCTCTACGTACTGGAGTCTGACACCAAGTACCCGGGATAGGAGGGAAGATACGGTGAGCCGCAACAAGGTCTGCGAATCCTCAAGCGCGATAAAAAACCAGATGTACGTACGGTAGATGGACCGGGATGGGGTTCCAGCTCGGTTGGTTCTGGCGGTCAAGAGCGAGCGAGCGAGCGAGCGAGCGAGGTCAAGTGACCGCTGCCGGCTGCCTCGTCGTCGATACCAATCCGCACATCTAGGCGTTGTGGTCTTGTGGACGTGCAATCTGGAGACCCAGATTCTCGAATATCCAGGGTGGATGCCTGACTGCCGGAAGCCCCAAGCCACTGATCATGCAGTGAGGGCTGGGGAGTCGGGACCTCCTGCAGCGAAAAGGCGATCTAGGTATCGGGACAAAGGTGATACGTGACAGTTCTACAGATACGAGATGTCAGGTGTGCGTGCCTGAATGCAGCCCCTTTCACAGCAATAGCGTCAATGGGGATTGACCGGTTGGCTTTCCGGGTTTGTACTCGCCTCGCCGCAGGAATAACTGGCTGACGGCCTGGCTGACAGTGTCGCAGCACGGTATGTAGGTAGGACGTACGTATGTATGCCGTCCGTATTACTATTTCGCGCTCCCAACGAATCGGCCAATGGACGGGGCAAGCATTTTCAATAAAGTAACTCAGTTTTCGCCAGTCAACGACCGTACCGTAGTTGGGTGAATATGGCTGGCTCCATGATTCGCCTGCTGTATGAACTGTGCGGGTGCCCAGAGCCAGCCAGGTGGCGGTCCAGAAGCCAGAGAATCGAGAGAAGCCTCATCGAAACCCTGAAAACCAACCTTCACATGGGCATGGCGTTGTTATCAATCGTCTTGTCTCCGGTTCGTATTGGTCCCGGCAAGCTCCCCCGGCCCTGCATGACAGGCGGTGCGGGAATCGTCCCCGAAGTGGCCCGTGTCGCCCATCCATGGATGCGGCGTCTCGAAATAGGGTGGCGATATGCTCCTGTCAGCTTACCTGTCGCCTCTCGACCAGCAAATGGCACAGCACGCAGAGAATAGCAGGCCCGAACAATAGGAGCAGCCTGCGAGGGAGGCTCGAGCTTCCTCGTTAGGACAGCTCAGGGCCGGAGGCGAGGGACGGTAGGGTAGCAGTCTGGCAGGGTAGCAGAGAGGGAATGCAGGAACCGTGCCACTGTCACCTGTGGCACATCCGATGCGGGCGCGACTTGCAAGGTTGACTGGGTGTACCTACGTGCATCATCATGCTACATGACAGACAAGCACAGATAAAGACAGTCAGGGCGGCGGCGAATGAAATCGGAGCTGTTTCGTCGGATGTGCTTGCTTCACCAGCGAGCAGATGAGACTTCGGACGTCTTCTTTTTTCGCCTGAAGAGCTTGCTTGTTTCCTCTTCATCGCCTAATTTGGCTCTTCAACTCCGGCGGTGCTGAAAAGACGGGAGAGTTGGTGGCGACGGCAGGACGTGACTCGACTCCATTTCGCATACGTCTGCGCAGGTACGTGTCGCAATATCGTCGGTGGGGATCAATATATTGTGGCAAGCCTGCAATTATCTTGAGAGATTTTTCTTGTTTTGCATCAATTGATCGGACATGGCTGCTGTTACTGGAAATCGCTGAGGCACCGTCGACTCGTTATTTCAGGCAGCCTCATTATCAGCATGGTGATGTAGCCTCTCGCACGTGAAGTTGTGGGATGATGGTCTCGTGAAGAAGACGGGGACGTTGGACGACCACAATTCATCATTCATTACCCCAGGTGTTCTCGACCTCTAGAGCTACTCCACACATTGGCATCCCAAGATAGAAATGAAGCAGTCGCTCGCAATCACAACCTTATCTGTATATCAATATTCCCCTCGGTAAAGAGCCTGACTGGCCGACTAGATGGATGGGGTCGCGGGATGGATGCGGCATTGCGGCACTCGCAGAGTCCTGCATCGCATTGGAGAGAACGTGGCAGTGGTGGCACCCGCGGTGGTTTATGTGACCAACATCGAGTCTCTGCAGCGTGGCCTGGGCATCTAGAAGCGACCCTTGGGATTGGGCCATGTTCAATGTTGGATGGAGCGCGGGGTAGCACGTCTTCGTGATACACACCATATGCGAAGAGAGAGCACGTAATAATTGGGATGATTGGTACGGTGTCGCTGACAGAACGGAATCTTTCTTCGCGGGATGGTGATGCGAGCAGCCGCCTCTGCTCGCTCGTTTCTGCATCTCCTATCGGATAACGATTGTCGCGCCTGCGACGATAATGCTTGCTTGCATCGCAAATGGGTATCTCGACATATCTGGATACGAAGCCTCCGCTAAGAAAGCTGATGTGATTGACGATGGCTTCATGTCATTATCGCTTTCCAATGCTAGGTTAATGCCTCGACACCTGATAAGATAAATGTCAACCCCTCGAAGGCTGAATGAAGCGATCGATGTCTGCATGTGATGACGATCCGGAAGAACTTCCCTTCAGCCTTCAGGCAATCTCGCAAGAAGCCGAGCGTGTGGGTGGCTGCGGGCCATGTGCGACGAGGTCGGCAGGTGAGAACCTTGGAAGTTGAACGAGAGGAGGCTTGCAGAGTCCTCGCCTCAGGGGTTTGACCGTTGTCACAGAGCATCCCTGCGCCGTCTGGTCATCCCCATCCGTATCCCAGGCCCCATACCATCTCCGCGCGAACCCCTGCGTCCGGTTCGCAAGCTGTCAGACCCAGAACCCTGCCAGCCTGCCCTTGCCTGTCAGTGTCATCCACAGACCCGATCCATCAATGGGGATAGGTATTTCCCTCGGCTTGTCAGCTTGTCGGGCTGGGAGTGGGTTGACATTATTCGCTTGTGATCGTCTGGGTCGACCGGTCGAGTAGCATCATCCGATTGAATGACCCTCGCCGGCGAAGGGAGCATCGCTGTCGCTGATAGGCAGACGAGACGAGCACAATGTGGACCGTGAACCATTCAAGGCGTCGAGTGAAAGACGCGCTCGGGGTAAGATCAGTATCCAATGATCCAATGAAGGCACAGTAGGTGTTGAGTGGCTGGCTGGCTGGCTGTACTATCACGAGAAGGGCAGAAGCCTGAAGGGGTCCAATAGCACTGCAATTGCCAATTGGCCATTCGAGAGACCGACCGGTCAAGTGACTCTGCAATTTCTATCGGAGTTGACGGGATGATTGGAAAGAGGGATCCCGAATTATTCATCTGGAGTTTTTCTGGTTGTGGTGGGTTCTCCAGCGGCTGCAATGTACCAATGCAACCCAACCTACGGGATGCAATGAGATGAGCCCTATTGTTGGAGAATCGGGTTGCATCGCGTAGACTGGCCGTCCAATTGCACCCGCCTGCGAAATAATACCGAGATGGGCAATTTGGGACATGGCGAGACGGTTCCTTCACTCCTCCCGAGGTTCCCTCGAGCGCTGGATGACAGGATGCGACGCCGTTGTTGACCCGGCTCGGGGAAGACACGGCATAGAACCTGCTACGGTTCAACGGTTCACTCAGCAACTGCCACACCCAGGAAGAGGAGCATCTGGGATCTGATCTGGCTGACAGTTGTCTAGGTAGCTTACCGGGCTCCAACCTCCAACCTTGGGACGGATTTCCCTTTCAGCCTGGAATAGAAGTTCCAACCAGACGAGCGTATTACTCGCAGTATGAAAACAAAAGCGAAGATGATTCGTCGCGCTTACATGTATCGTCTTGATATGTGTATGTGTAAGATAAGGTAAGTAATAAGTTACGTCGACCGCCGAAACCCGCCTCCCCGCAGCCGTCACCGTTGAAAGCATCAATCGGAGCACGATCGCAACTGAGGTCGGCGCTTATTGTTATTACCTCACCAGTGGATGCTATAGCGGCATGCAGCTGGGAATTCCATGCTTCCCCAGGACTGGTTCTATCTTGTTGCTATCGCCTATCACCTGTCAGCCTCGATTCGAGCACGGAGCTCTCATGGTGGAGTTATTAATCCTATACGATGGGCTATTATCGTTGTCGCGCAGATCATCATCATCACGAGGAGGAGGGGAAGCCGGGGCGACTTGATCTCACTATCTAATCATGTGCCATTGACACAATTGACGCAATCGAGGCCTGAGCGAGATCTAAGCTTTAATCGCGGTCTCATCCGCGTCGCGAATGAAGCGTGTTCATCGTTAGTACCAGGCAGTCACTAAGACGCACGCGCACGGCGCGGTCTTCATGTGATGATACAGAGTAGCGTTTTGGAAGTCGACGGACGCATCTTCTTGCCAACTCTTAACCTGACGCGAGTTAATAGCGAATCGATAACAAGTTCGACAGAGCCGGTGAGGCTTCGCGCGATTGATTGGGATCGGAGCATCGCAGTGGCAGTGGAAGAAGTCGGGATGTCACGATACTCTACAGAGTACAGACTACCGGGCACTGTCTGTCTTGGAGGTCGGCGAATGAACATGGACATCGTAGGATCGCTGTCACGTTATTATCACCGTTCGAGAACATGGACATGGAATGGACATGGAATCTGCATAAGACCCTTGGACCTTGATGTCGTCCATCAGAAACGCCCCTGGTGTGAGCTGCGGGCGCGGCGTTAGAGAGCCCCCATTCAGCACTATTGACCGGGAGAACCCCCGTCGTGTTCTTCTGCAAGGTTGCCCCTGAAAGTGAAAGCTTCCCCACTCAGTCCTGTTCCCCACTCGACAGAAGGACAAGGCCTGGAAGTCTGGTAGTACCAGAGCTACAGAGCCAGTGACAGCTTCCGATGACAGCTTGCAATCGTACCTACCTAGGTATGTAGGTAGGATCGGTGTAGCGGCAGACCGTTCGTCCTCAAGCTCAAGCTTCCTTCAGCGCGACAGAGCTTGAGCCAAACGGGTGGCCGTTCGAGTGGACGCGATCCCGATTGGTGTTGTGGAAGACACAGAAGCAGAAGCAGAAGAAGCAACCCGACATTGGCACACCGCAGCTTTTGGGTCTTGGGACAACTCCACCAGCGCCATCAATAGATTCCATCTGGGAATAGACTGGCTGGCTGGGAGTGATCCAGCCAGCCCGTCAAACACCCAGACACCCAGACACTCCCGGATGCCATGTCCATATCCATCACGCCTAAACACGCCCACGCCGTTGGTCCGTTGCCGTTGCCGGCTCTGCCACTCAGGTCTGGATCAGGCATGGCTGCATTGGCTGCATTGGCTGCATTGGCTGCATTGGCTGCATTGGCTGCATTGGCTGCATTGGCTGCATGAGGGTTGCAGGGCCGCAGGATGCAGATTGCAGGTTACATTGCTGCACAGACTGGACTCTGCTGCTGCAGGTCCAATAACGAGGATAATACCTAAGGTAGTGATGAGTTGCAGCCGGCGCACTGACACCTCTGCCTTCTCCTGCGTCTGCTGGTCTATCAATCGTGTCGACGTTTTGTGACTTGTCCCACCTGTGGTTCCCTCACTGCCTTCTCTTACACAGCACATAATACATGGTAGTACAGACTTCGTACATACACGCGCACACCCAATTGCCCATGTACACTCTCGGGCGGACAGTTAGACGACACACGACACACGAGATCGGTGCAAATCCCGGCGCAACAGACTCTCAACGTTGAAACACGAGACACGGCGCAGTGGCCGCAGTGACCTCACGGATCTCAGAGAGTTCAGCACATCCGACTGCTGACTGCCCGCTGACTGCCCGCTGACTGCTGATGTGGCGGCACCTCGCCCCTCGCCCTCCATCCTCCTTTCTCGCTACGTCGGTCCTTCATACTTCAGGTACTTTGCTGGAAACGCTCGCCTGTGAGCATCGACATTCGGCACTTCAACCAACTTCCAATTGGAATAGAACGAAACAGAGCGGAACAGAATAAAAGAGCCTTCGGATGAGAGGAGCTGGAGTATACGCGAAACCTCACGAACAGCAGACGGCAAAGAGGCCAAGCACGTATTATTAAAACAACGAACAACAACACGCCATCAACGAGAACAGAAGGCACCGGCAACCATTCGGTTCAGCAATAGCAACATTGGACTTCCCATTCTAGGTTCTGCTGCACTCGACTCCCGCTAGGCCTGAGTAGCTTCGCCCTAGGACAATTTGGTCTTTCTTTGGGGGATTCCTGGACTGCCTGGGACTCATTGGGGCTGCCGCAAGCGCGTTCTAAGTCTTATTATTGCTATTTACGGTCTTACGGTCTACCTGCTCATAATACACTCCTTCCCTTCGTCACGGTCAGAAATCAGGCCTGGGCTTCAGCTGGTTCGGGTTGCTGCACGAAACACACGAGGTACGCATATTGCTTGTTGCATAATAAGTCCCGACTTCCCCTTCCACGCTCCCACGATCATCGGTTACACCAAAGGAAGGATCACCCCTACTCTGCAGGTGGCATTCTCCATGGGAAGGGGCTCGTCATAGAATCGGGTCCGGAACTCTACTTCAAGGGCCTCCCCTGAACTGCAGCTGTCCTCACTTTAGGACTTGCCTCGCCGATGGGTCACTGGAGAAGCCGTGACATTCCTACTTGCATGTTACCTGCATGTGTCTCTTGTCCCCTCCCGTCTCACTTCCGATAACAGTCCTCGGGTCTCCCTTCATTCCATCATCGTACCTTGGCTTGTGTCTGTCGCGACAGTCGCAAAACAACAAACAACCTCAACTCGAATTGGACTAGCAAACTGACAAACATCCCCTCCTCAGAGCACCTTCTATCATCACCGAGCAGCACCGAACATCACAACCGCATCTCGCCCACCCGACGTTCTAGGACAACCCGTCGCCCCATCGAATTGACACCCTGGGCGCGAATTGGATGCCATTGAGACGGCACCCGGACCCGAGTATCTTCGCCAGAGCCAGTCCAGGGCCAACCACACCCTTCGGAGAGGAGTCTCGATAACTCCCCCCACTAGCATCGCTGTTGCGACGGTTACAGAAATACTGGCTCCCATGGTGGTTCACCACACCGGTTTGCAGCAATCATGATGCTGGACAATATGCGGTCGAGCCTCCAGGTGGCTCCCCTCGCGATCCAGAAGAACCGTTCTGGACGGTTGGACAATCGCTCACAGGATGACGGGGACGATGCTTCGACACATCCATACTCCCACTCCCAGATAACACCGCCTACGACTCCGAACGATTCGCAGGAAGACCTCGTTACCGAGCCGATATCAGCCAACCCCGTCTTCCACAACTTCCTCCGAGCTTTTTACCCGTTCAATCCACCATGTACGGTTTCCGACTCGACGGTCACGCTGCCATTGAACGAGGGGGATGTGGTCCTGGTACATTCGATCCATACTAATGGATGGGCTGACGGGACGCTTCTGATGTCGGGTGCAAGAGGCTGGCTGCCCACAAACTATTGCGAAGCATATGACCCGGATGAGATGCGCAATCTACTGAAGGCCCTTCTCAACTTTTGGGACTTGCTTAGGAGTACGGTGACAAACGAGCGAGACATCTTCGGCAACCAGGAATTCATGAAGGGCATCATTGCTGGCGTGCGATATCTCTTGGTAGGCGGCTGACTTTTATCTCTTCCTCGAGTTCCAACATATTAACAATGTTATAGGAACGAACACACTGTCTTACACGCGAGTCACCAACGATTCAGAGGAGCGACGCCCTTCGACGGGGTCGCAAATCGCTACTGTCGGAACTTTCCTCCCTGGTCAAGACTGCCAAGCGCCTTCAAGAGATACTCCGAGTATCCCCCCAGTCAACCGGAGATGTTAACGACATCATTGACGAGATGATTCTCAAGGCGTTCAAGATCGTGGTCAAGGGTGTGCGGTTCCTCGATCTATTGGACGAGGATCGACGGTTACGCGCGCCGGCAGTGACGGTAATGGCGACCGTGGTGGAGGAGTCGGTTGTCCCACCTACGCCGCCGTCAGAGTCGACGCCATTCGAAAGCGGCCACGAAGAGGATTCGAACGCAGGCTCCCGGTCAAGTGTCGACGAGACGTCCACTGAAACGATGTTGCCCAGGCCGACAACCGAGGGCGCACAGACGAGCGAACTAACCAACAAGCGTTTGTCCTCCGTTTACTCGTCTGCAAACACGACAGCAAATCACATGTCTCAGGCGAATATGGCCCATTCGAAACGTCATTCTGCCAGCATTTCTCACCGCGTGTCTCTAGCCGGCCCCTCACCACTGTCGCAGTCCCAGAATCTTGTCTCGGAGCGACTCAACTCTTCGCACAGCAAATTCCTATCGCACCTGGGTTATTTCATAGGGCGTTTGGGGCTCCAGTCGCGCCCGGAATTTGCGTCGGCCATCAAACAGTCTGCCATTTCCGGCGGGGCGTTGCTGTCCGTGGTCAAGGTGGTGTGCGACCACAATTTGCTTGTCTCGGAAACACTGGAACAAGCCCGCGCCATTATGTTTGACAACATCCTCAACCTTGTTTCCTCGGCACGAGAGATACTCGGGAATGGCGGCTCCGACGCGGAACACGTTGTCATGCCGCAGGGCGATGAACTCCAGCATGTCGCCATCGACTGTGTCAAGGCTGCTGGTGAATGTGTTGCAAGGACGAAATGGGTGCTCGAGAAGATAGGCGACTTTGAATTCGAGGTGCAGGAGAGTCCTCTCGGCATCGATCTCGGCGTGTTCGACAAAGCATCAGGCAGTCGGCCACGCACTCCAGACAGGGCCAGTGTCGCAGATTCCAAGACATCTCAATCATCACCAACGCCGCGGCCAATGCACTTATCCATGGATAAGCCATTGCCTGAAGTTCCTTCTGTTGAAACAACGCCCGAGAAGCGGAACTCACAACAACCTTCCCCGCCTTCATCGCGGCCGCTATCTATGGTCATCGACGATGCTGCTTCGAGCATGGCATCGACAGTGTCCTCCATCCGACCAACACTTCCACCCCTTCCCAAGCTGACGACAACGCTGTTGCCGGAAGAGTCGTACAGTCCGACCACCGAGACATCTCACGATGGCGAATACCATACCTCTTTTCGGTCAGATACGGGAACTGCATCCAGCTCTGGCACCAACAGTACTTACTTGAGCCGCGACTCTGAGTCTAGCATGGTGTCTGCAACGTCCACGCGCGCGACAACGCCTGACTTCGCCCCAGCACCAAAGAATCAACCCTCGTTGTCTGACATGAGCACGGCAGGAAGTATGACGCAAAGCGAAGAGGCTGATGAGGTCGAATCGAAGCTTTTGGAGAAGACCTTCGCACATGAGCTCATGTTCAATAAGGAGGGCCAGATCATCGGCGGCTCGCTAGCTGCTCTTGTTGAGCGTCTCACGACGCATGAGTCGACTCCCGATGCCGTCTTTGTATCTGCCTTCTATCTCACGTTCAGATTGTTTTGTACGCCGATGAGATTGACCGAGGCGCTCATCGAACGATTCGACTACGTCGGCGAGACACCGAACGTTTCTAGCCCTGTTCGATTGCGCGTTTACAACGTGATGAAGGGCTGGTTGGAATCGCATTGGCGGGACTCGACAGATCATGAAGCGCTGGCCCTAATCCAGCAATTCGCCGAACACAACCTGGGGGCTATCCTACCATCTGCCGGCAAACGGCTTCTGGAGCTTGCACAACGCGTCTCTTCCGCTGAGGGCTCCTTGGTTCCTCGCCTGGTATCATCCATGGGCAAGACGATCACTGCAATCGCCTCATTCGTACCTGCTGACTCGCCACTACCCCACACTATACTATCAAAGAGCCAGCAAAACCTCTTGAGCAACTGGAAGTCGGGTGGCAGCTCCCCTTCGGTGCTAGACTTTGACCCTCTTGAGATTGCCAGGCAACTGACAATGAAGCAAATGAGCGTTTTCTGCTCTATCATGCCCGAGGAGCTATTAGGGTCGCAGTGGATGAAGAATGGTGGCGTGGAATCGCCGAACGTCAAGGCGATGTCCAGTTTCTCCAACGACCTCTCCAACCTCGTGGCGGACACCATCTTGCAATACCCCGAGGTGAAGAAGCGGGCGGCTATGATCAAGCAGTGGATCAAGATTGCCCATCAGTGCCTAGAGCTGAACAACTACGATGGACTCATGGCTATCATCTGCAGTCTCAACAGCTCCATCATCAACCGCCTCCGGAAAACGTGGGACATTGTGAGCCCCAAGCGACGAGACATGTTGAAGTCCCTCCAAGCCATTGTCGAACCGTCCAACAACAACAAGGCACTGAGAGGTCGACTCCAAGGTCACGTACCGCCATGCCTACCCTTTCTCGGCATGTTTCTCACCGACCTCACGTTTGTCGACATCGGCAATCCTGCCACGAAGCAACTTCCTAGTGCTGGCGCAAATGACCAAGGTCTGACAGTCGTCAACTTTGACAAGCACAGCCGGACAGCCAAGATCATTGGTGAGCTGCAGCGTTTCCAGATCCCTTATCGACTGCAAGAAGTGCCTGATATGCAGGAATGGATACAGGCGCAGCTTGTCCGTGTGAAGGAGATGGACCAGAACAATGTTCAAGTTAGTTACTATCGCAAAAGTCTGCTCCTCGAACCCAGAGAGAACATGGTCAAGACACCTGTCGATGGTCCACCTGCCACGCCTCAGCAGAAAGCCGACCTGTTTGGCTGGATCTCTAGAGATCGACACAACAACAACACGGCGGTGGCAATATAAACGCCCCATATTACCACGCCCTATATCATACCACCGTCCCCGACCATCATTCGGAACTTGCGCCATGCATTGGTCCGAAACTCACTCATCACCTCGTGCGCGATCCGACGTTTTCATCACATCTATTGATACCCCATCCTTTCCTCGTTGTGTTATTCACGTCAGTCATGGAGCATTTTGGATTTACCACGGCTGGGCACCTATCATCACCATCATCTATGTATCGCACCACGATACCGGCGTTTACGGGCAGGGATACTCAGGAACGACCACCATACCTTCAGTTGTCGACATATATTGCTTAGTCACTTAAATTCTATTGGAGAGCCTTGCGCCACGACTTGGGGAGCAGCCTCGCGCCCTGTCGCTACTTCGGCAACTCGCTCCGGATTGGAGCGAGCTCGGCCTTTTTGCGGGGAAAGCGTCCACGTCCGCATGGGCACATCCTGGAGAACGGGGTTTTCGAAGCATTTGGCTTAGGCGAGGTCAGCCAAACAATTTGTCCCTTCCACGCTGGAGAAGGGAACAGGGCTATTGTATAATATGTACGAGTTCACGGACCATGCTCCGCATCCTCTCACTGGAGGGAAAAGGCTGTAAGCTGGGAGGGGGTTTACCAAAAAGCACCAAGCTATCATTTGTTTGGATTCAGCTGCGCCTGGAGAAATGGGGAAAATGGGCCGGAAGCGGGTTTCTTGGGTCTTGTTTCCTTGGACATGGGAAAAGGAGTTCCAAGCGGGTTTATAAGGATGGCGGTTGCTCAGGCTCACGCCTTCCCCTTAACTTATTACCCACCCACCCACCTACCTACTAGTAGTAGTAGCTCTCGCTCGCGCATGGACAGGAATCGGATCAACAGGTCAGCCTGATTTCATCTTGCACATGCTTGGAGAAATGTCACCGTCTCGGTTTCACGCTATGGTTTTGTTCCGTGTTGTCCTGTGCTTTTGTGACTCTTGGCCTTGGTACTGGTACGTGCTTACTGGTTGATCGATGCGCTCCCTGCTGGCCGTCACTCGCTGGTATAAGGGAGCTTGCTTGCGATGTGGCTGGGTAGGTAAGTTATCCCGGCCCTCGATGCGTGGCCGGGGTAAAATCTGTTGCCTGTACTGACGCTACCGTCACAACATAAGGGGCGTTTAACTCAGTTGGTGAGGTGACTATGGTCCGGTATGGTCCACACGCTCGTGGTATCTCAACAATGTCAGCTAAGAAACGGTCTTCACTGGCGTGACGAGTTAGCCGATTGATAGATGATATTCTCAGGTGCATAGGGTAGCGTCCAGGGCATTGTAAGAAGTGGCGAGCCCCTGATGTTTGTGGCTCAGGTTGGTTGCTGTGTTGGTCTGCGTGCTGGTCTGTGGGTTGGTCTATGTATTGGTCTGTGTGTTGATCTAAGTGCCGGTTTTTGTGTCGCGTCTCTGTGTCAATCCTTGCAGCGGTCCCTGAGGCGAGGTGATACTTATGGGAATGATCGTTTTGGTTTAGCGATCGTGTTTACTCCTTCCGTTGGTAGGATATTTTCCACCTACCTAACGAGTTCTTACAAGGTGTGAAGAAGGGAGAACAACAGCACGATAGCCACGGTCTTGCTACACGCTCCCTCCAGTCACCTTCTGTAACATAACACCTCCTATAGCACCTACCAAGTCTTCCAACATCGCCCCGTCTTCCAATTCATCGAATCATCCCATAAGCAGACCCGCCGCCGTCCGGAACCACATACACAATCAACTATCGCCCAGACTGTCTCACATCTTCCGCGCCAAATAGTCTCTCCTTAATGACGAGTTGTTCCCCGATCTCCACATCCGGCAGCGACTCGCTACCCAGTAGTAAGTACTGATCGTGCAATACTACTCAGCGTTCTTACTTGCTACATTCACCTGCTACGGGTCTGTGTACTGCTATCGGAACATATTTGTGCCTTTACAGACATTTTCCAGACATTTAGCACGAAGAAGCTCTCCAATTATCTGTGCCATTTCCGATACCCCCTTTAGCTCACATGCGATGAGTATATGCTCGTTCATATAGGTACTCACCTTGTCAACCCTTCAGCTCCATTGAACCAGTCTCAATACGCGTGTTCACACGTCTGCCAACAGCAAATAATGGCCGCGGATCGTCTGATTCAGGCAACCTAAAGGACAGCATAATCATTTGTGTGGTAACCGGTCTGTTCGTGAGTATCTTTGCTTGAACGTTTGCGGCGGACCAACACGCGGTGTGTTGAGGCAAGATGATTTTATGGGAACTTTCAAGGCCATACCTAGCAAGGAAGCTCGAAACGTTGGCTTTGGTAGGGGATGAGTCAAAACGTTGCGTGACGGTGTCGAGAAGGCCAAGCAACTTCTGAGTGAGATGCCGTACCCCTCCAGTTGAATAGACGATAGTGAGGTCAATTTATAATAGTCCTATACACCATACTTGGACATGTACGAGTGAGAGCTTTCCCGTAGGCAGTTTTGCGGTAAATCGCACAAAAGGTGTGCAGATGGTGAGTGAATGGCATGCTTGACTTCTTTCCAACATGTGGTGGTGACACTGAATTGGCCCGTTGCCTCGTGGCCCCGCGGCTTGCGGCGAGCCTGCTTCGTTGATCCCCTATTGCTGACTGCATGTCTGCGGCGGCATTATGCATGCTTCTTTCACCGGCCACGTACTTTAATGCGACTGGACAGCAACCAACTGTCTGGCGCGATCGGCTGGGCTCTATCTCCAAACTAGCTGCATCGTGATGGTCGCCTTGGGTAGCGTCTTACTTCCTGTTGTAGACTTGATGGACACATAGGGAACGTTGATTGCTCTTCTATTTTCGGCTCCGGTCTGAGGTTGACACCGGCGACCTGCAACTTCTGTAGAAGGTCTCGAGACGGCTCCTACGTAGGACACCGAACACCTGACCGCACTATGAATTTCCCGTGCGTGCTCTGGGCATAAATATAGTCATGCATCAACCCTTTCATATTTGTAGCTTGCCCCAGTGAACATCATCAACATCACAGAAAATATCATCTACGAATCTAGGTTGACAACATGGCATTCCTCGTCTTCCAAGATCCACTACATGGAGCTTTCTTCGTTCTCGTACTTATCCTCATGCCCATGAGTATCGTGGCAACCGGCCTTCGGTTCCTTGCTACCAAATACAGCGGTCGAAAGCCCGGCCTGGAAGACTGGTTTGCCCTGCTCGCTCTCCTGTTTTATCTCATTACCAGCATCCTTACCGAGACAAGTGAGTCCACCCCCACCGGCCACAGGGTGACTTGTTGTTGTCCTTCTCCCCGGTAGTAATGCTGACGCATTTTTTCTACAGCACTTGCTGTTATCAATGGCGAAAACGAACTCAGAATGGCTGTTGAGGATCCAGAGCGATTTGCGCATTTCCGCAAGGTAAGTCGCAGTAAATCGAACTGTTGGCTATCATTGCATGGGCAACCTCCAACTGACAACGTCGTCACTATTTGGTCAGATGATCTATGCCAACACGTTCTTCTATCCGATCCAGATGTTGCTCGTGAAGCTCAGCATCATGACCCTGTATCACCGAATATTCGGGGTCAATCAGGCTTTTGCACGATGGATCTACGCCATAGGCTTGGTACACATTGCATGGATTATTCTGGCAGTCCTTTTGCAAGCCCTGGAGTGTTTGCCAGTAGAGAAATTCCGGCGACCGTTCATTCCTGGCAGGTGTCTCACGGGCGTGGTTGGCGCTCCAATTGAAATCGTCAACTCTCTGGTCGACTTTGCTTTGGTCATCCTTGCAATGTTCATGATACAGTCAATTAGTATCACGAAAGGTATGAAATCGAAGCTGAGAGCTCTTTTCGGACTTGGCTCTATGTGAGTACCTACCCTATTTGGCCCTCAAGATATCACAGCCGAGCTGACTGCTACTAGTATCGGGATCATAGGTTTCGTCAAGATCGGCGTCTCCTATACCCCGAACCAATTCTGTAAGGAGCTCCTATCGCCTGTGACCATCGCTTGAGAGCTAACTGTGTACCGCGATAGTTATATTCACCACTTTGGGGATAACCGCAAATATACAGATGGCTGCTGCTATCGTGTGCTGTTGCGCGCCTGTCTATAGACCCATTCTTCCTGCGACAGGTTTCTGGAGCCGGCTTGCCTCCAAAGTCAGCCGATCGAGCTTCCGAGGCTCCAGGACCAACCCAGAGAGATCTTCACACAAACAGGGTACAGTTGAAACGGGCAGCCAGCCCCAGTGTTGGGTTCATCTTGACGGATCCAGCACGAGGGGACTCGCATGGCCCGAGACTCACCTGGCTGAGACTCACGCGTTAAGCGACATTGGCCAAGTGAGACGAAGCGCCGAGCCGGACTTGACAATGGGGGCAATACATGTGCACAAAAGTGTCGACGTGGTGTAACAAGCAGTATACCAGCGGATGCGTGGCTATTGGACACAGTCGTGGGTGGTGGCTCGCTGTGGCACCTTCGAATGTATTGGGGTCCGCAATCATGCATCCACAATCAAATGTATCTCAAATTCAAACAGGTGACGAATCCCGCCTCGTCACAATGTACTACGCATTTATGCATTCACAATATCACGGCTCATAGTTTACAGCACGGTCGAGGGAACTGGCTGCCATGCATGATTCTGCACGCCGGTACAACCACCCCTCCCTGACTGGGTGGCCCAAGTGTTTGAGAGGCCCAGAGCTGTCTCGATGTAGTAAATGAACGTAGAGTGTTGGTTTGTTGGTTGGTTGGATGTGAACGCCGAGTGTGTAACGTCAGCAGGCGGGATCGCCGAATCGAACCCTCCTCCGATTTACTCCCTTCGTTCGCCAAGTGTCATCGTAAACAGGACCTCTGACTTCAAACCTGCTGCTGTTCAGTCTTTCTGCCCTCGAGACTTCACGAAATGGCTAACGCGGAAGCTGTATCGCTCATTATCAGAATTGCCCAGGGTCTACCGACAGCCATCTTGGGGGCAGCGTTGGCGTATATTGCCATTCGATGCATCTACCTCTTGTACTTTCATCCCTTAGTTCAGTTCCCCGGACCCAAGATTGCGGCTGTCTCCAACACCTGGTATGCTTACCAATGGTAAGACTCCTATCTAAGGCACTGCAATGTAGGCTAATGGCCGGTGTAGGCTGTCTGGAAGGTATCCTTGGGCAACCGAAGATGTCTTGCGGAAATATGGTAGATTTTAATGCCGCTCATCTTGCTTCAATGAAGCTGACACGCGACGTATGGAGGTGATGTGGTTCGTATTGCGCCAAACGAACTATTGTTCCTGACACCACAGGCATTTATCGGTAAGTGCTTCGAGCTCCGACTATATTGATCCTTTGGGGTTCTTAATGGTCGTGGCAGATATACACACCTCGCACGTCGGATCTCTGGAAACCTTCGTGAAAACAGACTTGAATGATCGTGGTGATGCGCATGGCGGTATTGCCTTTGAGCGAGACCCTGTGCGCCACCGAAAGGTCGCCAAGCAGATCTCTCCGGCTTTCAGTTCTCGCTCAATCACCGCTTTGGAACCCACAATGCACGAACACATTGACCTTTTCATCAAGCAGATGAAGACTATGGAGGATTCTGGAAAGACCGAACGGATTGATCTCGCCAAGTGGTGCAACTGGTTGGCGGTGGACATCTCAGCAGACATGACATACAATCGCAAAATGAACCAGTTCAGGGACAGTAAGTTTGTTTCCAACTGTCTTCTAGTGGCATAACCCCACCTCGCAGAAGTTTCAGGCTGGTAACTTACGTACTTCATCCACTATGCTGATATTTCCGTTCGCGGACTTACAGTGAGAAACTCGAACTACTTGAATGTGGCGATGGGGTTCAATCGGTTCACGACCGTTGAACAAGTTTCGTTGCGATTTCCATTCCTCAAGCCGTTCAAGAACCTCTTTCTGCCATTCTCAACCATGACGTCAATGCCTGAGATGGTCCGTAAATCGAGAGCCGAGGTCCACAGGCGTCTTTCACAACAGGGGAACACTCAGCATCTGGATTTCTTCGAACACCTTTTACCCGACGTTATTCCAGAAGACCGGCAAGAAATGCGGCACCTGGAGCAGTTAGCCGGACAACTACAGTTTGGGGGGTTTGAGCCTGTCTCGTCTTGGATTTACGGGACTCTCATGTACCTCCTTGCGGAGCCGGGAGTCTGCAAGACCTTGACTAAGGAGATTCGGACCAGCTTTGAGAACTACGGCGATATCAGCCCAAGCGTACTGAAGCCATTGCAATATCTGAATGCCTGCCTGGAGGAATCTCTGCGTATTTTTCTTAGCAACAACGTGGGGATGCCGCGAATCAGTCCAGGGGCAATGGTCGACGGAACATTCGTCCCTAAAGGGGTAAGCATGAGGTATCCTATTTCATCCACTTTTTACCGGAAGTCTAACTGTCGTCTCCAGGTCTACTGCCAGACGAGCATGTTTGCAACGGCGCGAAGCCAGCGCTAATCCCACGATCCGTTACGCTTCCGGCCCCAGCGCTACCTACCGCCAGATCACCCTTCATTTGAATCAAGGTTTTCCAACGACATCAAGAACTTCCATCCCTTTAGTCAGGGTCCCAGGGCATGTATTTGTAAGGAGGTGGCATGGAGGGTGGCCAGGCTGTTCGTGGCAAAGATGCTCTGGACTCTCGATATTGTCAAGGTCCCTGGTCAGGAACCAGGTTTCGAGGAGGACTTCATTACTTATGGGTTCTGGGTGAAGCCAGAACTCAAGGCTCGTTTCGTGCAAGTGGCTAAGAAGAGAGTTTCCTTGAACTAACCCCTCATGGCCCACCCGACGCAGGCCTTGGAACCTGGCTTTGAAGTAATATTGGACGGCCTGAATTTGTTAATATCGGGATAGGTATGAAGAAGAAGGTTGGCTGCTTTGCTAGAACACAGCCTTTCTGTCTCGATTCCACATAAATCAGGCTCAGCTAGAATAGCTGCGTTGAAGTTTTTAGTAAAAGTATAATATATCTGATCGCTTCCCTGGGTATTCCGCCCTTACAACGTTGCCGAATGGGCAACTGTGGGAAGAGTGGCTATTGGAGACGTTGGGATCGGCAGATGAGCCAAAAGGAGAAGCACCAGCTAGCGCTGACAGGAACCGAACCTAGGTTCACTATTATACGGCTCAACTCCCGCGTGACAAAATGACGGTAACACGGCGACCCGACAGAGTGGTACGAAGGGCATCCCTGCACCAACATAGCAAAATATCCATTCTTGGAGAGGAGGTGGACGGTATGATCACCATGCCTTTATGTGGTTCCCGTCAGCTTACATGGACTATTCTCCTCTCCAAATCTTCAACACACACTTTTTACACTTCCAACCCGCTCTGATCATGGCTCAACCGTCCCCTGTCGAGGCACAGGTTGCAGTAACCCAGGTCCCCGAGCTAGGCCCTGACGTCTTTACAAATGAGCAGTAAGAGTCCCGAAAGAAGCTCGTTATAGACTGCGTTGACTGGTACACTCCGCTGACCCCGGATCTCTCACTTTCATAGCTCCATGCCCTCCCAGCAAGGCGGACGTACCGTCCCCGGAAGCCTGCTGGTTTCGCAGTCGGTGTCCGCAGCGAGCGCTACAGTCGCAGCAGATTTCTCCGCCTATGCTTCACAATCTACCTTTCTTCGCCCTGTCACTGCGCAGGCTAAGGGCCAGGTGATATCCGGGTTGAGCGCACTGCTGACGGCCGCACCTACGCCACACGTCTTGTCCGCGTGACTGCAGGCGACATTTGCGTTTACATCGCCATGATTTCGTTCCAGAAGCGGAGCACACCGGCGAGCAATGTTTTCACCTACGGCCTTCGCATGCCCAAAATCGAGGTGGAACCAGAAGACATTCCGATAGAGGCGGTTGCGCAACTCAATGATTCACAAGTGAACCAAGCCGGGGAAGTCTTGCAGTCGTCCAAGCCCGTGGAGGAGCCCTTCGATTGGCGACCCATCGGCATTCTGGTCGGAAACAACCCGACCGCATTCCGTCTACGCGGATTCGTGCGAGCGCAGCCCCTCTCGGCGACTCCGGCTTCAGCTCATCTCGCTGCGCTGGCCTATGCTTCCGACGAAAAGTTTTTAGGGGTGGCGCTTCATGCGAATCCGGATGCGGCCGGCAAGGGAGGCCGGAATGTCGGGATGGTCACTAGCCTCACCCATAACATCTCGTTCCACGACCCGACGGCGCGTGCGGATCGGTGGATGGTTGCTGAGCGGAAGACTACCTGGGGTGCGGATGAAAGGGTGAATGTCCAGCAGCTCCTCTGGGATAGGGGGAGTGGTCGCTTGCTTATGACTGTGCAGCAGGAGGCGCTGGTGAGGCTGAGGAATGGTAGACTGTGACTGGGTTGAGTTAGAGGTTCGGATAAGGAATGGATGGGCCGTTGTCACTGGAATAGTCACTGGAATAGTCACCTGATTCAAAGTCTCGTATTTTGTCAGACTGTCACCCTCACTGCTAGGGCTACCGTGCACCAAGTCATTGAATGGGAGGTGATGTCAGAGCGTGGCTTAGAAGAACCTGATATTTTGCTTGAGAAGATGGGATGAACCAAGCCTTTCTCTAAGTTGTTGCCAGAAACTGACCAGTCACAGTAGTAAGTCCGCACTTGATCTACCTCTGAGTGAACTGTTTTTCAATGGAAACGCCCAGTTACTCCTAACTTCTCTGCCCTTTTTACCTTTCTATAAAGCCGTGGTAAGTCCCTCTCAAGTTCCCTCCCCTTTCCCTTCCTATTAAGCCGCCACCGGCACAAATCGTCGAACAGATCGCCGCCCCGAGCAAGACCCCATCTGCGCAGCGAGCTTGCCTATTACCTCATTGACAACATGCACGCTATGAAGTTCCTCGTTCTAAACGTGCTTCTAGCTGCCTGGGCAGTAGCATCTCCGATTTTACCCAGCCCATCGACTACCACGCCAGACGACCAGCACCGCCAGATCGATACCTCCACTCGTACCTCGGTACCCGCGATTATCAGGATAGACGATGACGACGCACCCGCCCCCAATCCAGAACTGGACCAAGGTATCGCCAGCTACAACGCGGCTCACCCACGTAACAGGATACCAACGGGAGTAATGGCTAGTATCATACAAGGGGCCGTACCTAGTGGCGCCCCCCAAACAACGGTACAATTCCATCAGTACGAAATCCGGGCACAATGTAAGTCAAAGCAGCATGCCAGGTGGCGAAAGATGGTGACGCCAGCATGACTGGTCGTGATTAGCCAATATCATCCATGATTGCTTACATTATTAGTCCGGCATTCCGCAGCACAAGTTAGAGATCCAGAAAATAACCCCCCTGTGCAGTGGCAAGGGCGTATATATCCTGGCGTCATCCCCACTGGCGCTAGAAGACACGGTCATCCGATGATAGCTCAGCTAGGCGAACTGGGCAGTCTGCAGGTAAGTTACTTTGAGGTCCCCTTTCCACTCCTTGCGAGAGACAAAAGTCCCGAAATAAAAGGGTTCAGTAGCTACGGTATGGTAAATGTTGACTATCAGTGTTACAGCGTAGTGGCCAATACGTCCTCTTCGACGCTCCCTTGCTAGAGGCTGGTGTCAAGCTGGGTGACCCAGGCGGAGATGACCTAGGCCCAAACTTCATCATGTTCGGGTATCACAGAGCCGATACACAATTCAACGATCCGATTTTCGCCGGTGTCACAACCAACGTGGGTCATATTCGCGGTTCACACCAGTATGTCCTGGGCAATTGGATTGTCATTATTGCCGTTAGAGTATCCACATGCTAATCATTTGCTCATACAGCTATTGCCCAGAGGTTACCGTTGATGGAGAACTGACAGACCAAGTGGGTATCTCTGGGATTGACGTCGCTAGAATTATAGCACGTTATATCGTGCCCATTGTGTATATACGCAGCTCGAATCCTGCAAGGCTGTGGAACAAGCCGAGACCAGGGCAAGGCGGAGGAAGCGGCGGCGGCGGAGTCAGTGGGAAGCGTTCAGGGGGCTTGCAACTGGGCGTTGCTGGAGTGGGTGAAAACGGAGCTGGTGTGGTCAATTCGTTGCTAGCAGATATGCAACCTTTGGAAGGAGCTGCAGTGTTTAGTAGGGATTTGGCATAAGGCCGTCTCTTGGGAATTCTCCGCTGTCGCCCTGCGTTATACACTGAGCATTCAAAAGTCTCTGTGCTACGCTCGTCGAGCAGTGAAGTTGTGCCTCACATGACCGAAATAAGCACTCTGGAGTAAGCATCCAAAGTGCGTTAGTAGATCAAAGCTGGTTATGCCAGGGCGTTTATCCCAGTAATCTGAACATATCAGCAATACCCAAGTAGCCATTGAGGTACGCCGGACGGAGATTTACGAGTGGTGACTGTAGCGACTTATTATAGAGCAGTGTCTGTTACGAGCGTATGCACCAGACGAGCTCCTAGTAGCTTGAGTCATTCGATTATTAGATTATACATGACACAGTGTTGCATAAAATTGAAAGGCTCTCATAAATAGGTAAGTTTTGGATTCAATAACTAGGGGCGTGAGAGGTATAAAGGAAGTTGTTGAATGGCACGCAAGCCACCGTGGCTGCAGGGAGGTGGCAGTGCACCGAACAGGGGCCATCAGGGCATTTTGGGCACCAAGGCCACATCACAGACCTTCAGAACAACACACAGTCAGCACAGAACACACGAGTATACACTATGTGAACAACTTACACACTATTCAACAAGATGAAGGGAGTCGCTGACGCTCAAAGTTCAGGTCATAGAAGACTACCGTCAGAATAACATCCTTGTAGAGCTGGAGATGGATCACATGACCATTGCTATGCCGCATGCCCACAGGCTACCTACCTGGAGACTGTGAGCTAAGCTCCTCACAAAAGCGACACATTGCTCGTGGTCTGACATCTGCTGAATTTGGTATCGGTGTTCGCTGGCTTGCAGACGGGCTCAACTTCGTTCCCGGAGGAGGATAATAGCAACATGACAATGTTGGCAATGCCAGGCCACGTGTGGGGCCTTGTAAGCAGCAGTGTGTCTGTCAGCCAACTTGTGGCTGCCATCACTGCATCAGTGAGTGTAGCCATCAACCCCGTTCCTCATATCGAGTCGAGACTCATATCTGTCGTACAGGTCATCGCCTATTGCATCGCACGGGCCGTCTACAATCTCAGCTTTCATCCTCTAACGAAATACCCCGGGCCGAAGCTGGCTGCCGTCACCGATCTCTGGTGGGCTTATGCCAGGTATGTAAATCTGACTCTTTCGCCAGTTTGGACTTCAACGCTTTGGCACGCCTGTGACTCTCATGTGAAGTGCGCCTGCTACGTCAGACTCCGAATTGACATGTGGCTTACGCAGCACGACGGGAAGATACCCCTGGGTAGTCGAAGACGCTCTCAGACAATATGGTAGATGCAACACTCACATCATACATGTATGATATTATGACCCGACTCTGACAGCCACCTAGGCGATGTCGTCCGCATTGCTCCCAACGAGCTGGTATTCTTCACGCTGCAAGCAGCAAAAGGTCAGCCCCGCCGCCGTGCGCATCGCCACGCCTTCGTGTTCACTTATTGACAAGATCATCGGAGCAGACATATACCTCGCGCAGGAAAAGAACCTAGAGCTCTTCGTCCAAGTCGGATACGACGCCCTGGACACAGGCGACGGTGGAATCTCGGGGGAGACCGACCCGGTGAAGCACCGTGAAATAGCGAAGAAGCTTGCACCTGCCTTCAGCCCGAGGAACTTCAAGGCCAAGGAAGCTGCGGTGCAGACGCATATTGACCTATTTGTGCAGAAGATGAAGGATTTTGGGGCGAGAGAGGAAGGGATGGAGTTACAGCGCTGGTCGGACTGGCTTGCGCTGGATCTCTCTGCTGACATGACGTACGGCCGCGAGATGGGGCAGATGCGCGACAGTAAGCCCTACCTATAACGCAACCCCAAGATACCATCTGGTATCGCTGACACGAAGCAGTGAAGGACTCCCTACTCCTAAGCTCCACCCTAAAGCTGAACCTCTTCATAACGCTGAGCCAGATCACGCGGAAATTCCGCCTGCTCAGCCCCCTGATGTACCTAGCCATCCCGCCATCCGTGTGGTTCGCGCTGTCGAAGCTCATCCGGATGAACAGCGAAGACGTCAAGACGCGCATCGAGCGTCGGGGCAAGACGGGCCATCTAGACTACTTCGAACAGCTGCTTCCGGCCGACAAGCCCGTGCCCGAGGACCGGAAGCAGATCTACCATCTGGAAAACGTGGCGGGCCAGCTGCTGCTGGCGCAGTGGCAGCCCCTGGCGAACCAGTTTTACTCTTTGATCTTCTTCTTGCTTAGGGAGCCGGGTGCGCATGCGGCGCTGGTGGAGGAGGTGAGGATGGCGTTCGAGACCTATGATGCGATTGATACCGAGACTATGGGGGGTTTGAAATACCTGCAGGCTTGTGCGCAGGAGAATTTCCGACTCCATCAGGATACGGTTGATGGGTTGCCGCGCGTGAGTCCTGGCGCTGTGGTAGACGGGGCGTATATTCCTCAAGGGGTATGTCCCAAACCCTATTCAGAACCCATGAATCCTAATCAAGAGACCGTGCATCTTATACTAACACCAGCCGAACTAGGTCACCTGCCAGATCAGCTATTTCGCCGCAGCAAGAAGCCCACGCTTCTTCACCGAGCCGCTCAAGTTCCGTCCAGAACGGTGGCTATCGCCAGACCATCCCAGGTTCGACCCGAAATACAAAGTCGACAATCTGAAGGCCTCCAAGCCCTTCAGTCAGGGTCCGAGGGGTTGCCCTGGCGGGGCCATTGCCTCGGCTGTGCTCAGGCTATTCATCGCGAAGGTCTTGTGGCAGTTTGACTTGGAGGCTGCGCCGGGTCAGGATGGCTTGTCTTTTGATAGGGACTTCAAGTTCATGACCTTCTGGGAGAGGCCGCCGTTCTGGGTCCGGTTAACGCCGAGGGGTAGGGAGTGAGCTGAGAGATGACTGACCGGCTTGAGGGTGATAGCTGTATCCAACGCTACGGGGAGCCGCCGTGCTGAGGACATACACAGGGTTTGTAGGTTACCTAGGTAAATGAAGAGGCCGTCGGCTGTGTTGTTGGCGGGCAACGCTGAACTTGGTGACGAATTGGTGAGATAGTCTAGAATGTTCTGGCAGTGATTGTTGTCAATTCCCAGGATATAGGGAAAGACTAACAAGGCACGTAGAGGTTGTGGGAAAACGTTTGAACGAACCAGAGCGTGTGATTCTACAGCACACTTGTACATGTCGCGCGTAAATTTTGGGATATTATATATAAGCGTACCAAGGTCGCCGACTGCCGCCAGCACGCCATCCATCCGATCCAAGACGCCCCATGCCCTTTCCGTTTTTCTATTCCAAGCCCCGTACGTCTATGCCAAAAACCCACAACTGTAGAGATTGCGCCAATGCGCCCCAAGTAGCCAGATTGGTACAGTGCTTGATAGCTATTTCATACCACGCGACACCTGCTATCCTTTCACGTCCTCGCCGGTTGCTGCGTCGCCACAGCTACCATGCCACAAGTCGGGGAGGCAGGCCAGAAAGTCCTAGATCCTCCCGTTACCAACGACCTCTCGGCCAAGAATCTCAATCTCACCCGACTCGGCGGTTCGACGTCGCTCAAGTATCCACCGGGTCTCGCCGCTGTCTTCCTCCTTCGTGTACGAGATGCTGTCAGCGCTTCCTCTGTGGCGATGGCCCATGCCCTGACGGTTCTGAGATGGCAGACCCGCAGTAGGGCTTATGTTCTCGGAGAAAGGTCTCGGCGACTTCATCCTGAAATCGCCCGGGCTCGTCTCTTCGTCCTCGAAAACTGGGGGACACGCTGAAGATGGTTGCAAGGGTGAGAAAATCGGCACGGCGACGGGAGAGGAGATTTGTTTAGAGATGGAGTTTGCGGGAATGTTGAGGGGGGGTATTGAGTTATTCGGCACGCTCGGTATTGACATAGTCAAGGTAGGACTCCCGGAGCCACTTGCAGCTCCAGCAGAGACTGCAGAGTCCTGGCTGTAGATGGAAAAGGCCGAGTTCTTCCGTCCATGAGTATAAGCTACACCGCCAACCTCTGGGCCCCACGGGCTGGAAGCGCCGTTTCGGTCATTGGGAGATGCATCACGAGAGCTCACTAATGATGCTTGAGATCCACCCCAAGCTCTGGAGCGCAGACGGAGGAGCGCTGACAAGGACATGTTGTCGTCATCAGCCATCATGGCAAGTTGCGCTAAGCCCGGACTCTGCAGTGCCCCAGCGCTGCTCGGTCCAGGTGGCATGCCCAAACTCATGAGCGAATTCCTGTTGGAGTACTCGGAGCGCTCCGTGATAGGCGTGAGGTTCGGCTCGCGCGAAACAACACGACCAGAGATGGTTCGACTAACACCACTGGGGACAAAGTAGCCGCCGTGCGAGTATTGGGAGAGGTTCTTCTCACTGAGTAGGTCTGGAGGAGCGTTCGAGCTGTGATGAACCTGCGGAGCGGGAGCGGAATAAAATCCAAACTCCTGCCCATACCAGCCATCCGAGTCATTAGCCAAAGCACTAGCATTGGCTTCTGCGATGATAGCATCATCATCCAGCTCATAATCGTCTAGTCCTGCAGAGAAGCCATCGTCGAGTTCATAATCATCAAGTTCATCGTTCATATCTGGGTATGAAGGAGTGTGGGACGATCCAGACGTTGTCGGTGAGGTTATTGTCAATTCTGCTGGTAGGGGTGGTGGCGACGGCGATGAGTCCCTCCGAAACTTTCCAGACGCCGCGGCCTGATGAGCAGCTGCTGCCAACGCCGCTTGATATGCTGCCATGTTGTTTTCGTCTTCAGCCGGTAGTGATTGGTTCGGCGCTTGTAATTCGTCGTCTTGGACCGTCTCATCATCTCGATTGCTCACGTCCTGTGGCCTAGGGGACTCGGCCGGCCCAGACCGGGCCTCAACACTGACCGACGTGTGAGCAGTGGATTGTGATGAGCCAGAATGTGCTGACAGTCTGGAAGTCACGTCAGAATCACGTTTCTTTTCCTCCTCAACTGCGGTCCGCTGCGACAAGGCATTGGCAAACATCCCCGGAATTGGCCGTCCGTATCGATCGGTGTCCTCTAGGTCAAAGATCGACTCGTCAAAGGCGGAGCCATCCCCCTCACCGTCAAAGTCGTGAATCAAACCGTCATTGAAGTAGAGTTCGTCGTTTTTGTCCACAGGTCTTGGGACATCGACTTGCGGTTTTGGCTCGTCAGATGCGGATGTCTCGATGTCATCAAACGGCACTTCGAGCCCTTGAATTCCGAGGCCAGTCGGAGCATCTTGTTCTGGCAGCTTTACCGAAAAGTGTTCGCTTAGGTCTTCCAAGGAGCTCAGTGATTGTCGATCAAGCTCCGGCGTCCCTCCGGTCATTGCATAACCAATGACATTGCCATCGACATCTCTTGGTGTTGGTAAGATGCCAGCACTAAGAGGACTTGCCAAGGAAGACGTTGGGCCAGATCTCTGGAACACAAACCCTGCGAAGTTTTCTTGGTCGTTGTCTGGATCGTCGACTGTTCCAATGTTCTCTTCGTCGTCCAGATCAGCGTTGACACCTGGTATTCGTTCTTCCAGCCCATCATCATATTCCATCGCATCATAATCAAAACCGTCATCGTCGAAATCATCGAAGCGTGAGTCCCGATGGCCAGTCGGTTCCTCCGCCTTCTTATCTTGCTGTCGCTGTCTATGCCTCTCCTCGAGCAATTTCTCTTGCTTGGCTGCTCCAATCATATCGAAACTGAATCTCGATGATGTGCTCTTCATGTGCTTAGGTAAAGACGAGAGGATATCTCTGTTTGACGCTTCCGACACATTGCGCGACAAGGATGCCAGCGACGGCGGTATGGAGCTTTTCGGCCTCTGGCCATCCGGTGTGCCCTTTCCCAGAATACTTGATTCGGCTCTCGTGACGTCCTGCGACTTCTGCCCAAATATATTGTCGCATGAGACTGTTTTTGAAGATGTCGACGACGTTCGAACTGAATTAGCATGTTCGTTTTTCGGCGGAATCGGAGGCGCCTCTATGACAGGCGTCAGGCTGCTGTCCGGGACAGGAGAGACGTTATCTTGGGAGGCCTTGTCACCCCCTAGACTTGCCGGATCGTTGCTGGAAAAGACTCTTCTCGGCCTTGGGGCACTGAAGTCATGTACACGCGTTCCCCTGATACGAGGATCATACGGGGCCACGTCTGGTGGATTCCGGAGGGGCAAGGTCAGTTCGGGTATGTTTTGGCTCGTCTTCCTCCGTAACAGCAACGTAGACATGGAGTTTCTCAAGAAAGGTAAACTTTTCCTCCCTCGTGGAGCTGGAGGATCATGGTTCCCGGGAGGGCTTGAGAGCCCTTCAGGGTCTGACGTCAACCTGGCACCTGGAGGGCGCTTCCCCGTAACAGGCGCATGATGAAGGTCGATCGGGCTCACGAAGGAAGACGCAGCATGGCCCGGTCTTACGGGCGGCGAAGGCCTAGTCGGGGGACTGGGCATGGAGGAATTCGACCGAAACTCTTGATTATCTGGCTTGTTCACGCTGGTCCGATCTGACGAGACTGGTTTCATGGCAATCTGCTCGCGGCGATAATTCTGCAGTGCCAACCCACCGATGAAGCCAGACTGTGCGTTATAAGGAGATCGAGGCAAGGGTTTCGCTTCGTCGCTCGGCTTCGGCTCAGAGTCTCTAGGATCTATGGGTTGTTCTGAATCTGCAGACACAACCCTGGCGATGGGAGGTAGACTTGGAGCATGCTGGTATTGCTGCTGCTGATGATGGTGCTGCTGCTGTCGGGAGTTCGGCTCAGGGGGCTGGCTGTGGGCACGCGCAAAGGAAACGCAGGTCGAGTCTCGCGGGCGTATCTCTGGAGTTGGTACGCCATCGTCGGGAACTAGCTGGGCGGGCTGGAGCGAGGCGGCATCCCAGGGGCTGTTCTCGGGTATGGGAGAGGTGGGATTGGACGGCCCCCGTCTGTGGAAGCGCAAATGTTGAAGCATTCCGTTGTGGATGTTGGGATCTACTCGGATAGATCTAGATGGCCAACGTAAACATGACTCGGGGCTGTCGGGGGCGCGCGAGAGCTTGTACTGTAATAGCTAGTACTGATCTCTGTCTGCGCCTTCAGGCCAATGAGTCTGATACGGCAGCTTGGCCGGCGACAGTAGTTCGCCTCGTGCGTTTCGGGTGCTGTCTCGCGTCGTCGTCATTCAAAGGTGCGCGAGTAGGCTGATAAGAGTACGATGACGATGACACAGGGCGCGGGAGATACTCGTCGGACACGGGCGTCACGCGGTGGATGCAGTGTGTTGGTTTGTATATTTGTATCAAAGCAGCAAAGGGGGGCCGGCGTACATGTGATATGCGGGAAGTATGACAAGATAGTAACACAATTGGGATTCGCAGGTATATACGGAGTCAACGTGAGAGGGAGAAAGTCAAGAAGTCGGAATTGGTGTAGATGGAGAGGGGTCAGCGCGACATGGTCATTGGTCTGTTGTAACCTTGGAAGAGTCGCTAAAAGTTGAAGAAGTTCACGTCGCAATGCCTCCTTCCCAGCTGTGGCACATTTGGGTCGTGACGACCTCCACCACCCACCACCGTGGGCATTCAGATGGCAAAAAGGCGACACCAATGCACCATTACCGCTTATTTACAGGGGTCGGGTCGCGAAGGTTCCAAGCTTGTGGCCGATCCATTCGGGACCCCACCAGTGGACCGGACTGGACCGTTGCAAGCCTCACAAGCCTCGTCACAAGCCACACGAATCATCTCACTGGGTCGGTCCACTGGAAGTTTCGCCTCCAGCGGTTTCCGACGTTCTCACAGGGCACGCAGCTTCTTTGATCATGATTAACACGCGACTACAGGTCAAACCCCGAAATAATGTCCCATTGCACAGGTACCGGCAGGGGAGAAACTATGTACCGGCGGAAACCATTAGTTACTTGTTTGAAACGATTGAGAACGCATGAGTTGAGAGGAGAATCGAAAAAAATCTGAAGTAATTTCTCGGTCGGTGGAGTGTCAGTCCTTATATACCTTAGCCGTAACTATATAAGCTTTACAAGCCTTATATAAGGGCTATAAGCCTTACATAAAGACTATAATGGTTGTAGATTTTATAAGGCTTATAAGATCTACAAGGCTTGCTAAGTATATATATGTACTATTTGGATTTTATTTAAAGTATATCAAGGGTTAAGTTAGTGTATTTATAAGGCTTAAATATTATAACTTGCTTTAAAAATAATGTAGGTCACAAGCGAGCAGGACACACAAGCAAGTGGGACATCTTTATTAACCTTTCAACCAATATGTCAAATAACTTAATCACAACGCATTGAATTCAATCTACTCAATCAGATTCCTCTTTCACAAAGATTTTTATCTCTATTGTACAAGTTTGCGCATTATAGCCAGTATTGCCGCAAATGCCACACCGTTGCTCACGCGCTGCTGTCCTCTTTAGACGACGACTATCTTCACCCATTTGCTGTCTCGCCAGTTCAATACCATCCTTTATAGCTTAAAGACCTACTGTATCTTTAATAGAAAGTATTCCTCTTTTTATCAGACATTTATTTTTTGTTCTCTAGCATTTATTTAGTAAGTAATTGGCTTTTTTTAACTCGTAGACTCAAGAATTAACCAAAGTAACCTTGTGTATAAGACCATATATAGCCTTTGAAAGCGAGCTCAATGCATCAATTATTGATGTAAGTGAGCTTCTCTTGTGGTTTGTGGCTTGATTTTGGATATAAACCGATTGTTTTATCGCTTCATTAATGGTGGTAGGTGTCTTTGAAGTCCAAGTAGTGGGTGGCAGATTGGGGTCTGGTGACAGTGTTTGTACGACAGCGACAGCATCCAGCTTTGAAATGACACTTTCTGGGTCAAAAGGAACAAGGCCAGTGGCACTGACTGAAACCTGCTTGGTTGTTTCCTGGTGTCATTGCAGCATTGTGTGCTTCACAAAACACTGTAAGAAAGTCCTCTTTTGAAACATGGGTTATATGACACCAGATGAGATCCTTAATTGAGCGACCATAAGATTGTTTGAGTGAACTGAAACAACTGACATCTAAAGGCTGGAGCCTATGTGAGGAGTGGGCAGGCATACAAAGAGTAATAATGCCATTGTTCTGGCAATAATTCTCAAAGACCTGGAAATGATGGCTTTTGTGACCATCTAGGATGAAGAGGCGTTTACCGGCAGTCATACGCGGTCTGGTATACTTGTCAAAATGCTGAATCCATTTCAAACCGAGTTCATTTGTAGTCTATCCGTTGTCAGACACGGCCACCTTCCAATCGCGTGGTAATGTCGTGTCGTGATACCATGATGCGAGGTGGGTTTTGCCCCGTAGAATGATAAACGGCGGGACCACACAACCATCAATATTGATAGCAGAGATTGTTGTAAACCATTCTCTGTTGCCTTGATGAGCTTGTCTAGGCCTGTCACTTCTTTTGGTGCTTGTAATGACCATGCCAGACCCAATAATGCCCATGATAAACCCAGTCTCATCAAAGTTATAAATGTCCATGTCTTGGATACCATGTTTCGTAATTGCCGCTACAACTTGGCAAAACCACGCGTGATACGCGTCTGGATCTTTGTTCAAGACCCTCTGGTAGTCCATCCTCTGATAAAAACGCGTTTGTAGGCCTGGTGTGCGTTTAATGAAGTTGCGCGTCCAGTTCTTTCCAACGCGTCCAGCCCCACGTGCTGCCAACGATTGATTTGACATATCTTCAACATAACTGTGCCGGGTAGAAATGCTCGCGCATCCAGGTCAAGAATGAAGGAAAGAATAGCATTCTCTTCAGAAACCGTAAGTTTAAAAGTATTAGGCATGCTGTCGCATTGTGATGGTATTCCTTTGATTCTATTGCTCAAAGTGGAATGAGGGATGTTAAAGAGTTTCATAAGCTGAAATATAGAAATATGAGGGTCACGTCGTTTAGCTTGGACAGCTAGCTGTAAGTCTGATTCATTGTAACGTGGTGTCAGTGTTGTTGGTGGAGATATAATGGTTTGAATTGTATTGGTTGAAAAGTTCATAACGAGTGCCAACTCGCTTGTAAGGCCAACTCGCTTGTCAGCTACGTTATATATATTTATATGAAAAGCTAAATACAACTTAAACGTAATAAGTTTATTAAAAAAATCTTACTCTCAATATTTAATTTATAAACTAAATTATTTCAATTGAATAAACTTAAATATAAATGTTTTTATATTGTAATTTATTATCAGATTATAACACTTAACTAATAACCTATTAACATATTCTTAATTAAAAAGTATATAAAATAACATTTTTAATTTTAAATCATTACTCTATATTATCCGTTACTTTTAACTATATATCATGAAGACATTTTTTCCTAAAAAAAAAAAAAAGATAGTTTTTAATCGTTTAACATTTGATAGGCGTTTTGAAAAGTTATATTAATAATATAATAACTACTAATAAATAATGAATTTGAAATAATAGCTAGTACTTATTATTTTTAATACGTAATTAATATAAACATTTATTTATAAGAATATTATATTAAGGATTGATTTTAATAACGTAAAATTAATTATAAATTGTAGGAACAGGCTTGAACAATCAATCATAATACTCGAGTATGGGGTCAAAGTCATGATGTTGCTGATGGTTGGATTGAGAAGTCTAGCTGGACCTGCAGGTCTGGCTAAGTGACCTCACAATCCGGTATGTTATCTCTTATCTAATCATACATGTGGGTTCTGTATGGATGGTTTGACTGTGGAATCATATGGATCCAACAAAAATAATTATAACGCTTATTATAACGCTTATTTATTAAGGCTTATTAGTCTTATAAAGCTTATTGCTTATAATTAATTTATGAACCTTATATAGCTTACTAATACTACAAGCCTAGTACAAGCCTTACTTAAGGCGTATAAACCTATTAAAGTTGCCGCCGAGGTACTGGTACTTGACAAGGCCCCATGTTAAAACCGACCCACGGTACATTATTTCAGGGGTCGACCTGTACGTCTTGTTATATGCCCGTTTATCTCCATTTTTACAAGAAACACTCATTTGTCTTGTCGAACCGACTTAAAATCCTCCATCCATAGACGGACCCTGATAAAACTCACAACTCCACAGTCGGTGTTCGTCTGATCGCCAGCCAGTCTTCACGTTTGATGAAACCGAAGTCTCGCTCACAAAACCCATGATCTGCCGATCTTGGGTAGGGACCTCTATCTAGTATGTAACATTGAATAGGTGTGCTCTGGGGCAGAGGAGATGATTCTCAAGTGAGTCGGTGGACCTCATGGCACTACATTATTGATCAAGATGTCTCTGGGGTGTAATGTCATATTTAAAAGGCAAAGATATGATCAAAATTTCTGCCGTCAGACTTCGATCGTCCTTCCTCTCGACTATGCGCAGAGACCACGGTATGGATTTACTACAACAAGACAGACTCTACATGTGAGGCGAAATAGGAGAGTTCAGGCCTTTACACTGAACACTCAGAAGTCTCCGCGCGCCCCTCGTTATCCAAGGTCTTGAATATTCAAGGGTATTTTTCATCTGTGGAATAATAACTCTGGCATAAGCGTTGAGCATGGCCCATGAAGATACAACTGCTTATTACAAGCTGTTTACTCTACTGCTATGCCCAGTCAGGAAAATGACTCTCGAGTGCAAGGGCGGAGACTTATGAGGGGTGACTGTAGCAGAGCGCGGGCCTTGACTGTAGAACATTCAGGCTGAGCCCTCCCCCTTTCTTGCCCAAGACACTCCAACCATGCAACCGTAGGTTCTTGCACGAGTTTGTACCTCGGTAGCGTGAAGTGGCCTCGTCACATGCTCACGCCAACGCAACTGGTAAACTTAGACTACTAATCGATAGCCTACCATCTATCCATGGGCACCCTTCCACTGTTCGAACCGCGCCTTCATCGCAGGGTACTCATTAAGGTCCATTCTCAGCGCGATGCCCGCCGACTGCGCCGCCTCGTTGCACGCCTTGAAGAAGTACAATATGTTAGTCATATCCTGCGCCGTGCCATCAATACACCAGAAATGCACGCCACTAACACCATCGACCTTGGTCCCCAGCTGCGCATCCAGCGCCTGCTCCTCGTTGACGTCCTTGAACGTGACCGTATTATAGCCCATCCGCGCCGGGTACCCCAGCGCCCTCCCGATCGTCTCCTGCATGTTCTCCCGCTGCGGATGCGCCGGCGCCTCGAAGAAGAGGTCCTTCACCAGCGGCCACTGCGCCGCCTTGGTGTCGGCCAGCACCCAGCCGCCCTTGAAGCCCTTCTGCTACGGGCTAGAGTAGATATCTATAGCCAGTCCCATCGCGCCACCTGTAGCGGCCATGTGGGTGACGTGTTTGATGAGCACGTCCGTTGCCAGATACTGCAGCCGGAAGCCGTAGGCCTCGAGGTCGGACTTGGCCAGCACGGGCGCCAGACACTCGAGCACCAGCCCATTCATCGCGAGTACCCCGTCGCCGGTCGGCGGCCCCGCAAACGTAAACAGCGTGCACGGCTTGATGGCCCGCAGCGTGAGGAACACCTCGATGTGGTGCCGCAGGTAACTGCCGCGTACCATTGCGGTACATCGTCGCGGCGCGCGAGGGCCTTGATCACCTTGGGCTCCAGGTTCAGCAGGTAATCGCGCTTTGCGTCCCTGAAGGCTGCGAAGGCCGCTTTGACGGCGACATCGAAGCGGGCATCTCGCGGTTTCTGCGGAGCTGGTGGTGTGCCTGCGTCGAGCGTCCGGACATTCTGCTTGTTAATGTTGATGCTTGGCGGTAGATACTGCCTCATCCGGCTTGTGAGCTACTCGACGCCGACTTCGGGCTGAACGGCGCGCAGGGCTGCGATCATCTCGCGGAAGCCAACGCTCTCCATTGCGAGTTGAAGTTCAGTCTTGGGTGTGGCGTTATTGTACCGGCGATTGGATATTGTATTAGGCTAACTTCCTGAAGAGAACCCCGATAGTTTAAGGTGATGTGTATCGGTCTGTTTCAAACTTTCGGCGGCAGGTTGTTGATTCCGAGATCTTCGCACTCTAAAGATGGTCACCCCCACACTCCACACACGCCTTTAAAGTTTAGACGATCCCGAGGCCCCTTCTCCACTGTTAAGGGGGTTTGCACTCGCGATGCTATTTAGAAAGCAGTCACATGCATCTGTCAAGCTATCCAACCTAGCATTTGTTGGCAAATTCTCTGCATTGTTACTGACCAGTCACTCCAGAACCTGTTACGGCTTTTCTGATATACCATCCGGGAACAACTTAACTGCTCGGGGACATCAGCTACACGTCCTCTCGCCACATCTCGCTATGCAACGAGGTTACTGTACCTGGGTTCACGAGTACCCACGAAGAACGGCACGGGATCTATAATGAAGTAGGAGCAGGAATTGACTACGAGCACCTCCAAGCCTGCGGGTACCATGGTTATGCTGTGAGGGACTGCGTTGACTTTTTTCCGGTCTATTGTTTGTTTGATTATCGAAACATGTCCATCATGACTTTGGTCCATTGTCCCAACTCAGCCCATAAGTTACTGAATGACACCGACGCTGGCACTGACGCTGACACCAGTACGGGGAAGTATGGGGAATGGAGTCATCTCGAGATGATCGAGGATCAACGAAGGGGATTTTGTCAATACAGTCGGAATAGTTGCCTCAGCCGCCCGTATCGTCTCTGATCACTGATCCCCCCTTTGGGTTCACCCGCCTCCCACTGAATAAATCATGTTCTATCCATCCGTCTCTCGACCACATAACCCAGCCCACGACCCACGATCATGCCATCGGAAGCAAACCCGTACGCACGAGTGTTGTCGCTGCCCACCTCCTAAGATCTACCCCCAACGGCCCCCGGAAGAAGAAGAGAAAGTGTACGCAGACGAAACCCGGTCGCCGTCGGCAGAGAATGTGTGTGCCGATGAAATCCGGGCGCCGCCAGCGGTGCTAGTAGTCGTGGTGACCGACATCGACTGTGTCACATAGGCCGTGCGGGTCTCAAACGCCGTTCGCGTGGTCATCTTGGTGGTGTTGTGGGTCATGTCGCCTGAGCTGTTGTAACTACTCTTCTTCTTTTCGCCGCTGCTCGAGTGCTGGACAAGCTGTACCGAGGGACAGTGAAAGTAGCGCGTCTCGCCGCGGTGGTCGGGGGTGCCCTCGATGCTTCTGATGAGCCGTGTTCCGTCTGATCGCAGGGAGTACCGGTAGGGCTCTTCTTGGGGAGGCATGGCGAGGGAAGTGGGTTGGTGGTTGTCAACTTGTGGTGGCGATGGGGGTACTGTGGTTGAGAGGCGGAATGGTGTTGCGCACAACTTGCTGTCGGTGATGGCCATGGGTCCTCGTGTGTGTGTGTTGGGTCAGGACCGTATTTGGTCTGGTCGTTCAGACGATGAGGGAGAGAATTTGGCAGAGGGGACTGGTGCCTTTGGAGAGGCGGAAGCCGGTTATAAGCCATAAGGCTCCTCGCTGCAGGCTGCAGGTGCGTTTGTATGTGTCTGCATTTGTCCTTTCGGGCTGTTACATCAACTAGTTCTCTGGATGGATCTTTATGCATGGGGCTTCCCTTTCTCATGGACACTTACAAGAAATTCTTGCATGAGTCTTCCGCATATAAGTTATACTCGCTGTGACTTAGATGAAAGACATACTTTTGAGCCGTGTTTGAGCGCAGTGTTGACTGAGACTCTACATAAACCTGGAAATGTGCCCAACGGGATGACATGACGCGGCAACCCCTTTTCAAAATTGAGTCATATCAGAGTCGCTTACCTGCAAGTCTACTGCTTGTGGACCTTTGAGGCACTCGCATGAGCTTCGTGGTCATACACGTCTTTATCACGTTGGCTACCTACACAACAACTGGGTCGCTCTTGTAGTGTGTTCTTGGAATTTCCATCGTGATCTTTTCCATTGGGAACCTTTCCCGATCTTGAGTCTATTTCCAGCCAGCAACACGCGTCTTGTTCCTACCGCCCACGGGCATCTCCATCACACTCATCGTGACGTTGTTCTTATCACTCGGCGGTAGCGCTCCGCCACCCGCGAGCAAGACATAACTATCATCCTCCTGGAAAACGAGAAGAGACCTCGTGTACGAGCTTCCCTCCGGCGTGGACAGCGTCACCCAGGCACCCTCAGCCCCCAACGCCTGGTTGATGTAGACATCGGAACAACATCCGCTAGACACGATGATAGTGCCGTTCTCGCCGCCAACAGATGTCCATACCACATACGGAGACCCCGTCGGAACAAACCCATCGGAGCTGACCAGTGGGTGGTGCACAACGCTGCCGAAAGCCGTCGGATCGCTCGCCAGGCGGTAGTAGACCGGGAACGTGTACTCAGAGTCGTTCGTAGGAGGGTTATAACCCCCGCCGAACTCATAAGTTAAGATATACACCCCATTAGGCAGCCGCGCCACCGTCGCCATTCCCGGCCGATCAGTGTAATTAGCATATGCGACATCATCAACCACGTCGCCCCAGGTCGTCAGGTCCGTCGAAGTCTGATGCACCAGCTTCTGCCCGTGGGCTGGGTCGCGCTGGTCCGAATAATAATAGATGAGCGCGCCCTCGTGCAGCAGCATGAACGGCTCCCACACGGGCGTCAGCCCGTTGTCGGGCAGGGCCTCGCCGCCCGCCGCCACGTGGCTTACGAACTCCCAGGTCGCGCCGCTGTCGGTCGAGGCGTAGAGGTCGAGCTGCGTGGACGAGAGGTCCGTAGGGATGGACGAGCCGGCCAGGAGCACCGTGCCGGCTTCGTACCCGGCAAAATCCTCAGGCAGAACGTAGAGGACGGGCTGGTAGCGCAGGCCGTACCCGTAGCCCTGGTCTTCGACGTGGGTTAGTTCCGTCCACGTGGCGCCCTGGTCGCAGGACCGGTAGATGGGGAAGTAGACTGGCGGCGGCTCGGGACTGTAGTTCTCCCAGGTTGCGAGGATGTCGTTGTTGGGGAGCTGGGCGGTTCGCGCGTAGAGCACACGTGGTGTGGTGTAGTTGCTTGGGGGACTGAATATCACGACTTCGGAGAGCTCTGAGGGTGCCTGAGGTTTCCGAAGGTGTGCGGCAGCGCCGACTGCCATGAAGGCGGTGGCTATGGTAGCCAATGGAAACGAAGGGTGCATAATGTTTGGCGAAGACTTGTTGATGCACATGTGCGAAGCATAACTTACCACTTACCTAGAATAGCCCATTTGCGAGGTGACGCATGGGATATATATACCTCTGGAGCTCGCCTGGCCACTTAGCCATGTGCAATTCCGGAATCCGTACTCGAAAGGTCAGAATATTGATGTCAACCAAGACGGCCCAAGTACCGTCTCGCTATAAGTACGGCCGACTTCCCCGCAAGAAGCAAGGCCCCCGGTCCTGCAGTCTACCCTGGATACCCCGTACTTAGTCGAGCCAATGAGCGACGCCGTGTGGGGCAGATCCCCGGCACTCAAGGCACGAGTGCCGGGCAGTGCGGCTCTTTGATTCATGGAAATAAGGTTGCATCATACGCTTGTGGAAGCTGACTTGGAGTGGCAACGTCTTCTCTGTTGGTCGCCTCGGCCATTATCCGAATGACGCACATGAGTTGCGTACTCGCTGCATCAGACGTGTTCAATGATAGGTAGATAGACTGTATACCACCGTCCCAGCATCCACGTGGCTTGTTTGGAAGGCTGGATATGTATGTAAAGCTTGCGGCGCTTTCGGTCGTTCGGTTGTTCTGGTGAACGACTACTATCAGGCAATAGGTGTAGTAGCAGCCACGATCCTGTCCATTCCCACGCCCCTGGCCCCTTTTGAAATTAGCTTTATACTACCCAAGCCCACGTGATGCAACGGTCATTTAACAGGAAAAGGCATAAACATACCATATCAGAGGGAACACTGGGCTATGCCTTATCAAAACGCAATTTCTCAAGTATCAAAGCCACATAGCAAACACGGTCAACAGACCAACCACCACAATTCCCACCATCTCTCCGGCAGAGTGCCTTGCCGACCCAGCGATTGCGACCACATCAGTGCTGTTGCCTCCCGACGCTGCAGACGACCCTCTCAGACCCGTCGAGTTGAGACTGGCCGTCGAATTGCCAAGACCATTTCGCGTCCCGACCACACACTGTGCTACAGTCTGCTGATCGACAAAGTTGCCTGGCGAGCCCATCGGCGTCTGCAAATACGTGTTAGTAGTTGCTTCTCTTTAATCTCCAAACTGGCAGTTCCCGGGTTCACAAGCTCTCGTCGAGTCACTCGCAAGCTGCAGAGCCCCTGAGACAGGTTGGAAATTGGAACTGGTAGGAGAAGATTCCCAAAATAACTTACCATAGTCAGGTTATAATCCGTGGCCGAGAACCCGCCCGCGGACCATCCCGTGTACCCCATGAAGACATCGGGGTTACCGTTGATGAAAGCAAGACTGCTGCAGAGGTTGGTGATGCACTACACTCGTCCAGTTTATCAGCATATTTCCCCCGTTTTCGTCCGCAGCGTTGCGACCATATGTGATCGAGGAAAGGGGGTAAAGAAAGGTGCTGTAGTCAAGATTCAAGTCAACTTACCGAGCTCGTATTCCCACCCCCAATCTCTCCAACAAACGCCCTTCGGCCCCCAGCCGCCAGAAACCGCGCCAGCGGCACAAACCCATCGCTCGCATGATCAGAAACGCACTCGAGGGCCTGTCCGCTCCCGTCCGCGTCGAGGTACTGGTGCACCTCGAAGACGAGGCGGGCGGTGGAGCCGTCCGGGTTGGTGACGCGGCTCAGGTTGCCGGCGCTCCCGTTCTCGACGAAGCTCGTCGCGTGCGTGAAGTCCGTCCCGGGCAGCAGGATCGTCTGCGTCGTCGCGCCGGCGTTGCGGATCGCCGTCACGGCCGCTTGCACCGTGGTCGCCCATGTGGCGAGGTCCGCGTCGGGCAGGTCGTGCGGCTCGTTCATGATGCCGAAGATTACTTTGGATTCGTTGCGGTACTATAAATAGGGGAAGGATGCGTCCCTCAGCTAATAGTGCTCTTTCCACCCGGTTCGAGGATTCAGGGCCGCGGAGCACTGCGGGGGTTCAAGGTTGTTACTTACCATGGTGGCGATCTGGACCACAGGTTTGCGAACTGCGCATTGCTGGGCCCGCCTTGGCCGATGACCTGCCCTTCGAAACGGGCGTAGTTGTGAATATCGACAATGCAGGAAGAGCCCGTATCCAGACAGGCTCTGACGAGCTGGTTGTACGCCGCCGCGTTGACCCGGTCAAGCGTCCCGTTTGAGCTTCCGCCGGTTGCTGCAGTCGCTGAACCGTTCAGGTTCCGGCTGTTGATTAGGAACTGCCATGTCACCGCTGCGTGTGAGGGCGTGTCTCATCAGTCTCTTTGATTTTCGAACTTGGCTGAGGATAGGGAGCCTATGATTCGGGGACGTACGCAATCTGAACGTGTTGAGCCCGTCATTCTGGGAGAAATGGACCATCTGGGCACCACCATCGCTGTGGCCTTCGCCGAGGGTCACAACTGGACCTTGGGAGTTGCTAATATTATGTGCGCCCTGTTCTGGTGTAAATTAGGCTGGCTTCAAATGTTCCATTCAGGACTGCTTCATCCTACCTGGATGTCTGCCCCGAAGTCGAACCCAGCAATGTTCACGCCCTGTTATTAGTCAGTGGCGCGTTATTGAAGCAATATGGAGATGCAACGGAAGCTCACTGCAAACTGCGACCGCGCGAAGATCGCGACCACTTGGCCAAGAAATACCAATGTCGACTTCATGTTTGCTGTAAGTCACTATTGTTATGTGCGATTTCTCTGTCCAGAATCCTTTGAGCAGAAAATGAGAGCTTAGGGTAGGTGGTAAGGAGTATACATATATAAAATGGGGTGCTGGTTAAACACTTGGATAACTGCCTCATGCGGCAGAAGAACATGACGAAGATCGGCCGGGTGTTCAACACATTCAAGAGTTCGTAGCGCCGAAGCACATTGAATTTGCCTATGGCTCATGCATAGATTTTCCGACTGAGAGTGCGGCTCCCGGCAAAGACTTTCCCAGACCGTAGACGTTTGATCGACACACGTTGCTGTCAGGCTCGAGGGGTCCCGAGAAGACGCCGAGTCCGGGACAGAATGCGACAGAAGGTTGATGAGAAAATGACAAGCGATGGTTTGTGTCTTCGAATCAGATTGCGTCTATCTGAATGGTATCTGCCTTCTATATTGGATTGAGCTGCCCAGGTTTGCACCACGCCCCTGGATATAAATACATACGGAGTTCGCCTCTGGATATTCAGATATTATGCCCACTCTTTGGGATTCTTCAAGACCTCGAGGAGTCTCTGTTCTCTCCCTCTGGGTTCGGGTTCGTACATGTATCGCCAGGATGCGGTCAGGGGAAGACTCATCAAAATGCTCTCGACTCTTGAGCCAGGGACGTTGAGACCAAAGGCCGTTCCTCTGTCGTGTACCAGGTTGAATTCAACATACCTTCCTCTCCGCACCTGCTGCCACTCCTTCTCCTTCTCGGTGAATGGCATATCCTTTCTCTTCTCGATGATCGGGAGGTATGAGGGTAGGAAGCTTTTCAGACAGTCTTGAATAAAGGCAAACGTGTTGTCGGCGTCTGCCACTGTCTCGTCCAAGTCGTCGAAGAATATGCCGCCCACGCCTCGCGTCTCGTTCCGGTGTTTGTTGGAGAAGTATTCGTCACACCACTTCTTGAACCTAGGGTAGTATTCCTTGTCGTGCTTGTCACATGCCTCCTTCAGGCTCCTGTGGAAGTGTACCGCATCCTCGTCGAACAGGTAACTGGGCGTCAAGTCGCTGCCGCCACCAAACCACCACGCCTGCGAGGTACCGTCGGGCCGCATCGTCTCGAAGTATCTGTAGTTCAGATGTACCGTTGGTGCCATGGGGTTCAATGGATGTAGGACTAGGCTCAGCCCTAAGGCATAGAAATCGAGCTCATCGACGTCTTCGGCCAGGTTCTTGTGATTGGCGCGCATCTTCGCAATGGCCGGCTTCGGTAACGTGCCGTACACGACACTGATGTTTACACCGGCTTTCTCAAACACATTGCCCTCCTGCAAGACGCACGAGGTACCACCACCTCCATTTCCCCGAGTCCACGTGTCCTCGCGAAAGCTTTTGCCGTCTACCTGCTCCAGCGCGAAGACGATTTCTTTCTGTTGTTCGCGAATGAACTGCTCCATTCGTAACCGCATCGGGGATTGATCGGTAACGCCTTTTTCGCGTTTCGTGCGCTCGTCGAGGTCTGCAAGGGACCGGGCGTCGAATTTGGTCGGCTTCTGGACGGCCTGCACGCTCGATCAGTCAATTGCATGGCCAACATATTCGGGGCCTTCGCAGAAAGCTATACCATTGTGTAGGCAGCAGCTGACATAGAGACTATTCCAACAGTGAACAACGTAGCTCTGTTGACCCGGCGCAAGCTGCCAGAGTTTGTATTGGATGCGAAGGAGCGTCGGATGGGCCGCGTAGCTTGTGAGAGCCGTGGGCAGACGGCAAGAAAAGAGTTCAATTGTCGTTTGGACATCTTGAAAGAAAGGAATAATGCGAATAGGGAAAGATATAGGTATTTTATCGGAAACGAGCGTGTGGACAATCGTAAGATGTCTGAAGTCGTAAGATCAATGATGCCAGTTTGGATGAGGACCTCGTAGCTCCCAGAGCTCACCTCAGCTGAGAAATGGGGCTGAATCAGCCCACTGCCCCTCCCAGGTGGCAACCAGCTGTTGGCTGACCGCCGGACGTACTTGCGCATGGCGGCCACCTACGTGGGGTCGGCGGGCCTGGAATAGGGGCTCCGGCAAGCAGATGACCAGCGAGTAGTAGCCACCGTGCTGTCTCGGTGGCACGGCGCATATGGGACTGTCTTATGGGGAGCTACATATGCTTCTTATATTGGGAGGCGACATTATAATACAAACATGGTCACTCGCTCTTCTTGCCAGCGATAGGTGGAAGCACAATGGGGGAGGTGAAAGACAACACGGCGATATTGGGCTCAAGCAACTATAAATAATAAAGGCCCGCCCTTCACTTTGCAGGTCCTTCCTAACACACTGAGTGGTACCTCACAGATGAAATTGCTCTTTTCTTGTCCCTAGCAAAATTGTAGTTTCCCTTATGTCGGCGCTCGACTATGATCTCCATTTTGTGCCTGTGTCAGAATTTGCCAGATTTTTCGTGTTTGGTATTAAGTCAAAGCCTTCCTATACTGTGGGCGGTGCATGCGTGACCCTGGCAGGCAACACATATGGTCGTCCCATTTCGCAAAGATCGGACGACGATACGTATGGTAGTATCAAGCCGCGCTCGAAGTTATTCGTGAAACGGGACAGAACCATGACAATGCCCTCTTCCCAGCACCCGGATCCTGCAGTTGTGCTTGTGCCTATGGGAGGTTGCAGTCCATTGATTGCGCATTGTTTAAAGAATCCTGATGGAGGATAATCGAGTTCCATGATTATCCGAGCTTGAACGCAAGCGTTTATCCCAACCCGTGGTTTTGGTCCTCTTAGCATTCTGCTAAGTCCCAGGATGTATGTTGAGTTTGGGAGCCTTACACGTTGACCCCAAATGTTAGAATCTCCTCCTCTTCGCCGCTCATCGATTCAGAAGCCGCAAAAGGCTGGTGGAATTCGGAAGGCGGCGCAAAAGGCTGGTGGAATTCAGAAGACTGGTGGACTTCAGAAGGTTGGTGGAGTGAGGTCGGCCGATGGGTCATTCCAGGGACGCAGCGGTCAAAGGTGAGATCTGTTTGGTGCATGGTATAGAATAATCTGCAGAAAGCCCTGCCACCGCGATGCTTGCAGTCAGGGTTCTGACAGATGTGACCTTGTACGCATGACGCATTTCTGCATTTCTCACGCCTCGGGCAAGGCAGCGAGCGCGCCAGCCATTCAAGAGCGGGTTTGAGCTCCTCTGGAAGGGGGTCGTGGTCATATTCGCATTTTTCGTTGGGGCAGCTATCAGTGAGCTGTTTATTGTTGCAGATTTTCCGGCCTACTGATCGATCTTTGAGTAGACTTGAGGCCGTTGGGCTTGGGGGCGGTATGTAGGGGTCCAGGCGTTGCTGGCTCTCGTTGATGGCCACATAGCTGGTTGGTATGTTTTCTTTCTTGGGCAATTGCGAGGCAGGGTCGATCTTCAATAGACTTGTATCGGTCATGCCGTTCTTAGTACCGTAATGCGTCGGAGGGTTAAAACTCAGGCGCCCAAATCCGTTCGTAGACTCATCGTCGCTTCTCGTAGTTCGAGACAAGTGGTGGGAGGAGAATGGGGATTCCATAGTGGATCTGGGGGTCATGGTCTTGGTGCCGGCATGCAAGTTCTTGCAGGTCTTGCCGTATCTGCATTTGCCGATGGCAAAAAATGAGCAGACTTTTTGACTCTCACTTTGTGCTGCTGGTACCGTCTGATGTGTGGAAATAGGTCTCGGGTACGCTGGTGGTCCGTCGAATTTAGCGGCACGGAAGACACCGGGTAGCTCCTCGATATCCAGGCTCAGTTTGGCAAACTCCTCGTGGAACAGTAGGCCAGGGGTGCGGACGAGAGTGAACCTGTCACGGCAGCCTCTGTAAGGCGTGAGCTCGGAGACGTACCCCACATCGTGACAGGCGGCGAAGTAGATGTGCTTGCACTGGGCGTTCTCGGCATAGAGGCGCAGCATGGCCCGCAGCTTAAAATCGGCATTCTCCTTGAGCTCACCGGCATCGACAAAGTCGGTGAGCCCATATGAGCGGGTGAAGCTGGAAGTGAAGGGCGCGAGCGAACGCTTCTCGGGTCCACAGAGGCCGGCTTTGGACAGGGTCTTGGACAGGCCGACGAGATTGGCGTAGACGCGCACCATGATGTCGCAACTCTCCAGACCCTTCCGTCGCAGGCTGGTCTTGATGGTGTCGTTCAATTGCTGGGCAGCCCTCGTGCCACCTTCGGCCCCTGCAGTTACCTGGTCCTCGCTGAAAACGTAGCCATCTCCGTCAATCAGCACGAGGACGAAGGGGTTGCGCTCCTGACCACGTGCCATCTGTTTGTACCGCTCGCGACCCTCTCTCTCCTCCTCGTAGTCGCTCTTGAGACGCTTGTAGCTGGCAATGAGTTCTGTGTAGCTCTCCAGAATACTCGACAGCGTGTTTGTCTGCCGGAACTCAGCCAGCTGCTGCGCAGCGTCGTCAATGTCCTTCTCGTTCAGCATCTTGGCCACCGGTCGGAGGGGTTGGTCTTAATCAAAAGGTGGGTGGCGATGGTTGCGAGATGACGATACTGCAGCTGTTCCTTCGGCTCCTTCGAGTGTACCCAACCACGTGCGGTTTCACTCAGAGGTGCAGAGCTAGAACGGTTCCATGTTTTGTACCGCTACGATGTGAAAAGATTTGAGACTGGCAGAAAAAGCAGTGAGGCCGATGAACAAAGATGACCAGGCAGCCGGCAGTCGGCAGTCGGGCTCGCTTAAATTTCGGTGGGGCCGCCAAGTGCGCCCGGCTGCAGTCTGCCAGCAGCTGGCAGCCTGAGAACCTCCAAGTTCAAGGCGACCTTGCCAGGCGGCAAAGGCGCCAACGAAAGGAGCAACATGAATAAAAACCAACTTGATGGGCAATACTTGATCTGAGCCGCATACCATTAAATGCCAAAGGCAAAACAGAGTCCTTTAAAAGCTGTCTGAAGTATCATGTCGGTATCCGCAGTTCAGGGTGCATAGACATATGCCACCCAAGAAGCTACCCAACTCATGACTGTCACAGGTTGTGTCCAACAGAGGGGCCATGCTGCGTGCTCGCATAAAATGTACTATCTTCCTTTTGATTTCAAGGCCAAGTATAAACATTACACAGCGCACATATTTCATTAAACAATTGCTGTAATAGTTGTGGTCTTGGTATGATCAAGTTAAAAGGTTCGACACGATTAAGTCGCTGAACTTAGCAATAGAACAGACTATATGTATGATAACGACAAGAAAAAGGTATTGATAACTATCAGACAGCCCATAAAGCATAATCTCTCTGTCCATATCACCCCGTAACTGAAAAGAATAATCTCATGTTCTTTTCGCCAGCTCAGTGTTGGGTTGTTTTATCCTATTTACCTTAGATAACGAGGCAAGTAGGACGCAGCCGACGTAGCTTCTACCAGCCAGGTCACAACTGCCGTATGACCAGCAGTTCATAGCAGCTGCCATTGGATCACTCCCATCAACAGGAAGGAACAACCACCTAATTCCAGCAGAACTATCCATCAACTGGGTGGTATATATGACCGTAGATGCATAGCCGTCTAACGGCTGGCAGCCTATCCCGAACCTCACCCCAATGTTGCACCGAGCCACGACATTCCTGGAACCAAGTGTTTCTAGTATCAACTACGATAAGTAGATACTTAGAATAGCAGCCCCAAGTCTTCGGGCGTCATCGACACACTCGGCTTCACTGGGCAATTACAATATATGTTGATTTCGGAGCGTTGAGTTTCCCCTTATTGACTTCCCCTGTTACTTTTGCTGTTCTCGAGCATCCTCACTGCTCATTTCCCAGCTGTCTACCCTTATAGTCCTGACTCATACGTCCAGTTTCTCATCGCCACCTCGTGTGTCCCAGCTAAAGCCGAATCATCCTGGACTCGCAATCGCTGACTCAGCACAACAGCAACCTCGACCAGCATCGATCATGGGACGCCGCAAGCGACAGAAGTCGCCCTCTGACGATGGCGAGGAAGACCAACCAAAGAAGCGCCCCCGGGCAACCCGTCAGCTCCGCAGCAGTAACCGCAATATCAACGTCGCCACCACCGATAATGTCAACGTCGACGTGAGAGATTTTGCGTACGAGCAACCGAACCCAGCAACCCGTCAGCGCCGCAGAAGCAACCGCAACGTCAAAGCCGCCGACAACGATGACGATGACAATGAAGATGAAGATGACGTGGAGAAGACAGGTGTCGCGGACGACCGACCGGACAAGAGCTTCCCGGCAATAAATCGTAAATCGCTCCGTAGCAGCAACCGCAACCGCAATGTCGCCACAACGGATAGCGGTAAGGCTAAGACAACAGATGTCACGGACGACCAACCAAACAAGCGCGTCCCAGCGACCCGTCAGCCCCGCAGAAGCAACCGCAGCATCGGAGCCCCCGTCAACTGTTATGGTGAATATTATGGTGACGCTGCGGCGGCAGATGTCGCAGAGGATCAACCGAAGAAACGCATCCCAGCAACCCGTCAGCGCCGCAAAAGCAACCGCAACATCAACGTCGCCACCGATGATAGTAATAACGATGACGATAGTGATAACAACGACGATAGTGACAACGACGAGGATAGTGATGACGACGACGATGGTGATAACGTCAAGAAGACCAGTGTCGCATACTTCCAGAACCGTGGAGAGGAGCCCTGGGCCTGGACCGAATCAGGCGTCAACCCTCCCAAGAGACTCGCGCCGCCGACCGGCCGTCTGTAGGACACCGACATCCACTACGCGGCCGAGAAGCAATTTGCGCACCTCGCAGTCGCACTCCAGGAGCACGCAAAGCCCGCCCTGAATTCACCAATTTCTCCCAGGGCCCCAATCCGCAGCACGCTCGTCGTCCACGTCCACGGCCTGGGCCTGGGCACCATAGTAAACGGCACCCGCACCGGCTTCGGTGCTTGGGTCGTCTACTTCGGACCCGGATCGCCGTACAACACGCGCCAGACCGCCAAAAACCTGAAGCACACGGGGCCGATGTCAGACTTGGAGGCGAAGGTGCGAGCCCTGGAGCTCGCGGCCGACCGACTCGGCTCTATCTCCAAGGGAAAGGGAAGATCCTCGTTTGCCGGCATTCGTTGGGTCATCATCGTGTCCGACTCGAGCCTGGTCGTGCACTCCGTGGCGAACCCCGACGTGGGGCTTGCCGGCGGCATCGAAACCGCTCGTCGGGAGGCTATCAATGCCAAGCTGGACCGTCTGGTACTTGGTCCTAAAGGCGGAACCAAGGTTAGCTTCTCTGTTACTGGTTGGAGGTCCGTTGGACAGCGAGCAGCACGGGCCTATGTCAAGAATATTCGTTGATGCTCATGGTTCTGTAGATAGACGTATGAGGTCGTTGGTCATGGGATTGGGTCTATAGTGTAGAGACCTTGTTTAGGAAAGGGAGGAAGAAAACTGCACAGCGTTATGCCTGCTTTTATAGATGAATTGACTCAATGCCGCCTACATACCGGCTTCGATGTGATATGACAAGGAGCTGTAAAATGTCCAGGTTCTTCTCGAACACAGACAACATGTCACAGTGTCTACTCCTGAGTCCTGTGAATGAACGATTCCTTTAGGACCTGATAGAATCGGCTAGTTCGACTGAAATGTCCCATACTGCCGAAAGGACTATATATTTCGCTTCTTCCACGACCCTGGCCAATCTTCCCCTTTCACTCACACCACAAACCACAAAGACATTCGCTCATTCTTCCAGTGTCGGTGCCCCTTTCGACAAGTCCTCCATCACCAACAACAATGCCTGACGCAGCGTCCATGACTCGAATACGATAGGCTCTTTCTCACGTTTCCTGTTCTTGGCTTCTTTCCGCCCAAGCTCCTCGGCTTCTCTCCGCTCAAGGTTCAAGCCACAGGTGGCAAGCAAAACGGTCCGGATCAAGAGTCGGGACGGGCTCCCTCAATGACGGCACCTGGACCACGATCCACATGACCAGCCTCCCGGGCTGGGGAATTCCTACCACAAATTCTCGTATTCCCAAGACAGTGATGCGACTGGGCCGGAACCAACATCAGCCGATGCGGTCCAATGCCTCCGGCAAGGGTGAGAGTGAACCTACGTATCGATCCATACAAACTCGCGGAGCCAGTCGAAGATTGACGATTCATCATTTCTGCACTCGCCGCCCGGCATCTGTAGAGCACCGGGCTGTCCGTCGAGGGTTTTTTTCTGCAGCATCAGGAGGCGGCCTGCGGGGTTTAGGATCATCGCTCTGACGGCCAGGGCGGTTGAGTCGGGTTGGCCGAGTACCTGCAGTACCTTCCAGGATGGGACCGCCCACTGTTGTGCTTGCGGTGACAACGTGTAGGGCCATTCGGTCCGTTCAAAGGGCTCCAGCTCGTGCGGCAGAGAGTCGTCTAATGGGGAGTCGCCATCCGCATCCATGACGGCAAAATGTATGCCGCGAAATGTGTAAGTAAGCGAGCTGTAGTCGATGAGGATGATGTGACTGGTAAACGCGGTCCGGGGACGACATGGACGTTTGAAGGCGAAGTTGCAAACACCAAAGGTGGTTCTTGGAAGTTCCAGTGCCCGGTAGCGCTCTGTAGGCGATTAGTCTTACCTTCTTCAGCCGTTTGAAGAAGAAAGCAAGTGCTAATGGCATGTCGATGCGAATAGTGGCGATCATACTTTTCCCTCATATAGCACCTGCCCCTACACACTGATCCTGCATCTTCCTCATAGGCTCCTGCATCCACACAAGAAATGTACTTGAAGGCGACACCGCTTGTAATTGTGCCACTGATTATTGACCCTTGGTTTGGGATGATGCTCTTCGAATAGTGATCCAAGGATTTGACCGTGTTTACAGATTGGACCTGGGTCATACCTCTTTGGATAAACTGGCTCGGGACATCGCATGGACTGTCGGAGCCAGTCACTATGGTTGCCGAGTGCCACAGGTCTCAATCGGGCGAGATGTAGGTTCTTACCTCGGCATCGCAGCTTCTCGCAGTGTCTCAGGTGTAGCTTAAGGGCGAGATCTGTAGAACGTTGCAACAGAGGAAATCAGATGCGGGTGTCGATTTGACCCCGAAAGTTCCCTCTGTTGGTCTGACTAGACGTTGGTTCACAGCGCGTAAATTGTCCACTGCCATTGGTCAGTGCCATAGTTATCCTACCTCACAGCGGCGCTCAAGTGTAACGTTAGTGGCTGTGGTGTGTGTATGCTCAAGGAACCTATATATAGATGTACGCATGCAGGGGCCTTATTGGTGTACCGAGTACTCGGGTCGGCGCTTAGCCACGAACCATGCTGCCCCTTACCACACCACGCTCTTCCCCCTTTACGCGCCGGTCAGGAAATAACATTGAGAAAACTGCATTCAGAAAACGGCATTCAGAAAACGACATTCGGAAAAAGACATTCACAAAATGACATCTAACGTTCGCGAAGAAATGCATCGATGCATACCACGCGTCTAGCCAATTGGCTCGAGGTGATCTATAAAAGGGTCGTGCTGCCAAACACCTTCTCTTGTTCCACGATGGAGCACACAATCACCGTCACGAACACCCCAGTACAGTGTACTCAGTCAGCATACAACAAGTCATACAGCTAGTAGGTGGATTCTATCCATTACGGTGTGACGAAGTCCTCGAAATGAATCACCTTAACCATGCTCTTCCCTGTTTCGTCACTGTGCCCTCTGACCCATCATTCATACGGCAGGCTAAGAATGAAGCACTCACACCTGGTCCCTCACTTGCCGATAAAGGCTTATACATAGTCTCCGTGTTCGACATTTTTGCGCGTATCGACGAAGGCGAGACAGTGCAAGCGCCAAGTTCATCAGCACTGGGCGCTGCTATAAGCCGGCCATATCACATAGCCGCCGACCTCCTAAGCGCCGATACCGTCAGCCTGGGACAGCGCTTAGGCTGCAGCCCTATTTATATCATTCGAATCGCAGGTACGGCTCCAGGATGCATCCACTCAATGTCATCTACCTATGGGTGGCGTACCGGTATAGGTAAGCAATCCACACAAACCTTTGCCACGCAACTGTCAAGGGACTTAAAGGATGTACAGCTAAGGTCGTACCGTACATCTCCCACATTGTACAGTACGAAGACGGCATCCAGAGTCACTTGAACAACTCTTGGGCCAATCTGGATCGTGATGGAGACATCACAATGCTGGATGCGCCTGAATATCCCACTACCGTCTAACCGCAGTGAGCCTACACGTCCATATCTGCAGGGAGGTTTGCAATCGCTAGAAACCAGGACTCGGGTCGTTCTTGGTGACGGGCTAGTCGCATCACATGGCTTTCCAGTGTCAAGATGGAAAAGGAATCTGACACGGTTCGTGACACGGTCCAACGGAGCACATCATCCATGAATCGCAAGCATGCGGATCAACTTATCTGTTTTCCTTTTAATTGAGCATGGTTGAGAGAAATTGAGAACCCCAACATGATATTTTACCGTCTATAGACATATACTTACACTTGTTCCGAAACATGTCACCTCCTTACTCTTATTCTCAAGCCCTAAACTCCCTAGCCGTATATCCCCGACCCTCCTGATCCATATGCATTGGCGGCAGCCGCAGCTGCGACTTCATAGCCCACTCCGCATCCGCCCTGGCCGCCCTCAGGAACTGCGCAGCAGCGCGCTTACCAATCTCGTTGATCGCCCGTTGATTGACAGTGAATCCAGTCCAGAAGAGGTGCTCGCGCGACTCCGCGCACAGCTCTTCGTCAATGGCGCTGATCTCTTTGTCCATCAGTTCGCCTTTCTGGGCGGTGTCGCTTCCATCCGCCACCGAGTCCGTATTTGTGAGTGCAAACTCCCCTTGTACGCACGGCTGCCACACCTCTGCGAACCCCTCATCAACGGGTCGCGTCCCAAGCCCGTTATGGTCCACGAGATCGGCGTCGCGGAGCTGCCGGTCGACCATCAGTTCCCGTAGGTAGCGCGACATGTCGTACGTCATCGCCTCACGCCGCGGGAGCGGTATGAGCAAGCCCTCTGAGTTCCCACCTCTCTCTACCGCCGTTATGGTCTCGCCTCTTTTTGCAACCACGGCGTTGACGACATCGATATCAACAACATCGTCATCAGTCCAGGTCTCCGGGTCCGGGAGGTCCAGCCACTCATCCACCAGATCCACAATTATGGCGTCCCAGAACTGCGTCAAAAAGGCCGCGTTGCGCATCTGCTCGGCCCTGGTGTGCGGGTGTGGCGGCTCCGGACGGTGGGCTTCGAACCCTGGGGCCAGGGAGATGTCGAAGAACCGGGGGATGAGAATCCGGAAGGGGGCACGTGGATGCGCTCCGGATTGGGTTGCGGCGGGATCCAGGTTCGTGTCCAAGTAGTAGTCGGAGAACGCGACCGATTCGCTGTCTTGGGCTTTCTGGTACAGTAGCTCGATTGACGACCAGAGCTGGTGGGCTTCGCTCTCTAGCACAGCAGTTGCCAGTTTTCTAGGCAGCGCTGCCAGGTGCCAGACGTCCCAGTAGCCGAAGTTGAAGATCCAGAGAGTTTCGCGCGGTGGGCGCTGCGGTCGGGGTGTTGCGAGGAATGCGTCGATTTGACCTACTAGGTCTTGGTGTGTGGGTACGGGGTAATGCTCTGCTACCCAGGAATAATCCGGCTTTGCGCCTGCATTGCTGTCGGTTACCTCGTCTTGCTGGGAAACGACGTGGCCAAGCGAGGTCGCAAATAGCGAATTCGATACCATGGTGCTTCCCGGTCCCTGGGTTTCTGGTACAAATGAGATGTAAGAATCACAGTCCAACTGTTATAGCATTAGCTGAAAGACCCTGCTGGCGTGGCTTCAAGATGTCCCCCTTACTTCATGGCAGAGGATCTCAGTCCATGCTGCCTCTTGCCCACTGTGCAGTTGCGACAACACATTCGGTGTAGCAGCGTCGCCTCCTCCGAATACTACTATCCGCATCCCGCCACCCAAAGTGCCATTCTCAACCACCTCGCCTGCTGGCCGTCTCGAGGTGTTCAAGGTTCCAAGCCGAACGGTACCTCGCGACAAGTGTGAAGACCACGTGTATGACACAACTAGGAGTACCACGACAGTAGCCGCAACTCTTGGGAGCACCTTCGGCCCCCCTCGTAAGGCCTTTGCTGAACAGACAGTTGCCAGGGTCCCCAGTCCAATTTCTTCTATGAGTCTCCCTGTGGTGTATAGAGATCTTCGAATTTGCTTCGTGGCCATGTCCAATCTGCTGCTGGTGGGCCTGTCTGCGCGATTGCTGCCTGGGATATCACACCTGTCGTAGATGTTGCGCGGGGAAAGTTTGAGTCGGGATCCGAAGGACTTGGATCTGAATTGGGGAAAACAGTGATATACCCAGTCGCTGAACCTCCAAAGTCTTATGCGAAAGGCATCCCAACTACATACCGTACCTTGGACGGCGAGCGGCTTGGGCTGTCACATTTGAGCCACCAGACGCATTCGTACCACAGCCTGAAACAAAAGGTTCTGCAGCACGAGCAGTAGATAGCGAAGCTTCCTTCATAATTATCCTCATAACTTCGGTTCTTGAAACGGCGATGGAAGTGAAAGAGTCCGTGGGCATCGATTAGCTCCGAGTTACGACCATGATGCCTCAAGCGCAGACGCTTCAGTTTACGCCCATGTCCAACCGCATAAAGACACGGAGGAATGCGGTCAATAGACAAGTGTCTGGTTGGAGTTCAGGCCTTACATGCGACATGTTGAATTCAGGTGATGACCACTAAGAGAAGAGACACTAGGAGCCGGGAGATAGCAGTGTGCTCGACAGCATCGGTTCAACATTATATATACACAAATCTCCGACCAAGTCATCCAGCTCGCCCGAGCACGTATCTTATGCACGCAAGCCTTGACCCAAGACTATGCCTCGAGGAAACTCCCAACCAAGCCGCAAGTAGCGAAGCCGATGAACAGCCAGGCCTGAGGGAACCCAGGCCCTCCAAACTCAGGATCAAGCCCCATGGTTCCCGGAAAGAGAATGGCAGCGAGGCCAGCCAGCCAGTAGATGGAGCCCGTGAAGGCGTTGACCAGCATGAATTCCCGCTTCATCGACCGTGTCGCAGGCCTGCGCCACGTGTAGTACATGGTCGCGATACCCAGCAGGACGGATAGAGTTATGGTTTGGCCGTTGTGAAACCTAGCGCTCGTGTCAGCACCACAGTGATCATAGGGGCAAGTTTTTAATACAGGCCCATGCCACCTGATCGAGAGAGGTGCTTATCGCTGATGGTTATCGTTTGAGCCGGGGTGAAAACTACTTCAAATAGATTCTCAACTTACTTGGCGTGAGGAGGCCAGTTCGGGTTGTACATGTGCGTATGGCTCAAGTCCGCCATCGGAGCTCCGAAGAGAAGTCCGAGGGCGTCGATGGTGAGCAGCGCACGGCCGAGCATCGTGTAGAGTAAGTGGCAGTCGGTTTTGGGTTCTCTTTCTGTTCTAGTGTCGAGTTACGAAAATAACGGTCTAAGGTCAACTCTAATTAAGCCGCGCGAACGGGCGAAGGTGCAGCCTTATAACTGTTAACGGTTCTCGGTGGTATTGGTAAGCAATGTTGTATGACCGGACCGAACGTAGACGCGAGCCGAGATCTCGGCCCCGGAAGACGGCTTTTGAATGCATTGTAACGGCCCGGGAGTAATGCAAAATTACGATTGCCCGCCCAGACTAATATCGTCGCCAACCGGGGGCGTACTCGATCTAGCCCGGCATCCTGGCATCTTATGGATCTTTCGGGGAATCATCAGGACCGAGGTCCGAGAGCGAGAGCGAGAGCGAGAGCGACGTGAGGCTCCTATTCTCGGCACGGGGCGGCAATACGACCACGTGACAATCTGTCATCGAACGCCTGACGAAGATATGTCGATTGTTCGTTCTTAACTTCTTACAACACTATAGTCCCGCATGTACGCGATCATTGTCCTAGCGAATGAAAACCTCGCCACTTGAATGACAGGCCCAAGCCAGGACTCGCGCTACAGCCAGGCCAGACTTGAAGATATCACCAGACATCCCACGCCCAATCCTTGAATCACTAGGAGGGGCCAAGAATTTACAGTGGAAATCACCAAAGCAGAAGCGACAAATGTTGTCAATGGAATGACGTATAGCGCAAATTCTGCCTTGCTGACCGCGCGGCTCCCTGACCCGCGTGCGTAGAAGGATTCGGAGGGATAACGGCGGGGGCATGCAGATGGGACAGCCCCCCAGATGGGACAGTTCCCCCACCAAAACACAACATTTGTACCCACATATAACCCCATTGGTATTGAGGCTATAGATAATGTATATATATCAAAAGAATCGCCTTTTCTTGGTGTTTTTAGCAATACTAGTGCTTTTAGCGGTAGCGCGCGGGTTGGCGGATTTCTTGGCGCCGAGATCGCATCATAATGGGCTCTTCCTTTTCATTATCCGGCTTGTCAGATACTCCTTCGCCCTCTTTGTCAACAACCACCCCTTTGTCTAGATCTTCCAAATCTGTTGAATCAGAGGAGAGAGAGTCCTCAGAAGGCGATTCCTCTGATTCTTTGGTCTCCAGGTTCTGCATTTGTTGGATTAAAGGTACCCTTAGAGGGCACCTTAACAGTTATACAACGGAACCTAATTGTTCCGTCCCGATCCAGCCCCCTCTGGCAAAAAGCTGCCACGGTCGCACAGGGACACTTCAAGGACACAGAATACACACATACACTTCAACCTCACGATTGGCTCAAATCTAACAGCATTTCGTGCAAAAGTCGTCGTCTCTCCACCCGCTGGTCAATCAGCACTCGTGTGGCCTCCGTATGCTCAATCTGCTCCTGAATAACGTCTCCTATCCTCTATAGCCATTGATCAGGCTCTTCCTGGGGGCCTTACGGCGCTTTTTAGGCTATAGACGCTCGATCTCGTCGTCTTTTGCCTCGTTTTGCAGCTTCAGCATGGCTAATTCAATCACCATCTCATCTTATGACTTTGCGACCGCGCGCACTGCTGCTCGTTGGTTAGGGGTCTCCGCGACTGTTGACAACATCAGGGCTATATCCTGCCCTGATGTAGGGGCTTCCAGGGCATCAGGGGTGGTTTCAGGGTTCATTATAGCAGCAGCTGTTACTTGTATCTCTGCTGCCTTTATCACATGCTCGTTTGCCAGTGTCTTGTTCCTATTTATGGGCTAAAGGCCAGCAGCACGCCATCTCAAACGCACAATAACAAGTAGCTTTGTCACGGGCTTTTGCCAGACAAGAAAGAAACTTAATTTTGCCAATGGGGGCCAAATCGTTCAACTGACCAAGCTGGTTAATGAGGCGGCGATAGGCGGCCTTCATCACAAAGAAAACGGTCAGATCTAGGGACTAAAAGATGTGAGACTACCCTTATCAGCGGAATAACTACTAATTGAGAATATAACCTACCGTATGGGCAAGAAAAAAGCTCAGATAGACGTTGTTTATATAACACAGATACATAAAATCATCTGAGCAGTGGCTGTCATGGCCGTCGAGCACCAACAGGCAGAACTCATCCGGGTCTTCAGGGGCAGTATTTGGCAGATAGATCTAAGAGGTTATTTAGTATACAGTTAACATTAAAAATAAGAAAAAAATAACCTTTTCAAACTATTTGAGCACAATCGCGTTTAAGAACCAGCTATTAACAAAGTAAGTCACTATCCAGTCTGCCACCCCAGGATGCTCGAGAATAAGCTGCTCTTTGAACCACTACGTCTGTATCGACTTCGCCTTAAAGATAACCAGCGGCCGGAGCTTTTTCCTAGTGGCGGTGATTGTTTCTACCACAGTAGTCCACGTGCGGTCATTGTTGGACTTGACGTTGGCCCCTTTTGAGCCAGAACTGCCTATTACAAGGCCATCAGACCTATAACCTCCTGGTTAGCCGTCTGAAAAACACTTGGATTGGACATATGTACTGCCGGCCCTGCATAATGCCGTACTTATCGACATTTGTGTGGTTCTCAGACTTGATAAAATCGAAATTTATGTAGCGGTCATGATAGCCATGGATATTGTCGGGAATGGCAGCATTGATACATTTGTAGTCAAGTTTTCTGCCCATTTTGGTCTTTATCTCTGGGTTCTGGCGGATAAAATTTCGCATGTAATGGCCACCAAGATGAGGCGGTTTTCTCTGGGATTGTAGGATCTTCTGGATGATGTACCTCACATTAGCGTGAGTAGGGGCATGGCCGGCCTTTTCTTGGTACAGAATCTATGAAATTAACTTCTTTTTTTGAGCAAGGTTTATTTTCTGTCTGTGAGCATGTCCTTTATGCTAGGTGCCAGTTATAGGCATTGTTGAGTCTTTAACTTTACGAGAAAGGGTGGTTTTGGTACTCAATAACGCTGGGCAGCCTTCTAGAGGGTCAGATCGTCACTGTTCACGGCGGCTATTGCCTTAGCAAGGTCCTCTTTGGTGTATAAAGGCGCCATTTTGACGTATTGAATCTTATGATGCTTGCAGAAAAAAAGGTAAAAAAAGAACTACAGAACTTCTGCATGGTTGAAAAGGATAGAGGGCACGGGTCCCATTACCCCTCAGATTAGTGCCGGACGTGCTAACTTCCGACCCCTGCCACGGGACATCCCGCGGTAGGACACCTGATAAATTCCACATTGGAAGAAACACCAAGAAAAGACAATTCAGACGATATATTTATGATATCTACAACTTCAATCCCGATAAAGATGTGGATGGGTGCAAATGTTGTGTTTTGGTGGCGGAACTGTCCTATCTGGGGGGCTGTCCCATCTGCATGCCCCCGCCGTTACGGCACAGGTGGCGTGGAACTTCGATCGCACTCTCGTGGTCTGTTTTCAAGGCATGATGGTGGCAAAGAGTAGCCAAAGAGTCATATAATCCGCAGGAGCCGGTGCGTGGGGTACCTGCGGCAGTGCCGATGAAGTTCCAGAGCATGTGGACATTATGACTGGGTAACTTATGAGCCAGGATCCGGCAACCACGAGCAAATAAACCCACCAAAACCAGCTGCGCCATATGGGCATATCATCTCCACACAGTCACATCATCTCCAAGAATGCACATACTCTAAAAATAAACAGAGTGGCGACTAGCGGCTGGTTGAATAGTTCAAATATGGACGCCCTCGTCTTCATCTTAAGACTTTATTCTTCATCAGCGACAAAATACCTCAACCACTTCTGACCACGACTCATTAGACGAATTACTACTACATCACACCGCCGACCTACTTCCGACCGTCAACAGAAACAATCACCTCGCCTCGACTCACCCTTCTCAACAAACGGATGTTATCCCCAAACATGCATTTCTTATTCCCAGCATTCCTCCTTCCGCTGGCATTCGCTGCCAAGCTCGCCCCTCCACAAGCACCAGAGCTCGCCACGCGGGGCTCGACAACGAGCGACCCCAAAGTTCTTGCTGTGCTTTTTCCACCCGCTGTCGAGGATTTGACCAAAAAGATACTACTTCAAATGCTCTTCGACATAGATAGGGTGAGTTTGTCTTGTTTGTTTTGTATTTAATGTGGGGGGTAGCTCCTCAGTAGTGCAAACCACGCCTCCCAGAGCCTCTGTATCGCAGGGTTATGGAGGTCTCAAGATAATAAATACAGTCAGTCCCGCTCATGGGCCTATCCCCGTTGTGGTGGCGGTATGACCTTGGGGTCATCTATCTGGTCCTTCAAGAAAAGCTATCTATCGAGGGCAGATTATTGAAAAGAACTTGCTCTTCTCCACAAATTTTGCCCATTCTGTGCTCCTCTCCCCTAAGTATTGTAAACAAGCTGTTTTAGGCGAGTACCTAGGCAGCAGCTGGTTTTTTCCCAGCCTCTTACAAAAGAAAATATATTGTGGTATTTTCTTCTCACCACAGCTGCAGTGATCATACGAGTCTGTATGCCCAAAGCGTTCATGGTATCTGGCAAAGTCGCAATATTTCAGATCTGACCGCTAGAAGTCTGTGTAAAGTACTCCTTTTAAAAGATATAAGGTCTCTTTTAGTTATTGTATGTAAGTATATTTCTTGATACCTAGGTTCTGATTAGTCTTTTTACCATTAATTAAACTCTTTCTTGCCCTTTCTTTTGAGATCTTTTTTGACCCAAGAGATTGTAAGAAGGTTTGTTATGTCTGTTTCTAGCATGGCACCCTCTTTTGCTAGTGTGTCGGCAGCTTCGTTGCCATCAATATCTCTGTGTCCAGGAATCCACTTGACGGTCACTCCAGAAGTGTGTGTTGTGGCAAGTCCTTGAAATCATAGAAAAATGTTCTGTGATGTCTCGGGTGGAGTCCCATTGAGCCCATCTACCACTGACATGTTGTCCAGGCAGACATATAGCTGTTTTCTGTATCCAATTGCCCTGGCTGCTGCAAGACCTTGGAGAGCACCATGGACTTCAGCATCCACTACTTCTGCTTGTAGAAGTCTGCCCCTTCCCCGGTATACTTCTTGTGCAGTGCCGCCTTTCCTGATGGTATAACCCCATCCAGTGCGGGTTGTGCCTTGGTCATCCAATTGTGATCCATCTGAGTAGATGACAAGGTCAGTGTTCGTATTTCTTTCCTGTAACCATTGCTTGAAGAGCTCTGTTTCTTTGTCCTTGTCTTTACGGACTTGGGCCTTTTTCCATGATGGCTTGGTGAGTGTTGGTCTCTGGAAGTCAGGGACTAGTTGGAAGCTTCTTTGTAGCCTTGTTGGTTCTTTGCGAGCTTGTATTTGGAGCCTGCCAACAAGAGGGTGTCTCTGGTCTACTCTTCCGAGTCGGAAGCCGTGACGTCTTCTTATTGACTCTGCAAGAATTCCTGCTGGAGGAATCTGTGATTCAAAGTGTAGGATATGTCCAGGGTGTGTTTTCCAGACCGGCAGGATAGCTCTAATTGCCGTTCGTAGTACAGCATCTATTGTTCCAAGAAGCCTTTTAATGCGACATGCTGATGTCCCACCTAAGCTCCCAATTTTTTCCATTCCTGGGTACCAGGCCTCCAGGCCATGTGTAAGAATAGGAATAACACAAGTTTTCACAGCCTTCTTGGTTGACTTTACTGGAAGTCCTTTGACTGTGTTGCATAGTCCTCGAATGTGGTTTGCTACCCTACTAGCTTTCTTGGCCCAGTAGGAAACGTGATCTTTGAAGTTCAGTTTTCTATCCAGGAAGACACCCAGCCATCGCATGGAGTTCTTTGCTGTTCTGTTCATTGTCCCGTGGCGGACCGGAGGATTGTCTGAGTTCTTTTTCCGTGAGAAATGCATAATCTCGGTTTTGTCGGGATCAAATTCAATAGCGTTGTCGTGTCCCCATTGGTTGAGCAGGTAAAGATTTTCAGAAGCCTCTTTGGCTGTTTCTTTGAGGTCCTTTCCAATGCAGAGAGTTGCTAGGTCGTCTGCATATCCAAAGCGTCTTCTTTTCATCCCGAGTCGGGCACAGATTGGCTCTGTATATAGCATATAAAGAATTGGAGAAGCTGGTGAGCCTTGTGGTAGCCCACAAGTGAAAGCTTTAATATTGGTCACAATACCTTCAAACCGAACCCTTGCAGACCGCTCGGACATGAATGACTGGACCCATCTTACGAGAAAGCCCGGCCAGCCCTGTTCTCTCATGCGAACCACCAGCCGTCCCATTAAGGCAGCATCAAAGGCCCCTTTCATATCTGACGTGACTACCGTTGCAACGAGGCCTTGGTCGAGGGCCTGCTCAATATCGTGTATGAGTGCAGCTACCAGGCCAGTGGCAGAGCGCTCTGATAGAGCTCCAAAATGTTATAGAGCTAGAACTCCAAGTTTAACAACAAACCAGGTAATTCTTTTTGCGATGAGTCGTTCTAGGCCTTTGCCAAGACATGACAGTAGCGATATTGGTCTGTAGGCCCTGGGATTGGAGTAGTCTTTCTTTCCTGGTTTTGAGATCATCACTATCTTAGCTACTTTGAATTGTTTAGGGTGGTGTCTAATCTGTAGGCAGGTCTGGAAAAGGGCTCTGATATGTTCCTCAATGAATGGCCAGCAAGCTTTTGGGATTCGTACTATGAGGGTATCTACTCCCAGGGAGTTGCTCTTGGTCCCTAAAGTGCACCCTTTAGCCTCTTCCAGTCCGACATGGTATTTAAGGGGGATGTGTGGCTTGTGTTATATGATCTGAGCAGACTAGGGGTCGATGATATCGTTATCTGAGGTACTTCGTTCAAGCGTGGCTGAGCGTAGTGCATTTGCCTTGCTCTCTTATGACTCGAATATTTGGTCTCTTATGATGATTAGAGGGGAACGCAATCCTGCTGATAATTTGTGCCAAGAAACGATTCTGTATAAGTCTTTTGGCTCAGTTGCTGAATTGATTAGAGTCTGTTAGTACTCTCTCCTAGCTTTCCGAACCACGTGGCGAAATTCCTGTCGGGCTGAATTTTGCCCTTCTTGGCTTATAGTCTGTTTAGAAAGGGCCCTGTATGTCTGAATAGCTGTTTTGCAGTCATCATTCCACCAAACAGTGGGCCTAGATTGACGGGGCTTTTTGCCCACTGTCCTGATACAGCCTTGGATCATGTTGATCAAGCTTTGTGTAAAGGCATCCACCTGGTCAGGGGATACACCCAGCCGGGGGAGTTCATGAATTCTGGTTTGGACATTATCTGCCAGCTCTTGTAGTTTATCATCCGGTACTATCCAATGATTGGCCTTGGGGACTCGGTCTAGATCTCCCTGAATTAGAATGACTATTCGTAATGTCTTATGATCTGAGGTGTACTGAAGTGTATCATTGACTGAGGCTTCAGCCATAGGGACATCAGAGAACACCAGATCTAATACATTTCTGTCATCATATGTTGGGACATCTGGTTCAGAAATCAGATCCAGTCTGTGGTCTGCCATAGTCTGTGCAAGTATGACACCACCATGATATCCTGGATTGCTCGAGTCTCAGGATGTGTCGCCAGCATTAAAATCTCCAGCTATAACGCAGCCAAAAGGTAGAGTCCATACTTCCAGAATGTCATCCACTTCCTGTGGGTTATCACATGGCCGGTAGACACTGGCAAATATAATGCCTTGTACCTTGACCCAGGTGATATCTCGTGTAGCATAGGGCCAAAGTTGATCCGTTTAAAGGTGTTTTCTTATATAGATAAGAGATCTGGACCGTGTACTGTCGCTGTCCCAGGAATCCACTGGGGAGTATATATCATAATTGGGGTGTATTTTTACTCCCATTCTCCCGCCTGGTGGTATGCCAACCTAGGGCTCTTGTATCAGAATGATGTCTGCTTGTTCTCCTTTGTAGTCAGCCAGATTGATGGCTAACTCTGTAGGGCCTGCACTCTTTTGTCCTCCTGCTGTATTCACAGAATGGATAACTAGATGCCTATATTGATGTGTTTCGTTTGATGTACCTAACATTGACTGACAATAATGGTATCGGCATCTCTGGGATGAGTTGTATCTGTTGTGTCGATTTGTATTGTGATGTCTTTGTTATTGTTGCTGGGTGTTGACCCAGCTTGGTTTCTGCCTGTTTCATTGAAGGCCTTGGATCTGGCTCTTTCTCTAGCCAGCCTTATTTGCTGGATTTGCTCCCATGTGTGCTTGTGGATGATGTCTTTCACAACCTTGGGGCGTGCAGGGCATTTATCGAAGTTGGCAGCATGAGGTCCTTTACAGTTGACACACTTTAGGATTGGTTTTTTGTATTCCCCCTGGTGTACTGTACTGGCACAATGTGCACATACTTGCTTTTCACATCGGTAGTTCCTACCATGGTATCTCAAGCAGCTCGCACACTGGTGAACCTTGGGGGAGTATTGAATGTGCCTCGAGGTCATTAAGTGAACAAAAAGCGTGAATAGTTTCTTTGCTGCACGGGGCAGAGAGATCACCCATGTGGTCTCCGGATCAGAATTAACTATGTTCTTTAAGAGTATGCACTTTAAAGGTCTGTCACTTGTTTGGGCTTTAACTTCATTAACAACAGCAATGTCGGTAATATCGATTGTCAACCCTTCCGCACTGATGACCTTTCTTGGGCATTCATTGACCTTGTAGTGATGCCAGACCGTATGGGTCTTGATCTTTTCTGCCTTGAGAATATCGGTAATTTCTTCTTGGAAGGCCAGGAGCTTAGCCTGAGTTGGCTTGTCCCTTAGGTGTAAGGTAAATCCGGAGGGGCACCGGGTCACTTCTCTAAGCTCTTGAGGGTGGAGCTTAAGTCTTCTGTTTAGTGTAGACTTTATTCTGTAAGGCTCTAGATGGCTATTATCCATGTGGACAAAGACCCAGAGATCATCCTGTTTTTTCTTTAGTTGATTGATAGTGATACAGGCGCCAGGCTGTGTTTTCTTTATGGTAGTGTTGACTGTCTGTGGATGCTGTTGTTGGCTAGAGGAGACAGCTTGGGCAAAGGTCATGGTGGGCTTTACCATCCCTATCCCCCCAGGGATGGTCTTCCTTTTGGGCGGATCTCGGGTTTCCAGCCACTCGCTCAGACATTTAGAGAAGAAAGCGCTGAACTCCTTGGCATGAGAGTATAGTTCGGTTCCAGCTTTCTCAAGTGTCTTATCAACCGCTGTAGCACACTCTTGAAACATTGTCATCCTGGCTTCATAGAGGTACTTGTCTTTAGCCAGTATTCTGGCAACTTGATCCTGGCACTCTGAGAAGGAGGCTTTATTTCCTATATCGCGTGTAATAGCTTGGTCTGTCGAGATTTTATTCAATTGAGGTCATTTCATTCCAGTGGTGCTGCTGTCATTGATATTTCGGGATTTTCCTTTCAAAGGGGAAATAACGGTGAAGTCAGCCTCAGAGACCTGTGACGGGCTGCTGCTGATGTCGTCAAGCAGTGCCTGGCCGTATGTCTTTCTAGGGGCCGGGGATTTGAGCACGCCGCCGGTGGTCGTCTTTGGGACGGCCACGGGCGTGTTTGGGGGCCCGTCGTGGAAGGGTGCCATCCGGCTTGTGAGAAAAATTCTCTTGTGCCTTGACAGAGATAGTCAGTTAATGAGAGAAGTGCCTGTTTTAATACAAATATCAAGGTTGCGCCCTAACAGCGGGGCGCCAAGAAAAATAGTTGTTTTTGTTTGGTTTTGTGTGCATAGATAGGGTGAGGTCTATCCGCTACGGCGAGGTGAACCAAGATGTATATGGCGACCAGCCCGAGGACTGGGTGGCGTCGAACAAACATGACTTCTCGGACTTTTCTACAGATGACTGGAACAAGGGCATCATCGAAGGCAAAAGCAAGTTCGAGAACGAAGGCTGGTTCGATGACAAGCCCTTGGACAATGACGTCACCTCATGGATGGACACTCGATACAGCTACTTTGACCTCACGGAGACCGGTGAGCCCTCTGGTCACCGGTCAGTTGTGGTACCCCAAGACAGAGTCAAATTTTTGGAGGGCCGAGTTGGACTGAGGAAAGTCCAAATGGTGCGAAAGAACATGCAAGCACCCTCCAGCGCCTTCGAAGAGCATTTCGCACTGGAGAACGAAGCCCGAGCCTACAAGGCCCTCAAAGATAACAAAGACGGCAAAACCCCGAAATTCCTGGGATTTGTCACTGAGCCGTACAAGAAGGACATCGTCACCGGCTTCGTGATCGAGCGTGTGGACGGGCGGACGGCGGACTTCTCGAATAAGAAGGACCTGGCCGCGTGTGTCGATGTCCTACAAAAGTCCCACAAAGCAACCGGCATGACCCATGGTGACGCGAATACCCGAGGCAACTATATCATCCAGAGTGATGGCAAGGCGATTATCATTGACTTTGAAAGGGTAGAGGAGGTAAGCGATGATTTGATGAAGGACGAGGTCGAAGGCTTGGAGAACTATGGAAAATCCCTACAAACCTAGACAGCTAGGGCCGGACTAAATGAGCCAAAGACGAAAAGCACCAGCCATATACTGTATTTGACGTCTCCCCTGAACCCAGGTCAACCTCAATATAAGGTCTTGAACCCGGATGAAGAGAGCAGGACATTGACGAACCCCTAAACCCCTCATTCTACAAACATTGGTACATTATTATTTGCTGTTACGAGTATAACCACTATGAAAATGAATAACATTGTGCAACCAAGAATTCTTCGTGTGGGAGCATTATTACTCATATGACTTGTTGGATTAATGTGAACCATAGAGCCTATATCTAATATACGGTGATAGCCTATGGGACCATTGGGCAATTGTGTCTCTGCCCGTCCAGGCGCTAGACTGACTCTCCTTCCACCTCTATAATACAATCTCTTGCTGGTTCTGGAGGTTATACATATGGTTGGCCCCCCCTGACTCCTCCGGCGATGGCCACATTAGCTGACCATTAATGAATAAGAAGATGTCCTCATGTTGCTATGAGTGAAACGTAGGCGGGGAGCTGAAAGCGTTGTGGCAGCTGTTGACTTGGTTGCCACCGACCCTCTCTACAGCAACGCATTACCTAGCAGCGACTTGACTTGGACCTGCGAAAATTTCTCCCATGCTCCAACTATCCCAGTGAAGTTGGGTTCTGTCAGATGCAAGCAGATTTTGCCACAAAAATGCGAACCAAGCCCACCACGGACGCATCTGCCTCCAGATTGCTACTTGCACATCAATCATTTCATCATTCGCCATTCCAACCCAGACCCATTCACAATGTACCCCGTCCGCAAAGCCCTCCCATACCACGGCAATCCCCACCTGGCTCGAAACCACTCAGCCGACATCCCAGACACGGAGAACTGCTCCGTCTTCGTCAAGAACCTCTCTCCCACCCTCGACACCAACCAGCTCCTATCGCTGATTCGCGGCGTCGGAAAAGTGTGGAACACGTCGATCCAGCCGCCCAACGACCGCTACCCTATCTGCGGCGCAAAGGTCACGTTCTGTTACGTCAGATCCAAGCGACGGATGTTCCTAAGAGTATGGGCTGGAGATCTGGACGTGGCTGGATGCTTTCCGACCATCGTGCCCAACAGGATCAAGGTGCCTGCGCAGGGCGCTGCTGTTAGCCGGGTTGTGCGCGTCACTGGCCCGGCCGACATCGTGAAGCAAGATAAGATATTGGAGTTTCTCGCATCACGCTTCTTCTTCGATCCCGACTAGGTCGTTGAGCTCACCTATGGAAAAGACCCCAAGGTGCTAGACTTCCACTTTGGAAGCTTCCGAGTGCAGGCCGAACAGGCTTACCGGGTCCTGAAGAAACATTCCGTCTACGAAGGACGTGTGACCGTTGAATACGGCCCGACCCTTGCGATGTTTTCGGCAATATTTTTGTTTCTTGATGTCGAAATTTCATTCTCCGCATGGCCCTCGCCGGCAATGCCTTCCTTATCCGCGTACGGTCTGGACCTCTGTCTTCGCCTCACACAGTCGACGTAGAGAAGAAGAGGAGATCATGGCAATGGAGGCTAGGGACTCACAGAGGCCTTTCCTTGTCGTTTCATGATGTTTAGTCGTATGTGAAGCTCTCAAATGTAAGATTACCAACAACGATACCAACAACCTCGGATCGAGGCCGCTGGCGGCGCTAGGAACGATGAAGATTACAAATGCTTATTTCTCCCTAGCAATTAACTCCCGGTCCTGCATAATGACTGTGGCTTATGTTCCTATATCGGCAGTCACATTCCAGGAAGAGCTGCCGAGTCTCGCACTTTGTGTAGATGGCAGCGTGAACGGTGCATCCAGATCCCAGAAGCCTTATCAGCCACAGAGACGGATACCACCATCGCGGGAGCCACGCGGGCAGAGTGGTTTCGAAGAGCATATCGCCTTCGAAAACACATTATTAGAGGGGAAGTCAGCCCGTTCCGAAGGGCACGTCACGTTGCCCGGGGTTTTAGATATATTGCCTCAGGCTGCGCGATGTAGCATCGCCCGCCCCATCAATGTAGCCAATTTCCCGCTTCACCACGTTAGCCGACCGTTGTTGAAGGTAATGTGCATTGTGCAAGACCCCCTCTAGACTATATCCGGCAACAACTTGGAAGCAGTATGGTATACCGAACTCTAAACATGTAGCGTCATGCGGTACCTAGTGTGAACGCTTGGGGCGATCATCTCCGCGGCTTGTCTAGAGCAATCCAACTTGAACTGCTTGATCACCGTAGCGCAAGGTGCAAGCCTGCTCTTTTCATAGTGGAAAAGCGGTCAGTATGTCTGTATCAAGACTTAGCCCGACCAAGCGCGATGCGCGGATCGACCCGGTGCCCTACCTTGGAGTCAAGTACCAAACACAAGTAGGCTACCAGGCTACCCTAATAAGTAGCCATCCAAGGCTCGGAACTTGCATGGTTCAATGTTTGAGCCGGCCGGACGGTCGTTGCACGATTCATTAGCACCGGCATTGGGGTCTGCTCCCCGCGAGTTCGTGGTATGCAACCACTGTATCGCCCGATACTATGTCCTAGGGCTGGTCCTTTCGTCGCGAGACGGGTCCAGATTCGTGAGGCTAGCCTCGAATGAAAGTAGCCCGGTATCTAGTACCTCGCCATCGGCGGCAGTGAGATGGTTAGCTTGGGGATCGCTGATCACGGAGAATTGGGAAAGTGCTGGTGCAAAGGCTGGTTCAAAAACGGGCGAACGGGCGTCTGCGATCTAGACTCTATAATGTGACCCTCCTCCTCGTTTGCTCACTCTTACCCATCCAAGTCCAAAACCTCTCACGACCGAAGTGACTGTCTCCCGGCCTGGTCTGTCTGCCATGCCGGACCAACTGTACGATGCGTCGCTCACACTCGTGGTCGTCTCCGCCATGTTCATCCCGGTGTGTACCATCCTCACTTCGCTGCGGATGTGGGTTCGATGGCAGTATGGGAACGTCGGCATAGACGACTGGCTCCTCTTCGTTGGTCTGGTAAGTTCAGTGGGTGGCCACGGGTACCCCTTCCTCCTATTCTCTCCCGCTTCTGTTGCTGCAACAATGATCAGACCAAAAACTAACAGATATCCCAGATCATCTGGATCCCATCGACGTGCGTGCTCTTTCCCGCATGCTACAACGGGCTCGGCATGCACGACGGTCGCTACACGAAGAGAGAAGGCATTGACGCCATGATGTACTTCTACCTATTCCAGGACCTGTACGTCTGGGCGAACATCCCGATCAAGCTCTCGCTCTGCGTCACACTCATGCGGCTCGGCGAGACCAAGCGGTGGATGACGTGGACGCTATACGTGATCATGTTTCTCATCGCCTTGACCTCGGCCCTCTCCAACATATTCATCCTGAGCTCGTGCACGCCGGCCGCCGCGCTCTGGGACAAGACCCTGCCGCACTACACGTGTCGCGACTGGCGGCCGACGATAGCGATAGCGATCATCTACTCGGTTGTCAACATCTTCACCGACTTCATCGTTGCCTTGTTGCCTGTGTTCCTGCTATGGAAGCTCCAGCTGGCCTGGAGGCAGAAGTTGGCCGTCATGGGTGTGCTGTCGCTGGGCATTCTTGCCAGTTGCGCGACGCTGATCCGCATCCACACGTTCAAATTCGGAGAGGAGAATGATTATCTATGTAAGAGCCTGCTCCAACCCTGTACAATCAGAGCTACTGGCTGACCATGACAAGACCGGATGGCAGGGCTGGTCCTCTGGACCGTCATCGAGATGGCACTGGCTCAAGTGGCCGGTTCTCTCGTAGCCTTCCGGCCACTGGCCCGGCGGGTCTTCGGGATGTTCTCCCAACCTACCCAGGAACCACGCACCTCGATACACACCATCGGCCAGTCCAGCAGGGGCCAGTCCAGCAGAGGCCAGTTCCGGCGAGCGACAAGCGATGATGTAATTGGTTTGGGCGACCTTGACGGCAGGGAAACGCCTAGGCAGCATCATGCACGGTGTCCATCACGGTCGTGGTTCAAGGACCGGAATACACCAACGCCGTCGCAGACATGGTTACAGGATCCCGAGGCCACCAGCCAGAAGAGTTTCCTGACAGCGGAGGAGGAACACGTTTAAGGGGGCCGAACAACAAGTGCTGGAACGGGATTTCGCAGGCTTCCTTCTAGCTCATAGACAATAATTGTCAAGGGCGAATGGACCTGTACAAAACACCCTGAATACCAGCCATCACACTTTCCAACAATAACCCAATCAGTTACAGTCACCCCCCATGAGTCTCCGTCTGGCATGCGTCTATCAACGCTTAGATGCCAAGGCCATATTCATATCAATGGAATAAGCACCCTAGAATAAGCAGGTATGGGTATGGTAAAGTAAGTCATCTTCAATGCTTATTCCAGACTGCGTATCCCATCTTAAGATAGAGTCGCCCTTCGCAACTAGACGAGGGATGCACGGAGACTTTTGGAGATTCAGTGTAATCAGTACCAGCACAAGTCATGTCCCGGACATCTCTCAGCTAGCACTTCAGCACCCTATAGACGAGACAGTGCTGTGGTTGGGCGCCTCTCGGACTGCGGTATCCCAAGTAAGAGAGCAACCAGAAAGACAAGCAAATGCGTAAAACTGCCCGGCGGCGCCAGACTATATTCAGATCCTATAAGGATGTTGCTCAACACCCGCAACATCCACCCTAACCCGGTAAACATTCCCAGTCGAGCCCTCCGCCGCAATAGACGTGATGAACAGCGTCTTCATGTCGTCCACCCCAAACGCCGGACAAGACGTCATCTTGGCCCCCGGCACCGCACACGTCCCTGACACTTCCCCCTCCGGCGAGTATCTCACCAGCTTCCCCTGCGAATTAGCCGCGACCCAGACATGGCCCTCGACATCCACCGCCGCACCATCCGGCATGCCGCCGCCTTCGAGCTGCACGAACAGCCGCCTGTTCGTAGCCGCGCCGCTCTCGACATCGTAGTCGTACCGGTAGATTTTACCTTGCGGCGTGTCGCAGACGTACATGATGCGGTCGTCCGGCGAGAAAACAGGCCCGTTCGGCACCGCAGCCCGCTCCTCCTCCCCCTGACCTCCTGATGAAGAAGACATATCCTCCACCCGCCCCTCGCGCAGACACCACAGCCGTCCAAGCTTACTCTCCTCATCCAGCGCCATAGTGCCGGCCCACCAGCGGCCTTTCGCATCGACCGCGCCGTCATTCATGCGCACCTTTCCATCCAGCTCCCTCTCATCGTCCGCGTGACACACCTCATTAATACGATCAAGCGTGCCCTTCTGCAAATCCAGCAGTGCGAAGCCTAGTTTCGTCTGCACGGCCAGGACGTCCTGGCGGCCCGCGACGACATGCACGCGCGTGACGGGTTCGGGGAGCTCGAGCGTCTTTTTCTTGGCCCAGCCTTGGGCGATAGGCACGGAATGTACGAGCTGGTTTTTTATGTCGACGAAGAAGAGGGTGTCGTCGCTGGCGCGGTAGAGGGGGCTCTCGCCGAGGCCCGAGTGCGAGGGGAGCCAGTCTTCTGCTGTGTAATCCTTCATCTTTGAGTTGGTGGTGGTGGACTTGGATGTTTGAACTGGTGCGAGCTGTGCCTGGTACTTCCTGGGAAAGTTTGTTAGGTGCCGAGAGGTAGCCCTAGAGCTTCTGTTCCGTTCAAATCGTAGGTCAGTCCGTGACGTCAGAATGTGTCGACACCATCATGACAGTATTGGCCCACTTATAGAGACTTTAAGGGGGTACACAAAAATAAGGGGCCATGTTGAGCTTGTCATCTGCAGATGATTGCGATAATATTTACTACTCCTCGCTCAATCTAGATAGTCTCTTCAGAGCTTCATTACATGGTACTCATGCCTCTGCAGCCTTGACGTCCTGAAACCCCTTCTCCTGCTCCTGCTCCTGCGCCTCAATAATCACGTCGGCGGGGATGCGGTCAGGCGTAGAGTTGACCAGCACAAGCATCGGGCCGAAAGCAGCTGCCATGAGGCCAAAAGTCACGCAGCTAAAGACAGGTCAGTACATGTATTCCCTAGGCCTCAATTGAGTACTGATGAGAGAAACTGACAATCCAATCAGCGGGCTAGAACTGGTCTGTGTGTTCATGCCGTAGGAGACGGCCTGGCCGATGGCTTCGAGACAGCGGAATGCAGCGCCGTTGCGAACATTGGCTAGTTCCGAGATCAGCAATCTACTTCACATGTCCGCGGAACCAAGACCATGGAGAATGGACTCACCTTGGGCGTCTGTCGCGAAAGACGACAGCAGCCAGTACATGTAGGACTGCGACAGCGGCCCCGTGGTCTGCACGAAGAAGTACGGGAGGAAGGCGTCGGGGTAGAGCGAATCGTCCCAGTCAATATTGCCCGGGCTGGACCGGTTGAACCGCGTCTGCATCACGATCGACCAGATGTAGACACCCAGATTTAGGATGACGACCACAAAGAGACCGAGCTGGGCCCGTCGGCGCTGGCTGAGGCCCTTGATGTCGAGGATGAACCCGAGGCCGAAGCACCCGACACTGGATACCATTTAGCATTCGAAGGGCTGGGGGGCCTCGCGGGGTGTGTTACTTACATGCAGAAGAAGGGAGACACGAGTGAAGATAAGGCCCGAGCGCGAACAGTGAAGTACGTTCCAAGGTAGGTGGACCAAGAGCCGCTTCATGTTCTGTCAGCTCTCTGCTCTAACTCCGGAAATATCGGGCTAAGCTCACCTGTAGAAGAACGACCAGATGGCCCACAGAGCGGAAAGCAGGACGAGCGAGGAAGTCATGGTGGTCTTGATCAGCTTGAATTCGTTCTTGCTTCCGATCTTCTCTGAGACGAGAATCCGCGTCCCGTCCGACCGGACGACTCGTTCCAGGGGAGAGATGAGGAACGCAAATGGCAAGCTAGGGTCCGTGCATCAGCACATTGCTTTCCATACGAGGGTTCCTTCCGAGTTGGATAACTAGGAATTACTTACGCCAGACACTCAATGATCAAGAAGGCGACGTAAGTGTCGGGTGTGACACCACCGTTGACCCCCTTCTCGTGGTTCTTCGACAAGCTTGCGGGAGAGCCAGGGTCAGCCTTGCCTTCAATCCAAGTCGTTTCAGAAACTTACTTGATTGCGCCGCCAACGAGCTGTCCGAGATTTCGGGAAACGATCCACAGGGCCAGGTACTTCCCACGAGCACCCGCTGGAGCCAGGGACATGATGCAGCCGGCTTCAGCGACGTACCAACAGCCGGTGCCGACGCCTGACACGAAGCCACCGAAGATCAGGTACTGCAAGAGGAGGCTGGGTCAGCCAAAGTCCTCAGTCAAGTCGAGAAGCAGACCACGACACCAGGCTAGGTCGCGCTTCCTGGAATATCTACTCACCCATTGATTGCCAAATCTACTGTTGCAGTAATAGGATGAACCCTGGATAGGGAACGACATGGCACCGATGACCAAGGCCCATTTGGTACCCAGCTTGTTCACAAGAGGGCCGCCCAATACACAGACTTGAGAATACGTCAGCAAGTCCGAGTGAATTGCAGGCGAGATTCGAGTATATGTATACCGATTGCCAGACAAGCGTAGTTCACCGCGTTACTAGACAGATACATCGTTAGTGATCACCTCGCCTATTCCCTCGCTACTGTTCAAGACGTACGTAATGTTGTTAGTCTGCGGAGTCGCCAGACCACCACCACCAAGACCTTTGGGATATTAGCGAGCGTGAAGACTTGATGATTCCATATCCAAGGCTTACCCGCGATCGCATCCGCCATGGCCGGTCCGCAGAAGGCCTGCACGCTCAGCAGCATCATCTGCGTCAAGCTGTGTTGGTGGATGCGTTTCCAAAGCGGTACAGAGCTCCGGTACGCCTCCATGTCGACCATCTCGTCGGCATCGACAACGGGGTCCATGGGCATCGTGCCGTTTCCGCGGAGAGCATCGTCGTTCCCGCCCGCGTGGGTGTTGGGGGGAGCGGCGTCGAAGTTGGACATGATGAATGGCGGGAAACAGCTAGTTGCCTTGACAGAAGTGTTGAACAGAGAGTAGCTGACACTTGACAATGAGCTGAGAAGTTGGGGAGCTGAAGAAGCGCTGGAGCGAGTTCCTGAGACGACCTCAACGAGGAGAGTCTGCATGTATACATATATCTACCCCAGACATACGATGGGTCTGTACTAGATCTTTCTCCATTTTATAGTGGGCGGTGTGCTTATCAGTGCTGTCCGAAACTGGGGTACTGGAATCTGGCCTATCTGGAGGGTCCGGAGGGTCTTGTTGTGTCTAGCTCGCGTGGACCTTCTAGTGTCCCGCGGTTATCAGGACATGATGCGCAGAACACAAGCCTGACATGTTGAAGATAGGGCTTACTCCTTTGGCGAAATGGTATTGGCCCGAGCCTAGAGTACGGTTCTGATCAGACTTCAGCTTGAACAGTCACAAGTTCATTACGTCTCGATGGGCGCGGAGCATAGAGCCTCCCCATCTCACGTGCCAGGGCCGGTATTCCAAGGCCGTATCTTGATAGGCATAACCAGACATATTGTAACCAGACGTATCGCCTGATTGGGTGCACTTCGAATATCTACCTGAGAGTCTTGGGGTCGAGTTCGGGGTAAAGCAGCCCGCTAGGCCCCATACCGAGTGGCCGGAAACCGGAAGACCTGCTTAACCGCCTTGAGAAACGATAGCAGTTACGGGATACGTTATTCGAGTGCTAGTATTACTCAACCTTGGCTGCTATCAAGATGCTGTAGGTGAGCAGTAGCATTATCTGCGATCCGGGTCGTTCAAGCCAACACCGGCAGACCGGTTTGTTATGCCGGACCATGGCGAGTTATGTAGTGGGTATCGTCATCTCCTGCTAAGCCCTTTCTGGTAATTGTAACAGTTGGAGAGTCAAGTCCCCGGCCGGCCGGGGGTGCTGGGCAGTCGGCAGCTCGCCGACTATTCTCGTCCCATGTGTCCACCGCCCCACCGCCCCACCGCCCCAGGCAAATCGCCGTCTTGACGCGTGTAAACTATTACTAAAACATCGCCGTCACGGGATCTTGGCCCTGCCTCCTGACGGGCTCTAGTCTGCGGAGCCAAAGGGAACATCAGTCGACATCATGCCATCTGAGGGCGGTCATCGTCATGGATGATTGCGACTTCGCTTCTTAAGAGACCGAGGTGAAGATTATAAGTGATAGATTCGAGCCTCATATCCGCGCTAGGTTCAGCAGCAACACAGCGAGCGTAACATCCAAGAAGAGGCCGACGACGACCTACAACAAACACCATGGCGACCTCGCGCAAAACCACAAAAGTCATCGTCATCGGCGGCGGCGGCACCATCGGCTCCTCGACCGCACTGCACCTCATCCGGTCGGGGTACACGCCATCCAACATCACCGTGCTCGACACATACCCGATCCCGTCCGCACAGTCCGCCGGCAATGACCTGAACAAGATCATGGGAGTCCGACTGCGGAACAAAGTTGACCTGCAGCTCAGCTTGGAGGCGCGGGACATGTGGAAGAACGACGATTTGTTCAAGCCCTTCTTCCACAACAACGGGAGAGTGAGTGTGGTTCCGCCTCCTTTCGTTGTGCGCGAAGTGGAAGTCTTGGAAGTTGGCGCTAACGTGGACCAGCTCGACTGTGAGAGTTCGCCGGAAGGCATTGCCGCACTGCGGAAACAGTACCAATCGCTGGTCGATGCTGGTGTTGGGCTGGAAAAGACGACTGAGTGGCTGGATTCTGAAGACGAGATTCTAGCGAGAGTGCCGCTGTTAGAACGGGATCAGATCAAGGTGAGTTATCTCTCCTTCTAGCTAATGGTGATGGACTGTACTGAAACCTGGCAATGGTAGGGCTGGAAGGCTATATGGAGCAAAGATGGAGGCTGGCTCGCGGCGGCAAAAGCGATCAATGCGATTGGGGAGACGCTTCGAGATCAAGGGGTCACATTCGGCTTCGGCAGTGCTGGATCATTCAAGAAACCCCTTTTCGCGAAAGATGGGACGACATGCATCGGTGTCGAGACGGTAGACGGCACCAAGTACTACGGCGATAAGGTTGTCCTGGCCGCTGGCGCATGGAGTCCTGCACTCGTCGATTTGGAGGATCAATGCTGTTCAAAGGTGAGCATTGAAACTTACAAAACTGGGACGAGCTGGTGCTGATTGACGATGACAGGCTTGGGTGTATGCCCACATGCAGCTGACACCCAAGGAGGCGGCTGAATATAAGGACTGCCCTGTGGTGTACAATGGCGATCTGGGCTTTTTCTTCGAGCCAAACGAGTTCGTAGCATCACGACACCACATGCACCACCCACCCCGTGAAACATGTCTAACACTCCACAGACACGGTATCATAAAAGTCTGCGACGAATTTCCAGGGCTCTCCCGCTTCAAGCAACACCAGCCCTACGGCGCCGCCTCTCCCAAGCCGGTCTCAGTCCCCCGATCCCACGCCAAACACCCTACAGACACGTACCCAAACGCGTCCGAGCAGACCATCCGCAAGGCGATCGCGGCTTTCCTCCCGCGGTTCAAGGAGAAGGAGCTGTTCAACCGCGCCATGTGCTGGTGCACCGACACGGCGGACGCGGCGCTGCTGGTCTGCGAGCACCCCCGGTGGAAGAACTTCATCCTGGCCACGGGGGACAGCGGGTAGGTGGTCCAATAATACTGATACCTTAGTAGTGTTAGATTGGTTTACTGACGTCTGCAGACATTCCTTTAAGGTTCTGCCGAATATCGGCAAGCATGTCGTCGAATTGATCGAGGGCAACCTGGCTGACGACCTGGCCTATGCATGGAGATGGCGGCCGGGCGGTGATGCGCTCAAGTCTAGGCGCGCGGCGCCGGCGAAGGATCTTGCGGATATGTCTGGGTGGAAGCACGACCGTGCTGATAATGCTCGACTATGACTATGGGGTGGAAAGTCCGGAGACGACACCCGGGTGTCATAGACACTATGCTGAGAGTTCCGAGAGAACTCTTCGCCCGTGTCAGCCAGAGCAGACCCTACCCTTTGACTACATCTACAGCGTGACTAATAGTCCTCAGATGTCCGGTGGCCACTAGACTATTTGTGACTCACGTAGCAAACATTTTGTCAGAATCAAGGCTATAAAGAAGCAAGCCTGTGTCCAGCACAACTTACTAAACTTCGGTGCGTATAAATTATACGTGACATTTCTTCAGAAACCACGGGTAACTTCTCTTGTCCAGCGCCCCACCGTCTTCGTAGTGCGCTGTCGCGTGCTCCTATGTCTCTTTCAGTTCCCTTTCACACTACTGCTATAATATATACAGAATACCTACTGATATCTACTCAGATTTATTCTAATTTATGCTCTTCTGATCTTACTTGGTCCGTTGCCTAAAGAGGCAATATCGTCGACACTACTGATGATCAAGGACTGCACCGCACCGCACCGCACCGCACCGCTTGGACCACCCACCCTCACGGTGAGGACACACCCGGGGGCATCCTATCAGTCTATGGACTACCCGCTGCCGCGAAGCAGATGACCCGGCTGTGAGTGGGAGAATCACGAGCCCCTATGCCATAACGAGATGGCGTATGCCCTCGAGCTGAGGAACTTCCAAGCGGAGTGTACGCAGGCCAAGGTACCCGAGATCATGGGAAACAGGACACACGAGAAACTACCCTGACGCAGCCCGTGGAAAGAGTGTGATTCTACACCATTCATGTTAATGAGAACACGACCCTTACCAGCGAACTATGATGGGGTGTTCAAGTCCATGTTCTCCTAGACACCGCTACTTGCCGCGGGATAGGTGATCCGGACAGTCTTCTACTTCGCCCTCGATAGTGAGGATATGTGTAATTGTTCGGGTCTTCTGGGAGCGTCGCCTTGACTTCGTCCACGACGTATCCCACCGTCTCCGCGAGGCTGGCAACTATTCCTAGGTTGAAGTCCGCCGTAACCTGCGCTCGAAACTCTGCTGGGACTGAGATGAAATGGCGTCCTCAGGCTGCATCATCATGAGCGGCCGCACCTTGACGGTTATGAGCATAGTGCCGCGTTCTTTGATGGGTGAAGAGGATCGTATTGCGAAAGCTTTCTACAGCTGTGTACCGGCGGGCGCTGCGGAGAGAGTGTTCGCGAGTCCTTCCATCGTGGCGGCCGTCGGTGTGTGGAGGTTGGAGGATGAAGTTGGAGACAGCTTCAGCTCCAAAGTTGACGTTGGTGGCCCAAGCTCCCTCGTCACGTTAACTTTGGAGCTAGAGCGGAAGTACCCGCCAGATCTTCTGCCTGAGGCTACGTATAATGTACGAGCAGACGACAGCGTAGATTTCTGCGACATTCTTAGCACGGAGATCAAACACAATGGAGAACGAGAACGCGCCGCGACTCTACGTCGGCAACTTGCCGTACGTGGCGCAGAAAGCCGAGATCGAGCAGCTGTTTGCGGACAACAATGTCGAGATCAGGAGCATCGACATGTCCATCGACCCCTTCAATGGCCGGAACCCCTCGTACTTCTTCGTCGACTTCCACACGCAGGACCAAGCCAACCGAGCCATGGAGACCATGCAGGGCAAGCCGGTCCGAGGCCGCCCCATCAAGATCAACTCGAAGACTGAGCGGCGAGAGCGAACGGGAGCCCGACCACCCACGAAGACCTAACATCGTGGGTGGCGAGCGAAGGAAGTACCCACCCCGGACCCGAAGAACCCACAGAACGCGTATGTGTACGACCGCTGGTCCCGGGACGATGCTCCAAGTCGATGGACCGCTCCTTCAGACGAAGGCCGAAGATTGTGGGTCGGTGGGCTGGCGCAGGTACCGAACCAAGACGTCCTCAATGTGGAGATGAGGGCGCTTTTCCAGCGCTGGGATATCGAAGCTGTCAGTAAGATCATCTCGCCGAATGACCATCAACGTACCAAGAGTGGGTCAAGGCACTATTGTTTTGTCGATATGCCGGATAAGCAGCAAGCGGAGGATGCTGTGGCATAGTTAGATGGCACCGCGACACCGTACGGAGGGTCTTACCGGATCCGCATGGGGAAGCAGCTGGCACGACCGACGAAGGTCATGCGCGAGCAGCTTGGTGTTACCAAGCTTGACCGAGAACGAGGACGCTCGCCGCCGCCAGCCAGAGATCTCGAAGGCAGCTGGCGGCGGCGAGACTGAGAGGGGGCCCAATTGGCGGTGCGGCCGACAGCTCTCCTGTGCAGCAGCGGGTATTCTCATGGTATTCTAGTCACTTGAGTGTATTGTTTGATGGATGGTCTCAAGCAAAGTGAGCGCTGCTTAAGTAGACTCACCGGCACGTGTGCCTGAGGCGCGGTCAACGCTGTCGACATTACTAGATGTGGAAGGAGCGGCAGCCTTGCAATGCTGGTATGGGCGATTAGCATTAATATGGTATGTAGGGTGATGAGCTGCAGCCATGAACGTGAGGACTGGAAGGTAGTTAGAGGAGAAGGGGGTGGACATGCCTTGAAGTGTGTTGACCGGAGTGTATTGTTTGGCAGGTGGTTTGAAGCGAAGTGAGCGTTGCTTAATGTACCCTTTCCGGCATGTGCGCGAGTCTCACAATCAACGCTGCTGCCGTCACCGTACCAGGAAGCCACGACTCACATGTTGCTCTATACGGCGCTCGGGCGGTGATACCGTGATAAGGCACGTGCTGGGACACAGGGGTGGGAGGTAGCTTTCACACCCTCACTGCCTGCGTATTGCCAGTGCAATCAATGACAGAAGGTCATCAGCGTCGACAGCCAGAGTTCTCAGCCTTTGCATAGAGGGTTTGACGGCAGTTGGCGCACGTCAGACTATCGACATTCGGCAAAGGAGATGGAGATCAATGTCATCAACGCCATACAGAGCTACGTACGAGCTTACCCTCCACAGTCAAGCCTCGCCTTCATTATCGTAGCTCCATCATTCGAAACACAAACGCCGTATACACCAGCCAAGCTTTAATAGCGCAGCGTGAATAGGCTAATGCCTACGCTTAAGCTAGCTATTTGCTTCTAAATAGGATAACAAGATATAGACCTTATAGACTTTAAAAGTCTCTAGCTATTCCTTAACTTTAGCTAGCCGTAGCACAGGTGACAGACAAAAAGAGAGGCAGATGACACGAACATGCTCTTTGGTAACAACAGTCCTTATAAAGCTCAGAGCGGACGCTACAAAGCCGACATCACAGGTCGGCGCAAGGCCGCACGCACAGCACAGCAAAATCAATTCCCTCCCTAATGAGTTCGACAAGAGACATTGCCAGCCGAGGACATCACATGACCAGAATTTGGAACACCAAGATGCAGCAACAGACATATTCAGATGGTAGACCCCTAGGGATTATCGGGTAACTAATACCTAGGCAGTCTAACACCCACACGTCTCAGTCCATGTAGACATCGACAGACTCGACGAGACCGCCTCGGGTGATCATCGTTTCTCTCTTAACCCCATGAAGATCAACGTCGTAATTTCCTCGCCGAAGACGTCAATACGAGCCTCCTGTCCACCACGTTGCCGTCGGCACGGCTAGCCGAAAGAGCTGCCGAAGAAACCTCCGTCGCCATGATCCACTCAAGGTGAGCCCGAGGGTTGATTGAGTAATAGTCATACAGTCAATTTTGTCATGCCCCCATAGCCGTTTGCCATGGCACTTCGTGCCACCGACGTCGCCATCTCAGTATGGAAGGGACTAGGAGAAGCAATTGTGCGTCGCGCAAGGCGGCATGCAGAGAGGCACACATCCGAGCTGAGATGAAGAGCGGTTTCGTTCACTCCTCCTCGGAATCACTCTCCTCACTGGTCTCCGCTGCCGGGGGATCCTCAGCATCGGCCGGCATCGGCTCCTGGCTGCCACTACCATGTCGTTGCAGCTGAGCCTTCAGTTCACGGAGCTGCTCTATCTTTCGTTCTTGCTCATGCTTGTTCATGGGCTTGTTCTTCTTGGACTTGGGTAGAGCGCTGGCCTTTGCCTTGGGTTCGGGATCAGGAGCCACGGCAGTAGCGTACTCAGGTCTCTGCTCTACTTCAGCTCGGATAGACGGCATCGCCTTGTGAATTAGGTCATAGAGTTTTACGAGCGCGTCGGAACTGAGAGCATCTATGTCCAGTTCCATTTCGCCATCGTCGTTCTCCTGCAATTAGTTAGTAGACAATCCCAATCTAGAACCATTCATGGGTCGCTGTGAAGAGCAGATAGAATGGGTAGAGGAAGTGATAGATGCAGGCCATCCATCTGTGGCTACTTACATTCTGACCAGTATCACGCTTTATGAGCTCGACAGCCTTGGTGAGAAGCATGCCGTCAAGCTCGTTAATACCATCGGCAATCACTGCCTTCTCCAGCGGTCCAATGACACGCTTCTTTGGAGCTGCCTTCTTATGGTTGCTGGGGGCTTTCTTCGAAGCTGCTGCGTTGTTCGACGACAATTTCTTGCTGACGCCACCTGCTGCTCCACTGGCCCCAGGCTTGGGTTTGCTCTTTGCGTTGCTGTTCTTCTTCTTTGCTTTTGGCTTCCTGTCCTCGCTGTTGAACTTGGTCTTTTCTTCAACAAGCTTCCGTTGGATCATGGTGACCATTGATTGCTGTATCTCGATCATCATCAAATCCGGCTTTTTAGAACCCAGCAAGACGTCGAGTTTGACCTGTTCCTCCTTCATCCGTTCTTGAAGATTGCGAATTGCTTCATTGCCGTCATCTTCGTCGGCTTCAGCTTCACTTTCTTCCTCAGATTCGACCAGACTCCGGTCCGGACTATGGGCCGTTGCATTAGTCGTTGAAGCTGCCTCATGTCGAGTGTGCTTCTCCATCCACCTGTCCTTCTGGGCAAGCTCCTGTTTGAGAATGGACACTAACTCCTTCCCCGACACCGAAGCTAGGTGGTCCGATCCGTTGAATGTTTCAGCGTTGCTCGCCATCAGCTTCATGTCTTTCTCAAGATCCCTCGAAGTTTTGTATTCGCCATTGACAGTTTTCTGATACATGGTACCGAGATCCATTGGCTTCTTGATGACTTTGAAATAGCTTGGAATGTCCAATGCGACGGGGTCGACCGGCTCATTGAACCAAACAGTCAATGTAGCGTACTTGGGCTTCTTCAACTCTTCCAAAACCTCCTTGAAAAAGCGCTGCTCAGGTTCCAACTTTTTCTTGCTATTCGGTTTGGAGGAGTAGTCCAGGTCGCGACTTTTGGGCGGATGGATGGGCCGCTTCGGTCTATCACTATCTCCACGCGTCGAATCGCGTCGAATCTGAGGTATGCCACTAGGCGGAACCGCAAAAGCCGGTGATGTGGTAGAAGCTGCCGCAGGAGGCGCAGTCTGCACAGGAGCCTCCGGTTTCGGCTTGGGGCTCGTTGCCGTCGCAAGAGCCCGAGGTTGTGACGGCTGTCTAGGGCGAGCCACCCCCCGAGGCTCTGCGTGCCGAGTGGATTGAGCCTTTCCTTTCTCGGGTTTCGAGGGCTCTTGAGACCTGGCAACGCCTGGCAAGCGAAGGAAGATCTGGTCCCGCACACTAGCTGCGGCGTTGGTAACCTGATGGTCCGGGCCGTTGAAAGCAAGCGCATTCTCATATAGCTTCTGAACGTCCGCTTTGAAATCCCCATAGTTTGCGTACTTGTCTTCGCGGAGCTTGGACTCAAATAGGGAGATGTCGACAGGTGTGTCAACTCTCGCCTTGTAATCGTTCCACAGGGTGGGCCACAGCCTCTCCACCGACTGTCGGAAATTGGCACCGTTTTTGGTCTTCTTAATGGTGGCTAATCCCTGCCTCAATTGCTTGCTTTGAAACAACGTGATGACCTGGCTGTCCGGAACGGTAGCTTCAGAGGATTGTGCCGCTGCTGTTGGCTGAGCTGGGGAGAAACCACTCGCAACAACTAGTGAATCGGCTACCTTTTCAGTCGGCTCCTCGGTCTTTGCTCGCTTTGCAGCACGTTCCTCGGGATCATCGTCTTCGCGTTCACGGGCATTCTTAGTGGGAGAAGCAGGACGGTCAGCCATGGAGACGTCAGTTTCCGTAGGCGCAGTCTCTTCATTGGCCTTGATATCGAGTTTGGAGAGGTCGGCAGGTTGTTGGCTCGAGGCTTTGGGAGATGTAGCGCTTTGCCCGTCGCCCGCAGCAAATGTGTCCTGCGTGCTTTCGCCGCGTTCGGCACTGGAGGTTACATCCGGAAGCTCGACCGAGGCATCGACGTCCATCGAATCTGTAGGCGCCACAGAGACTGGCAGGGTCTCGCTAGGCTCTTCCTTGGTGGCAGACGTATCTGGGGTCGACTTTACGGCATCAGGCACAGATTCGCCAGATACCTCGTTGCTGAGTTCTGCAGACACTGATGGAGCCTTCTCAATTGTCGAAGCCCCATTAACGTCAACCATCTCACTGTCGTCCCCAGTTGGCGCATCCGATAATGGCTGGGTTGAGGTCTGTTCAGGCAGATTGCTGTTCGCTGCAAATGCCTGTTGATTCTGTAGGCCCTTCGCGTTCTCTGATGTCGGGTTCGGTGATTTGGTCTCGCCATTCACAAGAGGCGTGTCGATGGACTGGGTTGGGACTTCTTCTGACTTCGCATGTCTGCGGGTTGTATTTCATTAGCCCACCCATCCCATGGACAGACTCGAGGGTGCACTCACCCATTGACAGGCCTTGTGACAGGCTCACCAACCGCCATCTCTTCAATGGGTGTAGGACTAGTAGGCTTGTGATCTGACGCTAGCCTCTGAGGCTCTTCGGTCGCCATATCCGGTATTCACTGGGCGTGGATAGCGTGGAAGGGAGTCGACGGGGTAGTAGTGAACCGAGGTTGGCGTTGCTCGCTTCACATTCACAAGTTTGAGAATATTTCGCCTGCTGATCAAATGTCAGCTATTCCCGATCACGACTTTGTGCAAGGCTCGATCGTAGCATCCAACCCTCGTCGGGACTTGGAAGGCGCAACGCATAGGAGTACAACAAGGGAGAACGAACCCAGAGAACCAACTGACCTCAGTCACAATCAATGATGCTTTTCGTTCACACCCGATGCTATACTTGGGCGTTAGTGGATATTCCAGAAATATGTGTGTCCGCGCCGTGGTGGGGTCCATAAGTGAGTGCAAAGGGACCAGAAACGGACTTCCGACGCGTCGGGGAGGAGAAGGATGATGGCCGGTCCAATGTCGCGATAACAGAGGACGGATTATGCAAAAATATGTACGCGCGGCTGGTTGTTGCGCAAGGTACTGACGGATTGACAGGCGAATTGACTCAATTCCCCTGCTCCCCAGATACTGGTTTGGAAGTTCCCACGCGGCGCTGCTGTGGATGGAGGAGTCGAGATGCAGGTCCAGCGCAGTGGTAGGTCGCAGTCCTGCAGTCGCAATGGCACTTTCGCACCCAGTCTTGCGCAATGCGACAGCTGTCTCAGGCAACAACGAGATCTTGGCGGAAGGTGGCTGGTCGGCTGTGGAGGGGCCAATGGGAAGGGAAGGCCGGGAGTTGATCAGGTCGCAGGGAACGAGGGTCAGAGCAGACGGCGCGTTGGGTGGTAAGGTATCTATGAGATGTGCCTTGTCGCGCGTTGCTGCGCTGCTAGGGCATCCAGTCGCGATCGCCAAGCTTCCTCGTAGCTGCGAGATTGATTAGCAGCACGGGGAGCGCTGCCGGAGAGTGCTACAGGGCAGACTCAGCGGGCGCAGGCAGACGCGTCGTGCTGTAGTCCAGTATGGTGCTGGCGAGCTGCGCTGGGGAGCAGATGCAGGTTTTGAGAGCTGGCTCTCGGTGCAGACACGCTGATCGATGGACGGAAAGTAACCAGCATCGAGGCCTTGCTGGCACAACAGAGGGAAGGCGACGCAGGAGGCATCAGCGGCACTGATAGATACGGGTGTGGCGGTCTATGCCAGGTGGCGCAGATGAACTCGAAGGCGGTCTGTTGAAAGTTGACGGTGACTTGGTGAAAATAGTGGAGGTGATGAAGATGTGAGGTGGTGGTGATTATTATGGGATTTGATGACTTCCTATTAGGTGTATGGAGATGGGGTATGAACCAATTGGATGCAGTGATGGCGAAGCCTTGGACCGGCCGGCGCTGCGCTCTCACACATGGACACGGTCGGGGCGGCCTTGCGTGGGTCCTGGAGCGCCGTGGGATGTCCGAGAACCAGAGGTTTCTGATGGCGTAGAACCTGCATGGGAGGAACGCGGTTCGCTTTTCAACCGTGTTTGGTTCGCAGCAGGCCGGAGTGCATATGTGTTGCATCCCGGGTCTTGTCGTGTGGCGTCTTCTCCCGGCAAGAGAACGGGCAAGGGCAAACAAGGAGACGAAGGAGTGAAGAGCAGGCGACGAACAGGAAATGAATTGAAGAATCACGGAAACGGGAATGAAAACAGATTGGGGTTGTTTACCTACCTCGAGTCTGCAGGGAGATCAGAGATGCGCCGCCCAGTCTGTTTCGAGTCTCGGATCCGGAGTTGAGGGAGTTTGAACGAGTCGAGAAATAGTAAGTGGCGCGCAAGAGGTTGCACAAGTTGGCCACGTAGTTGCACCTGGGTGGTGGGTGGAAAAGTTTGCGATCGCGACGATGAACGGATGAGACGAGTGGGTGGTTTGCGCCTTAAATCACAGTCGAGTGAATGGAAATCCGATGCGCCGCCGGGAGCTGGTCTGCGCGACTGGAGTAATGGTGCCCGCGGTGCGATGCGATGCAATGCAATGCGCAGGTGGAGTGGGGTTCGGCGCGTTTGCGACAACGCGGTGCGATAAATTAGTAATTGGGTTGGATTGGGTTGAGTGAGTTTGGTTTGTTTGGTGGTTGAACTGAATCAGACCAAACAGAGGCAGCCGAGATGAAATGGAGATGGTGGTTGCCGATGCGCCGGGGAGGGACGGGTTTCACGATGCCGGGATCGCGGAAGAGACCTGGAGTAGTTGGCGTGGTGCGATCGCGTGTAAGTCGACTTGGGGGAGAGATGATCCAAGCGGTGGGGTGCGGTGCAGTCAGTTGGTCACGTTACGATCCAGCCTCAATCGATGGTGTCGACGATGATGCCTCTTTGGGTGAAGGACCAAGTCAGATTAAAACAGCATAAAATAGAATAAAGATTTGAATTTGGGTTGATGAGGTACGTACGGCAGTAGCAGAGGTACCTCGGTACTTCTGAAGAGACAGGATGCGATGAGATGAGATTGATGAGGTAAGGGCAATGAGTGTTTTTTGCTGAGATGCGACGTGTGTCGGTTATCGGTGGTTCGGACTTAAGTGAGGAGGGGGGTTGGCTGGTGAGGCGGAAGGAGGAAGGGAGGAATAGGAGGGAAGGATTTTAAAAAAGCGTCAGGAATCAGAGGTGCCTTTTGCCGCATCAAGGCTTTCCAAGGACGAGTGGGCGGAGAAAGTGGCCAGATTTTTTGGCTCTGGGGCCACTTGTTATGTATTTGTAGGGACGCGCTTTTTGGGCCACTCGTGCAAAAGTCACGGTTGCGCCACCAAGGATTAGAGGGGGGGGGGGGGGGGGGGGGGGGGGGGGGACGGACGGGGACAAGGGCGGTGGCGGGGGCACTCTATGGGGGTGGCTGCAACGGGTGTGCATAAGGCGAATCATGTCAAGCCGAAGACCTGTGCAGTGGGTCGCTTTGAGACATGAGGATTCGGTAGCACGCCGTCGACTCTGCTATGATACCTATGTGAGGTCTATGTAGTAGTAATAAGTAGGCAACTGATGCAAGCTGTGTGTAATGTCTGCCGCAGATAGAGTACCGGATAGCTCTATCGGGGTTTGTCAGAGCCAGGCGCTGCTTGCTTGTTGCTGCTTGCTTTCAGTGCTTGACGTTGCGAAGGAGAGAAGACCATGGTGGTACCGCTGGACAGCAGAACCGAGAACCTTGAACAGCCGGACGAATGAATACCTTACCTTTCCAGCTTGCCTCTTCCAACGAGAACAAAGCCCAAGCATCGCATCAACTACCAGCGTGGCAGAGCCTGCGTGGCAGAGCCGCCTGCGTGCGCGTAGTTTCCTCTTCCTCCGCCCAGAGAAGAAATAAAAAGAGGATGCTAGGTTGAAGCCTAGGAAGCCGGGGCTGGAATCTTGCGACCAATCATGGGCGGATCGCATTATGAGCTCTAGGCTGCTAGCCATGTCCCGGCCCAATCATGACGCGTAGCTGCTGCTACCCTGCGCAGTTTGAAATGATTGAAGCCACGATGCCGCTCTTGTGCATTCTCCTGGCACTCCCGGGGGTGTGTCGAGGACCCGACCCGACGGCCTTGACTCATCAAGGGCACAATAGGCCGCATCACATGATCCACCACCTCTCTGAAAGGCGCATTTTGGTAGAAAAGAAAGGATCCATGAACATCAAGGTCGTATGCCATTTCAACGATAGGAGGTAACAGGAATGGAACGAAAAGAGCCAGCAACGGTCATGGTATTCGAACATGGCACTGCATCGTTTCTGCGGTCGCTGGCGACGTCGAGTCAGTCGAGCGCGTGAGTTGTGTTGGGTTGGCGAGCGTCGAAGGTGTGTGAAGGTGGTGGTCCTGAGGTGGTGGTGTTGGGGAGAAAATGGAAATCCAGAAGCCGTGAAGAAGGTTGCCCTTGTCTGTGCGCCCGAGGAAGCCCACAAGTCGGACCTTGGAGCAGCTGGCTGACAGTGCAAACTGAGCCGTAGCGGGCCGCCACGACTGACTGATGTTGACCAATGACCACGCAAAGGCCTATCGATACCGTAGTTTAGGCGCGAGGGCTCCACCTCATCGGGGTCCGCGTGCTGGTATCTTTATCCGTTATCGCGAAAGAAAAAAAAGTTGTAGCTCTCAATTGGGGGTACCACTACCACCTGCACCTGGGCAGTGTCTGCGAGCCTGCATTGGAAAATTTCAGACCAGCAAAACTTCCCACCAAACGCTTTACCGGCACGCCATCTCTTGCAATTCCTCGCCGTCCAGACGGCTGTCCTCTCTATCCAATCCGACAAGTCATCACGGAAATGTCGACCAAGCGAAAACAACCGAACAAGATCGCCCAGCCCGTCGCGAAGCGGAGTGCGAAGCATCCTCTGAAAACCAACGTCAACGAGTCTGAGACAGCAGTCTCGGTCCCCGAGCTTCCAAAAGCCCAAGACGGTGGCCCGAAGGAGCAAGTGATAGAAATATCCAGCGATTCAGCTAGCAGCGAGTACGATTCTTCAGACGAGGAGCAGGATGCCACCGCGGGGCAACAGAGTGGAAACCCGACCCAGAGTGAAGCGAAGACTGCACTGCCGACACCACAAGATGGTGATGGCGACGGCGACGTTGATATGGTAGAGGCGAACGCTCACCATGACACGGAATCTGACCAAGAGCCCACGCAACCTACGCTGGGCGAGCTTGCCCGCGCGCACGAACCGATAGACGTGCCCTCGGCGATAACAGCACAGTCCAGTTCTCTCACCACCCAAGGGCGTTCTTTGGCCCCTCCCAGTCTTGCGTCCTTGGGCACAGTACTCACACAAGCCCTTCGCACCGATGATACCGATCTTCTCGAGTCTTGTCTGCACACTACCGATCTTCAAACGATCCGCAACACTATCCAGAGACTCGATTCCACACTCGCCAGCACGCTACTCACCAAGCTTGCTGCTCGAATGCACAGACGCCCCGGGCGAGCAGGCAACTTGATGACATGGGTGCAGTGGACGCTTATATCGCATGGAGGCGCATTAGCGACACAGCCCAGTCTAGTCAAGCGGTTGAGCGAACTGCACCGTGTCCTCGATGAACGGTCAAGGGGTCTCGCCTCTCTGCTGGCCCTGAAGGGCAAGCTAGACCTCCTAGAAGCACAGATGCAGCTACGACGAAGCATGCAACAGCACAACGACCCCGACTCAGAGGAAGAGGAGGAAGGGGTGATTTACGTGGAGGGGGAGGACAGCGACGCGGAAATTACTAATGGGCTCCTGGAGGTTGATGATGACGAGTTCCCCGTCACCAATGGCATCGTCGAGGAGGACTCGGAAGACGACGAGGAAGCAAGCGACGGCTCGGATGACGAAGAGGAGCTCGAGGGTGAAGAAGAATTGGATGAGAACGATGTCAATCACGACGATGTGGAATCCGAAGACGAAGACAGCGAGGTAGAGGCAGTTCACCAGCCGCCTACCAAGAGAACGAGGAACTCCAAACGGAGATGAGGTCATGTACCAAACACTGTTGAATAGATGGTTGAGAATGCAAGCTCGCGATACCCGTTACACTCACGATGCTCATAGTTGTCTGCAATACTAAAGATGTACGGATGTTGATATCCTGTGCCGGGCCTGTGGTTTAAACTCATCTCTACGCATCCTGTTAGTCAACAGCATGGTCACGTTGGGCTCAGCACCTTGAAGTAATTTGCATCATGGTCCAATGCTATTGATATGTGTCTCGGCGGCGCGTCTGCTCGACTTGCACCTTCCCATCAGCATATACGCTCATAACGCTACAGCCAGGCAGCAAGACTAGGTAGGTAGGCCGTGTAGTCCACGTGAGGAAGTCAGGAACCCCCTTCTGGCCACGGATTATCTGTCTGTTCACCAAAGGGCATTGTCACACGTGGAAAGCGGGAGGATACAGAGAGTCCCTGAAGTCTAGTCGAATCAACTCCAACGTCCTATCTGGAAGATAGATCTTTTCTTATCCATACCTAAGTACGACAGTACTTGCAGGATACAGCTATTCGCTTCCACAAGCAAGTTGAGTGCTCTATTAAATCCGGTCTTAGATACTTAGGTAGCTTTTTGAGATTTGGAACCTCGGGTAGGACTTGGAGCTGGCTCGTATCTTCTAACTGACTTTGTATCTTGAGATATAGAAATCCGATTACTTCCATAGGTGTTAGTTACATGCTTGAGGCATATGGTGGATGATGACCAGGGCTCCTTATTTATACACAGTGTCAGTCAGACTCAGAGAGTCACTAGTCCGGCGGCAAGGGCAACCCCACAATCGATTAATTGAAACACGGGCCGCCACGCCACTTCACCCAGCAGCGCGTCACCCTCCTAATCGCGCGTCGTGAAAATAATTAGGCCTTTAAGTGGAAGACTACAACAATTTGGAGAATCGCTTTCCCATTGCATTGCATTGCATTGCATTGCCCACCCCAACTCCTCAGACTTCAACACTCGATGCCACCACCATGGTAGAATGTCCGATTTGCACCAAGCCGGTTCAGAACTCCAGAATCAACGACCACCTCGATTCCGGATGCGAGTCCTTCATCGTCGTCGATAACCCGCCCGTCTTGTCGTCCCCATGCCCCCCTCCTCCCGCAACCCAGGCCAATGGCGCAGTGCCGGCCTCGCAGAAACGGCCGCCCTCGAGCTTCTTCCAGACACCTTCTGCGAAGCGACAAGCAACACCCAGCAAAGTTTTGACGCCCTTGGTCAACGGTGTCGCAGGCGGGTTGAAGCCGAATGGCGGCGTCAAGCGCTCATTCGACGAGGGTCCCGGACACGACTCGTCCGTGCCAGATACGGGTGGCGAGGCCGAGCATGCGCCTCCGGTAGAGACAGGTCCGGTGGCCAAGAGGACAAAAACGAACCGGGCAGCCCCTCTTGCTGAGCGCATGCGACCTTACAACCTCGACGACGTGTTTGGACAAGACCTCGTGGGTCCACAGGGCATCCTGCGTTCGCTTATAGAATCCGACAGAGTACCATCTATGATATTATGGGGAGGATCAGGAACGGGCAAGACGACGATCGCGAGGTGTATATCACACATGGTTGGATCGCGGTTTATCGAAATGAACGCCACAAGCACGGGTGTCGCCGAGTGCAAGAAGATATTCGGCGAGGCGGCGAACGAGCTGGGGCTGACGGGGCGAAAAACAATCATATTCTGCGACGAGATACATCGGTTCACAAAGGCGCAACAGGACGTGTTCCTGAAGCCCGTCGAGGCGGGCACAATTACACTCATCGGAGCCACGACGGAGAACCCTAGCTTCAAGGTCGTGAACGCCTTGCTGTCCAGATGTAGGACTTTTACGCTGCAGAAATTGACAACGGAGGACATACAACGGATACTAGCCCAGGCGCTCCAGTCGGAACTCTCGGCAACCTCGTCACCGCCGTCGCCATTCCTCGACCAAGAGCTCATGGCATACCTCGCCAACTTCGCCGACGGCGATGCGCGAACGGCCCTCAATCTCCTGGAGCTAGCCATGTCACTAGCAAGCCGTGAGGGTATAACAAAGGAGGTCATCAAAACATCCCTCACCAAGACCCTCGTCTACGACCGCGCAGGTGACCAACACTACGACACCATTTCCGCGTTCCACAAAAGTGTGCGCGGCTCCGATCCCAACGCTGCGCTCTACTATCTAGCCCGCATGCTACAGTCTGGCGAGGACCCCCTCTACGTCGCGCGGCGCATGGTCGTCATCGCATCGGAAGACGTCGGGCTCGCCGACAACTCCATGCTAAGCCTCGCAACCTCGACCTACACCGCGACGCAGCAGCTCGGCATGCCTGAGGCTAGGATACCTCTCGCCCACTGCGCCGTGGCGCTGACGCTGGCGCCGAAGAGCACGCGCGCTTACCGCGGGCTCAACAACGCCTTCGCGGCGCTGAGGGAGCCGGGCGTTGCCGGCCTGCCCGTCCCGATCCATCTGCGCAATGCGCCGACGAAGCTGATGCGCGAGCTTGGCTACGGGAAGGAGTACAAGTATAACCCGAATTACAAGGACGGCAGGGTCAGCCAGGACTACCTCCCCGAGGGCCTGCTGGGGCGCACGTTCCTGGATGATCGCGATTTGGGCACGGAGGTCGATCCGGATCTGGTTATGGACGATGCTTGATTGGTTAGCGTGGCGTACGAAGTTGGGATTTGTATAAAAGGAACGTATGGACCTTGGACATGGGGTGCCAGGTCTTGAGTGTGTTTGAGTTAGACATACTTACGGTACTAAAAGTGCCCAATATGGCGTGGTGTTGTTTGTCATCACGCAGTGGAATTCGAAACGGTCCTGAAGTATGCTATCGTGACGAGATCAACCCTGTATGTAGGTGTATTGAGCGAACATCAGAGCTCATAGACGCAAAATTGACTCTGTCTGTCTCAGCCAATTTCCAGCTGGGACCGCGTTTTCTAGACGATGAACTTCAGGCACAGGGTTTGGTGCTCGTTCAAGAGACACCGAGGCAACTCCAAGGGGTAACATGACTGGTGTCTAGCATCAAACCCGTCTCCCAGCTCGACCACCGTCTGGAAACTACAAGCATGCGAAACGCAACGGGCAATATGATCGCGGAAGATTTTATTCGGACCGGACCTCATCCATGGGCTCTCGATACGTCCGTAGACGTCCTTCGTACAGCTCGAGGTTCGCATGCGCGGGCCTTCTGCAGTCTTGGAGGTCTAGTCACTTGACTCACGAAACCACTATGAGCTAATTATCGCGTTTACCTGGGCTCCCGTGGTTATACTCTTCACCAATAGTCCCAGGTGTCGGCTGAGAGGCTCCCAGGCTGCCGAGCGTCCTCGGTATTTTGGGAATGGGGGAATGGGAAGCCAGAAAAAGGGCGAACCGTTTGAGGGTGGAGCAAGCAGACGGTAATGGGTACGGCTCACTTATCATAGCAACAGCATGTTAGACACGTATCGCTCTCAATTTCGAGGTGGTCGGTGGTTTGGAGAACACTGCTGATTATAGCATCCTGCTTTGGCAATTAAAAATCCTATATGAGATGTTCCCGATCAGTTTGACTACATCTACTAAAGACTAGTGACCCATTTCTTGGTGCTGACAGCGGAGTGTATTTCATAGGCTACGGAAACAAGGCCACGCCGTTTGGAGATACGTGACAAAGATCATGCAACACACCTTCGAACAATCGGATCGCTTTACAAGAAAGATTCATATTCTTTGAAAATACTGCTTGCCGCAAGCGGTGGATATACTACCAGCTCCCTTTGTACCTTTGTGCCCCTGAATACTATTTCCCCTAAAATCGCACAATCGGGATTTTGTGTTTAACTGGACACGCGTTACAGAATAGGGCCTTCCAAACTCTAGAGCAACAACTTTGGTAATACAAAGCTAGAGAAGTACTAATCAAGGTCCGTAGCAACAATTCAAAATGGCGGTGCCAGACCCCTACATTACCAGTTACGCAAATGCCTTGCGGCAGGATAATGTCAAATATGCACATTACAGAACCCGCGGCCTCGGTTTCAAAACCGAAGATTACCCCGGCTGGCAACACCAACCTGTCCCGCTGCTCCCTGACATGTTCTGGTTGCCGCAAATCGTCAAGCAGAAATCGAACCGGTTTCCTCTCATGCGGGCAATGCTCCCCGTACAGGGCGGCGCGAGGTTAGACAGCTTCAAGACGTATGGCGACGTCGCTACAAGCAACCTGTCCCCGGATGTGAAGAAGGCTTGGGTCAGGCTTCAGACAATCAAGGAAGCCTTCGAGACGGAAACGTTCAAATACCAGAAGGCCCTCGGCTACGGCGGCAATGGAATCGCCGCCCATTACAAGTACGAGGACCTCAACGCGCCGCAGAACAACCGGGATCTCGTCATGAAAGCTGCGATAACAGGCTGGCGTAGTTCGACACTTCGTGACGAGGAGCGGGAGACTTTTGTCAGTCACTGCCAACCAGCTTCGCGGGTCATGGACTGTACACTGACAAGACCTTATAGAAACACAAACGAGCGTCACATATCGCGCAGGCCATCGAGCCGGAGGCGGTAGGGAAAGCGCCCCGCAGGAGGCTCAGGAAGATTCCGTGCCATGACGACTCCAGCGACGAGGACAGCAACTCCAGTGGCGATGAGGATGTGCCGCCGCGGCCCCCGAAGACACCGCGTATTGCGATGTATGCCGCGGAGTTGGCCCGCAGGGGCGCGAATCGATTCTTACCGCCGGACCAGCGCCGGGGTTACCAGCAGGTCCCCGCCGACCAGTTGGATTACCTGTTGCTCGAGTATGTGGAGAACGGCGACTTGAGAGAGGTGATCGGCAAGGTCAATCAGAGTGGTGGCCGGATCCCAAATAGGGTGCTATGGAACTTCTGGCTCAGCCGTAAGAAACCCGGGCATCAGTGTAGCGTCTACTTTCTAGCAGTTGTAGCTAACCTGCCGCATAGTCGTGAAATCGGTTGTCGGAATGGCGTTTCCTCCCAGGAAATTCCACCCAGACCGGTTCAACCGACCCGATGGGGACTTGGACGAAACAATCCCCGACGTGACCGGGCAGTGGAGGATCAAGAACATGGTGCATTTCGACATCGATCCGTCAAACAGTAAGACACCACTGGCAGCAAAATCCCATAGAGTCCGGACGGATAGCTGACTTCTTGTGTCGTCTTCGTCGGCAAGCAGGACCCCAACGACTGGGTGCATACTGACATTCCGGGGCTGAAGGTCCGCTTGCCCCAATACCCAGCATTCACAATGAGGACCTTTGCTGACAATGACACAGCTCGGTGACTTTGGAATTGCGGAAGAGATCAAGCCGCAGAAGAGAGACATATACTACCAGGGCAGACGATACAAGGCGAAGCCGTTCTACTTCGCGCCTGTAAGCATCATCTTCCGTCGTAAAACTCGAGATTAGACCGCGGGAAATACTGATGTCGACACCCAGGAACAATTCTGTCAAGAATGGGAGTTGCTCCCGCCAACCCCCGACGCGGAGAACCTCACCAATTTCCCGGCGGCGGGCACCTACAGCGTGCAGACGAACGTCTGGGGAATCGCATTAGTAAGACTCCCTCCTCCCTCTCCAACCCAACCCTAACCGCATATCCCACTCCCACTCCATCATCTAGAGTGTTGCTAACCAAAACCTACCTTCCCTAGTCCATGTACTCGATGATCACGGGCGCCTACCCGCCCCTGCCCCCGGAGCCGGACTTCATCCCGAACTGGGCGGACGGCTACCAAATCTCGTACGGCATCCGGCTGTTGGACGACGACTGGAACGCCTTTGACCCAGAGCTGCGCTTGATGGTGGCCCGGTGCATGTCGCACTTCCCCATGGAGCGGCCTTCTCTGGAAGAGCTGCTCACGTTCGCGCAGTACGGGGCTGCTAAGTGGCAGCCGGGAGAGACTGATGATGTGATTCGGAAGTGGGTTGCTGATATGTTCTATGATGGCCAAACTACTTGATTAGGTTTCTTTTCCCTCCTGGAGGGCATCTTGGAGTCGATTTATTAAGTTAGTGCTTCTTCTTGAGGGGTGGCGTCGGGCATCTTTTTAAAGGGGCGCACCATTATTATATCATGGGCAGCAAAACATCAAAAATATGAAATTGTCTCAACGTACATGGAAACATCTCGATTCACTCCCGCACACAGTAGTCAGCTGCCCCGTGATCCAAGCCAATTTTGAGGAAGGTCGGACGCAAATCTAGAGCTTGACCCGGGTTGTGATGAAGTTGACTATCGCGGCGACGCGGTTCAGCTTCGAGGGGTCCGATTGGCCAGAACCATGTGGTTTCTTCCCAATTCGGCAACCTGACTTCCGGGGGCTTTTTGTGACCAATGTGGGCCTCTACGGTGGTATGTGCTGAATGAATGCTTCTTCCGGTTTGTCATACGGAGGCTGAGGTTGGGATGCAGGTGTCTGCCGCAGGAAGTGGAAAAGTGGGACAGAAGAAAGGGCGCGATGGAGAGCCTGGAGGTGGTTGTGGGGGTAATTGTTCCTTCCATACCTATGGCAGCGACTACGTTTCGGCAGACAGATGTCTGATTTTTTATAGTGTATTTGGTCTAGTTAGAGTATATGATCACAAGGCTTTGTGAACTCACGATTTTTCCAGGATCATGGCTGGTGAAATGGCTCTGGTCTGTCATACCCCCTGGCTCCAGGTCACGACAACACATAGCGACATGTAACAATATGCCAACCTGCTCTGAATTATAAGATAATATGCTGTGCTATTGATGAGTGAGTGAGTTTTCCTCTCGCCGAAGTACCACAGAGACCCTGGGCATCACGCCGTGTGGATTTCACATTCCCATCGCCTGTCGTTAGTCATAGGTTTGTTCCAGTAGATTTGATCACCTAAGTAAAGTTCATATCCTGAGGCATGGCCAATTTACTTTTTTCGGCACCTTTTCATCCAGTTTGCCGTCTTCTCTCTCTCGATTAGCACACGAAGCAACATTCCACTTGCTCGCTTGCCTTACACCACTTGACAACCGCACCCAACGTACCATCTGGCGACATCAGCAGCAGCAGCAGCAGAAAAATTAGCAACAATAGAGTTTGGGGATGTGTCAGATGCGGACTCACAGGGACCCCAGGCTGTTGATAACCATGCCGCGATGCACCGCAACCAAGAAGCGACTGGTAATCAACTGAAGGTAATATAGATTCCTTTTCCTCACGCACTATTTTACCCTTAACTTCAAGCCTTTCAGTTTGTTCCTCTGGATACTATCGTTCATATTCAACAGCTTACTGCAACTACATGAGTTCTTGCAGACTCAGACAAGTTCAAGCAAGTCACGCGTTGACGAAATCAAAGTAAACGCATTTAGGGATAGACTTATTTATCCGTTCTCGTCTATGACCGATGCACCGAGCAAGAGAAGCCGATCATTCGAGTCATGGTGAAACGGGAATGGGGCAAGAAGCTGTCGAATCTGAACTTCATGCGGAACCTAAAGTATGGCAATGCATTTGATCTCGAGATGGCTCGAATCTACTGCCATCAGGCAGCTCGAGTCAAGGGAAGATCTAGGGCACTCGCAATGAATATTAAGCTCATGTTCGAAAACGCGATTCCGGGTTGGACGTTGGCCAACCGCCACAAGTACGATCCTTTCGGGCTCGATGGCCAGCGGATACCTACCCGCTAGGATTTCTAGAATGCGTATCATGACTGATGGTTGAGCTTCGGCTTGCCAGCCCTCCTTGCGTCTACTCATGAAAAGATACTAATACTCATATTTCTTCCAATCAATCATTGGGTATCAATCAGGAGATGCGCAGGCACTATTGGACTATATTGTTGACAAGAGGCATGGCGGCATCACCTCACCTGAATTCCATTTTCCATTCATTAGTAGAATATACGTCTACACTAGAGAGTACACCACCTCGCTACGGTCGTATACACTGAGACCACCAGTTTTCCCCTTATGCATCTTTAAATTGATCGTGCGGATTCCTTGAGTTCAACTGCCTCTCAACAGCCAGCCAGCTTCCTCACACCACACCACACCTTTTCCACACCACACTTTATCTCCTGGGAAGAACAGGCGACCCGACGCATATACCGCCCAGGCCGGTAAAAGCCTGTGTTCGTCTACGAAATGATGGCCGTGGGCTGCAAACTCGAGTCCTACGAGCGAACAAAACGCAACAACAAGAACAAAGTCAACGTCACAATTCTGAACGCCATTGCGAAGAATCATGATCTCAGTCAGGAAGGCGTCCAACTTCCGTCTGCGATATACATTCGTTAATGGAGGAAGAGGCTTTGCACTACTAAACACCCCACACTTTAGAGTACTACAAATGCTCACATTACACTTCCTCACAACACACCCAGAAACAATATTAATGGAGGATGGAAAAGAGCTCCTTGCGGGTTCTCTCGCACCTCGACTCACCCAATCCGGCGATCCCCTAGATGAATGGAGTCAGACGCCGTTAGTCAGTACTTGCTGGAGTTCCTTCTTGACTCCTTCATTACCGATCCGGATTTTGGAGATCCGGATTTCATGACACAATGAGATATCACGCCCTTGCCAATGCCACAAGGGTCCGACTTTACCAGGCGGAGAACGTCGATAAGAATGTATTTGGTCAGCCCCATGTTGGAAATTCATAGCAACATTTTTTTCGACTCAATAGACTAGCGGTAAATAACAAACAGCAGATTCCACGTGATAAAAAGGAGGCAAGCCGATCATAAGATCACCTTATTGATCTCAACGGAGGTAATGAAGTCACCTTTAGTTACCACCAGGAGTCCATGTATCTATCGTCGTACCAGCGGGCTCATCTCCCCGCGGACTAGCCATGTGAGTGCGACTATCCCGACTGTAACTATCACAACAGCTCGGTAGACCTTGATCACTTCATATTGGAATACTTCCGGTAAATCTACCCGAGTATCACCGATCCACCTTTTCCATATCTTCTTCATCAATACTCGATATCTTCATTCCCACCACTTTGTGTTGCGAGTCTCTCTGTCCTCCTCGTCTTCCCTCGACCACATCTAATGCTCTCCGCGCGGGAATGTGTGAGATTTCAAAGTTTTCTATTGAAGGAGAGAAACCAGGAGTAGTTCCTGAAGGGCAGAAGGCCCTTATATATAAGGAATACAGAAAGAATGTATGTGAAAAGGATAGTGTGTCTTTTTCCAGCAATCCTAGCGGGGAAAAAACAGTGTGTCCTTTTCTAGCAATCCTAGCACAAAGGACAGATATGGGGTTTTGGTAGGATGGTGACGTTGAGACCTCAGGGTGAACCAGAATCCCTAGATTCCAACAGAATGTCGCAACTTCTGTACCATATCACTGAGTACTACCGACGGGAGGACGCAAACCACGTCGAAATGCACGAAGCTGTCTCCAGAACGCGTTGTTTGAGCCAGCTTATCGAGGAGGAGAATACCACAGGGCTACAGCTATCTCTGGTCTACATTGAAAAAGCACGACATTGGGATCTCTTGGGCGAAGGAACTGCATCCATGGTGCTGTAATATGATATCCTGAAGCGGGAGGAGACCGTGGTCTGGATCAGCGATCCTGGACTCGTCAAAAAACTACTCTACCAGATCCAGCGAAGACGTTCATTGTTAACGGCTAATCCGCTCCGGAGCCGGTAGGCCAGCGGTCTCGAGTCATTGAGGTCTCCGGTCCAGCGACATTAGTGAACGACGACACAGTAGCCACAGCTCTCGTGGTAAATAGGATAATAGCAGCAATGCTAGTAAGATTCCACTCTGCCCTGGCACTCGCTGTTCAACCTCTCGCGGGAGAACCGGAGTTGCTAAAGCAGCGAGGAGTCGTCGAGCAGCTGGTTGGAGGAGTGGGAATGGCGGTTGTGGTCGGGGGTGAGCGAGTCGAAGACGTTGCGAAACTGCAAGCGCTGGAGGGCGGGTGTGTTCTTGTCTACCAGGTAAGAGTTTCGAGCGTAGCGTAAAGTTGAAACGCGTATAGATCAGTCGCTGTAGTGGGCTGTATTTACCCAACGTAGGCAGATCTCTGCATACACATAGAGGCAGTAAGGTAAATCAGTAGTAAGTAGGGTTGAAGGAGGCATCGGATAGAGGGACCTGTGGCATTAAGACTTGATTGTGCCCGGGGTAAGCTTCGTAATACAGGAATTGCCGTCCTACCAGGGTTGGAAACCCCGGGAACAAGTGATGAATGGCACTGTTTAATAGTTTAACCGCACGTTCATTGTCTCTAGAGCAACACCCAGAAATGGGGGTCAAGCGGTTAAGTACTATTATACTAGGCCATTCTTTCGGCATCTGGTCGATGGCCATTTCGGAAATACCAAATGGCCGTCGATTAGATCAGATGCTTTTGTTCCCAGCACCTACCATCCCCCACCCCCTAACGGGACACACCCCCCACCGGGACAGCCAAACCCCACAACCACCACCAAAAGTCCCCTACCTCACTTACACGGATTACAGCTCCCTTTGAGGCTATCTATACGCTCTTTAGATGGTTAGATAGCCCTTTTCTTGGTGTTTAGCCGGATATAGATTAGTGAAGTTTCAGCCATCGGCATCAGTGATTAGGAGCCTCTGTGCCCCGCCCCTAAATGCAAATTTGCTGTAGAATTCTCTCTCTGAGCCCCTGACCCTTATGCCACCATAGCATCATGAAGCCAGCCACGATGCCTCCGCCCACGTACACTAAAGATAATGTGGCGGATGCCTGGCTAGATGTGACAGATAACGGCATATCTGTGAGAAAAGCCGCCCAAAAACACGGCATCCCTAAGCAAACGCTGTCAGCACGCATCAACGACAGAGTCACCCGAGCCGAGGCCCAGGTTAGCAAGCAGAGACTCTCCCCTCAACAAGAGAGTAAGGTGGCTCAATGGATATTGCGCCAGGAGTCCCTAGGGCTTGCCCCTTTTTATACAGCCATGCGGGAGATTATTATACAATTACTGAAAAAGGGGGGGGATTTTGTACCACTGGGCCCGAATTATATGGAGGGCTATAAACGCCGTAACCCTACCATCCAGACTAAAATTGGTAAGCGGATAGAATCCGCTCAGTTTAAGGGGTTCATCCCTAAGTCTGTTAACTGGTTCTTTGACATATTGGAGGATTATCAATGGGTGAAGCCAGAAAATACGTACAATGTCGATAAGGGCGGCATTATGTCAGGTTTTGGTTAGTCTTTTAACCCCCTATTCACCCCTATCCTGTCAGTTAACTAGCTAACCCCTATAGGCATCGATTCCCTAGTCTTAGGAAGTTCTGAGACTACAAAAGCCTTCCTAAAGAGTCCCAAGGGGCGTGGCTGGACCTCCTTTATCGAAGCTATCTCAGCCACGGGAAAAGTTCTTAAACCAGGCATAATTTTCAAAGGAAAAGATCTCCAGGCCCAATGATTCATCGAAGAATTCCATAAAATCGCGGGTTGGTACTACATAACGTCAGATAACGGCTGGACCAGTAACGAGATTACGTGCCTATGGTTAGACCACGTTTTCCTACCCCAGGTGGATGCTGTACAAGGGGAAGACCAGGCAGAGCCGATCCTTATGATACTAAATGGCCATGGTAGCCATACTTCCATACGTTATTTATTTTTTAGGGGTTGTTTAATCAGTTAACTAACTGTATAATTAACAGGACGAGTTCATGTTGTGGTGTTATTTTGCTAACATCTTGCTTTGTTTTTTCCCAGCCCATACCAGCCACGGCATGTAACCACTAGATAACGGACCATATAACGCGCTCAAAGCCTACTACCAGATATTTCTTTCGCAATTAAATTCTCTCATAGATGCCTCGCCCGTGGATAAGATCAACTTCATCCGCTGTTATTCTCAGGCTAGGGACAAGGCTTTTTCTAAGCCGAATATCCTCTCGGGCTTCTGAGTGACGGGGTGCTACCTAGTTAGCCGCAGGAAGTGTTTGAAACACCCGGAAATCCAGGAGGATAAAAGAAAGACCCCAGAGCCAGAAGAAGTTAAAGACTCGGAGCCAGAAGACCAGCGGACCCCTACCACAAGCCGACAGATCATAGATTTCGTAAAGAACCGCTCCCCAGCCACTCGGCTGAAATTCAGGAAGATCTCCCACGCCTTCGAGAACCAGGAGACGGAACTGGCCCTAAAAGATCATAAGATCAAGGCCCTAGAGGCTAAATTAGAGCGGCTACGGCCCAAGAAGAGAAAAAAGGTCCCAAATCTAAACCGGAAGTTCATGAATATGACCGAGATATTGGCCCAGGGGGGTGACCCGTTAAGGGCCGTGGTTATAGAGTCTTCAGAGTCAGAAGCAGAGCCAGAGGTTGTTGAAAATAAGGATGAGGAGGAGGAAGAGGTTGAGGAGGCTGAAGAGGGTGAAGAAGCCCCTGTTGCAGAGCCCCAGGTGACGAGAAGCGGTCGGTCAATTAGGGCGCCAGCTAGATACGTGGATTGAGGAGCCTCAATACCACAGAATGATAATTTTGTTGATTTCTTTGGGCATCTACAGCCTCAATTGCGTGTAAGTGAGTAAGGGGGTATTTTGGTGGTGATGGTGGGGTTTGGCTGTCCCGGTGGGGGGTGTGTCCCGTTAGGGGGTGGGGCATGGTAAATTCTAGAACACACTCTCCGACGGTCGTTGGTTCGAGCAGCTCTAACCACTTGTGAGAATTTTCCCCTCTGGTCCCAGGGCCATGGCTAGAACAAAGTTTCTTTCTGTGGCCGAGGCATTCGCTTAGTGTAGGGTGCAAGCTCATCATTATTACCTAGTTCACATCATCTTAATCATGAGCCATCCATTAACTGCAGCATGTACCTGCTACACACCACAAACGTGAATTTACCCATTCCTAGTCACGCCACTGGATGTATTACATTAGACATGTTGGAGGTTTTGGAACTACGAAGCAGCTCTTCAAGTAACCTTGCAGTGAAATTCGCCTTTCCATTTCAAATAGTCTTAATGACCTGCAGGAAGAGTAGCTGGCATCTTATGGTGTCGCTCCAGCCCGACCAGACTTTGCTGGAACCAAATCCATCCGGCTAGGGCTTCTCTATTATGGACCAAGCTGAAATGGCCGTAAACTCATAATAAATACCCAGTGAGGACTTGCTAGGGTAGCATGGACCATCTCTACAACGCACCCACAAATGTGCCATGGGGTGAATAAAACGCACAAACAGTCGAGGGGGCTACCTTATATGCAGCATAACAGAACAAGTTTCTTTTAGCATCTAATTAGTGGCTATTATTCAACGATGTAAAGCACGTGATGGCACTTTCATCCGACTATTTAATTGCGTTTTACATTTATTAAGTTAGAGAACTGCAAATCAATCTAATTTTAACTTCAATAAAGTGAATTCCCTTTTAAAAATATTTACAAGTGAAATCGAGCCTTAAGATTTAACTTAATTATTAAAATCGGGGGTTATTTAAATAATAAGTTTTCAGGGTATTATCGGTATCTTCGTATAGCCTTCCGTAAGTTAAAGCGATTAAACATGGTCGTAATATTAAAAATAAGTGTTTTAAAAATAACAAGTTGTTCGAAAAGTCCGGTATATACAGTGCTTAAATAGGTGTAACTAGCTGAAATAATAAATATAGTTAATAGATATAACTAATACGGCTAGTAATACGGCTAGTAGTATAAGTTTAAAGGTAAATTCTAGCTTTTATTTAGTTCGAGTTTATATTTGCAAGTAACCTAATTACTAGGATTAATTCGATTTAATTTGCTTAATAATATCAAATCAAGCCAAATATGGAGGCCATATTCAACTTGTTTAATTTGTGTGAGAATATTGGTGCCTATCAGGTGTGTGCTGCAGCTGGCAGCAGGCTGAAAGGGGTGAAAGGTCCATTGTGGTGACCACTGGCAGGTCTGTTGTCTGCTGTCAGGCAGCCGGATATCAAAGGGCTCCCATAGCTGTATTTAGGTGGGAATATCCCCATGGATCCATAACCAAGACACCAAACCTGATCCATCCCATCCTGACCCTATGTGAACCCCTGAACTTCACAATTTGTATGAAACGCAGCTACTTAAAGGCAATAGAGACTCCCATCCTCTGGCCCCTGACGTATATATCGTAGGACACCATTCAACCGGGAATGACAGTTAATCGGTAAGTAAGCTCATCTAATGTACAGAGATACATGTACCTAGTCAACCAAATCACACCGGGGCACCCCAAGGGCAAAGAGCGGTCGACTTGCAAACACAGTGCGGGCGAATCTCCCCATTGTGCTTGCTGGGTTCATCTCGTCCATTCATTCACCAGAATCCAGACAGCCTAGGTACCCCTAGTTTGCGCATTGCACCCATCTCTCCTTTGCTTGCCTAAGTCCATATCAGCCTACCAACCTTCACCACCGCCACCACGATCACCACCACCATTGTCGCCTGCGCCTCTCACCATCAACACCTTCCCTTTTCACCAGAAGCCACTGGGTCCGGTCCCTCACAACAAAGATTTGCCGCGCATTTTCGCCGCACCCACCCCTTAGCCTGATCTTGTGACAGATTTTGTTTGTTCGATACCCTCATTCCTCACTCGCCTCACCAAGACCATCTTCCACGACAACCGAACATGTTAGCAGCCGGAGAAATCGGAGCGATAGCTGCGGTGGCATTCGTCCTGGTCGTCTTGGTTATCATCTTCGGCGGGTCAGCATCGCCCCTTACCAGTAACATCCATGAAACCGCCTACTGTCCTTTGGAAGGTTTGCACTGGCCGAAAAGTGAACCAGGCTGTCTGACTGTTGAATCCGGCGCAGCCGTTGCGCTATCATTGTCTCTGGTAACTAATGTGCTACAGGGACGCGAAGTCAGAAGGAGCAAGCTTGGGACGGGCTACGGCCAGTCTGGTTTGCAAATGGCAAACCCCATGAAGATCAAGGGGAGAGATCTGGAGAAGTCTGACCAGTAGGACGACAAACTCTACCCTTTCCCGACACAGCTGCATCCCCGTCGTACAATTCAGAACAACGGAGGCACCGGCAACGAAGCTACGTGAACAAACCAGCCGATAACTCCGCTGCATGTACGCCATAATCGTCTGAGTGGAGGATGTTTTTAGGGGTGGCTTGTTGCGGAATGAGGACCTCTCAGTGGTGCGATGGGAGCGATTAGGAACTTTCTTCTGGTTTTCTTGCACTGAGCACATGATATACAGGTGCTGAGGGAGAGTACGGACACAAATACACACTGGCTGGATCTAGCCAAATAAATCATAATCCTGATACCTGGTGGCTGCTTGTGCAATATGCTCAGGCACGGCTATTGCCTTAGTAAGTAGACATGCCTGGACTAAGCAACGTCATATATGATACATTATCTCTGGACACAGTATCGGGCCAAGTATGCTGAAATCGCTTCTGACTAGCTGATACCCTGAAGTTGGTCTCAACATGAAGCCTTGCAATGCAATCTAAGGTCTAAGAAGAGCAACGCCTCCCAATGCAAAGAGTGGTATCCATAATTCATCACTGCTTTCTCCCCTCGTATCGTATCACACCATGAATGATTCGCCACAGCCGCATTCCTCCTCTGAATGTGCGTTAGTCCCAGCTCATATAGTGGTTCATGGACAGGTACCACTTACTTATATTCGGATTCCGAAATACAAACCGCTGGTTCAGTTTGTCCTCAACCCAATCCATCTCGCTGCCAATGATGCTGAACAACGCCTTGCTGTCGATGAGCACCTTGACACCATCTTGTTCCACCTCCTCATCGAATTTGCCAGGCTTGTCCACGTACTCCAGGTGATAGGCCAGGCCACTGCAACCCCTATTGCGTACGCCGACCTTTATCAACTTGGGTTCCGGCTGATCCAGAAGACTTCGCATCTGTTCGACAGCTGCTGAGGTGAGCTTCATGGCGGCCTTGCGTGGGCGCAGCTTTCGCTTGGGAGGCGCGGGTTTGGGCTTCTGCGCCTCTTGCTCTGAGACCACCGTGCTAGGTGATGATGCCGCCGTTGGTTGTGCAGGTGGTCTCGTCTCGTGGACTTCTGGCATGGGACTTGCTATCGAGGTCTCGGGTATCGGTTCGTTACGTGGTGCCGACGGCGGCCGCGAGGGCAGTGGGTAAGACTGGAAAGAAGAACTCGTTTGGAGTTTCTCTGATGTGGCGGCCCATGGTTGTGTCTGAGAGAACTGGCGTAGTATCTGCTGGCAAGGTCGCGCCGAAGACGTTGTGGCGGTGGTGAGGCGTGAGAGCAGAGCTACAGAAGCCCTGGGCAGAGCCATGCGCGGAGCATTCATGATGTGCTGCGCAAGACGGTTGGTGGAGGGGGGGGTGTCGTCAGGAACGCATGCGTCGCAATATCGAGGAGACAGTCGCTTGAAAGAGGAATGGTGAAAGACTGCCGTTAAAGAGGTGCTCGGTCGTAAGCCTGGTAAGTACAGCGAGTAGGGTATTATTGAGTGCGGTCTTGAGTTTCGTAGGTATGTGTTGACTTTAGAGAGTCGCTGGATGGCAATTGGAAATCAGTCGATGTTGCTTTGGAAGCGACCCGAGAATCTGATGACATCGTTCCCACCTGGGCATGGACCCATCATGCCCGTTACGATCCGGCTTTGGCCGGGCCAATCACATCGCTCTTGTTGGTCAAGCGTCCAGAGCGTTTCGCTGAACGCTAACAACGCTAACCCTGCACCGTCCCGCACAGTATTTCAATACCCTTCATTGATGAGCGACACTGTACCAACTTCGATCCCTGCCCTTGTGGAAATCTGTCACTGCGAGCTTGTGAAAGCCCACCAGTGTTGCATGCCCAAGTTCGCTGCACGTTGCGACGCGCAGCAAGCTCACCAACACAAGACTGACTTGTCCTCTTATGACTTTGTTCGTTGAAGCAGTCCTTGGCTGGCAATGATACCTCTGCAAGCGACTGCACTGTTGCCATTTGTTGCCATTTCCACCCATGCTTCACCTCTCGCAATGGACGCCTCCCCATTGACGCAGCAGGCCCGCCCTGACATCTTTCAACCCAAGATCGTTCAGCTCTACGAGGTGTTATTCAAGGTTCGGGAGTTCTGCATTCCCCAATCATACGTAGGCTTGGGAATCGCTGACAATGGGACCCCAAGGTACGTCAGAGCAGACCGAGACAAGCGCTCGACCGATCTCGCTGACCTCCCATCGTGGAATAGAGCGACCAGGACCTCGATGTCGAACCATACCAGCCCGAAGGCTTCTGGCGCGAATTCTTCCTCCTAAACCCCGATCAAGCGTCCCTGCAGCGAATACTGGCCGAACTGGGACCTGACCATCTTATAAACCTCCAACCTCAGACAAGACAGCTCTTCTTCCGCGCCGTGGCCTGTTTGAAGAAGGGAGGTGGCATAGCCGACCTACACGCGCTCGAGGTGGGATTGCGCAGACCCCTGGGGGAGCCAACAGACACACCCTCTGACTTATGCTACATAGACCCTCACGACATTCTTCTCCGCGATCCTCCCCAAGAAATATACGAACCCCAGCTCTGATATCATTGCAGTATTGGCTGGACTAGATCAGGTGGATACCGTCTTTACGGATTTCGTAGGCGCCCTGGACGGCATCATACGAAATGGCAAGACACGTAGGTCAAGTCTTCTGCTCCAGTGTATGAAGGTTGACTGATTGTTATCCCGCAGTCGATGTTCGACGACGCGCTGTCGAGGTCGTGCTGTCCATCACATCTGGCGCGTACCAGACAAGCCTCTTGACCTATTTCATACACAGGGACCTCTTCCCTGCCATAATGAAGGTTCGTTGTTCCGGGTACAGCACATGAGGATTGTATTGACGTGGTGTAGTTTATTCAGGAATCAGAGTCACCATCAATGGTCTTGGAACCGTTTACCTTGCTTGGGCTCCTAGCCAACTACAACAAGTTTGAGTTCCAGAACCCCTATCAGCAGCGGCTCAACGACTTCGTCAATGAAGCAGCTATACAGAAGATCATAAAATGCGTTGGCCAGACTTCCCGGGGGCTGCGGGGTCAATACATTGAAATATTACAAGATCTGCCCGAAGGCTGGTCAATATCCAACACTCTGAGTATGATCGGACTTGGTGCCATTGCTCCAGGTAGCAAGGCAAACCAGAAGCCTACCTACGATCCCGAAGTAGCCAAACAAATGTTTGCGAAGCTGTGAGTTACAACATGTCCGACCGAGATTATCGCTTACATAATCTAGACCAGGCGAGGAAGCGGCCGTTTTACTGGGCACCTATGATTTCAGCCATGCCAACAAACTCTTCTGCTTCAACTTGGTCACGTTACCTGCCGACAAGGGCGAAGAGCAACCCATCTCGAGTTTCCTGTCACTCACATCGTACCTACTTCAGCATGCCTTCCTCTCCAACAGGGCTACCAACTACGCTCACCTCAGCTTAATGATTTTCCGGCTCCTCATCGAGGATCAGCTCCTGTGCAAGCGCATATGTAGCGAGGAGAGCAAAGTTGCCGTGCGCTTATGCCGACAGCGGCAACCCTACCTGCCAGCCGTTAAAGGCGAGCGCATACTGGCAACCAGCGTCCTGGACACCATGATTGACGGCATCAACCATAACCTTCGGCGCCGGTTAGACGTGAGTCTGTATACTCTCTGCGTTGGTATAATGTTGCGAATCGTTTCCTACCTTTCACGCTCCCGGACACGACTACAGTATCATTGGTCCGAGCTGTTCCGATCGCTCCTGTCGCTTGTCCGCTTCTTGACCACATACGCGTCCGACCTCAAAGACTTGCAGCATTTTGATACCCTACTGGACCTTGTCGTGAACCTCCTGGCCCTGTCACTCTCTGCTGGTGAAGCATTTCTACCTACTCCGGCGGCTTATGACGATCTATTCTACAAGGTCGTGGAAAATGGCGATGTCCTGGAGAAATTCCGCGATACCTACAAACTGTCGAATCGGGCATCAAACTCTATAGGCACGCTGGTCAGCGTCAGCACACACTACAAGTCGATGTTGGACTCGGGTGGATCGAGGAAGAACCTGACGAGCTCGCAAGTGGCAGAAGTGATCAAGCAGGGCTACGAGACACTGAGCATTCAAGCAAAAGAAGGATTGGATGGCTGGGAACGATACAGGGAAGCGGATGAGCGGAATTTGCTGAAGAAGGTGGCAAGGGCCTCGGTGAACGACGTGAAGATCATGGTCCAGGCTTAAGTTAGGCAGTTTGCAGCGAACTAGAGGAATGAAGATTTGACCTTGGTCATATGATAATGGCCACAACACCGAGTATCAGATATGGATCTCGACAGGCGCATCAGCGGTGTATCATACTTGCGACCCTCCACGCGGTCTTCTCACAGACAGCTGAAACTGAGCGTACCAACCAGTACAAAGAAATCATCCCATGCCGGCGGTACGCGTGGAAGCGAAAGCTTGTGATTGGCTAACCATCAGTATCGAGGATTCCATCCTAAGACAGCAAACACGACCTCCATTCCGCTCTCACCAACAGTCACCGATTCAGCCTCTGTAGACGTACCTTCATCAAACTGGCCCACTCCCCTGCTGACGTGAAAGGCTCCAATGTTGCTCCGACATAATTTTGAAAGATCCCCCCTCACTTTTGCTCAGCCCCGTCAATAATGTCGTGGAATACTGTCCTACTAGGGCTTATAGCGATCTACCTCACGTTGGTCCACGCTTTGAGGTACAGGCGCCGCGACAGCATCATTCATCGATTCAGTCCAGCAGGACGCCAATCCTTGAGCACGCTGTCCCTCGCGGACGCACATTCGATCGTCCTGGACCTGGCTACGCTCGAGTTCCCCTGCACCTTCTCCGGATCCATATTCTTCGCACTGTTCAAGGTTTGTGATAAATCTCAAAAAGTCTGACCTGAAAGGTACGGTACACACACTGATACCGATACTGCGGTTACACCTACGGCATCCCCTCCTTCTCCAGCGTCCTCCTCTCAACAGGCCAGCTATCATCGAGCTCCACGGCCTCCAAGCACGCCGCAGACACGGGGTTCATGATTACCGAAACCGTGCTGAACGCGCCATCCTCTCCACGCGTCATCGACGGCGTGGCCCGCATGGACTACCTCTCTGGTCGGTATCGGAAAGCAGGCAAGATCACCGACGACGACATGCTCTACACGCTCGGCCTGTTTGCCCTGGAGCCGGTGCGTTGGAACGCCGTGTACGACTGGCGCGTCCTGACCGATGTCGAGGAGTGTGCTCACGGTGTTTTCTGGAGGGATATGGGCGAGGCTATGGAGATCTCGTATGAGCAGCTGCGGCCGTATATGGGCGTGAGTGAAGGTGAAGGGAGTGATGCTGGCGATGGTCTGGCTTGGATGGATGCTTTGCAGATGTGGTGCGATGGGTATGAGATCCGACACATGCTTCCGGCGGTTTCTAATAAGCGGGTGGCTAAGGCCACGCTTGATATTGCCGTGTTCAATGTTACGACCCGGCTTCGGGGGGTCGCTGTCGGGCTTGTGAGTGCGTTGCTTGAGCCGAGACTTCGGCGGGCTATGACGTGAGTTCGCCCCTGTTCGCATCTCGCATCCCAAGTCCGTCATATCGCCGTCCCCTACAAGGGCAAGGGAGACACTGTGTTCTTCTCCTCTTACACAGCTAAACTGACAATCCCCCAGGTTCGAAGACCCCCCTATCATATACGCCCAACTGCTCACCGCGGTCCTCAACCTCCGGAAGTGGTTGTACACTACCTCTGTCTTCCCAGACCGATGTGGCTCCGTACAAAGTGGTTCACCGACGAAAAAGACGTCGCCACCGGCAGGTACCATGCTCTGAGATACATCTCTCACCCCTGGTACATGAAGCCCAGCGCTGCTAGCCGATGGGGCCTAGGTGCCCTCCTCACCCGTCTCTATGGAGGCGTGTTGCCCGGAGATGAGGGCGCGAAGTACCACCCGGAGGGCTATTTGATCGGGGCGCTTGGGCCGGCTGGCTTGGTGGGGAAGGGGGAGAGGGAGATGGGGGATACTAGGGTGGCGCTGGGGAGACGTACGGGTTGCCCTATGGGTGTGTGTTGATCGCTGGCTTCTATCATGTAACTGTACAGAGACGTGCTAGAGAGCGAGAGCAATTCTCAGTTACATCCAAGATTGAAACAAGGGACCAATGGCCAACCTCACGATCCTAGGGAGCTTTGCAACCCAAAGACGGTCGACCTTAGCGCGTAAATCACATCGTTGACACTCTACTATGTAAGATGCAGCAGAGTCATCGGCCAACTCAATCGACCATCACATTCCCAGGAATACTGTCCAACCCTAAGTTATGGTCAGCTTGAACAAATCACAAGACAAGGAGAAGGGCAGCACTTACACCCATCGACATCCTCTACCGCCGTCTGCGCCATGGTGCACTTCATGGCCTCCTCCGAGGTCTGGGTCTTGAGCTCCCTGCAGACGGCATTGTTACAGCGAGCGTCGAGAGCGCGCTGAAGCGCGTCGCCCTTCCAGCCAAAGATGTAGTCGCCGTGCTGAGAGTAACCATTTCTGTAGAGGCCTCTTAGCCCATCCTCAGCCGCGACAGTGATAAAAGGAACCATCTCACTTACCTATCGCCCGTACTCCAAACAAACGGCTGCGAGCCGTCTTCCGGCCACATCGCCGAATCACTGAAACCGTGAGTATCCCACATGACCTCGTACATCAGCTGCGGCAGCTTCACAGGATGGCTCCCGGACACGCGCCGCCCGACTCGAAAGTCCCATTGCCGCTCGGGTAGTCGACATGGCTCTTATGGTCAGGACTGTCCGAGTTCGTCCCGTCCCAACAGGTGGGAAACGTGATAGTAGTCCTAATACCGCCCTCGCAGGGCTGCGCCGGCAAACTCTGCGAGTCCGACCTCGTGCACGGCGCGCCCGCATTAGACCCGCCCTCGTAGTCCGCAGCCGTGTAGCACCGATGACACAACTGCCGCTGCTGTCCCTCGGCCTCCCTCAGCGCCGCATCGCCGACCAACATGCGGAACCCCGGCTGGAACGCCGTCACATTCGTCACCCCATCGTACGGCGGGATATAGTACACAGTAACCCCCCCAACGCCCCGAAGCCCGACGTTCGGGAACTGCGGCACGCGATGGAAGGTGCCGTTGCGGGCGCGGAAGTACAGCACCGCGGTCCAGTAGTTGGAGAAGTCTTCCGCAAAAGTGCAGCTGGTGCAGGTCGAGTCGCGCACGGGGTCGTGCTGCCCCGAGGAGGCGTCCATGGACGCGTTGAAGGAGTTGCCGCCGACGATCTGGTGGACGTGCGGCGAGAAGACGACGCCCGGGTTGACTAGCGGGTCGAGACGCTCGATTATTAGTTGCGAGCAGCCGAAGCGGATCATTTGCTGCGCGGCTGCTGCTGAGGCGAGCAGCGCGGTGGCTACTGCGGTCGGCCAATGCATCGTGGGCGGGTTTTGGAGGTCGGTTTGCTGGAAACGGAGGTTGTGATCGAGCAGGGTCGGGTGGAAAGGGGTTCACTGGTTGCGGTATGACTGGCTCGGAAATACTATATACACAACGCCTCCTCCTCCCTTAACGATGCCGGCTATGGCTTCTTGGATCGCCTTGTAATAGCAAGAACTTCCTACCATGCGATATTGATATGCGTCACACATACCTTCAGTCCGTCTACTAATATGTGTGTAGCCGGTAAAGGTGCCTGCCAAGCAATATGATTAGCCTGGCGAAACACGGCAGATATGTTCTGGAGAATATGTAGCAATGATCGATGCCATTTAGGCGGGATGCCGGTGGTAACCTCAGAGGTTGGCAGGGCAGGTTCTATCACTCACGATAACTTGGGGGCGAGGACTGGCTCGGGGCGTTGAGCAGAAAGGAACGTGGGAAAACCCGACGAGTGATGTAGGAAAATGGTCCTGACATGCGCCCTCGTAGTCTGAACGTTTCCAAGTCGGCTGTCGCTCGTAGGGGTTTGGGATGTGTCGCTCATGGGGTTCTCTCCTTTTCTCCACCCAGCACTTCCATCCGGCAGAATTGGACTCATTACCGGTCAACGGCTATACTCACAATGCAACATCCTATGGCTCTCGCACTCCAAGTTGACCGGTCTGATCATGGACCGATTAGGACGCCGCCCCGGCAGTTGGTCGGGAGCCTCTTTTCACCCATTTAATGGTAAGGTGGCAAGTTCAAACTTAGCTCGCCTCCTCCGACAACCTGAGCAACTTCGGCATTCGTAACGATGAGGAACGGCCTATCTGCAACGCTCACGGCGGCATCGCTCTCCTCGCGAGCATATACCGCCCGGCTGTGTGGCAACACCACGGCTCCATCCTCGACGTACCAGTGGCGCGTCGGCGACGCGAGGTACGATGGCGCAGACCCCAGCAAGACCGACGGCTTAGCCACGGTGGCACTCAGCGTAGTACCAGAAGACACCAGCAGCAATGCTGCCTTCTTCGAGTGCGTTGCGGAGTGGCCGGAAGCCTGGGCAGGCTGGTACGAGGACAGCAACATCATCTGGAGCGACTGCATCTGGGCTGGGAACGGACCGACGTATGACACGGCTATAGCGTTTGCAGTCGATTGGAACAATCGCACACTATTCGTGTCTCATACGTTTGGTTGCTCGGATAGATCGGGGTAAGTACTACCGGACTGTGTGGAAATGCTAGGAGACGCATCTGTGTGAAGGCAAGTACGGTGACTGATTCTCGTGGCCTAGATCTGATGCCCTGGCCATAGGAGCAGCGCATCTCGACATGGACTGCGCCGACGTGGATGGCAGTAGCAACTGCATCCTGCCCACGAGTCTGAACGTCACCACCCAAGCCGCCCCAGCACGCCTTCAGACGAACCCGACCTGTACCGACAACTCGGCGAGGTACCAGTCGTGGCAGCTTGAGAACTGGACACGCCAGTACGAGATGGTCCCTGGATCATCGGCTATCACGCCCCAATCAGATACCGGCACCTCGTTCACGCTCAGGAACATGGTCAACAGCGACATGTTCAACTGCTCTCCATCCGGAGACCAGAACGACACGTTTGTTGGCACTTGCACCCCAGCGACGGGAGGAAGCCCGACGACGACGGCGACGTTCCGGTTTGAGCCGCTGCGGGGTATGCTCTCGATCACGCAGCAGTGGAGTTGCAGTGACTCGTAGGTACTACCTTGCTTCTATGGAGAGATGTCTCATGAGGGGTGGACTTGCTGACGCCGTGCCAGACCTTCGTTTGATGCCGTGGGTGTCAGCTACGTGCAAGCGACGTGTGCTCGCGAGGGCAACATGCTTAATTTCACCTCGGATCCGCTCTGGATTGGGACGAAGACGGTCTGAGCCAGTGTTACTCGGGTGTGGATTGAGTATACGCCTGAAAAGGGTTTAAGATGAAGGACGGGGAGATATCTGATTAGGGGTCTTAATTTGATTTGGCTGACATGGTCTTGAGCATACCTACTGCTCGTCTCAAAGCCGCGAAGGCGACTTGATCTGTGAGATAACGAAAGAGGTTGGAGCATGATCCGTATGACTTCCTGCTTCAACTTCATGACTGGCATGAAGCCTGTCGATTTTGTGTAGAATGGAAGCACAGTGTCTCCCCTCTGGCGCTTGATTTTTAGATGACGCCGTCGGGCGTCGCCCCTGTCGCTGGGCATTAAAAGCGAATAAAGCGTAGCATCCAATGACGAGAGGGGATATGGACATAGAGAATAGTGCGGCCGAGACTCGAGGGAATATGCCTCACGATGCACCATATTCTGACAGATTGTTGAGCGTCGACCCATGGAAATCGACAGACAATCGTACGGTGAATGGTGACCCGCACGGTATGAATGTGGATAGAATACACGGTGCTGAGTAAGCGGGAAACCGGACCTGTCTCCTTCCTGGCAGAATCTGTGCGGCTCATCTCATGATCTCAAGCTTCGACAGCACGCCAATTCCATTCATTTGATCATTATATCCTTCAAGATGGCCGAACACCCCTCGTTCACACTCGCTGGCCTCTGTGAGTATCCTATGCGTTTCTTCTATCTGCGACAATAACATACCAATGCTCATTGTAACAGTGGCCGCGGGCGGAACCATGGGCTATGTCCGGACGAAGTCGACGCCGTCTCTGGTGGCCGGACTCGGACTCGGAGCTTCGTACGCCTTTGCCGGTGAGTCTCCCTCCCTCCAATAGCCCCCGAGACGCGCCTCCGGCTATCCGTCTTGGTTAGCAAGCGTACAATGGATTTGCATGTCTCTAACCCGTCGCGTGTTGCCCGCTAGGCTACCTGATCAAGGGCAACAAGGACTACGGCACCGAACTCGCGCTGGGCAACAGTGTCTTCCTGCTGGGATCTGCGGTGCCGCGCATCATCAAGACCGGTGGCAGGGCGCCGGTGCCGCTCGGTCTCGCGGCTGTCGGCGGGCTTGCGACGTATTATTACCAGAAGAAGGTCCGGGAGTTCAGATTCGGCGTCTAGATATGTATTCAAACATGTAATTCTAGCTTTTTCGGAACTCGCCATTGTTGACACACCGCCTGTTGCACCCTCGAACCCTGTACGTTCACTGAGCTAACACCAGCTGCACGTTCGGCTATTCACTCTTCCTCGCATACCGGCGTCTTGGGTCATATGCCAAACTCCACCTCCACACTTTACTCCGCACTCCCCACGGGGTCGCGAGTCAGGCGGATATTCTCATACCCTCCCCCAGCCTGTTTCTACGTCAGATCCATTCCACTGGGTAGGTATATGAGAGTAGGTAGGTATGAGGTGGTATCGTCTTTCTTGATGCTACATCAACTTCGGAGCCCTACTGAGAGCGATACTTGCAGCCATGCGTTCCTTTACCTCCGTCCTCCTTTTGGCAATTGCCATCACATCAGTGCTCGGCCATCCGGCTGACTTGCAAGCTGAGCGAGATCGATTATCATCCGTCTCCTCACAGCACGTTGAGCGAGAAAGGCTTGTACAGAGATCAACAAGCCGCAAATACAGCCCAGCCGATTCTAATCCCTACGCCGACTGGCCTTCCTACTCCCAGCTCCCACTCGACTCGTCCTACCCAACCAAAGCAGGATGGGGGGTCTGGGGTGCCGACGACGTAGACGGAGCTTTGAACCACATCACCAACGCCACAATCCTCTCCGCCCGCTCCGAGATACAGCTAGGAGAGACCTTCAACCTCAACTTACCGCTCGAGGAGCCTAGCATCCCGATCAATCCCTCCCGCAAACCACTGCAACATCTCTTCCAGCCCGAGTCAGGGTACACGGATGATGTCGTGGTAATGAACACGCAAATCTCCACGCAATACGACAGCCTCCGGCACTTCCCGTATTCGACCAACACCAGCATTGATACATACCGATGGTATAACGACCTGATCCCCTCATACGAGGATGTGATAGGCCCAGCTCCAACGACCGTGTTAGGAATCCAGCAAGCAGCGGACAAAGCCATCGTCGCCCGCGGCGTTCTCCTCGACTTTGAAGGCTGGGCAGCGACTCAAAACTTGACGCATGATATGCTCCATACCAACTACAGCATCACCTCCTCTCAACTCGACTCAGTCGCTGCGTGGGAGGGTATGCCTTCTGACTGGGCCAAACCAGGCGATATTCTGTTCATCCGGACCGGCTGGCTGGCGCAGTTCTTGGCCCTGGACGCTTACGACCAGAATATTCTGCCGTATAGCAAAGAGGCACCGAGCGGTGGGATGTTGGCGAGCGCTGAAACGTTGGAGTGGATGTGGGAGAAGAAGATTGCCATGGTTGCTGCTGATAATCCGGCTTTTGAGAGTACGCCGTTCTCGCAGACTATTGATGGGGTGCCGAGGAGTTTGCATCAGGTGTTCATTGGTGGTACGTGTCCTACTCCTCCCTTCCAGTCCTCGTTCTATGACGACTTCCTGAACTGCGGCGTTGCAGTGCTAGTCTGGTAGTGTCTGTTGATAGATGCTGACAATTACCACAGGCTGGGGAATGTCCATACTCGAGTTCATCGATATGGAAAAGTTGGCCCCTGCTTTGCACAGTTTGGGGCGATCGAGCTTCTTCGTGACGGTGTGTCCGATGAATATCGTGAGCGGGATCGCGAGCCCGCCCAATGCTATTGCTATCATATGAGGACGACATTCGTACCCACGCAGCTCCCAGGATACATGCTTTGTAGATACCACATCCAAACGATGGAGCTTACGATTGATTCCAGACTCGCATATTGTGACTACTTATTCCGCACTGTCGGGATTGTATGTGGGCTGCATCGGCCGATAACGCATACAGCCGGTTGAAGTGTAGGGTCTCGTTTTTAGAACCTCCCGAGGCGTTTCAGAACGCCTAACTGTTCTGGTGGCACTTTTTAAATTTTCAGCTTAGAAGGGATTGATGCTAGCGGTGGCCATGCCATGAGTCTTCCAAGGTTTCTAGCGGCACAGCAAAATTACCAGGGGCCGCAGCCTCATCTGGTCCAATTCAATCTGATGTCAGCAAATACTACCAAGCTGAATGCAACAATCTACGGCGCGGTTCACTCGCCGCTAGCTGCTGACATTTGGCGAGACGCCGAATCAGCGCAAGGCATCGTCGGGCCCACCTCTTCAGCTCATCTCAAGCATGAAGGACTCAGCCTCTCAGGTTATGCACGCGTTGCTGGCTGGTGACATTGGCGAGGCGGCGAATCAGTGCAAGGTGTCGTCGGGCCCAAGGAGTATCTGCTTGTTTGTTTAGACCAATTGGTTCGCTCACTCGTACGGAATGGAGGCTACCATCCCTCATCACGATACTGAACTCTTGTCTGCTCCGTTTATCTTCCTAAAAACACCCGAATCGCATCACCCATGGCACCGACCCCCTTTACTGCGGCGCTGCTTGCTGCTGCAACGCTGGGCGCAACCGCTCCCCTTTTCCAACCCACCCACTCACCATGTTCACAAAAGGGCGAGCTACAGCTCCACGGCAACTGTGACCTGGAGTGCTTGCCCTGGAGACTACGGCCTGCCCACCAACCTGACATGTGCGACTTATACAGTCCCACTAGACTGGGACGACCCCCACGGCCATGAGACAATAGAGCTAGGTCTTGTGCGCCTCGAAGCCGCCGACAAGGCCAACCGCATCGGGAACCTCTTCATAAACCCCGGGGGTCCAGGTGGCCAGGTGTCCGGAGTAGTCGCCACAATCGTGCAGCAGCCCGGAATCGTGGACTCCGAGATACTGAACAGATTCGACATCATCGGTCTGGACCCCCGTGGAGTGGGCCTCAGCACGCCCGTCCAGTGCGACATCGACGCATCCAACAAGCGTGTCTCCCGCATGCCGAAGACCCAGGCGCAGTTTGATGAGTTGGTCCAGTACAACAAGGCCGTCGGGAAGAGCTGCCGGGAGAAGACCGAACGCCTGATCGACTTTGTCGACACGATCAGTGCGGCCAAGGACCACGAAGCTGTGCGGATAGCCATGGGCGGCGAGAAGGCCAACTTCCTCGGCCTGTCGTACGGCAGTCAGCTCTTCAGCCAGTATGCCGAGTTATACCCTGATAGCTTCCGGGCTATGCTGTTGGACGGCATGGTGCAGCACTCTCAAGACGAGGCATCCAATGCACTGATCGAATCAACCATATACGAGGCAACGCTGAAGCAGTTCTTCGCTTGGAGCAATTCAAGTGCCGACTCGCCCGTGCAAGGGCAAGCTCTTGATCTGGAAGCGGTATTCAAGAGCGTCCTGGCCCAGGCAGACGAAGCGCCCATCCCAGCACCAGGATGCGACGACGTCCAATGCCGGTCGGACGTCACGGCAGAAGAGATTCTCTTCACCCTTCAAGGAACGCTCACCATGACTTCCGGCTGGCCGGGCGTTCTCGAAGCCCTGCTGGAGGCGCAGGGCGGAAACGCGACGTTCATCTCCCAGGCGCAGCCGCTCATAGTGGGCGACGCGTACACGGACTCGCTGCTCTTTGGCGGCCGCGCAATACCGTGTCAGGATTTCTCGCACGCCGCCACGACGCTGGCCGAGGTCGTGGCGAAGCAGACGCAGGGCACGGCTTTCACGCCCCTGACCCGCGGCGCGTCGCAGACCTACGGCATCCAGACGTCGTGCATCGGGTGGCCGGCGCCGGTGAACAACCCCGTGAAGAAGAACACATATACCGGCGAGACGCCCATCCTGATGGTCAACGCGGTCTACGACCCCGAGACGAGCTGAGTGTGGGCGCTGGGGCTCCACGGGGAGATGAGGAACTCGGTGCTGTTGACGCGCGATGGCGCTGGGCATACGAGCTACCTGCTTGGCGGGGCGACGACGAAGCTGGAGAACGCGAATTTGCTTGACCTGACGCTGCCGGAGGCGGGTACGGTTGTGGACTCGTGAATGGGTATTGGGGAGCATGGTACTATTGGATATCAATGTGAATTTTAGAGATAGAGTGAGCTTACACTAATCAACTCACCTAATCACCAGATCCTTGGGATATCTAGTGGCCGTCATACAGCTCGAGTTGCAGTCACGTGTCTCGAGCTGAAGGCCAAAAGCGAAGACAGAAGAAATGATACCGATACGACATTCAGTCCCTCCCCTTCATCTCCTCCAGCTTCGCCAATGCTTCCTCCTTGTGCCGCGCAATATCGAAGTCGTATAAAAAATCCCACCTGTGTGCCAGCGCCTCTCTGAAACCGTCAACATCATGAACACCCCCAATCTGACCGCACAAGATCCGCCCCGTCTCCCTGCTAGAATCGATGACTTGCTGGCATCTAGGTCTCCTAACTCCATCAAAAGCCTCGAACACCGCATCGATTTCTTCAGACGAAGAGATGCAGCCGAACAGGGCTCCGAGGACCACAGCGTCTTCAATGGCTTGTCCAGCGCCGGCCCCCTGCCACGGCGTCGCTGCATGTGCGGCATCACCGACGATACAGATCCGTCCGTTTGCGTAAGTGGGCGTGGACTTGTGTTCCTATTGTGAATACCCCACCGCGCTGGGTTCGTCGAGGATTAGATGGGGAGTGTCAAATGCGTCCGAGACTGAGCAGAGATGGGACAGATGAGGTACTTACATCAATTATGCCATTCGTAGTAGGCCCGCCTTCGCAGCTCTCGAACACCTTATCTAAGCTCTCCCGCGTCACAACACGTTTTCGATCTCTAGCAGGGTCTGATTCGGTCCCTGAGACTATGCATTGGACCATGGTTCTGTTCTCTAGTACACCATGGAGTAAGAACGCCCCGTGTCCGATCCAGCCGTACTGCCTACCCTCCCGAAAATATTCCTCGCCAAGGGCAGCTGACGCCTTGTCAAACGGCACCAAGTTCGAACAGTCCCAGAACCCAGCAGGCGATGCTTCGTGTTCTAGAGCTTCATCCTGGAGGACGAAGTCGCGGACGGAACTGAATATTCCATCTGCACCGATGACTGCGTCGAAGTGGTCCACGGCACCGTCTTCGAACACTACCTCGACCCTGCCGTTCGAACTCGTGTGTTGGGAGACAAGCTTCTTATTGGTGTGTAACATATGGTCAGGCAACGGGGCTAAGAGCAGGCGCAGGAACGAAGCTCTGTAGACTGATAATCTGGGTTAGCCCGCTCCGAGATCTGTGATCAGGGTACCGGCCTCTTCGCCCGAGCCCTAAGGGAAACTTTCAGTATTCTTGCTCCTAGATCAACCGTTTTTGAGATCCGGCAGCAATAGCAGCTTGAGGATCGGGACGCGTAGCTAGCTGCAACTCACCATCATGACGCGCGCTGACTTCGAGACAACGGCTCCAGCTTCTTCTATCAACAGTCTTTCTGCAGCGCGAAGTATCTGGTCTAGGGTTTCGAGTGTATTCTTGGAAAGCCCGATAGAGGCGCCGCGCTCGGAGAACTCGGGCGCTGCCTCGAAGACCTGGATGTCGAGGTGTGGAAGCCAGAATAGAGCATTGGCTAAGCTGGCTCCGGCGAGACCACCGCCAATGATGGCTACTCGTATGCGGGTCATAGTCGTTGACATATTTCATGTCTCAGAGACTGTAATTTGCGACGAGCTTGCGGTAGAGTCGTACGATAGTGGTGCGCAGAGGACGAATATCTGACAGTAGCACCCCGCAAGGCCAAAATGCAACTCGTCAGTTGGAACGCACTAACTGAACCGAAATGGGCATGAGTCCCATACATCGATGCAAGGAGAGGTCGGTGCCACGGGATCGGGCTCGTTGAACAACCTTGGATTGGTCCGCCACATCAGGCTGCGGCCGGTAATAACTCCTCTTGTCCAGTGGGGGCTAGAACTCGCTGATAGGGGAGATCTTGACGACTGCACTGCTACTGGCGTCCTGGGAAGATTCACTTCATCGGCAGAGCCAGATCGAATTTGGATGATAGCGGACATCGTCTCCTTGCAGAGAACCGGCCGGGATTCCAACACCAGTCTTTCACCTGCGTCGACGATTATGGGTGTTGATCTGGGTTATTGTTTTGCTAGAGTAAGAGGGTATAAACTGCCCCCGATACGTCACACACAAGACCAGGAGACAGCTGCACTCTTCGTATCATAACTTCAAGCTGGGTATGTAAACAATATATTCCCGTCTTACACTTGTACCTCTAGAAAAACCCGAGCAATTCCCGCACTATAACCTGAAATAGCTTTGTCTGCTCCGGGCGCGTAGCCTTTTTGGCAACTGTTGCTACATTCGCATCGCCCAGGCACCATTGATAGCACGCTATCATTTTTGGCGAATAAACTGATAATGACTTGCCACTGCGAGATACATCTCTGGATGCCTTGTCACAGGCCAGGCCACAGACAAAGGCGGTGCTGAGCCCTCGAGATTCGAGGTCCTACAAAGTTCGGAGCGTACTGTTAGTTGTGGTCTTGCGTCGTGGGTGAGATCAGGTCTCTCATACCTCGTTACCCGACACCTCGGCAGCGGATCGGAGTTCAGGTTCTGTCATGTTATGTTAGTTGTATTGCTCTCCCAGGCAGACAAGTATCACGAGCATACCGGGTCTCTTGGAATTGAGGCACCCAAAACTCCTCCGACAGATAGGGCAGCAACAAGAATGTGCGAAGTGAGCTTCATGTTGGAAACTCGGGTAGTGAGGTCATCGGGTTTGTCGAGCTTGACGGGATTTAGTAGATTGCGGGTAGGCCTTGATGAACACGGGGGATGGGAAGTGAATGTTGGTCGTGGGATGTAAACATGTAGTCTTCTAAGTTCTTATAAGTTAGATGCTGTTTCTCCGATCGGTTGAAGCAAATTCCATGACGGCACACAGGGAAAAGAAGGATAAGATACCCTGACGGATCCAAACATGTAGGATTCGGCGATCCGATCCGACCTCTAGATAGGCAACTCCCCTATGACCATGCAACCATCGCACTGCTGCGCCGCGTGTTTCACACCATCGCCCGACGTGTAGATCAAAAACTGATGTCATATTGTAAATTGTCGAGTGCGGCAGTCGTGTGACGCAGATAAGATACACTGACTACCCTAGTACATGGTGCACCAGCGTGGCCCAGGTCTGAGGAATAAGGCATTATACTAACGCCGCAATCTGATGACAGGCTGAAAACATGGGAACTTCTTGAGTGGAGACTAGGAACTTTAATAACGTGTACCCGTGCCACGCCCCACTTTATTCAGGATTCGCTCGGGCTCACCAGCTAAAGCTGGTGCTGGACACCAAAACACCCAGATCACCAAAACACCCAGTTTTTCGATCTATCCAACTAGAAAGGCCTTAACTACCTGCAACTGTGGCCAGATTCGTAGATTTCCGCCGGTGCCATCCTCCAGAAAGCCTCTGTTTGCGTGACTCCTTTGCTGCTTCGGAAAAACAGCGTTTTGTAGCATTGCGAATCCTTAGATCTGCTGCTTCAACCATCTTCCTCGCCTTGACTATCTAGTCTTCTTCCTTCTGCTGGACCATTCGCCGGCGATCAGCTACTGTCAACACCCCTCCTGACTTCAATGGAGTATACTTGGTAGCCTGGCATTGTTTTTAAATGCGTTTAGCATATTTAATTCTCCCCAGGTCTCTTTTAGTCTGGACTAGTTCTGAGGCACTTATTAAAGACTTTTTAATAAAGCGGCTAATATTGGCAGCAAACTCAGGATCAAGACTTTTGTCATTTTCCAGCGCTGTGTCTAGCTTATTAGCTACCTTGTTGATCTGGCGTAAGGTCATTGGCGTGCCAAATGGCGAGGAACCTGCTAAGATAGGGGGAATAGGTGTCCTTTTCGGTTGTCATTCTTTTAGGCTTTGAAGCACTGGTAGCGGGTTATATGACCAGATACCAGTCTTCTAGAAGGCAGAGAGAATAGTACTAGACTTAAATGTTTGCTGGCGGACCTGCTAAATACAGCTAAGGAACTCAAGCTTCGTAATAATCACCAGGCCATCACGGACTATTAAGTCCAGTGCCTTTGCGTAATAATGCTTCAGCGGCTGGAAGACTACCCTGTCTAGCGGCTGCAGCAGGTGCGTCAGGTTTGGAAGCATGCCAAAAGGGATGATGCCGTGATCTTCGCAATATTGAATGCATTCAATCATCTGGTGTAAACCATGGCCATCCAGAATAAAGAGCTATTTTGTCCCAATGGCCTTTGCTGCTGTGTGTTTTTCAGAATGCTTTAGCCATTCCAAGCTGGTCTGATCGTTTGAGTAGCCGCTGGAAGAAGGGATAATAGCTATATCTCTATGCAGTTCAGGCTGTTGATACCATTGGGCCATATGGAGCTGGCCTGCCAGAACCAGAAAGGCTGGTATATATTCTCCACCCGCAGAGATGGCTTTGATAGCAGTAGCGGATTCCCTATTCTCAGGTATGCTGAATTAATGGGCTCTCTTTTGTTTGGTGATGATGAGCTGGTTCTTTCCAACACCTATTCAAAAGCCAGTCTCGTCCATGTTCCAGATATCTTCGGAAGGGATACCTGCTTTGCATGCCTTCTTGAGCTTCTGGAAGTACTAAGCGACTCGCTCGACGTCTTCTAATGCCTCCTGGTCCGCATGAAGCTGCTTCTGAAGCCGCTGGTGGTATCCATAGCGCTTGATAAAGTGACTGGTCCATTTTTGGCCAACAGTAGGTGGGCTGTCCCGTATGGCTAAAGGCGCTCGCTCGCTCAGAATGTGATTTGCAGCGTCGGTAATGAACTCAGCGCGTACAGCAAGGTTAATACAATCAAGATGATCAATATAATAACATATTGCCACCTTTTTAGCAGGTGTTAGCTTTGTGTTTGTTGTTGGTTGGCCTTTTCTTGCTGGACGGCCCTTGAGGCGGTTTTAAAGGCGATCGCGAGATACGCCAAATTCGCGGGCTACCGTGGCGACTTTTGAACTGGAATGGGTTCCAATATGCTAAACAGTTTCCCGCAAGCGTGCTTCCATTTTACTGAATTAAATATGCTTTGAAGCTGCTGAAGAAAAGCGTGATCTAGAGGGAATGAACTGGGTGTTTTGGTGATCTGGGTGTTTTGGTGTCCAGCACCAGCTTTAGCTGGTGAGCCCGAGCGAATCCTGAATAAAGTGGGCGTGGCACGGGTAGTAAAGGAAACTGTGTCTCAATCCTTAGGTAGATCTTTGGCGAGTTACGGCGGCGATGATGTCAGCTGCGACGATCCCACGCGAGGGTGGTGCCGTCCCCGAAATAGAAACAGGTAGGGCTACGGCGCGGTCGGCGACGCCACCCGGCATTCCCAGAATCAACGACCGCCGTGCCGCAATTGCGTGGCGAGAGCAGAATGAAGCTTGGTCGCGACATTATCGATGACGAAGGCCGAAGTAGCCTTGGTCGCCGTCGCTGGGATTCCTAGGTGGTCAGAATGCGATCACGGGCAAAAGGGGGTCCGGGTACTAGAGGGTGCACTCCTCCTCGAGGATCCTGCCCCTATGTAGTAGCACCCTTATTAACGACAACACGACGAATGCTGTCGATACACTGAATGAAATCGCCAAGTACCTTGACATGCACAAGCATGAAGTGCCTGGCTCAGGAAACGAGGACCGCCGATGAAAGAGCTGATTCTGGAGATGTCAAACGCCTGCTTTCTTTGGGCGAAGAGATACCACCGGGATTGGACGAATGCTATTCGCGAATTGTCAGCTCGATCTCCGAGAAATAGAAAGACATGTCGAAGACAGTTTCGACATCGAGAGTCAGGGCGGCAGCCTCCCTTGCTAATCCGTCGGGCAGTGATGCCGGACAACAGTCACAACACCGAGATAATTCCAACTGACCCTTACGGGAGCACCACTTGGTCGCGCACAGCCGAGATCCAGACAGAGCTCAGCGATGGGCCTGTGTCTTACTCTGAAAATCACTGACTGCCGATCGGGCAACGTCATCCATCGGAGCGAGTTTGAATCGCTCAAGGCGATCCACGATGCAGTGCCCGGCTTCTGCCCACGACCCATCGAATGAGGCCATCATGCCTCGAACCCTGGCGTTCACTTCCTCCTGCTGGCGTCTGTAGGCACTCTTGACGAGCGGGCAGAGCGGACAAACGAAGGACCTGCCTACCCTCTTCGACTTCACCAGAGATCGGGTTCTCCTGCTTCAGAGGCTTGCCGAGCTGCAACAAACGGCGACAGCACCAGACGTGAGAGTATGGGTGGCAGGCCCCGATGGCTGCTGGCCGGCTGCCCATTATGTCAGTTTACTCAAGGCTGCGGCAGGCCGCAGAGCCTGAATTGATTTCAAGATTGATACCATCTCTCAATCTGCTGGGTTGGGGACGTGAGGCCAACCCATTTCTTTTTCGCGAATCTGCCACAATTTGATGTATCTTAGAATAGGTGTGGTCACGACGAAACGGGCATGAAGGGCCTAGACCGATGCATAACTGGCGGGTATGGCCATGGGTGGAGAGCTGCATTCAATAGTCCCAGGGGGCTGAGCTCCAAGCACGCTCGTCTCCAAAGGCAGTCATTCTGTCACGAGCACCACGACCAGCTCAGCCGCAGCTGAAGCTGAAGCTGAGCATCTTGGCATAGAGGGATATAGGCAGCATCCCAGCCTGGTGATTATTGCAGAGGTCAACAATCACCCAAGATGTCCGTCTCGCCAGAACCTGAAAACTGCGAGTTTTGCCGGTCTGTAGACTGGGAAGAGCTGGTCACTAAACCGTTCACCCCAAAGAAAGGGAACCGAAACAGAACATATCCTGCCTGCGGAGAGTATAACCTCGGCACTATACGGTCTAATAGCAGTACCTGCGAACTGTGCCGACTCATAGGGAATGCCTCTCGTGCACTCAAGCCATGGTGGCCCATCGCCGAATTCCTCAAGCAGCCCGAACAGATCACGTGTGCCTTCTACAGCAACCGCAACAGGTTAGGTTCGGCGCTCCAGACCAGTGGGATCTCCCAAGCGAACTTGATAGTGGACCAGATCGCGTCGGCCAAGAAGCCAGGCTACTCGTCTTCTGCTCTGGCCTTCCAGGAGCTTCTCGACTCCCTGCCTGGCCTCGGCATAGCGTACCCCGGCTCGGACTCCAAGACCAACAACAGCTTGAACTGCCTCCTGGTGCTGGCGGGTATATCTCCGGTGGACTCGAACAGTCAGACTTTTGCTCAGCTGCATCCTTGCTTGTACCCGGTACCGAGTGTTGACGAATACGCCAAGGGGACGAACACCTTTACTCCCTTTCCAACAGGTCGTCTGATCAAGGAAGAAGCCAACATCCAGCTTCTCAAGAGGTGGTACGAAGGCTGTGTCGGCAGCCATGGAGACACGTGCAGCCAGCCCTCCTGGGCCGCAGGTGGCATGAGCTGGCCACGGAGCCTGCGCGTGATCGACGTCAACCGGCGGTGCATAGTCGACTGTCCCGAGGCATGCGTCTTCTTCACCCTTAGCTATGTCTGGGGCAACGAAGCCGACCCTTTCCGGGCGACGGAGGGAAACATCGACGCTTTGAAAGTAGCTGGCGCGCTGGAATCCCAGATGCTGCCCAAGACGATCGTTGACGCCATCCATCTGACCAGGGAAATGGGTGTTTCCTACCTCTGGGTTGACCGGGTCTGCGTGCTCCAAGACTCGACCATCGACAAGGCCGTACAGGTCAGTATACAGGGTCTTCCATTGTCTCTTCCAGACTGGTATCAATACCCCGTCTCTCTCCGACGACGATTCCGTACTTCAAATACCACTGTAGGCTCTGGTGTGACACTGAGTCGCTGCCCGAAGACGTTTCGATATAATGACCACTGACTCATGACTGTGGAATAGCTCCCGCAGATGGACCTTGTCTACAGCTGCGCAGCCCTCACGCTCGTAGCCGCAAGCGGTACCGCCGTTGACGGCATAGCAGGCATCAACGGCACCCCGCGCACCATCAACCAGCCCACAGCGCGCGCCAGCCCAAACCTAAGCCTCATGAACGTCCTGAGACTCGACCAAGCATACCAGGACTGCACATGGCGGACGCGCGCCTGGACCTTCCAAGAAGGCCTCTGCTCGCGACGCGCGCTCGTCGTGACGGCGGACCAGGTGTACTGGTCGTGCGAGAGCGCCAAGTGCTGCGAGAGCATCGCGTTCGAGGACTTCCCGACGGCCGTCCGGCCTGGCGACGTCGTGTCCTCGGTGCTGTCGGGCCATGGCATCTTCCAGGAGTTCGGGGGAGCGAATTTCGAGTACTCGGGGCTTGATGCTATGATTCGTTCGTATGGCGCGCGCAAGCTGACGGTGCAGAGCGATGCGCTGGATGCGTTTAGTGGTGTTCTGAATCGGGTTGCGATGAATTCGCGGGCTGACAACGGGGACGACAGAGGTTAGTGGTATGAGCCAGACACAAGATGCTGCTCACGTTCCTAGGTGTGACTCTTTCGTCTGCTGAGATACGATACTGACCATTGCTTTCACAGCATTTGCAGAACACGAGTTTCACTGGGGACACTGTCTGTCTGCTCGCTTCGAGGAGTCGCTCGCTTGGTGCAACATCGAGTGGTACTACGACAAGGACATGCAACACCACAAGATGCCCGCTCGGAGGCTGGAGAAGCGGCTGGTTCGGTTCGCGGATGGGAGAAGCTTGTACTCTGTTCCGTTCCCCAGTTGGTCCTGGCTGGGGTGGAAGAACACCCACGGGATCACACGGGCAGCGCTGCCCCCAGGGAACGTTGAACCGGAGCTAAATATCATGAAGCTCGATATGGATGGTCGAGCAACGGCGCTGAATCCTCAGAAACCAGTGAATGTGGAGTACACGTGCAAGGTCGACATGCGCGGTATCGACGCTTCCACCTCGGCAGGCTGGAAGGGGGATACGACAATTGCCCCTGAGCTGCTGTACCGGGGTGGAGAAGAAGACTTCGTGGACTCGGGGCGTCTGCTCTTCTGGACCAGCCACGCAGTGCTCGACATAGTCTCGGAGGGCAAACTCCACGATGAGAAGGGAGTTGCTGTGGGTGAGCTCAGCCCCTTCTGGTCGAACCGGGCGGATCAACCTAGGGGAAAGATGTCTTTCATCGTTGTATCGCGCAACTATAACCATTGGCATAGCGACAAGACCTGGGCGGAGAAGAAGTTGAATGTACTAGCTGTTAGCTGGGAGAAGGGGAAACATGTCGCCTCCCGCATCTGCTCCGGCAACGTCGACGAAGAGGCTTGGGTCGGCGTCGCAGGGAGGGAGTGGATTCTGGTTACTCTCACATAAGAGTGTTTCTAGACGATTGAGAATAGCCATGACGAAGCCGCCGCGAATGTTACTATGAGAGGGCCGAGGGCCGTCGGGACGGCAGCGAAGAATTGATGATAGCAGGGATTAGTCGTACTGTCGTTGAGAATGCCACCACCCCCTTTGCCTGTGATGACTACTTAGGAACCTCGACGTCGGCGACCAAGGTTAGCTCGGTCGTCGTCATCAATGACAACGTTGATAGCTATAGCAGAGACACCCGTAACTACTGTGGGGTTTGATACCAATGCTTCTAGGTCGCATAGACACAAGTGAGTACATGTAGCAATGGCCCCTATCATCAAACACGAAACAAACTGGTAGTAACTCGGACATAACTCCCTCAAGCATAGCATTGGGGGTCACCCACTTGCTTCTCTATATATAGTCTTCATGACATCTTCTAGCTGTAGGACCTTGTTACATGCAAACCCGAAAGATTTTAATCAGAACAAGACCGCGACTCTAGTCCACATCAGGAAGGGCTGGCCACCACCTTGTTTCCACGCCGCTTTGGATGCTTGATAATCTATGTCACTTTTCCGTGTGCTGACCTTGATTTCCTTGATCTCGTGCTTCCAGTAGTCGTCGTCCTTCATACCATTCCACAATGCCTTCATGGAGTCGGGACTGTGCACGTACTGCGCTCCAGCGCCCTCCAGTACCTCTGGGCGGTACAAGGCGCTGTCGCGAATGTATATGTAGACAGTCCGACCTGCGTCTGGACGCAGGAGCTTGAGGCACTGGCTCGCTGCCTTTTTCTGCACAGCAAGGCTTGCGTCTGGGTTATCCTGGTCGGTGAGAAAATGCAGGACGTTGTTGAGATAGACAACCGTGTTCCCGGAAGCCCCCTTTTCGCCTTCGCTATAGTCCAGGATGTCGAACGGGGCGAGAAAGTGATCTCTGGTGTCGAGCGGGGGGCTCGTGCTCTCTTCTCCCTTCTTGAAGAAGTCGTGGCTCAGTTGGAATATCCCATCCTTGAGATTCGAAGCGTAGAGTTTGTCGGCCGATGCGCCTTTGGACTGCAGCCAGTGGACCTCCGGAGCCATGTATGCCCCGAGCTCGTGGAACTGTGCCTTATCCTTCTGCAGCTCGGCGAGGATTTCTGGCCCCCATGTGTCACCGGCCAACTGCGACTGTACGATGATATCCGGCCACGGGAAAATGTACGGCTCGATCTTCTGCGCCTTTGTGTAGAGATCTTGTATACGGGACTTCTGGTCTGCTGTTGGTATCTTGGCGTAGTTCTGAAGAAACGCACCCAGGTCCCATTCCGCCCGCGACTGGAGGGGGATGGAAGCCGCTGGGGTGACGGCGAGCAATGCTGCGCCAACAGTGGCAATAGTTGAAAGCAGTTTCATCTTAAAAACGAGGAGAAGTCTGATTTGACGTAGGTGTGTGTAACTACCGTATCGAGAACGACAACTGAATGTTTACCACAGGCCAATCTATGGTGTCCCTTCCGCTCTGATCAATTGGCGAGTGCGGTGCTTCTTTGAATAAACACGTAGAGATACAACGTACCGCCACTCTGACGTATTTCTCGAATGTTGGGACAATAGGTATCTGTGCCGCTTCCTATGCTGTCAACATGGTGTGGCCACGTTGGCCAGTGCCCCCTGCCTATCTCCGTACTCGCCGTGGCAAAAGTATACAGGTGTCCAGGATGGTAACGGTTAGCGGTTACACGTATATCTACAATGGTAATAGGTAGAACTTTACGCGACGGGAACTTTTCCATAGGATTCGTCTCATAGGAACTTTCTCGTAGGAACGTCGTTGTTAGATATATAATAACATTTTAGTTCCACGTAGAACCGCTAACCATTACCATCCTGGATACCTGTACTTAGAGACTGACCTTGTTCCAAAGCGGCTAGCACTATGGAGCACCTTATGCGTATTAAAAGGTTGTATAGGACTCTAGTCTGTCCCCATTATGTAGAATTTGACGGCAGGATCTCCAGGATCACGAACCTTGGTGTTCTAACCACGGACTTGCCATCACGCTTACTCGAACTGCGCTGGCATGTGGCCACAGAAACCGCGAAAACCGAACTTGACGAAGCACTTATCGTCCAGACTAATCATTAGGGCCGATGCCCTCCTTCTACGTCGCACGCCGAAGACATGTTGCATGCATAGACTCGCCGAGAGAAGGGAGCCTTTTCTAAATTGCTTCGGTGTCTTGCCCCCAGTATAGTAATAGATAACCTTCACCTTGCCGTCTACTCAGCTATCGTTACCTGACTATATAAATAGATGCCGCACAGACACCTATCTAATAAACAGCCTAGAGATAGCCTTGGTGCTCCTTACAAGCGATCTTTGGCGGGTGAGCTTTCTCGCCTCTCGTTTCCGCCTATTGCTCGTACGACTCGGGATAACTTACCTGCTGTCGAAGTGTGTTATATAACGGATCAATCTGCTCGGTGTCAACCTTGATATAGTTCGAAGGGTGTGGCTCGGTGCATTCACTCATACCGGAACAGGCTGAAGTCTGCTGTAGTTCGTTTGTCTATTGCCTGTCTGCCGGTAGCAGCGGCCCTGACCTCACACCCATCGACTCCGGCCTTGATCTGGACATGTTTTTAAAAAAACAAATATAACAGACGACGCAGTGTGTTGGCATGCGAGTGCCACACTGGACTGTCAGGGAGGCAAGAAAATACACCTAGGTGGACTGAAGCCACAAGCACCCTCACGAAACACGACGCTCCTCTTACACGCAACGCAAGGCAATACGTGAGATGCAGTACATACTCTATGACTTCCTCTTACTCTTCTTCGCTTTGCTGCCATCTTTCGTCTTAGCATCGCCCTTCGCTTTGCTCCCCTCTTTCGCCTTAGCAAGGCCCTTCACTTTGGCCTCGCCGTTCGTCTTGCCCTCGCCCTTAGGCTTCGCCTCGTTCTTTGCCTTGGCCTCGTCCTTGAGCGGCTTCGCCTCGTTTTTAAACTTAGTCTCCGCCTTCACCAAGCTTTTAGGCTTGGCCTCACCCTTCTCCTTGACCTCAGCATTCGCCGCCTTCCCATCTTGTGCCTTCGGTTTCTCCAGGGCCTTGGGGTCGAGACCACGCTTGCGCATCGCGTTCCGCTTGGCGCGCTTCATGTACTCCTCGTCCTCATCGTCATCGAATCCACCAAAGCCGTCATCTTGCACCAGCTCACTAGGGACCTTCTCGTCCGCCGCAATGGGCGTCTTGTCGACGACTTCCTCACGGGGTGTCGAGGCAGCCCCGGTCTTGTCCTTGACCGCGTTGGCAGGTGTAGGTCCGACCTTCTGGAACTTGGCGACGTAGAATCCATCCATGTTGAGCGTGTGGGGGTAGAACCTCCGCGTAAGAGACAGGCTGGGATGGAACGTCTTGCCTTGAAAGTTTGTGAAGCCTTCTTTCCCAAAGGGTAGATCGGTCGACACCAGCTTGACATTCGGACGCTTGTTGAGTGCGTACTGCACGACCTGCTCATTCTCCTCGATGCTCACAGAGCAAGTTGAGTAACATACGAACCCTCCCGTTGAGCTTGCATGGTTTACCGAGTCAATAGCGCACAAAAGCAGTTGTTTTTGCGTATGAGGCAAAGTCACTGCAGACACCAATCAGTCATCACCCATTGTGGACGCATGGATACGAGGATGAATGATGTCGCATCTGAACACAGTAGGTAATAACGAAATCTTCGAGGATACTTACTGAAATCCTTCTCCGTCTTGTTGGTCTTTACTGAGGGATCCTTGGCCACGACTCCAGTACCCGTACAAGGTGCATCGAGTAGGCTGTTCGGATGAGTTAGTTTGGATCAACTAATATGATGACCGTAGACAGCATTGAAGCATATGATCGTAAGGGCGCTTCGGTGGCCCGCAAGAAGGGGAAAGCTGGGCAGACTTACACTCGGTCAAAACCTCCCATAACCTTCGGAAACTCTCGAGCGTCGTAATTACAGACAATTACGTTCTGTTCGCCGCGTTAGGGTCACTCTTGAGAATAGGAGGGCTTTATATCACTTACTCTAGCACCCATACGATGGATGTTGCCTACAAGAGCCTTGGCTCTCTTCTTATTGGGATCCTGTCGAAGTCAATATCAGTCTCGGATGACTTGACGTGGATTCTGAACTCACATTGGCGAAAATGCAGCCTGTATTATTCATCATTGCAGCGATATGTGTACTTTTCGGACCAGGCTATATTGCGTGGGTTAGCAAAACTGACCTCGTAGCGGAGGCGGAAGACTTGGTCCTGTCTCGGAAAATTTCACAGAATGTTCCCGAGAGAGTGGTGGTAATGATGGGAGGTTCAATGGGCAAAGAAAAGGCAGTACGTACAGCAGCAGCCATATCAAGAACCTTTTCTCCTTCTTGAGGTGCTAATGCCATGACGGGCAAGAAACTGGATGCGGCTTGGAGGACTGGTATATGGTTAGCGAACCCCACTCGTAACCATGGCCTGGCGGATACATACTGTAGTGGCCGGCTAGATACTCTGGTGTTGCTCCCAACCTATAACATTAGGATCAGCAGGGCTTTCTTGATTGGCCTCCAAGAGAACCCAGGAGACCGATAGACCCAGGAATTTTTTCTGTCTCAGAAAGCGGCTAGTACGGGGAGACTCACGGAACATTTGAGTCGAATACCTGGAGCCCGACTTTCGACCACTTCCCCACAGGCTCCAATGTGACGCCGCGGTTGATCAACGCAGAAGCCAGCTCTCTCCGGCTCGTCTTCAACGTATTGGTTCGGATCACCACTGGTCTTGCCGTCTCATTGGCGTCGAAGAACGCGAGAGCCTCACTATAGCAGCCAGAATTAGTAAACCGGTCGCGGGTTGAAGTGATCTCTGGGTATGAGCAATGTGTGCTCCTCAACACAAAGCATCCGAGAAAGTGCATACCGTGGCGGGAACAGATTGAACAGTTTCTCAGCCAGAAACTCCGAGTAGCCGTAGTATGAGCAGATATCCTTGAGCAGCGAGCTCGTGTATTCTGATCTCGACCTGCCCGTCTCAGCCAGGTTCTGGAAGTCGTCGAGAACACGGATGGTGTCCGTTATCCGCGAGCGCAACAACTGCAGATCAGGCGCCAGCAGTGTCTTCGTCTTCTGCGCAAGATCGGTATCCTCATCCTCATCGTCTAGGAGATGCGGCTTCTCGACGTCGATGTTGGTCTGTATCGCAGCCTCCTCCAGCTCAGCCTGCGCCTCGGCCTCCTCCCGCGCATTCTTCTCGTCTAGCTTCCGCGTCAGACCCTCGATGTTGGCCGCCGTCAGTTTCTCCACGGCATCGTCGGAATCGTCTTCGTCCTCGGAGAATATGGCACGGTGCTCCGGCTCTGCGTCCGAGTCGTAGACCGAGTCGTCGGAGCCCAGGAAGTCGTCACCGAGTCCGCCCATCGCCTCATCGCCATCTTCTATGTCCGAGTCGCCCCATCCCTCTCCAATGCCGTCACTGATATCGTCTTCGAGCTCTGGCTCCGGCGCGGCTTTCGTAGGCTTCGATCTGCCGTTCTGCTTGGCCACCGGAGCCGATTTCACGCTATCTGAACGCCCATTGGCCTTCGGTGCGGGCGTCTCCTTGGCTGTTCGGCGCCTCTTCTTGTTCGAGTCGTCGGCAGGGACATCGTCGACCGGCATGCCAGCCTTCCTATCTGGAGATCAGCAACAGGGCCATTGCGCATCTGCTCGAAGTAGTCCAACTCACCGCTTGAGTCTGGCTAACTGCGCATTCGTGATCACCTCGGGTGGCCCCTGCTTCTTTCCCATACGTCTACCGGCACCCATATTGACTGAATTTGGGGTTGATGTGCAGTAAAAACGGCAAAGGGATATAAGTGCTGATTGTCGGATCGAGGCTCGACTCCCGCATGAAATTTTGGGTATGTTCCCGCTACAGCAACTTTTTTTTGTCTCGCGATAAGCCGATAGTGGCAGCGTCCCCACTTCCCTGTGTGCCTTCCCGGTGCGAGCGTGAAGAATGACCTGAGGCTGGGGAAGGGAGCTGCAGCCACAAAGTGGGATGTCGATTCATCTTCAATTCGTCTCTGTGGCGCAGCGGTTACAGGTGGGACATCGCAATCGTCACCGAACGCCGACAGAAACAGGTCATCCAGAACACCGCACCTCCAGCTCACCCAGCCCTTACTGCATCTGTTCCAAAAAAAATAACATAAGACAACATGACAGAAGTATCATTCGCAAAGTCCTTCCTGGCGGCGCTGGACGCCCGTCCCATCAAGCTGTCGCCAGACCATGTCGAGGATCCCAAAAGCTACCAGCGGGGCGCCGTACGTACCTGCCAGCCCAACCCAAAGTCCCAAACCCGCGAGACCACGACGGACATCCCGCAAGTCAATCCTCCTCAAATAACAAATAGCTAACAACCAGACAAACACCAGTACACCCTACCCAAGCTCCCAAAGTCAATGAGCAAGCCGAAGCCCTCGACCGCCGCGCCCGGCCAGGAGCGCAGCCTGACCGTGACGGTCAAATCGCTACGCAACCCGCCGCTGGACGTCAAGCTCGCGTCGCAGGGGCCCAACACGTCGGTGCTGGACGTCAAGAGCGCCGTGACGAAGCAGACGGGCATCCCCGAGGACAAGATGAAGCTGCTGCACAAGAAGAAGCCCGTGCCCGACAGCAAGGTGCTGAAGGAGCTCGCGGGCGAGGGCGAGACGAGCGTCGAGTTCTCGGTCATGGTCATGGGCGGTGCTGCTACGCTGGCTGCTGCGGCGGCGTCTGCTGGAACGGCGGCAGCAGCAGTACCGGCGGAAGAAAGCAAGACGGAGGCGCAGAAGGATGTTGCGCAGGGGCAGAGTGGTAGTGACACATTGGAGACACAGGAGTTCTGGGACGACCTGAAAGGCTTCCTGCTGCAGCGGATACGGGACGAGAAGCTTGCGGTGGACCTGACGAATACGTTCCAGAAGTCTTGGAAGGCGAAAAGGTGATATTGGCACAGTTCTAGAGTAGACCAATTGCATACGTCATGGGTACCCAGAGGGTGTGGCCATAATAGGGGCTCTCAGGCTTGGTGCAACCGGGCGGTCGATGGGAATAGGCATACATGGCTAGGAGTTTGCGACCAGAATGCTCTACATTCCACTGTGACTTTTGTGCATTGTATAGGTGACACTGGCTAACATCAAAATCTGGAAATTTCATGTCACGCCTCGTACTGAAAGAGACCAGACTAGCTCTAACCCCCATGGTTGCAGCAGGAGGTTTCTTCATCCATCGCGCGGTATCGTAAACGTCGTAGACCACGGCTGGCTAGTAAGCTCTCGCCGGCCGTCATCCTTATCTCCCTACCATCATTTGGGTATTATTGGGGAAGTTGCGTTGGCTCAGCCAGCCAGACCCTTGCTGACCACCTTCAGCACTGTGTCGTATTCGATGTCGTCCTGGTCGTTGGCCTGTAGTTCGGTGGCGATACCGTTGAGCGAGCGCTTGAGCGCCTCCTTGGACGAGGCGTACACCATCTTGGCCTTGTGGAGAGTCAGCATCAATGTGTAGATATAACTGACAGCGTATTGTACTGACCATAACACCGGCATCATCCGGGGACCAGGCAATGAAGCAGATCTTGTTACTGTATCTTGTCAGTACAAAAATCTGGCTGGGCTATGCTGAGGCGCGTACCGGGAACCCTCTCCGCTAGCGAGGCTGTACTCGAAGTCGTAGATGGCGTATCGGGGGCCCTTGCCGATTTGACCCTAGCAGATGACAGTCAGTACTACCTCGTAGCCCGAAATGTATGGACCGCCTATAGCTTACACTCTTGCTCTTGGTCTGGGCGTTGACGAGCTGCTCGCGGAAGTTTTCCCAGTCCTTGTCGTCGGAGGCCTTCTCAACCTCGATCTGTCGGTTGTCGTCGGACAGCTTATAGACGATGTACTTGTACTTCTTGGCAAGCTTCAGGTCGTTGAATGCAGTTATGCAGTCCTGCGAGACGGTCGCTCTATAGGTCCACAACTATCAGCTACATGGTCCGGCCTCTGGCCGCTGGGTACGAGGCAGGAATGGCGAAGACGGAGAGAAAGGCGACTGCGCCGCGAAGTAGGGGGCTGGCACTGGTGGGGTTGGAGTGATAGGTATTATTCGAGATACGCACCCTGATTGAGACTACGAGTAGACAGAATGTTAGCACACACGCATTGGACGACTCAAGACGGTGAAGCTCTTACCATTATGGCGGTATATGCGGGACTGTACCGAAGGAAGAATCGGGAGACTGTGATGGTGGCTGTCAGCGGGGTATCAACACTTGACTGTCGGGTCTGGATGTGGAGGAGACTGTTGTAGTCAGGATGGGCTATGGTTAAAGCTGGGTATGTACTGACAGTAATGAATGGTGCTACAGCTGGTCCTGTGACTCGGTTCGTAGTCGGTCTGGCTCGGGTTGGGAGATGCGATAATAAAGAGGGAGGGTGAAGAGAGAAGAGTTGGATGTTTTTAGTGTGGCACGCTATCGCAATGGAGGGGGAGTCGGTCGGGCCAGGCTGACACACAATGTGACTGAGCCACACAACACGCCCGCACAGTGACGGAAATCAACACAGGGCCTTTGGTGGGGTGACGGGCCGGGGTGATCACCTCCTATGGGTCCCACCCCCTGACTGGAAATTGGCAGATTGCCTGGTGAGATGTCGTAGGACAGGAGACGACCTCGATGCAACCCAATGAGCTCTACAACGACAGGCAACCACCGCTGACCTGTGTAATAAGCTTGGCTAACTGGGCCTGTACTTTGGTAACATCGGTCGGCGAGGGAAATCAACCAGACAACCAGGAAGCAACAGACGGCCGGAGAGGAAAGTCAGGATCGCAAAAAGGAGGGTATACAAACTGCCAAGCCGCGTGTGGTTCTTCCATGTTCTCATGCCTCCTACATGTAACCATGATCTAGACTCAATACCGAGCTGGCCAGGCAGCCGCAAGACAATGGTGTGTGCGGCTGCTGCCTCTGGGAGACTCGTAATCTTTTTTCATCATGGACGCGACGCAGTCGATAGGCAGAAGCAAGTGAACTTAACAATGCATGATCGGTCAGATGCCGAGGATATTTTTGATTATGATAACCAGGTCAATCTGGCTGGTCTACCTCACGCGGTAGATGGGTGCCTGGTTGGCTCTATTATACAGCTCTTTACACAACGCCGCTCGGGATATCAGTATGAACAAGTACAGAGAGGGCAGAGGGGAGAGAGAAGAGATTACATGGCCGCATGTGATGGATCCGTTTCCGTCAAAACACCTAAGTCAATGCTCCTTTAGCCCAGACTTTTAATACAAGAGAGAGGGAGGTGATGCAACCTTTTACATCATGCCGCCCATGCCACCCATTCCTCCCATGCCGCCCATGCCGCCAGGCATGCCACCGGCAGGCTTGTCTTCCGGCGCCTCGACAATCGCCACCTCGGTGGTACCCAGGAGTGACGCGACACCGCTGGCATCGACAAGACCGGTTCGCACAACCTTCAGCGGGTCTACAATACCAGCCGCGATCATGTCCACGTACTCGCCCTTGGAGCTGTCAAAGCCCTTGTTGAAGTCGGTGCCGAACTCGTCCATGAGCTTGCCGACAACAACAGATCCTTCGAGGCCGGCGTTCTCGACGATGGTTCTCGCCGGGCGAGTGATGGCGTTCTTGATGATGCTAACACCGAGCTGCTGGTCAAAGTTGGCCGACTTGACATCCTTCAGAGCCTGGCTGGCGGCCTTGAGCAGGGCAGTGCCACCACCGGGCAGGATACCCTCCTCAACGGCGGCTCGAGTGGCGTTGAGAGCATCAACAAATCGGTCCTTCTTCTCGCCAACCTCGACCTCGGACGAGCCACCAACCTTGATGACGGCAACACCGCCAGACAGCTTCGCGAGACGCTCTTGAAGCTTCTCCTTCTCGTAATCCGACGTGGTAGGGTCGCTCATCACACCGCGGATCTGTTCGCATCGCTGAGCGATAGCATCCTTGCTGCCGTCTCCATTGAGGACGATAGTGTCCTCCTTGGTAATCGTGATAGAACCAGTAGAACCGAACATGTCTGGGGTAGCCTTCTCCAACTTGATGTCGAGTTCATCGGTGAAGACGGTACCGTTGGTCAGGACAGCGATGTCGCCAAGGATGGACTTTCGGTTGTCACCAAAGCCAGGAGCCTTGACGGCAGCGACCTGGAGTTGACCACGGAGCTTGTTCAGGATGCAGACAGCGAGCGCCTCACCATCAATGTCCTCAGCGATAATGACAAGGGGTCGGCGCATCTGGGTCGAGGCCTCCAGGGCGGGAATGATGTCCTGGACAGCAGAGATCTTCTTCTCCGAAAGGAGAATTAGGGGCTTCTCAAACTCCACCTTCTGGGCCTTGGAGTCGGTGATGAAGTAGGGAGACACAAAGCCGCGGTCGAATCGCATACCCTCAGTTACTTCCAGCTCATCACTCATAGTCTTGCCCTCCTTTACGGTGATAACACCCTCCTTGCCAACCTTCTCCATGGCGTTGGCAATCAGGGCGCCGATGTGGGTGTCGCCATTGGCACTGATGGTCGCAACCTGAGCGATCTCTGCGCTTGTCGTGATGACCCGAGAGTTCTTCTGGAGGAACTCGACGACGGCATCGACCGCAGCCTGGGTACCACGTCGAAGATCCATCGGGTTGCAACCAGCAGCAACGTTCTTGACAGTCTCGGAGAATATGGCTCGGGCAAGCACAGTTGCGCTGGTAGTACCATCACCGGCGGACTCGTTCGTTTTCGAGGCGACATCTTGGAGGAGTCGGGCTCCGAGGTTCTCGAACTTGTCTTGCAAAGTGATAGCTTTTGCGACGGTTACACCATCTGATCGAAGTAGATGTTAGCCTTCCTGGTCTTCGTCGCAAAACCAGCTGCAATGCATTGACATACCCTTTGTGATCTTAGGAGATCCGTAGCTCGACTCGATCAAGACATTCCGGCCCTTAGGACCAAGTGTTGTGGCAACGGCTTTGGCGAGGGTCTCCACACCAGCAAGCAGTGCCGCTCGACCTTCAGTGCCGAACTTGAGCTCCTGCGACATCAACAATCAGCAATACTGACAGGTAGGTTTTTCCGAGTAATCGCATGATAGTAGAGGGGTGATTGGGCAGGATATTAGGCACTGGGAGACAAACCTTGTGCGCGAATCGAAGCTGTTGCGACAGACCAGCACCAGCTCGGTACTTGGTAGCAGCAGCAGTCGATAGGACAGAAGCCCTCGCCCGCGATGAAAGTGCACGCTGCATTGTTATATATGTGATTAAAGGATCTGAGAAGAATGTACCGCCACAAGAATCGCGATCAGGCGAAAGGGAGAAGGGAAGTTTGTTGGTGTTGATCTTGAAGAGAAAGGGTTCTCAAGACGGGATGGATGGATTTGGAGAATCTGGGGGCAAGCTTCAAAAAATTTGGTTGTCGTTCATCACGGAGGAGCCGGCCAGAAGCCGAGGTCCTTCTGCGCTAGCCGAAGATGGCATGGCGCGATTCAAGCTCTAGAAATCCGTCGAAGCTCACCCGATACTGACTCGATAAGTGGATATCACGACGCTAGTCCGGTAGGCCGCATATGCTTTAAAGATACACTCAGGTTTCTGCAGCTTTTAGAGGTATGCCTGTGGATCCAGCTGATTCCAGCTGTCAGGTGTCTTGTCGGTTGGGCCGGATTGTTGCCCAAGGGACAAGGTACCGTTTGCACTGTATCTAGACTAAAGAGACCTTTCGGATGGGACAAGCTCCCAACCTTCTAGACAGCAAGCAGAACATCCAGAATACTAGTCATCGTAACATCGTATTCTGGGCCCCTGCCAGAAGGCACATGCCTTCCCCAACTGGCTGCTCAATGAATCGGTCCCTCAGTCCCAATAGCCGGCTTGTTTGAAGAATATCATTCTATATCAAGTGCATCGTAATTGGTCGAAGCTGAAAAGCTAGCTGTCCCTCAGATCGTGGCTTGCTGATCCATCATAACCGGCCACTCAGAGGACGGAATTAGGCATTTTAAAACGAGACTATCCCCGTGCTTACCAACCTCAACCTGACAACGACGTCGTCCATTTCAGAGAGTATATAAGGAACACTTGACAGCAGCCAGCAATCCAAACCTGAGCCTTGTTTTACTGAAGACAGGCAGAAGTGCATACCTACCTGACCGACAGAGCCATAATTCCACCATGGCTGCCATGGCAAAGACTATCGTGGCAACAGGCGCCTCTTCTGGCTTGGTAAGTTCACCTATCAAATTTCCTCGCCCGATAATTGCTTTTGGTGCAGTCGATTGACTTCATCTCAGGGATTTGAGCTCGTCAAACAGTTGTTGTCCCAGACCCAGCCCTACAAGTTCATCCTCGCTGCAAGAGACACGAAGGCCACCCAAACAGCTTTTGATGGACTCAAGTACGACAACAGCAGGCACAATGTCATCATACTTCCTGTCGAGCTGAACAAGATGTCGACGGTCAAGTCGTTTGCACAGCAGACCCTTGAGAAACTTGGCCAGGACAAGATCGACTATCTCATGCTCAATGCGGGGACGGCCATGGAAAAGAGCACTGACGGAAAGGGGCCATTCGGTTCCAAGTGGAGTGAAACTTACCTCGTCAACCATCTCTGTAGGCTTGTTATTTCCGCCTCTTCTTATGCCGCGACTGATGCGACGACTAGCACAACACTATCTCATCCATCTCCTACGACAGAAGCTGGAAGAGTCTAGGTCCCGTATTGTGGTTGTCTCTTCCGGCGCTGTCCGCATGGTGACGGCCACAAGTAAGTCCCCTTCAAACCCACCCCCGGAACCCATGCTCACCACGCACTATAGGCACTCTCGAAGAGGCAACCAACGCCGCTGGCAAGTCTGAGACCGTCATATACCCTGCTACCAAGTTCGTACAGCTGCTAGGAGCACACTGGTGGCGGCGGCAGCTACAGGGCACCTGCCAGGTCGTCGCTGTGTCCCCTGGCTTGATTCCCGGGACTGGACTTGGAAGAGGCTCCAATATAAATATCCCAGCTCATTTACCTGATGCCAAGAGTATCCCAGAAGGTATACTTAGTCAACTCTCGTTCGTATTTGAAGTGACTAACATGGTTACCAGGCGCGCAAAGCATCTACGCTGCTTTTACCCGAGACGATCTACCCGAAGATCCAGAACAGATCTTCTTGACCAGTTGGGGCGAGTGGTGGCCGAAGGACGTTTACGCACTCAGCCTCGACAAGAGCCTCCAGGACAAGTGGTCCCCGAGCATGGAGCAGATCGAGAAGGAAGAAGGCGTCACTGCTTAGATAAGATAGAAGCCCCAGTGTAACAATTTGTCAAATTTATCTCCGCCATCAACCGTTTAGCGCAGATATCGCATTTCTTTGCCTTATGCGGCAACTGTGAATACAGTCAGCCAGCTTGTGTCTCCCGAATGACTGACCACCACACAAGAACAATTCGAGCCACCACGGGCTCTGCCACTGGTTGATTACCTGTTCCTAACTACCATTCCTTGATTCCCACCTCCGTTCCTTGATCTGGTCAACCTCCCTCATCTCCGCCGTGCACCACCATGCCTGGGACACAGATGAAGCAGTTGGGCCGGATAGCCCACCAGGACAGCTTGCTGGCGACCTATGCCATCATCAACCCACCTGGACTCAGTGGAAGCCCTTCCACAGTGTATAACACTCGGCTTATACCACAGCGGCGCTTGACCATTGTTTCGGACAACAGCAAGAACGGAGAAAATCACACCTGCGCAAGGCACATCAGGCTTGGAGTATGGCCAGTTATGATGTTCAGCTTGATAGTATCACCGTAGAACTAGTCTGGCGGACCTGCTCCGAGAAAGTAGGTCATCTTGGATATGAATGGCTCATGCTTTACTTGCCCGGATTGTCAACCTTTTCAATGTGTGGCCGTTATTTGCGAGCCATTTGGTCTTTCCCTTGACCAAGAGAGACCGGCTTTAAAGGCCTAGTATCTATAGATTGTATATAGACCTCGAGCCTTAGCCAATGGACGTGAGTACACGTTGGGGCTTGCTCAACAAGACCTACCTTGCGCTCGAATACACTTCGAAGGCTCAACGTACTGACTGCTTCATCCCTTTGAAGATATCATATCAACTGGCGCTGTGATGATTATGATGATGATGTTATTGTCTCGAATGACATTATTTATCCCTTTCTCATTTTCTCTCTCCGACTAGAAACATAAACACCCACTCACACCCAAAGCTGCACGTCGTGCTCCAACTCCGTGTCACCAAGCTACTCTTAGGTTGGGTTACCACTGACACTTGCCAGTCACTTGCGCCACGTATTTGGACACGTTGTGGTTCCATTCCCCGAGCTCCTTGATCCTTTTGAATAACATCCGACGGTTCAACAACTGTGACAGACCGAAGCTTCAACAAGCCCTCGGCAATGAGCTTTTCCACAAGCGGGACGAATTTTCTTCCAACCCTCGAAAGCCTCCAGGTCCGCGGGAACGTGCTGCCCAGAAAAAGGCTCGACTCTCCGAGCACTTTGTTGCCGGCCACGAAGCTGCTTTTGGCATCAGTCCGCGGTGACGGTGTTGGGGTGACCGAATAGTAAGCTCCACCGGCCGCCATGGCATCAACACATATCTGTGGCGACTCGAAGCCACCGACACAGTCCAACACCAACTCGACTTCGCCGTCCACGCTGAGGATGTCCCCAGCGCACCTCCTCGCATCGTGATAATCAAATGCTTCATTGGCACCAAGCTGGGTGACGAGTTCAAAGTTCACGGGTGAACACGTCGCGATGACTCTCAACCCCGATAGCTTCGCCAGCTGGACCGCCATGCGTCCCGTGGTTGTCGCACCGCCGTATATGAGGATAGTCCGCCTCCCGTGCGACCCCTCCTCAAACATGACAGGCCCACTCGCGGCCATGTATGCGGCCGCGAGCGGAATGGTGCAGCCCGCTGCAACGTCCAGTGCCATGTTGCTGCCCATTCTTCGACGACGCAAAGCAGCGCGTCGGCCTTCACAAGCAGGAACTTGGCATAGGCGCCGGCGTTGGGCCTGAGATCGCCGCTCGGAAACGTGTATCCGGCGACTCTGTCACCGATCTTGAGCCTCGTGGACCCCTGCTCGGCGTCCATGACCAGTCCGGAGAACTCGGCGCTGATGGTGAGGCCAGGGTTGAACAGCACGGGGTGGTGTATGAACTGGTGGTCGCAGTGATTGATACCGACGAAGTTGGTCTTGACGAGCACGTAGCCCGGATGGTCTTCTATAAAGGGGATGGCGACGTCGCTGACGATCTCGGCGCGGCCGAAGGAGGTGGCTTTGATCGCTATCATGGTTTTCATGGTCAGTCTTCGGTGCCTTTGAGTGATATCCGTACGATTATGCAACTTGAACGAAGGTAAGGATGGGAGCCCGGGGAACACGAGGATGTACCAGCAGATGGTCTGGTGGGAGCAAGTTGGGGATACGGAGTGTTTAAGTATTGACTTCGATTAGTTGTGGGCCGCAATTCGCATCCTGGCCAAGGAGCTTTCTTGATCTGCGCTTTGCATAGCCTCTGTGATATTACGGTTATTACCCCCGATCTCAATGGCTGGTCTGATACACCACCTCTGTGGAATCTGCTGTGTGCCTAGAAGACTCCCCTGACCAAAATCCCTGCTCGGTGCGAGATATCTGACGTGCCTGGTGATTTTGTACTCAGCTAATCGCGCTACACTACACGGCGAAGAAGTCTAACCCTTTCCTTCGGCGAAAGGACGACTGTCCGTCAGCTTCTGTGAGCGTATGTGGATCGGGATTTTTGACGGAACACACCCATCAACTCCGTATAAAGTTCTTGAATGGGCAAGAAGCCATCGTCGTAGCCGAAAGGCGCTAAGGTTTATTGATAACCCGCTGAAGATCTGAGTTGCTTCTTCCACCGTGACAGACCTCTCAGTATGTCATCGAAAAAGCTCATCTGTGTGGCCTTGGCGTTGCATTATAGGTCAACCTCATTCAATCGGGGCCCAGGCTCAGATTCTCACACATACCACACATAAAACTTGGGTTCGCTGTCGTGTTTGAACTGTGTCAACGGTAGCCGTATGTCCGCGTCCCTTCGCAGTCTATACGTGAGGCGATTGGCCGGGTTGCTTCGGCCCTTGATGGAATATGACTTGTCATATATGTCCCAGGACAATTTGAAGGCCCGACTATTCTCCGGATTTTATACCTTGCTGGGGGACAAGGGTACGAGACGGGACCGGGCACAGACAGACCTTGGCGTACCAAAGCGAAAATAATCCTTGCTGGACGACATGACCAAAATGAGCGTTTGGAGGGTCGACTACGTGCGGCACGCCATGTCCGAGTCCAACAGGGACGAAAACAACGGCGTGCATATCCTCGACCCGAAATTGGTCAGCGGAGAAGAGGACAGAGGCGATGGGCGCAAGTTGTGCTGTACAGCGCTCCGGCCTTACTTCAGAATCGAGGCGAACAGGCCCACCCACGTAGCGTTATCGCCTCTCGCTCGCGCTGTACAGACCATGATCCTGGCCCTTGAGATCGACGTTCTACAAACGGCCAAGGTCACAGTTTTGCCCAGCCTCATCGAACAAACCGACTGGATGTCGGACAGAGCGAGACCTAGCGCCGAGATCAAGGGGTTGATGAGGAGTGAGCTTAGGCTGAGAGCTCGGGAGTCTGGCATCCCAGAGATCACGGTGGACATGGACTACTCTGCTTTCGAGGAGGTAGAGAAGGATGAAGATTGGATCAAGAAGGATGGTCCTTACGCACCGCACAGTATCATTGAGCGAGCGAAAAGAGCTCGAGAGGATCTTCGTGAATGGGCCAAGGCAAGCGAAGAAGACAGCGGCTCCGGCAAAGCGAAACTGGCCGTGTTGGGACACAGCGGCTTCGTCAACTTCCTCATCGACGACTATTCCGGCATCGGATGCTTGGACTCGGATACCCCACAGCTTGGCAGCTGGCCTTATGGCGCAATCGGACAGCTCATCCTCAGTGATGTCGACGAGAACAACACCGTGGTCCGACTCGAGGAGACACGCGAATCCCGCAAAAGACGGGGGAGACAGGCGGATGGTGACGGCACTGAAGTGAAGACGGCGCAAATGCAGCGGGACGCCATCGTCAAGATATCCCGTCGCAATGCGACTCTCGGCATATATCGGACGATTTTCGAGACGGGCAGAATTCCGGAGGTGGTAGCTGGACAAGGGATCGACTACCTGCTGGGAAACGACCTTTAGTTGTACCTTTGGACTCGTGCGAGGCTTGATCGAAGCGACCTGGCGGAAGTGTGAAATGTCGGTCTAGGCATTTCATCATGTTTACAGAAAGTAGAATGGACACGCCCTTTATAGACGACTAGATTTTACCAAACACAGCTTTACAGGTGCCCCTGATCTGGAGGAACTGGCCTTGGAATGATGGCCTCCGAAGATGCGGCCTGTGAGGGCGACATCTATGTTATTGACCGACGATTGCCTCGCATTCCGGCCAAAACTCCAAGCTGCAGGGTAGATGGGGCGGATCGTATACTCACCACCAACAAGCAGCATCACAGCGCTCATCGACCGGCGGAACATCTCAGAGTATTAGCCGATCTGCCGACCTCTGATCGCGAGCTTCTGCAGATGGCCAAGCGCAGACATCCCAACGAGGTTGGCGACACAGGTGGTGTCCGCCACGAAATCGGCATATCTCCCGATCCCTCTACCTGCACAGGGTTGCGGGTCTTCGCAGCGAAACATGGCATAAGCGGAATAAGCTGTTGCTGAAGTTGAAGCCATCGCGAGGGCCGCAAAGATTGCAACTAGTGAGGCATACTCCGGAGTGTATTTTTGCTCAGCTGTCGTGTCGCCCCCATCATATGTACTGTAGGGGAGCGTACCTTCTCTCAAGGACAGGGGTCTCTTCAACCTGTCCAGTAAGGTCATACGCCATATCTACAGTAGGCGATGCGCAGCCGGGTAATCATGGATGTTTCTTGCTTCCGAGTCCCGACTGACTCATCGGCGGTAGTGATGAGGAGTGATTGACAAGTTCAACTCAGCATCTTCCGCCCGGATTCACACCCCTGTACTCTGTAGACTGTAGCCGCTGGAGGCCGAGCGTAGGGGACATATCGCTTACTTTTGTGGAAGTGAGAAGTTGGCATAACCATGAGTCTCAAAGAGGCAGCTTTTCCGAATCAGGCATCCATTCATCACTGGTTCCGCCCATTGCTCACTGTCCCAAAAGTAGGTTGGATGGATGGTATCTGCCGATTTATGTATGCCCGCCGCTATGTGACACCCACCAGCCAATAAGTTACGACGCCGAGGACTCACTCATTTACTGTGTAGCCCGTATGTCGCACTTGTCCAACTTGCAGTTGCGTCTCAACCGAGGACTGACATCGACGAGCGATGATGGAAACGGCTTCACAAGACCACGTCGGCTCGCTGAAGTCAGCATCGGAACACGTCGGCGATGACTCCAAGAATTCGCTACAGGCCGCCCTTCATGATACGGCCCCTCACGTGCCATGGAAGGTTGTTGCTGATATGCGTTCTTGGACCATGGGACCCCTCAAAGGGGAAACCCTTACGTTCGGAAAAGGCCAGCACCTGGGTTTGATCAAACGAATTTCGAGTGGAAAGAATATCCCATCACAATCCAAGACGCAAGAGTCTGCATGGAAGACTACTCTCTTAATACTCATGCTTTTGGGTATTTCAAGGATTCTGTGTCGCAGGATATCATCAACGCCTTACGCGGGGATAGCAGCCACGCTGCGAAGAGCATGTATTGCCAGCACGTGGAAGAATTCGTGAAGAAGATCACGGGCGCGTCAAGGGTCATTCCTTTCGATCATACTATACCGTATACGCAAAAGGCGGCTTGAGCTTGGAACAACCCAGAACGACGATGGAAAAGCACAGCCGGCCACCATGGTGAAAGAAACCAATGCCCGGTCTCTCGAAATTGACTAACTGCTATTCAGGCCCATGTTGACCAGTCCGAAACGGGGGTGATCCGGCGTCTGCAAACCATTGTTGGCGAGGGAGAAGATATTGGCAAGGTTCTCAAGAAACGTGTTCAAATAATCAAGTAAGACAATCATCTCTGATGTGAGAGCCTGGTGGCTAATATACAGCAGCGTCTGGCGGCCGCTGAACGGCCCCGTCCAAGCTTGGCCCCTGGCCTGCATAGATTACCGGACCTCCAAATCTTCGGACATGCATGCGTGCGATCTTCTCAAGGGCGAGCTTAAGCCACGAGGCCATACGGTGCTATTTACGCATTCAGAAGAGCAGAAATGACAAGGTCCCGAACAACTCAACGGATATCAACGGTGGATTGATATTGACGTGGATATCCACACCAACTCAATCCACGAAGACCCCTGCAGCCTTAGCAACCAACTCAACGGCGAGGGCTTCGTGGGTTGATATGGATTGATATACGTTGAGATCGAGATTTTAATTTCTGACCATATAAAAAATTTTTTTCATAGTAGGACGTGCCGAGGTATTTTTCCCGCCCTATAAAACCTTACTATTTATAAGTATTTTTTCATGTCTACGGATGTTAATCAATATCAACGGGACCCCTCTGTTGATCAACGTTAATCAACTCAATTAAAAGATTTTCAAGAAGCTTGGCAACCCACTCAACGGGACCCCCATATTGACGTGGATTGAGTTGGTCGGGACCTTGAGAACTGGTGCTACCTCGACAGGCAAAGGACGGACGAGATGACTGTTATCAAGATATGGGATAATAACACAGAGTGTTCTAGCAAATGTACGTGTCTAAGATGTCATGTACTGTACTATTGTTATGCTAACATGCCCTAGACTGCGATCATGCTGCGTTTAACCACCCAGAAGCACCGCCAGATACTGAGCCGAGAGAAAGCATTGAGGTCAGGTGCATGGTCATTCATTAGGCAGCTCCGGCGAAGAAACGTCTGATGTCAGGAAATTGCGGTCACTTGACGCGTCTGCATAATGATAGATGTATCTACAGAAGGGCAACTCCAGGGGGCGTCAGCAGGGCTAAGGGTTAGGGTTAGGGTTAAGCACCGGCCAAGATTCAAACATGGGTGTATGTGTCGCTTGTTACCCTTGTGAATGATAGCGCTGGGACGATGGTACCGCGGAGGCAAGGGCGGATACGTAGCCTCCAAGATAGTTCTATAATTGGGCACATTTCCTCTTCGGCCGACATATCACCTACGCTCAGGTCCAAATGAGACTAAAGGGTTAATATGGTCAGCAGCCTTCATCTCCTCCTCGCGTACCAAAAGCTCCCTCTATCTCACAGACATATCCGGAGATGACATTGGGGCTGTTGTTCGTGTGAAGCAAGAGGTCTCGGACGGCGGTGGTGGATACACCGCCTTCGAGTCCGTCCACGACGAGACTACTCTGTGATGCCGGTCATTTTATATTACTTGTTTGGCACAGCAAGCGGTAGGTGCCTACGCTGATGACTATCGAGTACGTACAATGCAACGTCGCACGCTTCATTACCTTACCCAAGCTCGCATGCAATGACCATCAATCTTTTTGTCCAGATCCAAACTGTGTGGCCCGTTAGCGAAGTTCTGGTACAACACCAATAGAGGTCGTGAAGCCGTTGTACATGATCGAGACATACGTTCCTGACTCTCGTTTTCGGCTGGTGGCTCGAGACATCAGACTACTGCTCCGGCATGAGACAGAACCACTGCAAATTACCATGTTTCGAAAATGTCGAATTGGAAATGCGCCTCGCCTATAATTGTTTGTTTTGTTTGTTTTGTATTTAACGTGGGGGGTAGCTCCTCAGTAGTGCAAACCACGCCTCCCAGAGCCATTGCATCGCAAGGTTGTAGAGGTGTCAAATTAGATACATTCAGATCCGCGCACGAGCCTATCCTCGCTGTAGCGGTACCAATCTGTAGTGTTCAGATGGTTTTAGTCAATACCCAAACACGATTCCGTCAGAAAAACCTCCTATCTAGTGACAAAGCGACCCAGTGAACCTCAGTTCTCTGGTGTACATATCGTTCCAGTAGCCGTTCGATATATGTCGCATTGGTGAGTGGAGTAGGTGTTTGTTATCTGCTGGCGAGGGAAACCACAAGGGGGAAAACCTCGCAGGAGTGGGTATTGTGGAGACAAGCTGCTTGGCTATCGGGCTCTGCGATAAATGGGGCCTCTCCACTGTCGTGTGCTGGTTATCGACTCGCACAAGCCGGGTCAGAAAGGGGGCCATAGCAGGATTCGAACCCACTTGTTCTCGTCGCCCACCGCACAAACGAGAACACAACCAGGCGCATTTGACCATTGCGCCATACGGCCGCGCCTCGCCTATAAGGGGATCACACCAGGCCATCCAGCCAGATCACACTGAGTCAATACATCAACTTTTCGTCCCTCGAGCTCACAGAAGCAAACCATGTCAGTGTGTTAGACAGGACGCGGGAGAACATATAGCGCACGAAGTCCAGCTTCTGCGATAATCTTCTTCGCCCAGATCAGGGCTGGGACCAACTCCACCTAATCCACCCGTTGATCAATATCGTTGATCAACGTCAATCTAATGGAATTCCACGGGGCTAGAGCTGGATTAGTAATCAATCCAATTCCGAGCTGTCGTGGATTGACTTGGGTGGATTCCGTTGAATAAGGATGGTACTGAGCCTGTAGCTGTCAAACAGCGTTATGATGGTCTGTTATGGGCCCCTGTTGGCCCCCCAAATGCCCCAGTGGCCCCTGCGACAGCGCACTTCCACCTCCCTAGCGCCACGGTAGCCTACGTGCCATTCAACAGTCCCATTTTAACGTGGCTGCCCTGCCCCCACCAAAACTTCGGCGGCTTAACCTATCCTAAGGGCTGAATTTTTATATGCACCTTGCCTGTTACTTTCATCACGTCATTCAAAATGGCAGATTCCAACCCTTTTGAAGAGCATGCCTTTCAAGACGCCGGCTCTTCTCAAAGCACCCGTGTCTCAACACCCGCTCCTGCTACGCCATCAGCTCCCGATTCCGCTGATTCTACAATTGCTGCCCTGTGTTTAGGAGAAGAATCACACCTTTTCTGTGACAGACCAGGCTGGGTTTTCTCTGAACGTAAGCGAGAGATTCGCTCCTAGGGATGGCGATTCGGCTACAATATCAAGAAGCTGGAAACCGGCGACCGGAAATGGGTCTGCAAGGCGTGTATCAAGAAGAAAGACCCCCAGCCAGCCTCCTACGCTGCAGCCGGCATCCAGAATGCATTGGACCATCTATTTAGCAAGCATCACATTCGCGCGCCCCCGGGAGAGACCAAATCAGCCGCCGAAAAGAAGTCAGATAAATACTGTGTCAATAAAGGGCCTAGCGTCGCTAGCCAGCTGCGGTTGAACCTGTCCAACACCAGGGAACAGTCCATTGCCAACGCCTTGATTCAAGTATTCGATCCAAAGCATTTTCAGCGACTTCTTGTGGAATGGATTGTCGAGGCGAATCTTCCTTTCAGTACGGCTGAGGACAAAAGGCTGCGGGCCGTTTTTGAGTACTTGAATGCTTTCATTCAGAAGCGCGATGCCCACATCTCCCGATGTACTGTACGAAAATGAATCATCGAGGCGTATGAAAGTCATCAACAGAAGGTCATGGATGTGCTCAAGGCATCGCCTGGAAAGATACACATCTCTTTTGATGGATGGAGGTCTAGAAACCGGCATAGCTTATATGGAATTGCGTGCTTCTTTAGAGACGAGAACAATATACCATGCAAGTTGATCTTAGGGGTTTCTGAGGTCACCACCAAGCATACCAGAGAAAACATCGCAGCCAAAGTCCTTCATGTTATCGACGCTTTTGAGATCCGCGAAAAGATTGGTTATTTTACCCTTGATAACGCCTTGAATATGGATACTGCCATGGAAGCTATTGGGGAGGCCCTCGGGTTTGATGGCTCATCAAGGCGAGGGCGATGTTTTGGTCACATCCTTAATCTCTCAGCGAAAGCCCTCCTTTTTGGCAAAGATGCCAAAGCTTTTGAAGATGAGCTTTTAAGAGAGACTCCATTGAGTGAGGCTAAGCACAAGATCTGGCAAAAGAGAGGCCCGGTTAGAAAATTACATAACATTATTGTCATTCTCCACAGGTCAGATGCCTTGACCAGAGGGTTACGAGACGTCCAGATGCAACACGATCCCTCTAAGGAGCCGCGTGAAGTCGTCACCAATAACGATACGCGATGGCTCTCCCAGTACTATATGATGAAGCGCGCTCTTTTGCTCTGTTCATTTATCGAACAGATAATCTTCGAGCATAAGCAGGGATGGGAAGCAGATAAAAAATCAAAGCGTATAACAAGGATGCCAAAGCAAGCCAAGTTGCCTTATATCTGCCGACCTGAGAATCAGCTGTCCGATCATGACTGGGAAGTTGTTGAACTCCTTACCGAAATCCTTAGCTTTTATGATACTACGGTCAGATTGCTTGAGGGTGATGGCTTCAGCCATAAGCGCAAGCATGGATGGACCGGCTCTTATGGAAACACGTGGGACGTAGTCAATGGCTTTGAATTCCTTCTTGGAAAGCTTGAACACTACAAGAACAACGTCGAGAGCCGCCCGGATAAGCAACATATCAAGGCCAATATCAATATGGGATGGATGAAGCTGGACGAGTACTACCAGACCTTAAACGAGACTCCTATTTGGTATGCTGGCCTTGCTCTTACCCTGCTTATCGATGGGATTGGTTTGATCGCCAATGGGATGAAAAGCCCGAGTGGACTGCTCAAGCAAAAGAGATGATAACGGAGGTTTGGAATGGCGATTATCGTCACCTTCAGATTGATAAAAACGCCATCTCTAGAGAAGAGCCATACCCAAAACGTCAAGGCGTCTCTGAATCCTTTCAAGGAATTCTGTGAGCAGACACGCAACCAGCCCAGAAAGCCAACGGAGCCATTTCTCAGCCCTGCTGTTGACGAATATCAACACTGGATAGATCATCCAGAACATCACAATAGTACTATTCGTGATCCTCTTCTATATTGGCACGAGAAGCGGTTTATGTATCCATGGCTTTCGCTAATGGCACTTGACCTCCTTACTGTACAACCCATGTCAGCAGAGTGTGAGAGACTCTTTTCGGCAGCAGGCCAAATGGTTACTACATTGTGCAACGCTTTTGAGGCCGACATCATCGGAATGTGCCAGGTACTACGGTCATGGTTACACGCTGGTATTATTAGGGACTTAGACCCTCTCTTTTACCCTGTTGGTGAAGAGGACGATGAGCACAAAGTCATGAGGATGACCAATCAGGAACTGGCAGAGTGGACACGAGCATGGCTCAACACCATGGATTCTATTGGCGATGAGCAATAAGTATATATGAATACATTCGTTTAAATAACTATCAGCTAACCCGTAAGAGGCAAAAAAACCAACAGCAGGCACACAAATCACGATCGAGAGTAGCTAGATAGCTTGTCAATATAATCCACGAAATCCACACAATTCCACAAGGACCCCTGGTTGATCAATACCACGAGCTTCATTCGTGTAATTGGATCCATTCAATGTCACGGAAGGCCATGGTGGAGTGGATTGAGTTGGTCCCAGCCCTGGCCCAGATACATCTCCATCTTGCCCCCTCAACCAAAAGCCCACGTCTTAGGATTACCCAACAGCAAGCCCGTACCATGCAGATCAAGCACCTTTTCGCCGTCGCTCTGACACTGGCCCTCACCTCCGGTAACCCGGGGGATTGCACCAAGGACAGCAACGTAGGCGCAGACTGCGTCGTAAGCCGCGCATCCACCCCACCGTGAGACGACAGTTGAGTCCACGACAGCTGATAGCTTCTAGTTTGGAAGCCTCGACGACTTCGAAGGCAACTGTGATAGATTTGGCGAGTGCATCCCGAGAGAGGAGAAATGCACAGTCGATGACGGAGATTGCTTCATTGCGGTATGAATACCGCTTCTTATAACCTCGGAGGGGCAGTCACTGATCGATATATAGGGCAGAAAGGGAATATGCTTCGCGATTAAGGGTACAGCGTTGTTTGACTGCGATATCCCAGAGTGGGAAGCATGCGATCTCAGCTGTTGCGGTGTGGAATGCGAAGTATGAGGCTGGAGGGATGATGTTTGAGCGTTTGAACGGGCGCCTGCGGCACATGGAGGGAGGTCGATCAAGACCTTCGGTAGACCAAGTGGGAAGCTGTAAGGCATCTCGATTATGTGATACGTAGTTGTATCGACGGCCGGTAGATAGCTCCCAGGATAGAAATATGTACCAGCTATATTGCTAGCACCTGTCTTGCCAGGTCCAGCTCACGTTCTGGAGAAGACGAACGCGAGATAAAGTGCCGCCTTCATATCCCCCTCCGTCACTAAGAGCCTAGGTCCCGACCAACTTAATCCACGTCAACAGGACCCCTTCGTGGAGTTAATTTGACACTATTCACGACCTTGTTATCGCTTAATTAATATGCGTATATTAAAGAAAAGTCTTTTCTTTAAAAATTAATATTATCGTGGATTAAAAAAACCCCATTTTTGGGGGTTATTTCTTTTAGCGATAATAAATCGAATACAAATACTACGAGTAAGATTCGAACGTTTAAACGATTAAAAAAGCCGTAGCTAACTTTATATAATATTATTTATGAGTAAAAGAATTCCTCGACATATTTTATATAGTTAAATGAAGGTTTTACTTTCTTATAACGCTTTGTTTTAAGAAAACTTTAAGTCTTTAAATTCTTTTAGAATATATTAATAACGAAATTTATACCTTTAAAAGTTCAAAAAGCCGTAATCAAATTTATCTAATATTATTTATCAGCAAATATATTAATAATAATAAGAATATGATCAAGATTTAAACTTAAGTTTATTAACTAATTTTATTTTGATTTTCTATCTTTACAAATATATATTTATAAATATTCTATCACGAAGCGCAGATGGGAAGTAGGCGTAAAAGTCCTGCTTTTACTATTTACGTGTAATAATCTCTCGGTGAAGAAGGAAAGAAAGATCTGGTCCACCAGCCAATTCTGGTGGGCTAGAAAATCTTTCAGTCCGACCCACAATTACCCAATCCAGTGGCAGTCGGAGCCACACGTCCATTACGTCAGGTCACCTGATGCAGTGCACTGACCACTGCAGATGGGAGGTCAGACCATCACATATATATAAAAACCTTAAGTTAAAATATTTTGTTATTATTCTAAATTTAATCTTTTTATGATATACATAATATTAAAAGTAATGATATAATTATACATAAGTTTAAAAAATATAATTGGTAAAAAAATACGCTTCATATATACGTAATGATAAAACACTATATTGAAAAGGCAATAAAGCAAAATTATTTATGAAATTTTTCAATTTTTTTAATAAACTTATCAACCAATTTTTTTTTAGCTTGTTAATAAGAAAAGTTCGTTTTTAAAGTAAATTGTGCATGATATATATTTTTATAATTATGCACAAATTTAAAAATTGGAGTTCTAACTTTTGGCGCAATATTAATAATATCGTTTTTTTTAATTAAACGTAAAGAAATAAAAAGGTGCAATTTAAAAAAAAATAAAAACAGCAAAACCAATAATTTCGATCATAAGAAGAAACCGTTAAGTATACAAAACAAAAAATGATAACAAAATAACAAAATAAAAAAACTAGGTACTTTTATTATTATATATAATACATATTGTTATTAATTTATAAGAAAAAATAGTAACGCTTAACTTTTAATAAAAATATCGAAAAACCTATTCGTTATAACTTTAAATAAAAAATGCCATAAGATTTTTTTCGTAATGAAAATTTAAAATTTAAAATTTTAAGTTAATTAAAAGGTAAAATACAGAAGAAACAGGCCTTATATATGTAAAGTAATAAGATCGCTTGATTAAAAAAACAATTATCAAAAAAAGCCATTATCATTCGTTCTAAAGTTTATTATAAATTTAAACGATTAAGCCCTTTTTAACTTAATAATACTAAATATAATTTATATATATATATATACTTATTATCATATATAACACGGTAAGATCGGCTGATTAAAAAGCAGTTATTGAATTTTTATTATTATCATTCGGTTTCATTATTATCATAAACTCAAAATAAATTATCATTTCTTAAGCTTGTTGCTGTAATACTAGCTTTAAAACTTTTATAATACATTGTTATATTATTTCTTTACATAATCATTATAACTCGACTTATTCATTTATACCTTTTTGATAAATATAAAAACTTATTATCTTCTGATTTAAGCTCAAAAAGCTATAAAAATTCATGAAATTTTTAAATTACGTTTACTTATAATTATAAGCTTAGCAATTAACATTTATCAAAGTTATTAATACACAGATTTTATCTTAAACTTATTATCGTTTAATCTATTATTAAAAAGGCTTCTTATATTTAATAAATCTAAATTAAATGGAAAAAAAGTTAAAAGCTATTAATAATAGCCGTAATGTTGGAACAGGCTTGAACAATCAATCATAATACTCGAGTATGGGGTCAAGGTCATGATGTTGCTGATGGTTGGATTGGGAGGTCTAGCTGGACCTGAAGGTCTGGCTAAGTAACCTCGTAATCCGGTATCTATCTCTTATCTAATCATACATGTGGGTCTTGGTATAGATGGTTTGCAGGCTGGAATTGCATAGATCCAACACGTAAACATTAAACTGCTTTTTATATTAATATTAAATCAAATGTCTAATTAAATAATTGTGATTCTGATAATTATTCACTTAATATTTATTTTTACCGATTTTGAAAGGTATTTATTTGTTATGTACCTTTTTTAACTTACATTTGTTAATTTTATCAAAAGCTTTAAACTTAAACTATTTTTAGCGCTTTATAAAAAGCTCGTTACTATTACAAACATTTAAACTATTTATCGCCGTATATTTATATTCTTATTATATTTAAGTAATTATGTTTTTAACGTGAATAATTTCTTCACAGCAATAAGTTTAAATCCTTTTAATTCAAGTTTAACGAAAAAAATTATAACGATATAGTAGATAACAGTCTTATTAATATAACCGTATTACTTCTTTAAAACAACTTATTTATAATTAATATTAACCTTAAATTTCTCTTTTTATAAAATTCTCTTTTTTAAACTTTTCTTTACGACCTACTTACATTCTTAAGATAAAGTTGAAGCTAAATAAAACATCTTAAATATTACTATATAAACTAATACGTTCGTAGTTAAGTTTATGAACTATTGTTGAATGGGAGCCGGAAATAAACACCTGAAGATCTCCAGTGGGGCAGAGACGCACAGAGCATCTGACCCACCAAGAAGACAGATGATCGATCTCTGTACGCTGAAGAAGAACAGAAAACCAACACAATCAATAGAATCCATCAACATCCGTGTATGTCAACATCAGAAGCACGAGTTGAGATTATTAACGTATATGCAACTCTTTGAAGAAAAGAGAGACAATTAAAGAAAAGCCAGTCCGTGCAAGACAAGGTATTGCACTAGCTCAGTCTAAGCCTATATTACCACAATAATTTCCTTTACTTCTTAAGTTAAATCAGTGTCTAGACTGTATAAAGGATAAGATAATCTCTTACAACGAGCGTTCCCTATAAATATTGCCACGGTACCGTTAAAACCAACCATTTTAATAATTAGCACCTGATAGTTTATAAGCGTGAGGCTTTACATAAATGTGACGAACCGTCTAACCTATAAGGCTAAAGGGTTCTATAGGGTTTATATTCTGAGGTAAGTCAACACAAAGGACGATAAAGGCTTCTGTCAACTAGAAGACACTTAGATGCCGGGGCTTGGTCTGAACTGGGTTCACTGTGTAGTCGAGTCGTCAAGATATTTCTCCCACCTTAGGGTTGGCTAAGATGCTTAGATTGATCACTGAGGTAGAGACTGTCTATACATCTAGTTGGGAAATGTCTGTCCTTATATATCCAATCTCTCCCTCACTGATGGGGTGCGCTCACCGTTGCTCGTGTGAGCAGACGTGAGCAACTCTAGTCACGTGATCTTGGCTCCCTGGATCACGTGCCTGGATGCCCTGCGCTGTTCTGTATTGTGTGCCCGTTCTAATTGGGTTTCCTCATAGGTCATCCTTTTCCCTTCAGGCCTGCCAATGGGCCCGTGGTATTGTTGGTTCGTAACAACATGCGGCTGCTTTGTTTACTTTGTTTTAGGAGCTTGTTCCTGCTGATGGCCCCGTAACAAATGCTGGTATTTTGGTGGCTCGCTGGTAAGATAATTCTGTCACCGGGAATCGCCATACACGACTTACAATAAGAACACTCGAAGATCGCCGGAACCACAAAAATACACAAAATGTCTACCCTCACCATGACTTCTCTCACCATCACCATCTCAGCTTTAGTTGCGACGTGAGAAGCAAGGGTCGCATATTGTAGGCGATACTACAAATTTTGAAGAGGCAGTACGTAATAAGCGTGGTTCGGTTGGCCCCCTTCCATGCGGATCCACGCTTCCCAGTCTGCCGTCTGAGTAGACTCTCTCAAGAAGTATGTGCCGGAGACCACAACTAGGTGATATAACCTGATAATCTGCGTCGATCAGGATATTGATTTCAGTCCATTTTATTGATCTTGGTCAACATACCACCTCCAAGCCTCTTCGGGTCGACCTTGCTAAAATGACGAAAATACTTTCCCCGCCCGGTCGAAGTTGGGAGGTGGAGGAAGGGAATCACAACGCTTCATAGTGTACTGTAACGAGTCGCATGATCCACCAGGTTGGAAGGTTGTGTAGGGTTTTTGTTCTGGGGTACGTTACCTCTCGGCATGATAGAGGCTCTTGTCAACTAAGGGGCGCTCATGAGATCTCTCGCAACTCAGGGTTGTTGGATTATAATCCATTCTAAGTGTCAGGGAGCATCCCGACAACAAAGGAACCATTCATGTACATATACAGTGCTTCCGCACCTGATTAGTATTGCACCTCTCTGCAGATCAACATATCATTTAACCCCTCATATGGTTGGCCTTCTGACACTAAGGGCTCCCAACTACTGTAGCCTGTTCTATGCCTGCTTGGTTCTGCTCACTGGTTTCTAGTGATCATCTTGTGTTGCTCTGGGCAGACTCTCTTCGGGCAGAACTTCAAGTCGAGGAATATCTTAGCGTTCTACTAGAACATTGCCCCACCAAGCATTCTGATGGATCTGACTTGAGTTTGTGAGGAATCTAGCGAGGCGTGATGTTGCCGGGGCAGTTGTTCTTCTGTGCCCATTTGGACCTCAGGGAGTCTGTCGGTCACGTTGATTAGCTTGGTTACTTTCTCAATGTAAAAGGTCTGGGATAGCCAAATCTTTCACGCAAGCTGGGTATCTTATTTAATGCGGTGCAGAGATGCAACACTGAACAAAGATTGTTCTTTCTTGCTACTGTCTTTCTGAAAAGTGATTGGGACAGGTCCCTGTTCTGCTAGCGACCATGGATTTGGTAGATTTACCGACGGAGTTGATCATACCAATGATGTCTTTCTTGCGCTGGATGAACTGGTGACAGTGACCAGGGTCTGTTCTTTACTGCGGTCCCTCGCATTCCTATCCTTACAGAGTGAGCGGTGGTGGGCTACGTATTTGTCGATAGACGGAGGTGTTGGAATCTAGGGGTTTTGGTCTACCCTGAGGTCTCATTGCCGCCAGAATTATCAAAACCCCATATCTGTCCTTTGCGCTAGGATTGCTAGAAAAGGACACTGTCCTTTTCTTACATCCATATTTTTTTTTGTATTTCTCATATATAAGGGCCTTCTGCCCTTCAAGAACTATTCCTGGTTTCTCTCCACTTCGAAATCTCACAGTGGCGGGCACCAGGGGTGCAAATAAGGTCGCGGCTACCTCCGAATTTTGGTATCGTGATTTTATACCGTTTCGTCGCTGCCATATCATCTAGGAACCGGGATATCTTCTCCTCGATGGCTCTATAGACTGCTTGAAACGCTAGCTGGAAGGCCCCTTTGACCTGTTCCGATCCAATACAGTTGAGGTCGACTTCAACGTGCGGAGACCACTGTCCGGCGCAATAATCTGCCTTCCAAGCTGTAACGATGATCCAATATTGGACATTCGGTAGGAAATAGATTTGAGACGCTCCAAGCTTATGCATGGGATAAGTGAGGCTGGCTATAAGTCACACGCGAGCACTCATTTACGCGCATGTCAAGCCATCGGAAGCCGGGGATCAAGTCTTTGCATCCGTGATTGCAAGCAGTTATTTTCGGATGTGTGCTATCGACTGATCATAGCCAACCATTCCTAGCCAAATTACTCCTGGTTTCTCTCCTTCAATAGGACACTTTGAAATCTCACAGCTATTCAGAGCCATGATACCGAGGGACCAGATAAACTAGGTGGACAAAAGTCTCTGCCCGACCCACCACAATCTCCTTCAGATCAAAACAACGCGTCAATCACCCTTCGACTTCACCACTCTCTCAACACCGCAATTGATAATAGATTTACGATCTTTTGGGGACGAATTAAGCGGTAATCGCGTCGCTAACGGCGAATTCACTTCAGAAGCTCGCTCGGCAATCGTGGCGGCGCGAATCGACGGCAGAACACATAGGGATGTTACAACCTTGTTTAAAACAAAGCGCCTGAAAACCATCTCCGATATTACCACCAACTTTGAGGCCACTTCTACACTAAAATCTGCCCTAAGGAGCGGTCGCCCACCCGTTTTGAATACTCACAAACGCGCTCATGTGATCGAAAAGGCGAGAGAGCTCCCCAGGGCGACGTGGCAGAAGATTCGAAACGAAGCCTGTGTTTCGTGCTCTCCCAAGACTATCAAGAGGATATGTCACGCACACGGCCTCCAGAAGTGGCGCGCAGCGAAGCGAATCAAGCTCACAGATGAGGACGCTCAGAAAAGGCTCGCTTTTGCCAATTATTATAGCACATCAGAGCGCCTGGAGGAGTTGTTGCGAGCTATGTTCTCAGACAAAATGTACAGTCCAAAACTCATCCGATAATCCAGGCGATTGGGCCATCCGATTCTTTTCAGAGTGGTATCGTTATGATCTCGTGAACGAGACGGATCACGGCAAATCTCGTATTTCGATAATGGTGTGGTCTATGATCTGGCTACGCGGCGGAGAAAGAGGACTAGGCAAGTTGGTCTTCTGCACACTCGATCCGGATGCTCCGCGCGGAGGAGTATCCGTAGAGTCATACAAATGAGTTCTTGAGGAAGGCCTGCTTCCGTTCTACGAGGCTGGAGATCCTTTTGTTCAAGATAACGCGAAAATTCACCTCACTGGCGGTGTTCCGGAGTGGATGGAGGAGCACGGCATCCACTGTATCGACTGGCCTCCTCACAGCCCCGATATGAACCCAATCGAGCACGTTTGGCGACTTCTGAAGAAGAACATACGTGAAATCAAGCCTGAATTTTCTGAATTAAAGGATAATATCCCCCATTATCGCTACGCATACGAGTTAATTAAGCAGGCATGGTCAGAGATCGATCCGGAGCAGGTTCGGGCCTTGATGGAGTCACTGGAGGACCGAATAGCTGCAGTGAGGCGCACCGGTGGTTGGTATACATACTATTGACTTAGTTATTAAATACAATTTATTTGAGAATTCTATCACCAGAATTGGATGCGTTATGGTTCAATTGAGTTGGAGGGTATAGTAGATGGAAGGGGTAAAATTGGGGATCGGGCGGAGACTTTTGTCCACGCATTGTATCAACCTTGTTAGTGTATGTCCCATAACCGGCCGTATGGCGCAATGGTCAAATGCGCCTGGTTGTGTTCTCGTTTGTGCGGTGGGCGACGAGAACAAGTGGGTTCGAATCCTGCTATGGCCCCCTTTCTGACCCGGCTTGTGCGAGTCGATAACCAGCACACGACAGTGGAGAGGCCCCATTTTATCGCAGAGCCCGATAGCCAAGCAGCTTGTCTCCACAATACCCACTCCTGCGAGGTTTTCCCCCTTGTGGTTTCCCTCGCCAGCAGATAACAAACACCTACTCCACCCACCAATGCGACATATATCGAACGGCTACTGGAACGATATGTGCACCAGAGAACTGAGGTTCACTGGGTCGCTTTGTCACTAGATAGGAGGTTTTTCTGACGGAATCGTGCTTGGGTATTGACTAAAACCATCTGAACACTCCAGATTGGTACCGCTACAGCGAGGATAGGCTCGTGCGCGGATCTGAATGTATCTAATTTGACACCTCTACAACCTTGCGATGCAATGGCTCTGGGAGGCGTGGTTTGCACTACTGAGGAGCTACCCCCCACGTTAAATACAAAACAAGTATGTCCCATAACCGATCTCGGGCTTCTAGGAAATTGAACTATAAATGCCATAAGTAGTTAAGTTGTACCTGTTTTATTCGATTTATTATAATAGCGTGAAGTTGGGGTGTTTTAGTGTAAGCAGGGATGCTCGGAGACTTCTAGAGGGTGACTGTAGCACGCCGAGATAGCTTCACACACCTCAAGCACTTCCAATACAACAATGTCCACCCATCTGTGTATTGGCCCTTAACACCCCTCTTCTCTGATAACAACACTCGTGGTAATTACCAGCACTGATTTTACATTCAGTGCCTACTTGGGCTTCATTTTCTCGTGTAAAAGGTATCAACCGCATTTAGTCAATGCGAAGCCCTCAACCAAAATTTTATCTAGAGCGCTAAGAGGGCCATCGGCGGCTGCTGCAACGGGCCCTCCAAGCCCGTCACACTAATGACGGCTTGCCTTTTGCCCGCATGTCCTCCTCCACCGGATAATACCCAAATCTTTGCCCACCCTGTCATTATGCGTCAAAGTCCGCCTTCTGGAACACGTGCCCCTCTAACAGCTTCCCCAAGTGTGACTTCCCGAACCCATCCCCGTTTCGTCTCGCCACGAAGAGGCCTTTCAAGACACCAACAGGGCTCTTCATCAATCCCGACTCACCGCCAACCCGTCCCTGATCGTCAGCGAGAATGAAGCCCGCGGCGTCAACTTTCCATCAGTTCCTGCACCGGTGTTCTATAAAGACTCTACGCGTCATTGCCGGAAGTCGTCAACCCGGCTTCAAAATGCGATATACTGAAGGATCTGCCATTAGAGCTAACACTGCACATCCTCTCCTATCTGGCCCCCCGTGACCTCTGCCGTGCAGCGCAGGTGTCGAAACGCTGGCGAAGCGTCATCGACAGCAACGAAAACGGCTGGAAGGAGCTTTTCGACCGTGACGGCTTCACTCTGGCCCAAGGCGAGCTTGACAGGGCCTTCAAGGAGGGCTGGGGCCGGCAGGACCCCGTTGGCTCCGAGGAGTGCGAACGCGACTATGGCTTTCAGAGCCGACTCACTAAGACGGAGACAGAACTTCGATGCACGTCGAAAGCTGATACACCACATAAGTTGCGACCATTCAAGCGTAAGAGAGCTCCGAATAACTCAAGCTCCGAACGGTCGAAGCGAAGGGCTAATACCCACGGCGATGTCAAGGTTGGGAGAACTTACACGGACACAGATATACACGAGTCCGGAGGGCCAATCTCAGCCATTAGACCATTTAGTTCATCATGTATTAATTGATCACGCGATCCTAACTAAAGACGTGACATAACAAGGGTCGGCCAAGCTACTATAAGTAGACAGTGAACCGGCTTTCTGATATTTACTGCAGGATGGGTCGAGCAAGATAGAAATCAAAGAAATTGTTGGATCCATGCGATTCCAACCTTCAACCATTCATATCGGAGCCATATGTATGATTAGATAAGAGATTAGATACCAGATTGTGAGGTCACTTAGCCAGACCTGCGAGTCCAGCTAGACTTCCCAATCCATCCCATCAGCAACATCATGACCTTGACCCAATACTCGAGTATTATGATTGATCGGTTAAGCCTGTTCCAACAGAAATACTAAATCACCGGTCTCGTAAAGCCCCACTCTGCTAAAACGCCGACGAGGGATTTTCGAAAAGGCATACGAGTTAGGGGTTGTTAAACAGCGTGTATTATGGTTTATCTGGTTGATAACGTGTATTCTGGTGATCCTGATTAGAGTGTGTTCTCTAGGATCTGATGTTGTAATCTGCAGGGCCCGAAATTGCCCTAGAGGCCCTGTTGGTGCACTGCCACCTACCTGAACGCCACTGTGGCTTGAGTGCCATTTGACAGGGGTCCTCACAAAGTCAAATGTATATCTGTTTATCGAGGATCCTAGTACAAAGAGACTGTCGGGATACTTGTCCGATAGGAAAAAGTTTGTACCCGATTATAGATGCCTGGTGTCAACTCTGCTCCGGATACTGGAAAAGTAGCCCAGAAGTTCGGCAGCAATGGCCTTCTCGACCTCGTGCGCCGTAGGATCGATCAGACCTCGCACCAAAGTCGCCTTGCACATCTTCAAGATGGTCTTCCTCTTGATCTTTATTTGTTGGTTTCGGCTAGTAGTCCAAGTCGCTGCTGTCTTGGTCCTCTGAATCAGAGGACGTGTCATGACAGTCAGTGATGAGATCGTCGTAGGGTACTCTGGTGCTTTGTCTGGATCAGGGTGCCCGGATAAGCGTACACAATATCGTTTTGGCCATGGGCCCACACAACCCACAGCCGGAACGACGCGAGTGCAACTTGATACAAGGGGCGGCCCCATGCTGGGTACCATTGTTCGATTCTTGTCCCAATGCCGAAGCACAGGCTGAAAGTGCCTGAGACACAGATTAGGGGAAGAGGAGAGAAAGGCCTCTGGCCGTGTCTCCAGGTCCCCACTGCTAATAACGTCTTATGGCTGTCAGCCACCTAGAGCATGCACCACAGGGCTCGACTTACTTCACGTATTATGCTCCAGAAAACTACTGTTCCAAAGAACCATACTGGCCAATATCCGCTCTTTAGACATGAGAGGATTGCAAAGGCACCATGAGCAACGTGCTCAGTGCCGCCGTTGAAGCTACAGCAACTATGTACGGGCGCCTGTACAGGGCCCTCACCCAAAATGGCGGCTGGTGAGATACTTAACTTAGTAGCCTGAAGGTAACGATCAAGTTTAGAATTGTAATCGAGCTCTTGATAGCAAGTGCTATATAAAGAACCGAGATTTACAGGATCTTGGGACTTTTCATGATGTGCTAACTTATAAAAGGAAAAAGGTATCTTGTTACACAGTAAGACAATGACCACAAGGAGGTTATAACCCCTTGATAAGTACTCATAACTAGGCACAAGAAAACTATAAACAGTATATTGTTAGGGAGAATCGGGGTCGGATCAATAGGACCCCGATGAACAGTTTGGGCTTTTAATCACAGATGCAAGAATAGGCGTACGACTACCTACCCCTCATCGAAAGCTAAGTATCATTACAGAAGAATGACGCCCTCGCTGCGGTGCAGCGCCTCCGCCTTTCCTATACCGTCATTGACGTCGGGCTGTGGTTCAGCCTCTCCGTGGCAGCTGTGCCCTCGGGCCGGACAACTCTCAGGTATTTAACTCGACTCACCTCCACTCTCCTGTTTCTGCTTCTGCATTTGTATCCGAGACCATCCCTCAAGACTGACTATTTTTGGAGCTTGACTCTTGTACTTCATAATCTTGACCATCAGTTCGGTCTTTGCATCCTGTTCTTTTCTAATTTCTTTTCCTTGCCATTTTTATTATACGAATAGCGAACATGAGTACCACTGCCGCCGAGGGCCAACATGGCATAGGCAACCTCGCGATCCTGACCAAGGTCGACAAGCTCCGAGAGCTCATCGGCACCCGAGTCGCCCTTCCTCAGGTATGTTTGATCACACCTTAATGATAGATCTCTACTAACCATCGCTACCTAGCTCGTCGTCATTGGAGACCAGTCTTCGGGCAAGAGTTCGGTGCTCGAGGGACTGACGGGCTTCGCCTTGCCTCGCAATGCAGAGCTCTGCACACGCTATGCCACCTAAATCACCTGCCGCCGCGAGGACGAAGAGAGCATCACGGTGTCCATTATGCCGAACTTGGATGCGCTGCCCCAGGAACAGCAACGCGTTAAGGCTTTCCAGCGCGCCTTGACTAAGATGTATCCCGAGAACCTTGCCTATATAAGGGCCTTCTACCCTTCAGGAACTATTCCTGGTTTCTCTCCTTTAGTAGAACACTTTGAAATTTCACACCCACTCGCCTAACGAGCGTATGTAACAGACCCTGGGATCGGAGCGGGCTGGCTGGTTCAGCGCGAAGCCCATCTTCGATATCATGGCGCATGAGTCAGGACATGAGTATAATATGTGATGTGAAGTCTTCCGAGCCAAGCCCTCAAGAGTTCAACTCGCCCCGTCCGACGTTGGCACCGAAACAGCCGTGCGTATCACCTGCACTGTTACGAGGAGCTACAGGTGCTTACAAGGCCAGCACTACATCACTATCTCAGGGGCCATCAAGACCGTCTTGTTATCTTAACGGGCCGCAATGATGCCTCCGAACCCCCTAATCGTCACCGGATCTGGCGACAGCCGCTTGCGCGTGTGACGCCTCCTTGAGACGGGATCGAGAAGAAACATTCAGACCGGGCCCCCAAGCTAATGATACTGACTGTCCTTACTTTATACGCACGCTCCAAGGTCACAGTCACTCGGTACGTGCTATCGCCGTGCATGCCAGTCTCTGTAGCGAGACGACAGTGTTTCATGTGCCTTGTCCCACCATTTCACACGAGCCGCAGCTCCCTTCATTCGCGCTATGAACTTGATGCCGTAGGCTGTGGGAATACAGTCGCTGTTGACGACAGGCAGCTTTGGAGCCGGCCTTAGCCAGCTTGTCTGCAAGCTCGTTGCCTTGGACGTTGCAGTGGCCGGGACACCACTTGACAGTGACGTCCCGGATTTCCGCCGTTGCGTGGAACTTTAGGTAGGCCCACTGGCAGGAGACCTCTGATGGATGGAGGTCCGGGCACACCACATAATGTATTCATTTGGAAAGGTTGCTTTGGGAACGGCCAGTACAGATCTTGTCTAGACTAATGTCGTTGATGCAGTGTGATATCTGTTCTGCCTATCACGTTGAATTGTGCCTGGGCCGAGGGACTACCACGGAGCCTGCGTAGTACCCTGCTGTTACGGGTCTTATGCACCACAGCTTGCATCAGGAGCTATGACTATGCCACCTATTCAAGCAATTTTCGAAGTCCACAGCTCCCGCAGTGGCATATCTTGCGACTCGGGTGCCGTCTAGTGCCAGGTGAGAGGTAGTTAAGGGAACCTGTGTGTTTAAGATACTCCTTCTTTTTCACAGGATCAAGGATAGGTTCCCACTTGAGAGGGACCTTAACATTAGGAAGCCAAGGAGTGGTAACAGGCTTCACGTCAGGATTAGCATATTTCGTGAGAATCTTCTTAAAGTGCTTTTCCTGGCACAGGCCCAATTGACTTCCACAACGGTCGCAACCGTCGATTGTCATGCCCATCACATTGCTCCAGATGTAGTCAATTAAATGAAGTTCGATTGCAGATTTTTATTCGTGTGTTTGAGCTATCTACTGGCGTTTCTACTGCTGTAATTGGCTCTGATTGACTCGATTGCCTCCAAACAGAGTCCTCTGATCGATAGCATCAGACTCACTTAATAACTGTAGCTGTATCACTGGAGGGCTAAGAAGGTAACGCCCCGCCCCGCTGATCTTCTAGTACTGTACACTCCCCAGGAATATTAAAGGTTAGCTCGGCGCTTGCTAGGCACGGTCCAGTATACCTGGTGTTTGGCTGGGCAAGAGTATTGCGACGATGTTTCGAAGAGGTATCTTTCCAGACGTTCTGACCGGCAGTATACCTTTCGTGCACGTGCTTTATAGCGCCGAGCCAACCTTTAATACCCCTGTGCAGTGTCTTCCTCAATGAACGAGTGGCTGGATCGCCGCCGCGCGCTTGCTAGTCTACCCCATTGTGCAGCATGTAGTCACTCACTCCTTATTGATGGATGATTTCGTCGCGAGTGTGATGGGGGCCGTAAAAGCGTACTTCCTCGCGGCGAGCCTGGTTGGGTACGAGAGTACTCTCCAGGAACTTTGGTGAGACAACAGAAGGCCAAGCCCCCCTTGACACAGCAAAAGACCAGACCTACTCCTTCTCAGCAAAGAGGGCATTAAGATTGCGGCTTCAACCTCTGCGAAGATTGCAATTCGAATGTCGATATCGTTCATCCGGGCTATACATTCAAGCCCATACTACTAGCCCCTACTAGTACTAAGGAGCTTCTCCGGCCCGCCAACGACGAGCCCAAGACTTCTCCCAACAACAAATCAGTCGTCATAGAGCCCGTACCCACTGAAAAGCCTGCTCAACCCACATGCGATGTTTGCCAACAGCGACTTTCTGTACGTGCTGATCGCGGGCGTCGCGACGCGACTCGCAAGACAGTGGGCGGAGGCGAAAAACTTCGTCGAAGACTGGCTAGCCAGGGGCGGACTGACTGTGTTACCCATTGTTATGAATAAGAATATATTCAACATTGGCTTATATTTCATCACCAGTCATAACGAAATGTTCATCCAACTGAGCTGCCAGCGACACGACTAGATCGCCTTGGCAAAGATTTGGTCTTCTGACGCTTTGGCCGCGCAACCCGTTGGAAGACACCCTGCTCCTCGTCAACCATGACCCATTTCGCAGCCTTTCTCTTCCGAGACGGCGCGATATCAGAGCTGCGCTGAAGTGCCTCCCCGTTGGCGAGAGCGGTAGCGAGACCCTCGAAGCTCAATCGTACCGTAGCTTGTTTCGCAGCTGGCGAAGCGCTGCTGCGGGCCGCACGGGGCAGGAAGCATTCGAACGGGATGGCCACTTCGCCTTGTTGGGCGTTACCTCCTGCGTCTCGGAAGACCTCCCTCATCAAGCGCCGCAGTGTGCCGGCACTGTCGTCGGAAGAGTTGGCCAACGTGTCATCGTCAGAGCTGGTGTCAACGACGTCGTTCGAAGCGGCACCCTCCTCATTGCCATCAGGTACAGCACCCTCGTCTTCGTAGGTAATGGTATAAAGAGACACCCTCCCGCAATGACTGTGACTCTCGGCCTTGCGTACGTCTTTGGCCGCGTGCTCGACATTCAGAGTCAGAACCGTCATGATGCCATGGCCGTTGTTGAAATAGTTCATGACCTTGCCGCAGAGGTCCTTATCGCTCTGGCTATAGGCAACTTCAAACAGGAACGGGGAGGACGTGGTGTTAGGTCCCAGGTAGGACATCTGCCCATCGGGGGAGCTTTCGAACGTTGGGATCTGAGAACGACCGGTTTGTACAGCGGCGTGGTCCGATCCGATGATCTTGTCGCGGAAGGGCTTGAGAGCGGGGAACTCACGAGCGACACGATTGAGCTCGCTGTGAATAGTACAAGTGACATGGTTCTGAAGGGCTTCGTGGAGGGGGGACGCAGGCATGAGTCTTATTATGAGAATTCCGGTACAGGCGTCCCACTCTTTACGAAGCTCCCGGAAGACTTCCAGCAGCTTGGATTCCTCGAGTCGGCGATGGAGTTCTATGTATGCTTCTTGCCCGCCAAGGTCGAACGTGGCGGACTCGGATTCGGGAGGCAGCTGCCGCGCGTGGTCGCGAATGGTCTCGAAAGCTTCTTGGATCGATGGTAGTTCGTAGATGTCTTGGACCTCGTCGCCGGAGGGGTTGGGCTCGTCGGACTGCGGGGCTTCGGACTGGGAGGCTTCGGATGGTGACTGTTCGGCCGGGTAGGTATCGGATGGATGAGGCGATGGCAACGAGAAGGGTATTTCTCTCTTTTGCTTCTTCCCAACACGTCGCGATGGCTTTTCGTCGCTACTGAAGCTTGTACCTGGTGTGGAAGGCATCTCGATCGCGGCGACTCGAAGAGAGGTAGATGTGGACGAGGAAGCCTGGAAAGTCATCGTAAAGTCGCTTGCGTATCAAGCCGGAAAGCAGCCGTTATTAGTCAGACGCGGGTATGTGCTGTCGACAGGGGGTCGATTGGTTGTAGCAGAGCGTAGTTGGATGCCCAGCGACGTGTGGAAGAATTAGTAATAATTAGAGAAATGATCGGGTACGACGTGGGGTGTGGCGGTGCAGTATGGCAGTGCGGTGCGGCGGCGGGGTACTGAGCCACAGCTGTAGCCTCTATTCATTGCCCCTTTGCATTCAAGCTCCCGAGATTCATTACCAAGTCGCATTGGTTAAGGAACAACCGGCAGGATGCTTTTAAATGCATTCTGCTGTCGATATCCATAGGAACCAATGACTAGCATTAGTGAGGCTAGAGACCTACCCGTGTGACCATATATGAGACCGTCCCTCCTCGAACTCAAAACAAGAAAACTAAGACCCTCAGCATACCCCCTGATCTACACTCCACGGCTTCCTGGCCAATCCTTCGTTGCCGCTCGACAGTATCGAAGACGGGCCATCGACTCGGGCATGTATAGGACTATTTCTCATACCGTAATCGTGCTGCTAGGATCTGTCGTCGTTTAGGCTGACAAGTTGGTGACGAGCTCCAGCATCACCTGTGCTAGCCCCCTGAGAAAAAGAAAAAACTCGAACACTGGACAGCTGGTCCAAGCGCTAATTCGCACCTAATTGCTGTTTTTCTTATGAAGAACCTCGTCGCGCCCAATATCTCTTGTGTATACCCTTTCCTCCCAAATTGGCCTTCGCCATTTACGACTTAACCGCGTCTTGATAATCAGTTACTCACTCGATTCCCAAGATTTCTAAATTACTTAGCTGAATAATCAGATCCTCCGGCCCTTTCTCGCATATTTACAAGTTGCCTCGGATGGTCTACGGGTGTCAGTGGGACATCACAAGAGCTAAGGAAAGATAAATTACGGTTGGCCCTACGGGACTCCTTGCGGAAATGGACCGGGTTACTACTACGACGTGAATAGCCCTTCACCTACGCCGTCTGATCACCATCCTTACAACTTCCAAGACCAGACCCCCCAGCGACTGGCTACGCGCGCTCACCACCGCCGGCAGGACTGAACTCAGAGCCAGAGAACCGCTCCTTTTCTGGATCTGTCATTTTCTTTTCATAGTTTCTATGGTGTACATCCAGAAAGAACTCTCCACAAAAGATGCCAGACCTAGAACCCGCCTCTGGGCAGGAGTAGTGGGATGCATGCAGTAATAAGATCCAGCAATGGCTCAAATTTTGGCATGCTGGACCGGTGGCAAGCTTGTCAATGACAAACATCTAAATCTGGATATGTGTTTATTTATGAACAATGATAGTGATACTAGGGCAGATATTGGTCTCTCGACTCGCCCTAGGTAAATAGCAGCGTCAGTTGCAGCTGGTGGGAAGCTTTGTCTTACGCATAGGAACGCATCTCTATTTATTGGTTGTAGAAGCTGAGGCATAACAGAGTCGACATCAAGCTGTTTTCCAAGCAGACATTCGAAATCATTCCCAGTAAACTACACGGCCTAGACTGTCATTGTTACAACAACTGTACTTGTAGTAACGACCGCGGGAAATGTTTCCACAATTGTGGTTAGTAGCGGCGGCTTCGTCGGTGATGTCGAAATCAGATGGTTGACTAGAAGGATAAGGTGAAGATGAGCTTGTCTTCCATAGATTTCTTGTACATCTTGGATTATTAGAGTTCGTTGCAAAGACAGGTTTCCTACACGGCAGCCTGGATGATATGGTGTTTGATAGGCCGTTGGTAGCGATTGAAGAAGTAGAATTGACCGTGAGATCCACCTTGCTCAATGTTCCTATACCCAGAGAAGTGGATGACTGTGAACTGCAATTTTTTAATGTGTTGCCGTGAGGTCCGGTACTAGTAATTTGTACGGACAGGCATCGAGATACCTTGTATGAAATGACCAAATCCTAGCAATCAAGTCAGGGTAGCTAAAGCGTGCTATCCTTTCGAATTTTCCAAGCTACTTATTTAAAAGCGTCAAAGGCGAAGGCTTTACTACTAACTTAGACTGTAATTGTCTAAGCTAAAAAATGAATTATTTACGTTACATATAACCACCTCCGGTTTTATATGTAGTTTTATATTCTTAAACTGTTGCGTAACATGCTGTTATCGCTTATCGCTTGCCTTATATAGCTTGGAGCTATAAACAATATACAACGACTTTATAAGTAGTAAAATTAAACCTTTGTTATAATAGTTTATTGCTTATAAAGCGTTATTTTAAAAGATAAGACTTTATCGAATTATTATTATTAGAAACGTGTTTTAACTATGTTTATTAAACATATACCTGTTTTTCACTTATTATAAACTTAGTTCACCGCTGATTATTTTAAACAAATTTATAAATAACTGCTAGCAAGCTAATAGATTGCAAACCTTAAAATTCAAGGTTATAGCATATATTGTAAGGTACTTAGCCGCTAATAACACTTCTAAATTTTCTAGATATTACTAGCACTTTTAATATATAATATAAAAAAGAGCTTTTGCAAGGTAGTTATTCTAATAAGTTACCTTTACCTAGCTTAATATAGCCAAAGACCCGTCGTTATGCTAACATTTAGTTTTAGCGAAAGTATGTTATACTTATTACTTTTAATTTATACCCTTGCGAGCGGTGCAATAGCCAGCCATCTAGGCCTTAGCCGTAGATTTTTTCCTGCCTGTAGAACCCGAGAACCTATCTTCAACAAAACGTATACCACGCGATAAAAGCTAGTCTTTTAGCGAAGGTATAGCTTTTTTTGGTTTGTAGTTGTAAATTTGTTTTACAATTAATACTTATTATCATATAAATGTCGTTTTTAAGGCCCGTGACGGCCTACACAGACCTTCCCACATGACAAGTGGATATTTCCCAATAGGGGAAGGATCTGACCAGAGGATCCCCTTAAAGGGGCAACCTCCTACTGTACCTATCTCTCTCTCTCTCTTCCTTTCCTCTCTAGTCTTGATATTCTCGTCAATAGAGTAATATCTGCTTGCTGCCGGCCATGTCCCAGCTCCTTAGTACGATCGCCGTGACAAGGCCGAGGTTATCAGCTATGTTTTGAAACCGAGCCCAGTCGCTTAAATGTTTTTAATTTTTAAGTAAATCATTTTAAGGTCATGCGGCGTTGTTTAAGCTGAGCCGAAGTCGACTAGGATTTCCTCTCGGTAATTGCTTGTATATATATCTTATACGAAAACGCCGTGCTTATTTTTTTAACTATTACTTTTTATTCTTTTCGTTAAAGCTTATAAGTTAATAACTAGATCGCTTACGATAAAAATTTTTATTATAGAGCGTATAAAGCTGCTTTTCACCTTTTTAACGGTGTTTATCACTTAATATTTTTAATAAATATTAAATGCTTAGCTCTTTTTCAATTTATGTTACGTCTTTTTTATATTGTTTTAAAAGGTCGTTACAGTTTACGAATTGACGATATTAAAGACCTTACTGTTACCGTGCTTTTTATAAGAGGCCGTATGCGCGGTATTCAATATTAATATTCAAAATTAAGCTTTAACTCGCCCGTGTTAAAGACGTTAATACTCTAATTGAAAAGCAGATATATCTTATTAAATTACGGTATAATTAATAAGCTATTTTCACCGCTTCGTTCTTATATGCAATTCTTACCTTTATATTATATCGATAAAAACCTTAAAAGTATTATTTATACTATATATAATGTCGTAGGTCGATATTAATTAAGCTTTTAATATTATTATTTTATAACGTGCCGAGTTTCGCTATCATTTTAACGCCGTAATTATATATGTTTCCTACTCTATAATAGCTTTAAATAAATGTTAAAAGATCTTTTTAAGTTCGAACTTTATAAACAAACCTTTAATAGTAGTTTTGAAGTGCTGCTTTTCTTTTTCTTTAAGTTATTAAAACGGTGCTAAGTATATATTTTACCACTTTTAAAAATAGCGTAGGTATTATAATAATATCTTTAAATAACCTTTGATTTAGAAGGTTTATAAGACTTAAATAATGCGTTTATTAATCGACGATTACCTTTATAATTATTTAAGTCTTACATTATAACGAACTTGAAGCCTCCTTTAATGTCCGCACTTTTACGTGTTTTCAATTTAAACACTAGCCAGACTTTAAAGATATTATTATTACCGCATAAACAAAAGTAATATATAATAGTTTGTATAAAAAAGACATAGCTTCGATAATATATTAAATCTTAATACAACCACTCCAGCAATACAGAAGTGTTAACATCTTAAACTTGTCTTTTTAAACGTCTTTAAAAACAAAGCACGTTAACGTGGTTTCTTACTTTAAGAACACACTTTTATAACTATTAAAAGCAGGCAGTAAGAATTCTTGCAATCGCTTTTTATCGACCCTTTTTCTTCCGGCAGCTCCTTACAATCATTAACGGTACTTAATATAAAAAAGCTAGCATTATAACAGCAACTTAGCTAGCCGTCGATTGAAAAAGAGCCTATTTAAGGGCCTTTTTTACTATATATGACGGTGTACAACTGTATCCACCTGGTTGGATGCTGAGTCATCAGGTTACGTGTAGATTAAATAAGGAACGGGTCCACCACATAAGGTGGGTGTACGCACCACACCTTAGCTTGCTTCTCTTTCCTTCCTCACCTGTTATTTTCGGAATACAACACCAGATTCCCACACAACGCCGCAGGCATCGTGACACTATATTAAAAAGCAGCGTTTAAGAGATACATCGTTTATAACACCTTTATTGAGTTGGGGACAGTAACAACACGCACAATGGGGCAGCTTGTATAATGGATAAAAGAAGGAGAAAAGAGAGCCATTAGCAGAGCCACGCAGTGAATTTGAAGAGTGTGTCACATAGAGATAATACAATGTGTATCTGAACTGATCGCTCAATTATATGTGTTATAAGAGAGGAGTGACTGTTTAGAAAGACAGAAAAAAGTAACGAAAAATGAACAGTGGCCATTATATGCCATAAACCTGGCTGTACATGACATCAACCCTGCCCCAAAACATTATAAAAAAGGCACCTAAAAATGTATAAGAAATTAAAGAATAATCCATATTAAAAGCTTATTAATTGATGAAAAAGAGTAAAACCAGGCTATAAGGTTTAATTATTATAGGTTGTATTATATAGTTACGCGGCTAAGTTATAAGTAGACTTTTTTAACCGTTTATAATACTTACGATCTTTAAGTTATAGTTTAAGTGGTAGCTAAGAAACCACCCTTTTTAAATAATAAGCTAGCAGTTTTAACTAGTTTTTAAAATGTTTACGAGTTATTTTTGAAGCCCGCTTTAACTTAGCTACTTGATAAGAGATATGTTTCATTTAATAGCTTATTTTAGATAATACTAAGCAGTAGTGAGTCATTAGTTAATATATAAGTATAAGATAAAGTTAACCGTGACTACTGATTTACGCGCTTTATATACTAAGCTTAATCTTGTGAAAGCTAGTAAAAGCCGGTGTTAATTTATTAAATAACGCTAAGCTTCTTTTATATTAATATAAGCGTATATATAAAGACAGCAAAACCTAGTTATTCTAAAAAAGCAGAGAAAAAAGACACTTTATTTTTACGATTGGCTTAATTTTAATACAACGCCGTTATAAGAAGCAGAAAATTCTTGAATGTTGTAACTAGTTTAATAAGCTCGGCGTTTTTAGCCTTTATTTTGACCTTTAAAATTTTGTAATTATTAAAGGCCAACCTTTAAAATCCTGTTATACTTATTATCTTTTAGGACCGAGGGTGCTGGAGGACGAGGATATAAAGAATGATTTAAACCCGTACTTAATCGAATATAAGCAGCAAAAGTTTATAAGGCAGACCAGTTTGTAAGTAAGTTAGTAAACCTTGTTAAGGCGTTAGCTGTTATTAATAAATTTAAGCGCTTATAAAAACGTGCTAGCCGTTAAGATTTTAATAATATATACGTAAATATTTAAAGTTAAAAAATGATATTTAGCTAACAACGTTAATCATAAGCAGTTTAAATATTTAATTCGTTCGTTAACCTTAAACAGCGGCAACAACCAATGATTATTAACGATGCCAGTACTAAATTTAACGCTAAAACCGGCCGAGGTAAAAACAGTAGGATTTTAACAATTGCATATTGATCGTTCACGATCGTACGGTGATTATTAATAATAATGATAAGGGTTTTAAAGTAATTACTAAATACTTTTAAGCCCTTATAAATATAAGGAAAGCTTACGTTATCAATAAGGTAAAAGGTTTTACTTATGAGCTAGTTTTTATATAATTTAGTTTCTTATCGTATTTTAGATGCTACTAGACTCGTAATTTTTTATAAGCGATAAAAAATACTTATATATGCGATTTTATAATGTTTTATTAATAAACAGAAAGTTAAGAGCAAATCCTGAATAATAAAAGGCTATATAAATTATTAAAGTCTAAATAACTCCTTTTACTAAAGTTATAAACCGTTAAAAGTCTTCAAATAAATGAAAATATTAAAAGAATAATAACATCTTATTAAACGTGCTACATCTAGTGTTATCCTAGTTTATTAAACGTTATTTTTAATACCATCGTAACAAATGTTAAATGGAAAGAGCTAATACGTTATATATTCTTATACGACTTATGTCACGGCGAGCGTACTGAGGAGCTGGGACATGGCCGGCAGCAAGCAGCTATTACTCTATTGACGAGAATATCAAGACTAGAGAGGAAAGGAAGAGAGAGAGAGATAGGTACAGTAGGAGGTTGCCCCTTTAAGGGGATCCTCTGGTCAGATCCTTCCCCTATTGGGAAATATCCACTTGTCATGTGGGAAGGTCTGTACAGGCCGTCACAACTTATGAAAACTTAAAGTCTTTGTTTAATTAATCAATATATCGTTATTTTACCTAGTACTTGAAGCTCGTTGAAAGCTAAAACTTAATTAAATACTTGTTATATTTCCAGCATTTTACGTTAGTAATAGTCTCTTAATTAGAAGAGGATTCTTTTATACCTGGATGAATGCGTAGATCACTTTGAGGATCTCGTAACGTATGCCGATCTTTCTCAAAACAAGCACGAGAACACTGGTAAGATCCACCGGTGCACCATGTCCCATTCTGTCCCAGGAACTGGAGTATGCATTGAGTACTACAATGGCACTGGTATGGAACAAGGGACGAGTAGCAGCGAGGATGGTGGACTAGCTAAGGACCAGAAGATGATGTCATTAAGAGCAAGGCATAATTGCGCCGTATCTGGCCCCGTAGCTGGTTTTGAAAGGACAGACATTGCTGTGCTCCAGGTTAGGTAGCTAGCTGCTCTCGCCGTTAATCTCGTAAAATCGCTTAATCCAATCAAAGACGTTATTATACTTAAAGCCCTCAGCTTACTCCGGTTATCAGTATTAAAATAATGACAATCTTGGTAATTCTTACAAACCATCAAGACATACAGGGGAAGAGGCCCAATGACAGGCCCAACAGGAGAGACAGGGACAGAAGAGAACCAGGATTGATTGATTGATTGTATTTATTGTGGGTGCAGTCCCTCCATAGGGCAAACCACGCCTCCCAGAGCCATTGCATCGCAAGGTTGTAGAGGTGTCAGTCTAGATACATTCAGATCCGTGCATGAGCCTATCCTCGCTGTAGCGGTACCAACCTGGAGTGACCAGATGGTTTTAGTCAATACCCAAACACGATTCTGTCAGAAAAACCTCCTGTCCAGTGACTAAGCAACCCAGTGAACCTCAGTCCTCTGGTGTACACATCGTTCCAGTAGCCATTCGATATATGTCGCATTAGTGGGTGAAGTAGGTGTTTGTTATCTGCTGGCGAGGGAACCCACAAGGGGAAAAACCTCGCAGGAGTGGGTGTTATGGAGACAAGCTGTTTGGTTATCAGGCTCTGCGATAAGGGGCCTCTCCACTGTCGTGTGCTGGTTGTCGACTCACACAAGCCGGGTCAGAAGGGGGCCATAGCAGGATTTGAACCCACTTGTTCTTGTCGCCCACCGCACAAACGAGAACACAACCAGGCGCATTTGACCATTGCGCCATACGGCAAGAAGAGAACCAGGAAGACACACAGACCACAAACCAAGAGCACGGATCACGTGACCTAGGTAGCACGTGACGGATATGTTGGATCAGACATATCCAACATATCAGCCTCATCAGTCAGGAAGAGATTGGATATATAAGGATGGACATTTCCTGGCTAGACAGATAGACAGGCTCTACCTCAGTGATCAATTTAAACATCTTAGCCAACCCTAAGGTGAGAGAAATTTCCTGATCACTCGACTATACAGTGATCCCCTGGATCAGACCAAGCCCCAGCATCTGAGTGTCTTCTAGTTGACAGAAGCCTCTATCGTCCTTTGTGTTGACTTACCTCAGAACATAAACCCTATAGAACCCTTTAGCCTCATAGGTTAGACGGCTTGTCACATCTTATCGCTTTAAAAGTAATTAAATAATTAATAAGTTATTATTTATTTTTAAATAATATTACTTGCGATTTATATTGATTTTTTAATTACTTAATATTGTAACTATTAAACTATTATATAAGTATTGATATTAAAGTAATAATTTATTATAAATCTACGATATTCACGTTAATATTAACTTACGATAACCTTATCGTTAGGTTAGTTGCTAAGGCTATAAGGGTACTTGTCGATTGAATTGGTGTTGCCATACACTTCTGTATTAATCCACCGTGGATATCCGTTAAGTTGTTCGGGACCTTGCTAAGAGAACTCAGTTTGCCTCTGGACGATCCCTAGACATCACAAGTTCCCTTCTTGCCCCTTCTCGCTTGACCTCGTCCAAAAGCTCTTCTTTGAGCCCGTCTCCGAAACTCTGCCGGTACAAGAGTTCGAGTCCATATTCTTCCGCCAGGGCACGAAACCCCTTCCTACGGCACCACAAACTCAGTTGTTTACTGCTTCCTTAAAGGGCCTAAGCCTCACCCTTGGCAACCCTTCGACCTGCCTTCGGGGGCAACAAACAATATCTCAAACACGGCGAACGGAATTTGAAATAAGGCCGGTCGCGATCTCACGTGTTCCAGAAGTCTGGTAATGGTTTGTAAACTTTGGCCGACACGAAGGTGGCGCCAGCACTAGCATCTGGACGTTCTATGCCGACAAGGTTGTCTCATTTTCAACTCCGGGCCTCGACATCACGACCCGATAGTAGGCCGGGACTCCGCCCCCCACGCCCCCCGAAGCTTCAACGGATAACCACGGGGCTGGGGTCGTTTCGGTGACGGCCAAGCCACGGCACGGTGTGACTGGCACGTGCAGATGGGATGGACGACACTTAATGTTTGTCTACAGCTTCTTCAACCCCCTCTTCCGTCCTCCAGCTACCAGTCGCCCAACCCGCCTCCACGATGCATACCGCATCCCTTCTGCCGGCGCTGCCCATCCTGGCTTCACACGGAGCGCGTATTCTGCAATCGAACGACGATGGCGGGGCCGAGCTGTATATCCGCTCATTCAACGATGCCCTGAACAAGGCCGGTCACGACGTCGTCCTGTCTGCCCCAGCCGAGAACAAGTCGGGCACCGGTGAGTTTACACATGCCCCTTTCTCATCTCCGGGTCGTATATACTCACGAAGCTCTGCAGACTCAATAGATCTGGAACCCGAGCCACGCACAGATTCCTGTGAATACAACAGCTGCCCAGCCAACAGCGGCCCCATCGGCACAAACAAGACCAACACGCGGCTGAACTGGGTGAACTCGTTCCCCGTCACGTCGGCGCGCTACGGCATCGATATCTTCGGCCCGCTGATCTGGGACGGCGAGGGCCCCGAGCTCGTGGTATCAGGACCAAACGTGGGCTCGGTAGGTATAAAAACATCCCGTCACAAGACCCTGGGCCTTCTATTCGAGAGCAAGCTTTGTTGTTCCCATTCATTCTTCATGTATGGGGTTGAGGACACGATGTTAACGCACACGCAGAACCTCTGGGTCCAGGTGCCCTTCTCCGGCACCGCAGGCGTCGCCGTCTACGCAAGCCACGCCGCCCAAATCCCAGGCATCGCCTTTTCAGCCGCGTCGGGCGGCTGGCTCGCCTTGAAACACATCTCCCGTTCCGCGCGAAGCCTCGTGTACGCACAGCTCGCCACGCAGCTCACCAACGCGATCCTGGCCTCGGGCAAGTCGTACCTCCCCGCCGAGACCTAGCTGAACGTCAACTTCCCTAAGGTCGAGGGCAACTGCACCGATCCTTCAAAATTCAAGTGGACGCTGACGAGAATCGATCCCGCGGGCTTTTTCTCCAGGCATGATGTCGAGACGTGCGGCGGCACTCGCCTGCCGACTGAGACGAGCGTCCTGCGTGGCGGGGGCTGCCGCATTGCGGTCAGTGTTGGCGAGTCGAGGTACAAGACGACGGCGGCTGCGGACAAGCAGGCGGTGGTGCTGAAGAAGCTGGGGAGCATGTTGACTTGCGTGTAGTGAGCATATCTTGAGAGGGCAGTACCTTTATTCAATACGAAACCATTCGCGACGGCCGATTACTACACTGGTGAACTGACAGTGCATGATGGCAAGGCTGGATTGGAAAGACTGTTCTGCTAGATCGGTACCGCGAGCAGATTTCGGAGATATTGCAGCGGTCAAGTCGAAACGTCCGAACGGGCACGAAGCAATGGGCACGAAGTCGATGTACGGGGCGCTTGACAAGTATCAAATTCAACCGCCCCTATTCTACACTGAGCAGAGTAGAGTCTATGCATACATCGACGCTCGCTAGCTGCCAGGTAGGCAATGAGTCAATAACGAGTAATCCAGGCTTATACTTGGCCAAAACTACAAATACAAACGCTGGTGGTATGCAAACCATGATAAGCCCCGAAAGCCTCTCATCCCGCTAGAGCATGTCCATCTCATGGCTCGCGGTTTTTAAAATATTTAGCAAGCGGACTCGATCCAAAGGATTCCTCAATCCAATCCAATCCAGAATCATCATGGACGCCGTGCTGACCGGGACTCTCCGCTGAAGCAAGCTCCATCCAGTCCTCGTCCTCGGTGGATGCTGGGTGATTTGTATTTTGTACGACTGGAAACAGAGCTGCAACCATGCCTCTACGGCCAGATGCAGGTCTTAGTGGGGAAGATCCAATTCCAGGTCCAGTTCCAGGTCTAGTCGGGGTCCTAGGTGCAGGTCTCGTTGCGGGGGATCTACTCGGGGTCCTAGGTGCAGACACGTCTCCAGTCCCAGAGGGGCGTGCAGTTCCGAAACCGCCATCGGTCCGAGGAACACCGCTAACTCCCAGCCCAGACGCAGATAAAGCCCCTGGATCTCCAAGAACACGTTCAGGTCCAGATACGCTTCTCGTTGAGGATTCGGTTCTAGGTGCAGATATCCCTCGAACTCCAGGAACACCTGCAGGTCCAGATACGATTCTCCTTGAGTCTTCGGTTCTATTTGCAAACACGCTTTCAGGTCCAGGAACACCAGTTGTTCCCAGCCCAGACGCACATCCCGCTCGGGATCCAGGCCCAGCTGCCTGTCCAGGCTCAGTTGCAGTTCCCAGTCTTTCAAGTACTGCATGGACGCCGAACCGTTGAATCAGGGCATCAATTTCAGCTGTGGATGATCGCCGGTCGCCTCTGGCATGCGGCGTCTGGAAGCTCGTTGAGGATTCGGTTTTGGGTGCGGACACGCCCCCAAACTCATAAGGGCCACCGGTTCCCGGAACACCTCCAGGTCCAGTGACAGGTCTAGGTGCCCGTCCTGCAATTTCTGCATTCTGTTGTTCGATCTCGGCATGACGTTCAGCTTCGGCCAAGTGCTGGTGGCCTCTATCATACGGCGGCGTCGGGAACCCCGTTGAGGGTTCGGTTATGGGTGTAGACTCGCCATCGCCAGGGTTTCCACGAAGAACACCTTCAGGTTCAGTCACAGGTTCCGTCGTAGGTTCAGTTGCAGGTCTAGTTGCCCGTTCTGCCATTTCTGCAATGACCTGGTCACACACGGCCTTAAATTCATCAAGTTCAGCAGCTTCAGCTTCGGGTATGGGCTGGAGGTTTCCACCATGCGGCGGCGCCTGGAACCCCGTTGAGGATTTTCTGGGTACAAACTCACCCCCAAACTCATAAGGGCCACCGGTTCCCGGAACACCCCCAGGTCCAGTTGCAGGCCCAGTTGCAGGTCCAGTTGCCTCAAGCTGTGCTGTCACCTCTGCAACGAATTGGTCAACCTGGGCCTCAAGTTCGGCACCAGTTCCAAGTACAAAGTAGCCTCCAAACCCATAAGCGCCATCGTTTCCATGAAGACCTTCAATTCCAGGTACGCTTCTCGTTGAGTGGGCTGTATTTGTATACACGCTTTCAGGTCCTGGAAAGCCGGTTCCAGGAACACCCGTATAGCCAGACGTACCTCTCGTTGAGGGCCCGGGTCCAGGTGCAAACTCACTTCCAAGCTCATAAGTGCCACCGGTTCCAGGAATACCTGCAGGTCCTCTAGACATACTTCTAGTTGAGGGACCGCGTCCAAGTGCAAATACACCTTCAGTTCCTGAAACACCGCCAGATCCCGCTCGAAATCCGGGCCCCGCTGCCTGTCCAGTTGCACTTCCAGTTGCAGGTCTAGTTGTTATATTGACCAGTTCAGGGTGTCTTCGCATCCCAGCTTCAATTCCAGCTGAGAACATTCGCCGGCGGTCGCGGGCTCCGCCATGCGGCGGCTGGAACCGTCCAGTCGCCTTCTGGATTCGATAGGCCTGGGGTGGCGGTTGTCCCATCATCATGCCAGGGCGTGTCGGCCGCCAGTTGTTTTGAGTGCTCTCGTATTGTCGTTGTCGCATTGACTCTTCCACAATGTCTGGCCCATACACAGGTGTGAATGTCTCCCAGTTGTGAGGTTCGCTCTGGCCTTGCTGCACGACATGTCCCGGGCACGTTGGTCCGTAATAAGTAGGTTGAGGTATCGGCAGCGTGCCGCTGGGAGCACCTTGTCCGTACAGCCGCGGGTCTCTACCCTGGCCCGCAACATGATCTGGCCAAGGCTGACATTCGCTCAGCACGTCGTCGTCGACCCAATCCCCCATCTCGGCGTCAGATTGGCATCCGCCGCATGGGCCACTGCTATTGCCGTGCTGCTGGTTCTGGTTGAAGGGTTGGTTGAAGGGCTTGTTGACGGGCTGATTGAAGGGCTGGTTGACGGGCTGTCTGAAGGGCTGGTTGACGGGCTGTCCGAAGGCTTGGTGGACAGGCTGATCTTGTTCAGGTATCCCTAGGGCCCAGCGGTTCTCAGCCGCCCTTCTGGCGTTCAACTCAGGGGCCATTGCCCGCTGAAAATCCCGGTCGTTGTTGTTATTAAAATTATTGCCGGCCATCTTGTCTTCGGCGAGGGTGGGATCGCGGGTGTGATTGTGGGTATTGGTGTACTTGAAAGTGTGCACGGGGGTTCTTGAACCAAATGCTTATCCGTGCTGATGCTGCATAAGTCTGCGAGAGCGAGAAGCGATGAAGATGAGTATGACTGTGAACTTCGGGGATAGACGATTGATGTTGGAGTGGAATGGAAGATGGCACCACGAGAGAACCAAAGGTATTTGACCACGGGGGCGAGCCCGCCATCGTAACTGCTCGTTGCTGTTGTCCTGTCGTATCGCAGTTGCTGCTTCATATTGTCGAAGACATTCCCGCGATGAGCAGGACGGGAAGGAGCCCAGCTCGACATTGTAGCCAAGCATAATGACCCATTCCAGCGAGGAAGTGTCGATGTCTGCGAGACTGTCCTTCACAGTGGTTTCGAGCTAGACCTTCCAAAGCCTAACAATCAGTTCTGGTTGCGCTTTCTGTGTCTCGAACGGGTTCCTTCGATGTCGCTCATCGCATCTTCCAGTTGACGACTTCCATATGACGACTGCCACTTGGCGACACTGCAATCGACAAGCCCAGGATGCTGACTTGTCAATGTGGTCATGTTCAGCATTACATGTAGGTGTCAAACAGTTCGTAGATGGTTCAGATGGTGGTTGTTCGTGTATTCAGTGCTGATCGTGTTCTCAATTTCTGTGATGTAGCTTTGGGGCCCAAAATGCCCTAATGGCCCCTGTTTCCGTGCACTGCCACTTCCCCGGCGCCACGGTGGCTTGCGCGCCATTCAATAGTAGGTATATGCGCCTTCCCTTCTCGCTCATCTAATCCAGTCTTCGGTCTCTACAATGGGCAAGCGTGAACACCCCTAAGGGTTTCTCATCCAGACACCAGCGGCACTGCCGTTCAACCCAAGATCGCTCACCCTGATCTCCTCGCTCCTGTACTCCTTCGGCAGGTCCGGTTCCAGCGCAGCCAAAGGCAACTGCACATCCTCCGCATACGGCGTCCCGAAGTAGTTCGCCCCCTCATGCATCTCGTACTTGCCTCCATTCTTGTCCTTCCCTCTAGATCGCAACTCCTCATTGGGCTCATCGCCCTCCGGATCCCAGCCCGCGAAACCCCCACTCTTCTTTCCCTTGAGTTGCAACCGGACGCCCTGGACGCTCTCGCGGCTCGGGTCCCGATCGGCGAAGTTGTGCGGCACAAACATGACACTTGACGAGGAAGTATGCATGAGCGTATTGGGGATGTCGCCCGAGTGCGGGATGTGGTGGCTTCCCACGTTGAAGTATATGACGAGGTCGCCGTCGTACTCCGAGTCCGTATCTCCATGGGCGAGGCTCTCGGAGTTGGCAATGGTGGTGAAGTCGATCAAGGGCTCGAGTGGCTCGAGGTAGTTCAGCGGGTCGGCTCCTCTCGGTTCGATGTCCTTCTGTCGCACGACCCAGATGTCTTTCTCGGCCCATCGAGCGCTGTTGCCCAGAGTGGTGGAGTTTAGGATTGACAGGTGTGGTGTGTTTCCCATCCCGGTTCCGGAGACCACCCTGTAGCCTTTCTTCTCGCCCCAGGCGTTCTTCTGATCGCTGGAATACACGATGTAGAACTCGCCCGAGTTCTTCGGCCATTCGAGTCCAGCCTCCTCGGTAACAGGGTACTCCTTGAGATGCATAGTGTTTCGCTCCTTGACGTACGGCTGGTCCCATGGGTAGCTGATAACTGTGGGCTCCAGGGCGAGCCTGACAAGGTCGTTGGCAGAGCCGGCAATGTCGAGATCGGCCTTGAAGCTGATGACATGGTCGTGCATCGACGAAGAAAGCGCGTCATGGATGCGATGACCGTACTCGTCTTCGTTCTTATTTGGGTTGTTGGCGTAGAAGGCGCCATAGATATACCCGGAGGCCCTGACCTTGACCTCAATCGCGCCGTCGAGATAGAAGATGTAATCGATCGTGTAGTCATAATTACCGACAGTGGAGACGGACCTCACTGTGAGGTATGTGTTTCTCGATGCGGTCACAGAATATTGTGCCGTGTGCCGAGAGAGGAGGTGGTCGGATGTGAATTCGAAAACGCAAATGTTGTTGGGAAGCGTCTCTGTCTTACCACCGCGATGTAGCTTGGTGTTGAGGTAGTCAGCATATCCAGGGCAGTCGTATCCGGGCAGCAGCTCAAAAGCATTCGTGCCCATGCCGAAGAACGTGTCAAGAAACTCCTGTCCACCAGCCATGGGGTCGTCTCCAGCGTAGTGTGCCAGGGCCTCTTGGAGACTGAGTTCGTACATGACTCGCTCACCCTTGAACCGCACATCGAACAGACTGACGCCCGTTGCTTGGGTGGAGGTGAGATAGAATTCGAACCCGAACCATGACATGTATCCCTCTGCCTTGTCGAGCTTGTATCGCGGGCCATATGGCTGTATCGAGACAGGCGGCGGCAGCTGTCGACCATCCGGCTTCGCGTCAAAGTCCTCCGTGTCAGTCCATGGGCCATCTACATTGGGCGGTGTCTTCAAGAAATCAGGACTTCTCATGGCCCTGCGAAACTCGTCGACGTTGGCGTACATCACTCCATTGTAAAACCAGTCTCCCACAACCCAGTCGCTGACATTGGCACTGGTCGCATCGACTCTGACGTAAATGCCCTGGGGGAGAAGCGTACGCCCCGAGCTTCCCATTCCAGGCCTGAAGAACTGTATCCATGCTATCAACAAGCCAGGCTCTTGCCTAGTGAATCTTGGGAAGACCTGGAGCGAGTTTGGATCGTAAGGGTTTTTTCTGTTGACCTTGGCGTCCAGCAATTCAGTCGTGATATCGGAAACGTTCTCTGCAAGCGCCAGAGAGAAGTCTAGGCTTCCAACGAAGTCCGCCATCAGGTTTGTCACATAGTTCCGCCCGGAACTGAACGGGTGCGTCAAAGGGACCACTTGTGTCGCTTCCGACACTGGTAGCGGGCCAACAGCGTGATAGATCAGCTGTGGCTTCTCCTCCGTATTGCGCGATAGCACTACCTTCGCCCACCGCTCTGGTTCCTTGCTGTCCTCCCACAGGAACGGGAGGACATCCGACTTGTTCGGCGACAGCGCTTCCACGGTGAAGATGAAGTTCTCATAGGCGGTCCTTGGTGTCCTTGTAACATTGAGATCAGCCCATTCTTTGACTAGGAAATCGTAAACGTCGTTGGCCTCGTGCTCGGAGATGCCCGCCCATACATTGCGCTTCGGGGCTTTGAAGCCGGCGCGATTAGCGGGACAGACATCTAGTTGGCCTGGGTTTCCGCGCGCTGGGAGCCACAACAACCCAACGGCGGCAAGGAAGATACTCGAAGAGAGTATTCCGGCCGTTATATTCCTAGAGATAGTCATTGTTGTCGTGCCGCTGCGACGGCTAGATGCACGATTTTGACAGAAGGGTTGAAGAAGAGAGAGGGAATGTGTCACATCGTTGACGTTGACGTGAGGAGATAAGACAGTGAGACTGCCTGTAGGGCCGACGACGCCGTTTCTCGCATCGGATAAAGTTGCCTTTTTGGGCCTTTCAATATGGGTCTGGTGGGCCAATCACCGCCCGACTTTCATCGGTGGAATAACAAGTTACGGGTTCTTATAAGTTATACGCTTATGCAACATCGCAAGCATCGAATGCTATCATTTATCAAGTTAAAAGCTTAAAAGAATGGTTTTACTAGTTGCAAGTTCGTTTCTCGTAACAAAAGACTTAGAACTAAACTTAAACATTAAGACCTTCTGAGCCTGCTAACAATTCCTTATTAGAAGTCGCAACCAAGCTAATATGACGAGTTACTTCATAAAGACTTATAAGCAATATTTATTTATTTATATAAATAGTATGTAAAGATCGACAAGACTATTAGGTTATATAAAGACTTATAAAAGACTTAAATATATTATATTATTAATAAATAAATAATAAACCTTTTCTTGAATATAAAATGTTATTACGCTTCTATTACATTTATCGGTTTATAAATATTGCTTTTATAATAACATTTCTTTAATTGAAATATTAATATTTAGTGAGAGGACTTTTTAACCAACTTTAAATTAAATAATAGTGGCACTTACAACCCTTTTTAATGCTAATAAACCGTGAATAAATCGTAAACGTAAATTACTTAAACACAAAAGAACAATAAATTATTAACAACCTTTTAAAATATATTAATTATTTAAAAGCTACAAATTAAATAATCATTCTAAAAAAAGAGCTTTCAACTTAATAGATAATTATTTCAAAAAGCTTATGGAAATTTTATTGAAATAACCGTTAAAAATGACTTATTCAAGCTTATAAAAAAGCAAATAAAGTACATAAACGAAAAAATATGTCGTATATTTGTTAATAAAATTAGATAAATTAAAAATAATAAAGCGCCGTAAGAAGGCTATTAACATTAACTTTAATAGAAACATGGTTAATAATATATAACTTTTAAGCTGATTGAAGGTAAAAGCAAGGTTGTCATTATTTTCATTGTATATATTTAAGCTCGCTTAATATTATACCGCTTATTTTTAATTAAGTTGAGACTTTAAATTATAATAAAGATCGTATATTAAGCCTTAACCTCCAAAAAAAAATTAACCAAAAATATTACTAACTTTTTATAACTTTACCTAGAAAAAAAGTTATTAAACCACCTTATATCGTTAGAATGTAATAAAAAGCTAAAAATAAAACAATTGCTGCGCTATACATGCTACCATAAAAAAGAATGATTAAAAAGTTAAAGTTAGAACCGGAAAAAAAACCCTTTAATAACTCTTTAAAAAACAAAGTTTTACTATTATAAAAGCGTAAATCGAAAGTAGTTCGTTTTAAAAACTTGATTATAAATAAAGATTAAACTATGATTAATCATTTAAATGACTTTTTATCGTTATTATCTTAATGTAACTCCTTTTTATTATGAAGTAAAATTAATATAAACTTTTCTGCTTCATTATTATTGAAAAAAAGCGCAAGTTATCGTGTTAAAAAAACATCAAAGAAAAAACTTTAAAAAGAACAATTTAGTTTTAAACCTTACTGCGATACGCATCGGAAGGTTTTATTCATTAAAATCGTTATAAACAAAAGCTTTTTTTTACTTTATATAATAAAGCTTATAAAATGTAATAAAGCTTATTTTATTAAAAGTATAACCAAAATCTGTTAAGTTAAACTAGTAAAGCTACTATTTGGCTTTTAAAATAGCTTGATACTATTAAAAACGGTTTTATAAAAATCTTATAAATATGTTATACGATATAAATAATTCTAGAAAATATCCTATTCTTTTTATTCGACTTACGTGTTAAATTAAACATCTAAGCTTTAAACTAAGGGTTAAATGACAAATTAAAATATGTGTAATGAGCACTAAAAGACACGACGGAAATTAAAATAAAACGATGAAAAAAACTGTTTATTTTATAAAATCATAAGATTTAAAACCTGAATTTTTAATAAGCAACTTTCCAAAAAAGAAAATTTAAAATAAGTAAAAACAACTCTTTATACAATAATAATTACAATAATAATTATAACGTTAAAAGTAATAATAAGCGTAAAATGGTTAAAAAAAGGTAAAGCGGTTAAAGTCATAACAGCCGTAATAGTCATAAGGGTTGAAATAATCGTAAAAGATATTAATAAGTCTCTAATTAAAATAAAATAAAAGGACTAATTGCTGAAGTTGTAATAAATAAAGCTATAGTTGCCGTAACAACCTTATTTAAATATAAAATTAAAAATAACACCAATTAAATAAGTTAAACTATTAAGTTAAACTATAAAACTATATATTACTTAAATTAAACTACGTAAAAAGCACGTGCATTACAAACAGCAGCATTTTTATTATATATAGAAAACTTTAAAGCCTTTTTAAGCTCTTTAAAAATTACGATAATATAATGGCTACTGGTATTGTTGGTGTTCAAAGTGCCGTATATGCCGTTTAAATCAATTTTAAAAGCGGGTTTCAACTTTTTTACGTTTATAAGGATAAAATAGCGCTTATATTAGATAATTTAATCGAAAAACTGGGAAAAAGGCGCTAACGTTGTAAAAGGGCTATTCAAATTTTTAATATACAATTACATATTTATTAAAATATTATAAGATGCTTAACCTCATTTAAAGCCCTCGATTTTTTAATGTTAAGGTTTTTATAATTAATGTCACGACCAGATCAAGGCATTGAGGTGAACTCAGTCCATTGGGTGCTATAGACGAAGATTCTAAGCTAAAAAAAAAAGGAAAGAAATGACCAACAACGTATTGCGAAAAGCGCGACCAAGTCCAGGAGCAGGTAGAGCTCTGCTTGTGCCTGATCCCCACAGCCAGCTTCCGATTGGCTACCACAGTCCTGGCAGTTGAGGGCTGCTTGGGAGCAGGTCCTTACATTACCCCCTTCCAAGCCCTGATCGCCTGGTGGTCAGGAGGCTTGAAAAGAGAGAAATAACGAGAATATTGTCTCAAGAGTGTCTCGTTTTATGTTTTTTCTTGGTTTTCACTCCTGTTGCCTTGTGTTCGGTGACTTTATCGTTTTTATGATCCCCCTCGAACTTGTTCTCCGCGGCATTCCGTATCCAATGCTGCAGGCGCACTGGGGGCCCAGCTGCATCAGGGTACTCTCTATGGAAGGACTCTAATAGCAGCGGCAAGTTCTTCAGGTCGCTGGCTGGGTACCATGTCTCATTTGGGTCTAATCCCACCTAGGATACTTGGTATTGGAGTCTTTGACGCTGTCCGAAAAGCCGTGATACTAGGATCTTTTCCACTTCCCATTCCGGTTCTCTGTTGATCTCCACTGGCGGTTCTGGTTCCAGCTGTTGCTGCGGCAGCGGGTTCTGAGCTGCTTTCCGAAGGCGATCAGCGTGGAAGAGCTTGCTACCTTTATACCAGGGTGGTGTGTAAAGGATGAAGCTGTGGCCTCTTTTTTCTACAATGGTCCATGGACCGGCGTTCTAGGAGTCCAGCTTTGTGGTCAGGGCTTCAGTCGAGAATCCCTTCTTACTTACGTATACTATGTCAGAAACGGTAAAGTCCACGGGTCGGCGCTTCTTATTGGCTTGGGTTTCTATCAGTGCCTGTGCCGCTATGGCGTTCTGTTGTGCTAACTCCTGGACCTTTTGGATTTGTTTAATAACCTCTAACGCTTTCTTCTCTTGGTCAGTCGTCAAATCCACTTCCTGCAGTGGCAGAAAGAGAGGGTTACGCGGGCTGGTTCCGAGGACGACTTCCAACGGGGACATCCCAATGATCGAGTGATAGGCAGCGTTATGGGCTAAGTCCAGGGCAGGGAGGTGCTCTCTCCATCTGGTCTGGTACTTATCCACGTAGAACCTTAACTTCTGATCCAATTCGGCATTTGTGATTTCGATGCTTCCTTGGGTCTGAGGGTGTCGAGAGCTACCATGGCGATGCTTTATTCCGGTGAGTTTATTGAGGGTTTTAAGAAACTTGGAGATAAAGGGTCCGGCATTGTCACTGATCCACTCGTGAGGAATACCGAGGAAACGATAGAGAGCGCTGTAATACCGGTGGGCTAGTATCTCTGCGGTGTCTCCCTTACGACTAGGGAGAGTAGCCAGCAGCTTGCTAAATTGACAGACAAAAGCCCAGACATAATCATAGCCTTTGTCATCTTTCGGCATGCTCTTGCCGTCAACCACAACATGCTCCCAGATGCGCTTTGGGATAGGTAATGGGTGAAGGAGCCCTGGGGTCTTGTCATGTCAAGTCTTATTCCTCTGGCAATCCCGACAGTTCTTGATGTACTGCTTGATATTGCTATTAAGGCCTTGCCAGTAGTACTCCTTTTTTAAGAGCTGAAGGGTCTTGTTTTGGCCGGCGTGGGCGAAAGCTTTCGGCTCATGAGCTTCACGTATCAAAGCGGTGCACAGGAAGATCTTTCCATCTATAGTGGTTTCAGGAATGACCAGCAATCCTTCTTTTCGGCCCAGGTTTTGCTTTTCGTTCTCTGCGATGATGACATCCACCAGATCAGCGCCTCGCAACTCGGTCGTAGTAAGGGCATTGATCCCTTGTATTTGAATCGGGGCAATTGGCTCGATCTTCTCTGGTGGTATCAGGGCAAATGTCCGATCTTGTAATTCCCGGGCTTTGACCATAAGGTTCTTAATGGTCTTACGAGAAAGGGCGTCGGCGGCCACGTTGTCTTTGCCCGGGCGGTATCGGAACATGATGTCAAAATTGGCCAGGTAATACGACCAGCGAATCTGTCTTGCTGAGAGCAGCTTCTTGGTTGACCAGTAGATCAGAGCTTGATGATCGGTCTGAACAAAGAACTTAGTTCCCCATAGAGCGGGCTCAAAGTCTTTGAGGGTGTTCATCACTGCGAGAAGCTCTTGGTCCTGGATAAGATAATTCTGCTCGGCTACGGACATGGTCTTTGAAAAGTAGCCGATCGGTTTCCATTCTCTGTCTTCCTGCTGTTGTCAAATGACACCACCTGTGGCTTTGCCCGAGGCATCGGTATCAACCTTGGTTGGTCGGCCAGGTTTGAAGAAGGCGAGGACAGGCGCTTCAGTGGCAAGCTTCTTCAACGCTTCGAAAGCTTCCTTTTGCTCAGGTCCTTTCTCGAAGGGCATGTCTTTCTTCAGCAACCGGTTAAGCGGTTTGGTGAGGTCACTGGCGTGATAACAGAATAGTCGGATGAAATTGCATAATCCCAAGAAAGATCGAACGGCTGACTTTGAATTCAAATCATCCCAATCCCAGTTGAGAATAGCAGCGACTTTGGCGGGGTCCACTCGAACACCTTTGCCTGTCTCAAGGATCATACCCAGATAATCCACCTCAGTGACGTTAAAGCTGGATTTCTTGATGTCTCCTTGGAGGCCTGTTCAATGCAACCAATAAAGGACCTCCTCAGTCTGTTCAAAATGCTCTGGTTCGTCGCTTTCTGAGTAAACCAACACATCGTCCGCATAGGCGCTGGCAAACAGGTCCAGTAGTTCATTGAGCTGGGCGTTGATAAAGCCTTGGAACCAAGCAGGGCCGACCTTGAGTCCAAACGGCAGCACCTTCCATTGGAAAGTCCCTTGTCGGGTCGTAAAAGCGGTCAGATATTGAGACCCGGGGTCCATCAACAGGCGGTTAAAAGCACAGATGATGTCAATCTTGGTGAGGCGTCTTGCTCGTCCACAGCGGCTGATCGTGCCCTGGACGTCTGGAGCGAGCACCTGTCTTCCCTTAATGAAATCATTAATCCAACGATAGTCCACACAGAATCGATGTTCTCTGGAGTGAGGCTTGGGTACAAATAACATAGGGGCAGGCTTGTCGGCCATACAGCGCTCAATGAATCTAATCTTTAGTAGCTCGTCGGTGGTTTATTTTTCTAGTCTAAGGAAGGCGAACGGCATAAGATATCATAAAGGTTTTCCTTCTAAGGGTTTCGCCAGTTCAAGGATCACATCAAAGCCGGGGCGGCTGGGCGGCAATTTGGTAGAGGCTTTCTTAGAGAAGAATCCTTTGAGATGGGCCAACTCGTGTGGAAGTTTTGATCGTACCTTGGCTATATGTTCAGGGTCCTCTCCTTCTGGGAATGGAATATGCTTTCTGTCAAAAGTCTTGTTCCAGGTCTTGGGATCGACAGTGAGAGCGTTCAAGCTGACCGAAAGATGTGTTGAGGGTCGTTCCAGCGGGACAGCAACCTGGGGCATCCGTTGCTTCTTCCATCTCTCTTGACGAGGGTCTGTAAAGATGGCATAAATGCCGGCAGTGAGGTCACTGTTGCCGGTTAAAGCCTTGCTTTCGATAGGGGACATCGCTGCGACCAAAGGTGCTGGTGATGTCAATCGCCAAGGGTTCTGTAAGATCTTGCGAACCTTCAATTGTCGGTCTTTAGCTGTCATCAAGCGGTCACGGCAGAAAACATCGGTTTGGGCCTTCATATTGAGTGAAGGTAAAGAATGCTTGACTAAGATGCTTGGGGCATATTGGGCCAAAGCTGGTCGATCTTCAGGCCAACAGATCATGCGAGAAGCAGGATGCATCCACACATTCTGCTTGGTTAACCAATCTTGTCCGATGAAGACATTATTAGCGGTAGGAATGATTATAAATTTCTGACGAGGAAATTCTCGTCCGTCAACCTCAAGGGTGACTCGAATCTGGTGTGTTGCGCGAGCAGTCGCTGCTCCGTTAAAGTCACTCAACATCAAGGGCTTGTCCAACCGCTCCATTTTGGCACCTATCCAATCGACGAGTTTCTGGGCCATCTTGGGGGTCATTGAGAGAGAGATATCAGCTCTTGTATCACAAAGGGCGTGTGTCTTAAGACCAATGCCATTAACTAATAACTTGACAGATTTAGTGAATATATTTGATTTTAATGATTTACCGACTTTTGCCAATCGTGGTACGTAGGCTATCGAGGAGACTTCCGACAGCCGTTTTAGTTTTCTGAATCAGAAGAAGAATCAGAAGGAGTATTCTCAGCGATGCTCGATGATTGTGCATCAGATTCCTCGTGGTCAAATGCCTGGAGCATGTTAGCGATAATCTTGCGATCGGGGCAATGGCGAGACTGATAATCAGGCTTCTTGCACAAGAAACAGAGTCCGGCGTCTATGAGAGCGCTCTTCTCTTTTTCCGACAGAGAGGGAGTCTCCTTGACAGGCGCAGTTGTAGTCTCGACTTCCTTTTTGATCTTGCGGCGCTCGCGGTACCCGCGAGGTCGGCGGCGGGGTTTGGTCTCCGGGGGAGATGGCTCATGGCGGGTCAGTTTGCGCTCCTTCCTCTCTTCCTGAGCACGGTGACGAGCAATGGCGGCATCAGCAACGGAAGCAGTGAAATCTTCGTAAGAGATGCGCGAGTCCTTAGAATCCTTCAGCAGACGGGTGTCGAGATCGGCAGGGATATGCTCATAGAAAGTGGTTTTACGCAGGTCCTTGTCGATACCTGCTTTGTCTGCCAGGCTGTTGACCTTTCCAATAAACTGGTGGATGTCCATTTCCTTGTCAAAGGGGTTATACTTGAGCTTCGCTAGCTCAGCCCGAGCTTTAGAGGCTTGGTTGGCGTCGTGGTACACGGCGGAAAGAGTGGCAACCATCTTAGCAGTGTTCTGGAACGGCATAAGAACCGACTGGTAACGGGACTCCAGAAGGTCGTTAGCAGGTCCTCCCGTCATGTTGAAAATAAGAGCCATATGGCTGCGTTCTTTTTTGAAGGTCTTTTCGTCTTTCTCGCATTTATCGGCCAGCTTGATAATCCATTTGTCAAAGAGGTCCTTTTCTCCGGCGAACATGCCAGGTTCGCGTCGGGACTCTCTAGCTTTTTTATCATAGTGGGGGTTGCGGGCATCCTGGTCTTGGCCAAAAGGTGTAAACTCGGGGAGGGCCGCAAACCCAGTGGGCTTGAAGTCGGTGCTGCCAAAGGCACTGTTCGCGGGTGTGATCTCGCGAGAGCAGCGGTCGTTGTCATTGTGGGTTCCAGCGCTGACTTGGGCCTTTAGGGAGGCGATTTCAGCCATTAATTGCTAAAGGGTAGGGTTGAGGTTGTCCTCAGGTATGTCGGGCGGCTGGGACAAGGGGAAAATTGTAGCAGAGTTTTTACGGAATACCTTGGGCTTCGAATAGACCTCAAAGTTCTCGGTAGCAGAATCGTAATTGGATTCTTTGACTTCGCTGCTGGCGACGGGTCTTTTTTGTTCCGAGTCGCGATGGGGGGCAACAGGCTTTTCTGGCTCTGGGTTACTAAGGGCTTGAGCGGGCTCTTCTGGCGCTGGGCTCGAGGGTGTAACGAGGACGTCTTCGTCTAACTCTTCGGTCTTGGGACTCGTTTCTCCTGGCGTCTGTTCGCTGTTGTCTTTCTGTTGAGAGAGGCGGGTGGACTGTCGTGTCGGAGGGCCGTGATCTATCTTCTTCGGCATCGATGACTTGATTTTTTTGATTTTTTTTGTTTTATAGCCTAGTTTATTGTCGTGCACAGCCGACATAGTGACTGCAAATGAATGCGAGAAGGGGTTTGATGAGATATTTTACTTGCTTCGCCAGCAAGGAAATGAAGAGCTTAGAATTGTGTCACGACCAGATCAAGGCATTGAGGTGAACTCAGTCCATTGGGTGCTATAGACGAAGATTCTAAGCTGAAGAGAAAAGGAAAGAAATGACCAACAACGCATTACGAAAAGCGCGACCAAGTCCAGGAGCAGGTAGAGCTCTGCTTGTGCCTGATCCCTACAGCCAGCTTCCGATTGGCTACCACAGTCCTGGCAGTTGAGGGCTGCTTGGGAGCAGGTCCTCACAATTAAAGCCTTTATTTGATTTAAGACAAACTCTAAACTAATATAAATAAATAAAATTTATGTTGGATCCATGTGATTCCATAGTCAAACCATCCATACAGAACCTACATGTATGATTAGATAAGAGATTAGATACCGGATTGTGAGGTCACTTAGCCAGACCAGCAGGTCCAACTAGACTTCCCAATCCAACCATCAGCAACATCATGACCTTGACCCCATACTCGAGTATTATGATTGATCGTTCAAGCCTGTTCAAGCATTAATAAACGGTAAAAGTAATAAATCCAAAAAATTATTACTTAAAAGCTTGGTTAAAGGCGTTTTTTTAGTATTAAACGAGTTTAAAACAAAACTCGTACTTTAACATCGGCGCTTTTATCACCTTAATATTCAAAGGCGAGATTAAACGATTAAAAAAACAATAAAAACCGATTGGAACCCTTTTAAAATAATTTAAATCCTTCATATTATGTATAAATGAGCTAAAATTTTAAAAACATCGTTAAAAATACGTTAATAAAATCATTTCATATAATATAGGTAAAATTGAACCCGTTTCTATCAAGAACTTAATTTTTTTTATATTAATTATAAAAGATCCTTTTATAGAACTAAAACTTTCAAGCGTATAAAACTAAAAACGCTATATTAAGCGCTTTAATTAAGTATATAACCTAGCTGTCAGATTTCAAATGGTTGACAAGCCTGTGGTCTTGGGTGGCAGCTGCAATCGTTGTTATCATTTCTCAGCTATCCCAATTGGGTGGTATCTTCACCTATTTGTACAGCTCCGGAGATGCCGGAGACAATCCTCTGGCCCACCATTTCCCGAGTCAACGTACGATTCATGGTGCTAGTCATGACAGCCTCCTTAACTAGCCACCTGACTAGCCAGCACTCCACAGGACATACACCCATAGAGATCCCTTGAATCTGACAACAGGTTTATAAGTCTTTAATAATGCTACTACTTTAAAAATAGCTTTAAGCTACGTGTGGAAACCTTATATATTGATAAAAAGCATAAGTTTAAAACATTAGTGAATAAAAATCTTTATAATAACGAAACTATGTACTTAATTATTTTAACGTTATATAATTAATATTAAAACGGCATATTAAAACGTAGCAATTTATTTTCCACATAAAACGATCATAATACATATTTTAATATAAATCCTTATATGTTTTTAAAACTATATATACGTTATTACAACGGATATTATTAATTAAACGAGCTAATTAATAATTAATAAAAGTGTTGTACTAAAAAAATTTAACGCGCTTAAGTTTAAAAAAGTCCACACAGTAAATTTTAATTACGGAAAGATTATTAAATCGAAATATACGAAACTTATCAACTTGAAATATTGAATTAACTTAAATAAGATAAAGAAGCAAAGCCTAAAAAAGATCTTTTTTAAATTCATAAAGATTTATAACTATGTCGTTTAGTTGATTAAAAGAAGTAGATTTTATGAATATACTGACAACATCGATATTAACGCTTTAAGATTAAAAACCCTTGTTCGATTCTTTCTTTTATATATATAGGAGCGTCTACGTTATTAATTAACACCTTTTGATAACATAAACATACAAAATAAAAATAACAACGTAATAAAAAAACATTATAAACGAAAAATCAAAAACTCAAAATTAAAAAAGTCGCTTGAAAAGTTCTAATCTTAAAAGCTTTTAATAAACTATTAAAATTCGTATTTATAACATTAATTTCATTTTTAAAAAGAAGAAAACTATATGTAATAAACCTTAAAAAATTGTTTAAAAGCTCTTATATGAGAAGTAAATTTATATAATAAAAATAAAGATTTATTACGCGATTATAAAAATTTGCTCGGTATAAAGTAATTTGAAGTCTTTAACAAGTTTTTTAAAAATAAATTATATCATTGATAAATCAATATATAGTTTTTTTTCTTACAAACGCATATAACTTTATATTTTAAAAGCTATAAACTAAAGCTATTTTTTAAAAAATTTAAAAACTTCTAAAAAAACCCGTCTAAATTTAAAGCTTTAAGAGATATTATTTAAAGCTGCGTAATTGACGTAACATAAGTATTGAAAGAATATTTATTAATAAATAAACTTAGTAAGCACAACATAGATCGTTGTTAAGAAATTTACATAACATAAACAAATCTAACATAGCTGACAAGCGAGTTGACATTACAAGCGAGTTGGCACTCGTCATGAACTCTTCAACTGTCATGTCAAATAACTTCACCACAACGCATTCAGTTCAATTCAATCAATCGGATTCCTCTTCCTCAGAGGTTTCTATCTCTATTGTACAAGTTCGCACATTATGGCCAGTATTGCCGTAAACTCCACACCGTCGCCCACGCGCTGCCGCCCGCCTCGGACGACGACTACCTTCACTCATTTCCTGTTTTGCCAGCTCAGTACCATCCTTTGCAGCCTGAAGATCTATTACATCTTCAACGGAAAGTATTCCTTCTTTCATTAGACGTTTGTTTTTTGTTCTCCAGTGTTTACTTAATAGGTGATTGGCCTCTTCTAGTTTGCGGACCCGGGAATCAACCAAAGCGACCTTATGAATAAGACCGTATGTAGCCTTTGAAAACGAGCTCAACGCATCAACTATTGATGTAGGTGAGCTTCCCTGGTGGTTTCTGACTCAGTTTCGGATATAAACCGATTGGTTTACCGCTTCGTTAATGGTGGTAGGCGTTTTCGAAGTCTAAGTAGTGGGTGGCAGATTGGGGTCTGGCGACGGTGTTCGTATGACAGCGACAGTATCCAGCTTTGAAATGACACTTTCTGGGTCAAAAAGAACAAGCCCAGTGGCACTGAAACCTGCTCAAATGTTTCCTGGCGTCATAGCAGCGTTGTGTGCTTCACAAAACGCTGCAAGGAAGTCCTCCTTCGAAACATGGGTTATATGCCGCCGCATGAGATCCTCAATCATGCGACCGTACGCTCGTTTGAGCGGGCTAAAACAACTGACATCTAAAGGCTGGAGCCTGTGTGACGAGTGGGCAGGCATACAAAGGGTGATAATGCCATTGTTCTGACAATAATCCTTAAAGACCTGGGAATGGTGGCTTTCGTGACCATCTAGGATGAGGAGGCGTTTACCGGCAGTCATACGCAGTCTGGTATACTTGTCGAAATGCTGAATCCATTCCAAACCAATCTCATTCGTGGTCCACCCGTTGTCGGACACGGCCACCTTCTAATCGCGTGGTAATATCGTGTCGCAATACCATGACGCGAGGTGGGTTTTGCCCTGTAGAATGATGAACGGCGGGACCACCCAACCATCAGCATTAACAGCAGAGATTGCTGTAGACCATTCCCTGTTGCCTTGCTGAGCTTGTCTAGGCCTGCCACGTCTTTCGGCGCTTGTAACGACCATGCCGGACCCAACAATGCCCATCATAAACCCAGTCTCGTCAAAGTTGTAAATATCCGCGTCTTGGATACCATGTTTCGCGACTGCCGCTGCAACTTGGCGAAACCACGCGCAATACGCGTCTGGATCCTCGTTCAAGACCCTCTGGTAGTCTATCTTCCAATGAAAACGCGTCCGGAGGCCTGGTGTACGTTTGATGAAGTTCCGCGTCCAGTTCTTTTCAACGCGTCCAGCCCCACGCGCCGCCAACAATTGATTCGCTATATCTTCAACATAACTGTACCGGGGCGGAAATGCTCGCGCATCCAGGTCGAGAATGAAGGAACAAATGGCATTCTCTTCGGAGACCATAAGTTTCAAAGTATTGGGCATGCTGTCGCGTCGTGATGGCATTCCTTTGACTCTATTGCTCAAAGTGGAACAAGGGACGTTGAAGAGTTTCGCAAGCTGAAATATAGGAATATGAGGGTCACGTCGTTTAGCTTGAACAGCTAGCTGCAAGTCTGATTCGTTATAACGCGGTGCCATTATTGTTGGTGGAGATATGATGGTTTGAATCGTATTGGTTGGAAAGTTCATGACGAGTGCCAACTCGCTTGTAATGTCAACTCGCTTGTCAGCTACGTTACTTCAATATAACAATTATTAAAATAAATACAATAAACTTTAATAAATTTTAATAGCGTTTGTTACTTTAATAGAATAGCATATTATCTACATAGATTTTATGGGCATGTATTTTAATAATACGCTTAAGAAGAAGATCTTTATAAAGATGTTTTTTTATATTAAATAGATTTAATACCTATTTAAAAAAAGAATAACTATAATAAAGATATAATTATCAAACTTTATAACCTTTTTCACGGCTTTAAATGAGTAGAGAATATTTGATTAAGTAAAAAATTAAGAAATAAAGCACGAAGATTTCTTCTATTTATTTCCGATAATACTAGTTATATTAACTATAATATAAGGAATATTATCGCTTTGTATAACAATAATTTCTTATTATTCAAGCTTAATTTTTAACAATTAAAAAACATCGTTGTTAGTATTAAAAAAACGTTTTGATTACAAATATAAAATGTGTTGATTAGTTTATTAACATTAAAGTTATTAAAAGTTCTAATAATTAAAACGTAAAACTTAATTGGTTTTAATATTTAATCAAAGCGTTTAAATTTTATTAAATATAATAAAGCGCAGGCTTTTTAAT